AGATTAAACGGACTTCGGTCACAGGTGTATTCCGAAGAAGACACCCGCGGCAGCCACCTTCAAGGACCGGTCGCACCAGCGCGAAGCAGTAGCGATACACGGCCGGCCCACGGTAGACGGCTTTGCCGACGCGGAAGGCCGCGATTGAGGTAGGGCGGGCTCATAGGCAGGAGCGGCACCAATTGTTAGTTGGTTTCGCTTCACTGCCTCGGCCACTGCCTTTCCCCTTCATAGACCCTCCGGACACGTGTATGCTGACGTCCGCCGCGCAGCGGTTCGTGTCGGGAATTAGGTCTCCTACGCGACCGATTTCGTATGGGATTCGCTATTGCCCTCTGCGCCACCCATCGCCGACCCCCCCCCCAAGGCACCGCTTGACGAGGGTCTCTGAAATTTTCAGGGTGAGGTCCAGGGGGGCCTAGGAGGTAGCCCATACAGCAAGGGGTCAATAGGTAGCGTGGTTGGGTCGTGGCAGTGGTGCCCCGAGGGGGGGGGGGGGGGGGTACGTGTTGGGCGTACGACCCTGTCCACCAAATCGAACAGATGCTGGAGACCCAACATACAAGAGTTGATAGCGAGGAACAAACCCGGAAGGCACCGACAGCAGAGGATCTGATCCTGCTCCAACGGTGTGCACTTGACAAGCAACACTCGAAGAAGCTGGAACTAAGGTGGACGGGACAACATCTTCCAGCATCTGTGGCTTAGAATGGACGCTCGGAAAGGTTCGAAAGCCTGCAAGATCTCAGGCCAATCGGTCGACATTACTTGAACAATATCAACCTGTATGTGCCACGCGAACAGGCAATTGTAGGAGATGAGACGTGGAAAGAAAAGGGTCTCCGTACTTTGTAATTGACAAAGGCTTGGCACAAGGTCAAGGACGAGTGGAAGAAGGACAAACCTGTCCTGGATCATGTGGAACCAACAGATCATCCGAACGACCCTAACTCCACGTTGATCATTGATGTCGAAGATCCGTACCTCAACCTCATTCTAAACACCACCGGAGAAGCAGAAGATGCAGAGGACACCGCTTTCTGGATGAGAAGGACATGAACGCTGAGGAGGATGCATGAGACACCTCCTTTGCCTGTCTTGTCGCTCTCCAACTGGTTGGCGAGCTAGCGGAAGAAGGGGAAGGGATATGCGGAGGACGAAGGTATCGGAGGGTCATTATTGAAGTAGAGAGGACCGGGGATAATTGATTAAATGGAGGCAGTTTTATGATATATTGGGATGTTGACCGACTGAAAGCAGGAATGAAAGGAGCTTGGTATGGGTGAGAACGAAGAATGGAGAAAGGGATAGCTGGCGAGAGCTTTGAGAAGAGATGCTATTTGAGAATCAGCGGAGTTCAAAGGCCCAATGTCGATCGACTCTGGGAAGACATGGACACTTCGTCGTTTGCCTTGATGAAACTGGATGGTGCAATACGGAGAAGCGGATATGACACAGCTGGCCATCACAGGACTGGAAGTGGACAACAAGATGATGTCGACCGACCTGGTTGCGAATGACATTCAGAAGTCCGAGAACTGGTTGGAGGCTTATTCCGACCAACTGACAGAGCCTGGTGGCTGCTGGTCAGATTGTCCAATGCCGCCCGTTGGCCAGAAAATGACATTTGCGATCGGTCGAAATCCGGTGGTACTGACTGTATTGTTTGCGCAGCAATCAGGAAAGCGGATTACCGTGAAGCAGCCAAGTCACACGGCATGCAAACACATGAGCAACGCCCATCGTAGAAGACATCTGGATACCAAGCCATGAAAGAGATCCTCACGCCCTATCAACAAAGACAAAGAGCGGTCACGCGTGGATCGGTCGACATGCGTACACCAGACAAAGAGTGCCAAGGAGAGAATAAACCGGAGAACGAGCAGGACGTGTATGGGAGAGGACAGATGGTGAGATCTGTTATGCTGAAGGTGGTGACAGGCTGAGGAGAAAATGGCGCAGATGTAATCGGTCGACATCTCTGGTGGGATTGGAAATTTGATTGATGCTGAAGTGCGTCAGAGCATCACGGTTAGCGAGGAAGGAGAGAGGAAAATCCTGAGCGCCTTCACTTTCACATGCTGGTGCCTACAACCTCTTACACTTTCTTTTCTCTTCTCTCTCCTCTTTCTCTACATGATCGACCATCCACCTCATGCGCGTGCCACGCCGGCGTTTCCTCTCTCTACACTCTTTCCATTGCTCTTAGATTACGCCGAACAACCGCTACACTCTTCCTAGGCCAAATACGCACACGTGCGCGCAATCGAAAGTATACAACCTCTGCCGTGGACACACGACAGCCCAAACGAGTTGACAATAAGAGGAAGGCGCCCTCAATCAGCAGGCGGCGGCGCTGAGCGTGACGCTACACTCCGACGAGAGTGATATGGACTTCACAAAGGAGCTTCGCGAGTCTGGACGTGCTCGGGGCCGCCTCTCCAGACTGACCGCGCTGGAGACCGGACCTACACAACCCTTGGTTGGCTTCTCCGTCATCTTTCACAAAGTTCACACTCCCACTGCCCCCAGTGCTGAAGTGGTCGATGCTGAGAGTCAGCCTGACGTGTACTGGCCGGAAGTTGAAGTCAAAGAACCGGAGCCTGAGACAGCACCCGACAAGAGCAAAGAGAGAGCGCAGATGGTGAGAGTTTCCTTCTCATATCACGTCAGTGCAGTAGTGAAATATTGGACCAACGACGGAAGCACTTTGAGATCTCCTGCAACTTAGCAGCTGTAGAACCGCAGGTCGCAGGGCGGTCTCGCGGGTTCCGGCATGAACTCGTCTGTGTGACACCTGCCAAATTGCAGGTGTCCATGCACAGCTGCCTCGGCATCGCACGGGTGCAGGGAAGCAAAATGCTGTCAACCCGGGCATAGGGTTTGGTCGATTCCCCAGCTTGAAGACTGCACAGCTGCACGGTGACTTTCTTAGTTGAACTTCTGACAAAGTCGGTCAAGGTGAGTTCGTCACCCTCGTGACGGGGTTTCAGGGACCTTCTGCAAACATCAACTTCTTGACAGTGCGATTGCTCCAAACCTTATTCCAGATCACAAGAGGGACGTTCCCTCCAAGGGCAGTAGGAGCACAGCATGTTGTAGAATGTTCTTCTCTACTACAGTGCAGAACCAGGCAATCAGCATGGATCTTCCAATAGCACGGCAAGTCACCTATCCCAATCGATTGCCTCCTGTTTTGAAGCCAGACTCATTTGTTCGAAAGATATGATTCTACTGGTCTTCTGACCAGTTACAGATTCCCAAACAAGTGAGAGGATGCTTAGCTAGAGGCTGAGCATGTTCGCAGAAGGGCATAGTATCGAGGAAGCGGGACGAATCAAGAAGAAGGTTGTTGAGTGATCGATGAAACTCAGTGTGCTCCCGTAGAAGATCTGTACGACGCACAGATTAGCCCGTCTACGAGCACGTGCAGCGTCCAATCTTTGCATTTGTGATTCGTGTGCGAGATCGCAGCTGCGATATGAACATGTCAGGTCTCCCGACGTTGGTGGATGAAAACTACAAAAGAGATGCACGTACAATACTGAACGTACGCGACTACGGAGGACGTGCGGGTGATACATGTACATGGCTGCAGATAATTGCTGCTGTCCAACGACTGCGAAGCCACCCTTGATGGACGATGGTTGTTACGATACGCAGCAGGCTCGTACGGGCACATGACCCGAAACCTCCAATGCCTGAACTTTGCCTTGAACGGAGGCAAATGACGATGGGGAAAACTTCAAGGTATCAGATAAATATGTACAGACCATTCGCTAAGTCAAAAACATGTAGGGAATCAAAAAGACAAGTCGTAAGTCGTGTGGGGTCAGTTGTGAATGCATCGAGACCAACCTGCAGTGAGCGGTCAGTACAATTGCATCGAGAAAATGTAGATGGACGTACCAGGCAAGCCACATCCAAAGCCGACCAACAAATAAACCAGGAAGATGATGACGAGAACAAGCAGAGCCATCAACTTGACGTTCTTCCACCACATTCTCCTCTTGAGGCCTCTGCTTCGGACGCGGAAGTCATGAGCAGAGCCACCGAGACGATCGGTCTTGTCAACCAACAAATCGATTCTCTCGCCTCTTTCCAGAACCTGCTCAATGTTCTTGCTCATGATGTCCCTGACGTTGTCGATCTCGGCTTGGACGTTCTTGAAGGCGTCGTCTTGACCAGCTTTTGTGGTTCCGTACTCGACCATCAGCTTCTTGAGATCGGAGTTAAAGCTGGCAGCACCATATGAAGGGAGGGAAGCGAAGTCGGCATTGGGATGTTGGCTCAGGAAGCGCTTCTTGATCTCGACGAGGTAGCCAAAGGGAATGCGACGTCCCAAGTCTTGCTTGGCGATGACGAGGTAGGTGAGGCCGGGCGCACTGGCGGGAGAAGCTGGAGCGGCGTCGGCGATGTAGTGGATGTGGTTTGCGCCATGGGTATAGGTCAGCTTTTGGGCTGACGAGTGATCAATCTTGGGGAGGATCAAAGATGCGAGTGACGAGGTGGCTGAGGCGGCGGACGTGGTGTGCTCGGTGAGGATTGTGTTGTGGTAGGCGATGCATGAGTACAGCAAGGGCGTTGCCGTGCTGCTTGAGGATGCCATCTTGAATGTGCAGTCGTCGTGTCGTGTCGAGAGGAAACAAGAAGTTGGTGTGAAAGCGACTTTGAGACCGCCCAGACCTGGAACGCCTGTTTCGTCATTGCCGTTCCGACCATCACGTGCCATCATCTCCCCGCAATCTCTCCGTCTCTGGTTGCCAAGGCTTGCATACTGGTCTCGCGTACAGCGCTGTGCATGGCATAATTATGACACCAGCTGAGCCGGAACAAGAATGAGCAACGTATGAAACATGTTATATTATATTTTATGACAGCACAACCATCATAGGGACTCAAAACTTGGCCAAAGGAGCAAAGACCTTCAAAAGAAAGACAAAGGGTCGGATACATCTAACGACAAGCCATGACTGATGGAAGAGAAAACATGAACAGATCTACCACTTGTTGTCCGTGATCCAGAAACTCTGACAACCCCTGCCACCGAAGACCTGGTAACCTCTGCCCGCACCATTTCCTTGCGCACAAACTTTCCAAAACTGTCTTTCGCACCAGTACTTGGGGATCCAGACATTGCTGTTAGCGTTGATACGGCCATCACTCCAGCACATAGGGTTCACCAGCACGGCGACCTTGTTCTTGCCGTCAAAGCTCTCGCCCAGCTGCGCGGTCGCACCAGGGATGTGGATGTTCTTGTTGCAGAGACGATCAACGGCAGCGAGGATCCGGACGTCCTTTCTCGCGCATGCTATGCGGTCCATTGTCCAATCCCACTCGCTTTCGGCGAGGATGGGGGTGACGAAGAGGATGCTGCACAGGGCTGCGAGGACGAGGGTGAGACCGGCGATGCGGACCATTCTGGCGATTTGTTCTTGTCGTCTTTGTTTGTGGGTTGTTTCCGTGGAGATCTCAGTCGCGCTGCAGACGGCTGAGAGAAAAGTGATTTGGAATGGAGAATCTTTCTTAATTGGGGAAGAAAGCGTTTGTTTCTGCGAGAAGGAAGGACGATCTACAGACGGGTACTCGGCATTTATTTATCAACCATATGGGGATTGGCATAGTCAGGATGAACAAAGAACACATCAACGCTGGATGTTATTGAGTACCCGATACAGCGATATTCCTAAGATGTCTTTTTGAGTAGAGACAAGAGCGTCTGTCAACGACAAAGAAAGCGTTCATGTGGATAATGTCAGTCAGTAATCGATAGAAATGTATTACGGGAAAGAGATTGGAAATGGCAGCCGCGACAGGTCTGGACCAACAAGTGATTCTCAGTCATCTGGACCTCATGGTAATATACCAGTACCTTTCAGAGCCAATCATGTCAGCATCATCGAAGGATGAGGTTCGGGTCCGGTTGTCGCATCTTATTGAAAGTCACTTCCGGATGCTTCTCCAGCGTCGAGTCATTGCTCGTGAACCTCAAAGACGGCTTGATACCCACCCTCGGACATGGTCATTCATCTGAAGACTTGGCAAATCTGATCCAGCTTTTGCTGAGCTGCAAACGTACAGTGTCAATGTGGGTCAAAACTTCTTCTGTGATTGTTCTGGTTGTTCAAAGCCCAAAGCAGCAGACGTCGTCACCCTTGCCCTCGCTTGTACCGCACATGAACACGAAGCTATTGAGCGCCCTTTTGCAGATGAGCCGTGCAAGGCCTACGTTGCTGCACCCAAGGAGCGGCATCTTTTCGCATAGGCAGATAAGTGTCAACACGTCTACTTTGGTGTGGGTATAGCAATTCTTGGTCTCTCTCAGTCATGTTCATGGAAGCCTTCGCTCATAGTGGAGTCATGAGAGAGTGCGGATGTAATCAGGAAGTCGAACTCGAGGGCTTCTTGGCCGTGCATGGGTGTCCCTCACATATTCACCAGAAAAGTCATCTCTTTGGTCAGATTTCCGTCGCAGAGAACATTGTTCAGAACATTTTCACTGCCATGGAATATCTACTCAGCTCCGAGGTGTGCACTTCAAAGTTCGCAAGTTCGATGCTTCCGATACATCTCAGGTCTTTCTTCCGGCCATAGAGAATTTGCCGACAAGCTAACTTCCACGACTGACTGCGCGTTCCTTCTTGGGACCAGCCAGCACGCGGGTGGTGCGAGATGTGTTGTGCCCCGTATTGGACACCGAACCCTTTCGCGAGCTACCGATCCATCTAGGCATCATCTGAAGGTACTTGCTGACAGAGTCTTGCGGCGCGAAATCCACGTCCAGATTCCAGGCCATGAGCCACAGACGGATCGTAAGATGCAGCATTGCTACATCACTATCTCACTCTCTCTGCTCTTTCGAAATCGTCTTGTTCGTGGCGTACGCTCCGAGCCTCAATACATCACGAAGAAGAAACACAGGGTTGCTACTGACGGAGGTTGGTACGGGCGTACGCTCAACATGTCCTGTCAACCTTCAAACAGCCACACATGACGGTCAAACAAAACTGTTGTTCGAATGCAAAGCACTTCGACTTGCCACTGTATGAAAACACTTTCGTCGAGGTCCTTTGTACAATTTTCTTTGAAGCTTACAGTACGAAAATAAAACAACAGCTTTGTTTTCTTTCATCTGGTCTGGCTTCCCATTGTCGTTCTAGCTTCACCTCGACAATGTCCTTGTCTCGTCTGTCAATTTTCTCAAAGGGCATTACCTGGAGCTTTCCTCCAGTGAAAGATATATAATTTCCTTTAGGTGTCAGCATAAAGCAACTGACAGAGTGCAAAAGACCAACCTATAGAACTATCGACTACACAAGAGTAGACCCCTTGCTCAGCCAACAATTCCACACACCCCGAAGATGCTTGGATCAATCAACATGTCGCTCTGTGAGCGTATAATCAGCTGGGTGTTTAACTTTCTCGGTATCCTTCTTACACTGCACTATTTCGGAATTCTTCCTCTGATCCCGACCTGCACCCGCTGCCATCGAAAGGTTCGTACAGTCCGCCTTCCATGCGGTCATTGTCGTTACTGCTATCACTGCCTAAACACGTACGTCACGACTTGCTGCATCAATCGAACCCTCTGGCCGATTCACTGCTGTAATCTCGACCAAATCCCGCTCCGTTTCGTCAAACACGCTCTGACTGGAGACACTACGCGCTTGATCAAGAGAAGAGTAGGTGAGTGGGGCTGCGCTGGTGAAATCTTGTACTGCGCAGACAGTGATTGTTTGACTCCCCTCGTTCCTGCCAATACCATTGGTAATTTCAACCGTTGCGGTGACTGTGGTTCTCTGACATGCATTAGATGCAGAAACCACGGCCATATCGATGATTGTCGATCTGACTGTGGTGTGCTGACCTAACTCTCACAGGTAAGACGTGTTCCGAAGAATCAACTGATCTCCTCAGTGTATACCAGTCTTGCCTCAAACAAAATCTTGTGAGTTCAATGCAATTTTTATTCCCTATTGTTATCCCCTTCAACTCTATTCTTGTGCCCCATGACTTTCGCGACAGCCTTCATCCACTTTTGTGACATGTTCTGTCAGCATGACTTTCCCGAATATGATGAACGTGATCAAACCGAGCGTCTGCCAGACTTTACTCCCGAGGCGCCTTCCCACCGAATCCAAAATTTTCGGTCCAGCTGAGACTCCTACACCCGTTCAGGAGATGCAATGCATGTATTTTCTTGGTCAAAATACGCCAGGAGTGTCTTGTTTCGCTTTTTCTGAGTTTCCGGTGAGCGCGTCTTGTCATTGGTGATGTTTTTCTTATTGAGCACCAAATCCGGTAAGTATATGGCAACAGCCCTCTCGGACACTCACTCTAGCATGAGATCAGCGAGAAACAACCACAATAACTCAATAACCAGAAGTCCAATACAGTTATGCTATTTGTAGCTATTTAGTCTGCTGCGACAACAACAAGATGAGCCATTGGTCCCGTCTCAGCTATTGAGGTCTATTGGGCTTATTGAGAAGGTTGAATGTCCGGTCGAATCTTCTTCTACCATGGCCTTCCAACCAAGCCATTCTTTCATCCTCTTCAAAGAACCTCTTTTCGATTTCTCGTCCTCCTAGGCATCCATCTCAATACGCAGAACCTTCTTTCAACACTGCTCGGCATTCGATCAGTGACAGCAATGGCTTCACAAGACGAGAGCTACACAATCGTTGAAGACCACATCATACCCCAAGGAATACTTCTCGCCGTCTTGGCCCCATTGTTCTTGATCCTCAACTTTCCGCCGCTGATATGGCATGTCCGAAATCGGAATACGGCGGCTGTGTTCATGGTCTTCTGGATCATGCTGATGAACTCTTTCAGCGTGCTCAATGTCATCATCTGGCCGTACATTGACATGCGCAATATGTATGATGGTCAAGGTCTCTGCGATGTCGAGGTCAAGTTGTTGGGTGCTCGTATTACGGGACTCAATGCTGCAGTGCTGTGTCTACTGCGAGCTCTGGCTGCTGTGCTGAACACCGAGAAGAATCTTCTGGGCCCTTCTAGAGCACAGAAGAGGAAGAACTGGGCTATCGAGCTGGCTTGGTGTGTTGGCCTTCCCCTCTTGGCGATGATCTTGCAGTACATCTGTCAGNTGAATCGATTCGCTCTGATCGGCGTTTCTGGTTGTCAACCGATGAGCTTGATGAGTTGGACGAGCTTCTTCCTCATCTGGACACCACCGATTGTCGCCAACGCGGTCGCTGTCTACTACGCAAGTGAGTCTCTTCGTGCATATCCTTTCCACTCTTCAGCTCTGACACACTTCGAACAGNTCCTCGTCATATTCCGCCTCCACAAGTACCGCTCCTCATTCAACAGCATCCTCTCCAGCAGTAACACAACCCGCAGCCGTTTCTTCCGCCTCTTCTCCATCGCCTCTGTCCTCGTCCTCGGTATCACACCCCTTCAGATCTTCATCATCTTCACCCAGTACCCGCGTGTCAATTACCCATTCAACTTTTCCGAATTTCACGACCCGACAACCTGGAACACGTCTGTTGTCATGCCATCCAGTGTCCTCTATGACCGTTGGGCAAATCTTGGGTGTGGCCTTTTGGTCTTTCTCTTCTTCGGGCTGGGCAAAGATGCCAAGGGTATGTACAGAGAGTGGTTGATCAAGGTTGGGCTAGGCAGATTGTTCCCCGTCTTGTTGACTGATGGGCGAGGATCGTCTCATCGAGGAGGCCTCTCCAGCGGCAACAGCAAAGTCGCTCTTCGAGGGAGAAAGTCTTCGTGGATGACAAAGACGGACAGGTATGAAGCATCACACTTGCTTGCCCCTTTCACACCAGATACTGACACAAGATGATCGNACAGTTCTCAAGCTACTTGCTCTCGAGCTTTCATTGTGCCAGACACGTCAGTTTACTCCTCCGGTGAGGTTGTTGCGCCGTCATCGCCTGTCCGTCCTCTGACAGCTTTCCTTCGCCGCTTCGATCCCAGACGCAGACTCGAGGCACGTGGTGCGAGGTATGAGTTGCCCGTCTTTTCAGCACGGCGCCAGAACAGCGATGGAAGTGATAGAGGTGTGTTTGTCAGCAAGGAAGTCAAGAGGGAAAGCTTTATTGCATAGTGCAATAGCCCAAGAGGTGGACGAGCAAAGGAAGCAAGAAACTTGACAGCGCATTGAAGAGGTGCAACATAGTACAGTAATGGCCTCAGCATATGAAACTGCCGTTCTTTTCGTTTTGTTCAGATATGTACGTGAAATTGCTTGTGCGTGTGATGCTATCGTGATGAGGGAGCGGATGAAGTGGATGTCTGATCATTGTGAGCCCTAGGTCGTGTGCACTGCGGCAGCGAAGGCAACTCAGATAGAAACCTGCTTCCAATGACAAAGCTCCAAGCCACTCGCAATCTGACAAAGCTTTCCATCCAGGGCATAACAAGCATGGACATGATATTCAAGCAATGCCCGGACTGATTGATTTATCAACGACATACACAACATACATGAGGGCTCAAGTCGAACATTCATGCTTTGTACCATTCTCTGTTCCTTGAGGTCTCGTGCAAACGATCGAACCAGATAAAGTGGTCATCACCCAATGATGGTTCGAGAACCATGCCCATTGCAGACACGCGACCTTCTGGAGAAAAGCGGAATTGAACAGGTACGACGTCTTCACCAGTGTCGTCGGCCAGGTATCCTCGGAAGATAGAATCGGCGTTGACATGTTCAAGCAACATCGTGAAGGGCATGGAACGATCGCTTCCGTTGATGAACAAAGAACCAGCTTTTTCCTGCACTACAATAGTGCGGTATCCGTCATTGTGATAGTCGCCTAAGTACGCTTCGATAGGAAGCTTAAGACTACCTCTTGCTTGATCTCTTCTGTCGGCGTTCCGCTTGAGGTTCTTCGCCCGTCGTGTCTCTTGTGCTTTGAACCGTTTCAAGCGGCTGCTTGCGACGTCGAATCGCTGTTCTTTCGGTACCTGCAACATCTCGTCGACGAGGTAGCTCTGAATAATCCACGAGAGATCGAACGCGCCGTCGCTGTTGCCGAGGATGACGGCTCCAGTCTTGTGATCAGGCAGAAAGAACATTCTACTCCCATAGCCATTGATCACGCCGTCATGGGAGATTATTTGCGCGCCGCGATGATACTTGACGTCCCATCCTAGTGCATACGACGGCGGAGGATGTTTAGATCCAGACGGCGAGCGACTGGGACGTTGGTCTTTCGCTATGCGTGGCGTTGTGAGAGCCTCATATATTGATTTCGTGATGGGACCGGATTGATTGATCATGGCTCGGATAAACTTGGCGAAGTCGTTGACACTCGTTTGGATCGAACCGGCTCCCTGAGCTTCGGGTGTCTCTTGATGGCAAGTCTCGTGATACGAACCATCTTTGTAGGAGTATGGCGTAGAAAAGTAGTCTTGTAGGTTGCTAGCGAAGACCTCGCTGGGCTGGAGGAAAGTGGAGGTCATGTCCAACTTCTTGAGAAGCTTGTCGTGGAGAAATACCGAAAATGAGTTTCGTGTAAGAGTCTCGATGAGATGAGTCGCAGCTGCATACATGATGTTACTGTACTGATAGGATGACTTCGGAGGCTTGCTCAGAGCAAGGTGCCGCAAGTTTCTTGTCACTGATCGAGCACTATCGCGATCTTCGGAGCGAACACCCAGAACGCTCAAGTAGTGTCTACCACAATCAGCTCCTGAATGCTGGGTGGAGAACACGGCNACATGCCCTGGCAAACCTGATTGGTGACTCAAAACATCTCCAATGGTGACGACCTCTGTCGCTTCCGGACTTGACAACACAAAGTCATCCGGCAGCAGCGTCGACATTACCGAGTTCCACTCTACGTTCGGGAAGTCAGCATTATCCACAAGCATAGCGACAGCCATCGCAGTGAAAGCTTTGGAACACGAGGCGATGTCAAATAACGTGTCAGGAGTACAGGGTAGTGGTGTGTCGAGACAAGCATGACCGAATGCTCTCGATTGTATGCGAGTCCCTTCAATGATTGCAATTGCGAGACCAGGGACATGAAAATCATTCATGAGCTGATTGATCTGGCTGGTCGTACTAGGTTCATCGAGCCACGATATCACGCTCGTGCCGCTGCTGGCGGTCGCGTTCTTGCGCACATCTGCCATACTGGGTATAAATGATTATTATGCTTAAGATGCAGGCGACAGAACTGCGACGGTGATGATACTTGTCCTCAGGAAGGACTTCAACGAACGGCCCCACTTGTGACTTCACAATCTTCTAGTTGACATCGCGAAGGCATCATCATTCCGAGTGTTCTGCAACGCTGCTCGTTGAGAACGGTCGGCGAAGATTCGAAGAAGGAAATATCAAGCGCATCCGGATGGGCGGCAGATCAGCAACATTCCTCATGTCACGCTATGCCACGTTCTTTGACACCTCACTTCACCTTCACCACGACAACTGCTGGGACTTTGGTAAATTGCAGGAAAGCAAAAGATGGAAAAACAACAAACGCCCGTCTGTAATGCATTCATTTGCAGCTATTGAGCAGAATCGAAAAAAAAAGTTATGTACAGGTAAAAAAAAAATGAAGGAGTCCTTTCCATGCGTTGCGCGACCCTTCAAACATCATGGATCTAACCATTGCCGTCATCAGAAACTCGAAAGCGCCTAGCGACCGAGTCTGTAGGTGGACCACATGTTGGCCATTCTCTTGTTCTGCTGACCTGTGAAACCAGTGTAGCAAGAGTCGTCCGAGTAGTCCATGTAGTTGTGGATGGCATCGACACCAGGGCTTTGAGGGCAACTGTCCTTGGGAGGCTTTGCAGGGCAGCCATCGGTACTGGTGCTCTGCATGGGTGTGTCGCTGACAAAGTCGCCATTGCCGGTGCAGCTGTAGCCTTCAAAGGTGTGTAGAAGACCCATCCAGTGGCCGGTCTCGTGGACGGCGGTCATACCCATGTTGAAGCCGTAGATGTTGCCGCCGGGCATGGTGTTGGCTTGGATCATGCAGCCATCGGTGATGTAGGTACTGGGAGCAGGGGTGCCCGGACCAATGTCTGAAGGCAGACTGCACGTGCCGAGGATGCTGCCGGTGAGATCGGTCATGAAGTAGATGTTGTGGGTACTGTAGGTGCCGTTGCGCAGAGCAGTCTTCATGGCAGCCGCGTCAGAGCCTGCGCCGACAGCCCAAGCATCGTTGACGGTGAAGGTGGTGGCAATGCGGTTGAACTGAACATTGCTGGGCTTGTAGGCCTTGTTCAGGATGGCGAGTTGGTCGTCGGCCATCTTCTGAGTGATGGAGCCTGCCTTTGCGGCCGTGGTGACAATGTGAAAAGCGACATCAACAACGATGGGGCCAGCGCTGGCATCACGAACAGCATGGCCAGCGATTTGAGAGCCGCTGTGTGCCTTGAAGGCGCCCGAATGCATGAGCCTCACAGTCTTGTTGAAGTGCTCGCTGGCGCGACTGATGTTGACATCGCAGTCAAAGTGCTTGTAGGCAGTGTTGTTGGTAGGTTTAGCGCTGGCAGAGACCAGGAGGCCGGCAAGACCGAAGATGACGCTGGAGAGGTGCATGTTGTTTGTTTTGACGGGCGTTAAAACGAAGGATGAAGGGTGTGGTATGTACAATGTAACGATGACGGCCGAAGAGAAGAGATATGTACAATGACCTCGTCCGTCCAAAAGATTCACAATGAGAATCAACTCTTGTGAAGATAAAAGACCCAGATACTGGGGACGAGGAATCTATTTATGCGGCTGATTGCAGAAATGATCGGCACAAAGTGAACGACTCGACTTTGCCAGCGAGGCATCCGTGTTTCCTTGTGAAGAACTAGTCTTTGCTCGTGATGGGCTCGCCTTTGGTTGTAAGTTTGGGCACGAACAGTGAAAAGTGGACGTTTGCGGCTGAAGCCAAGTCCAGGCTCAAGTAACAAAGGACAGATTCGGCAAGAGGAGCCGATACTACCACCAGACTTCGCCTCGATACAATGGAATACCGCCACATTGTAATGAGTGGGAGGCGTCAGCCTTGGAGGTGGAGTATGGGTATATAATCCTATAGGATGCACAAGCAACGGCGGCTAGGGACTCAATGACTCTGTCCGTATAGAGACTTGAGGCAAACCATGCGCGTCAAGTGCTTGTGACTTTTACCAATACCTCTCATTCAAGCCTGATTTCCATGCAAGTGAGCCTTTGTCACGCTTGGATGTGATCATCTGCCAAATCAAGTACACTTTGGTACAAGCGTTGAGTGAAGGAGCAGTAGAGAAATGGACGAACTTGATGATTTCTCGTACCAAGTGCCTTTATGCATGGCATTGGAGGCAAGTTGGGTATTGAAAAACTGCATGATATTCGATTCTTTACATAAGAAAATGGTTCAATCTATAGACATTCAATCCCTAGCCTTGGAAAATCTCAAGCACAAGTCAGCATCTTCTCTTTGCAACAACAACCCCACCACTCAGCTACCAGGGAAGATTGAAGAATCCCTTGCGACTTGTGGTAGAGCTGGTTGCAGAAGATGCAGTTGCCGTACCACTGTTCGACGCATTTGCTGAGTGGTGGCGAAAACGGTAGTGGGAACTCACAGAGCGTGCTTGGACATTGGTGGCAGAGCCGGACGAGGCTGTGGCCGTCTCGCCAGTCCACTGCGATGCAGAGGTCGAAGTGATGTCGGATGATGTTGCTGCAGAAGTTGGTTTAGGAGTGGGAGCAGCTGCTGGCGAAGCAGCTACCTCTGACACATCAGGCTTCGAATAAACCGGTTCCTGAGGCTTAAGCTCCTCTTCGCGAGACTCGGTAGGATTCTCTTGAGTGTACTCTGCAGGGTTATAACCTTGGCGGGCAAGGAACTCCTCGAAGGTCTCATCAGGGTTGTATTCATTCTCTGGCTCGTAGTGGACGTTGGTAGATCCATCTTGAGCAGATGCAGTTGACTCTGGCTCATGTCTGTAGTGGGATGGAACCTCATGATGTTCGTCTGCGCGTGATCTGGCATGCATATGTTGTTCCAGGTCTTCGTTCCAAACAAGGCTCCAGTCAGGTACCTCGTCCCCATACTCCTGAGGAATCTCTGTAGATCGAGCATTGAGCTCGTGGTACTCCTCTGAGGGGTACTCTTGATCATGCTCGTTGATAGAGCGAGCGAGTTTCTTGTGCTATTCGGCTTCAGTAAGGTCTTGAGAATGACGGGAGGTCCACCAATGCACAAACTCCTCGTAAGAGTTATCAACGGGGTCATCTGGGAGAGTGGTGGAGGTATGCTCAGGTTGAGCTGGCACATCACGAGCGTGAACTTTCTGCTCAGCCGCTCTTGTGGCTTCCTGAGGGAAGCGAGACTCCATCCAGGCGACGAAAGCTTCGTAAGTGTCATCGATCGGTCCATCAAAGGGTGGGATCTCTGCACTTGGCGAGGGAGCCACGCCGCGGGCAATGTGACTGACTTGAGGTTGCTCGAAGGCTCCCTGAGCGTGACGAGCACTCATCCACTCCATGAATGACTCGAAGCTGTCGTCAGCGGGTGCATCGCCGACTGGAGTGGTGTTTGCCGTAGATGAGGCTGAAGGGGCACTGCGAGCTTGGATGCTGGTCGGCCTCAAGTCCTCTTCAGGCATATAAGATGGTTCGAACGAGCCAGTTGCATGGTCAGGGATGGTCGGGGCAGCATTGACGGAGTATTTGTTAGTTGCAGCTTTTGGGATTGCTTCATAGCCAAGGACTTCTGCAAAGATGTCAGGTTTTTGACCTCCAGGCATGGGGATGTTGACCTTACCAGCCACATCAATGGCGTTCACTCCAGCAGCAGCAACGGCTGCGGATGCAATGGTCAAAGCTGAGAAACGCATGATTTCTGGTTATAGCGTGGCAAACCAAGCAGTGCTTACGTTTAGTAGATATAAAAAGACTGTTATCGTGACCGTGAAAGGGCCTGATAAAATGATGGTAGATCTATTGAGAGATGGTGGCGTCCGTTTTCGGCAACATTCTTTGTGCAGAGTCGTCGCCGCAAGTGCTCATGACTTGTACCGCTTTCAACCACGAACAAAGATGAAACCAGAGAGCAAAGCTTGGCAGCGCCAGAAGAACTCCAGACACGTTTGTATTGTTTGTGCGGCCTCGGAAAAATGGACGAATACTTCGGTCGTACTGATGCCCCGGAGGTCATTGACTAAAATCTTTGACTTTCTCGTGTGGAATCGAGTGCGCGTTGACTGGCAGACTTGCCATATCGCCTTGTACCACAGCACATCTAATATTGATATGGTTCCCGGTATAAAATGTGAGAGCATCAATCTCGAAAAGTGGCTGCAACGTCTGCCTTAGCTTTGCCTTTCAGCTCTGTACTCTCGTCTTACACACTTGAAGCGCGGGATGAATCGGATCTACAGTGTGAAGTTGTATCAAGAGCAAAGCGTTGACCCATAGTTACTGTATGTCAAGATAAATGGATAATAGGGTAATGTGGATGCCTTTGGCATAGTATGGAGTGTTTTCGGCAAATTGAAGGAGGTCTCGGAGCAAATTCAATAATCCAAGGTTGCAGATGCTGCTGCAGGGCGGCTGTGAAAGGAATGTTGTTGGTGTTGGCGGAATGATGCCCATGAAATGTCGGAAGGCAAGTGAAGCCGACCTCAAGTCGGCATACCGACCATCGGAAAAGGATGCGACTGGCTTGTTGACATCTCCAGCAATGGTCATGCTCGTCATGAGGGTCGACTTACCAATCAACAGTGATGTAGGAGATACCCAGGACCGGGTCATGGTTACTGTCTAGCAAGAAGAAGCGTGCACATTCAATCAAAGTCTGTTGCGTCTACAATGAAGCTCTCGCGAATACTTGAACGACCTCAATCTGACCTCCGCAAGCAGTTTGAACACAAAGAAAATTCTCTCGCACCAACCTTATACGTCCTTCTTCAAGGCATCACACTAAGCACCATCGAAAATTCCATGAACCAGCTAGTCGAAACCGGCTTCATGCACGTCGGTATACCCGACGAACAAACAACTTTGGAGCAGCCACTGACAACATATCAACGGTGGTGTGCCGTCTTGAAAAATGGTATAAGGCAGAGCAGAGGTTTGACCGGTCTCTTAAGCAGCTTTTGCAAACGCAGTTGAGCCTTCTGATTTCTCCTTCGCCTTGTACATACGTACTGTCGCTTTTCAGGCTCGGTTGTTCGTTTGTCCGGTACACATTAAGTCTTCTTGAGGAAAGAGCATCAACACAAACTGGCAGAGTTCAACATCATCTTCGACATGAACAAGACACTGCACTGGCAGCAGCGCATCGCGCTCGTCCGCCACAACCTGCACGCAGCTCACCGTTCTGGAGATTTCACCTTCTTCAAGACCTTGCAGGCCCAAGCTCTTTTCGACAACACCAACCATGTAGCCACTTTGTCAGCCACTCTCGGCGATGAGGCTGACAGTGTGCTTTCTGGCCTCGATGATTTGAACGCATCGATTGCCCATGTCCATGAAGACGCTTTCAAGAATGTCTACAACAGTCTGAAGACGTATCTGCACGAGTCTCATGTTGCAAATGGCGGGTGTGACGAGAAGAGCAAGGTCTTTGTTGATGTGCAGATGCAGAAGCAAATGGCAGATCACGCGGTCGACATGGCTACCTCTTCTGCCATTGCACTCATCCAGCAGCAGCCTGTCAGTGTTCAGGATACCGCAGCTGCTGTGTGGATCACTGGTACCACCATCATTGCCGACAGCGTCGAGATTGTATTGAAGCATCTCTCAGCACTCGAGGATAATATGGACGACTTCATTCGACTCGAAGAAAGCTGGAATGGAGTCAAGACCAGCGTCGGACACAGCGTGTCGGCTTTGAAGGGCGTCTTCAGTCTGATGAGCGGCGAGCCCGAGCCAGAGTCACCCACGGTCGGCGCCTCATCGCGCTCGCCAAGCTTCTCAGGAACCATGTTCCGCCGCTTCTCGAGCGCATTCAGCTCTGCACCCGTGCCCGGCAGTTGCTCATCTTCCAGTGGCTCTCTCCCCAGCAGCCGGTCTGGCTCCATCTCCAACCAGGGCCACCATGTGCGATCCTCGTCTTTCCATGCGCCCGACTACCATGCGCGCAACAGCTTCCGCGACAGTGTTTCGTCTGCCTGTCCCACCTCTCTGCCCAGCGGTCAGGGGTGGAGACATACTGAGCTGGACACGATCCCGCCTACTCCTGCGGCTGGAGACATTGGCGATCAAGAGGTCAACCCATTCGACACTTCTGTGCCGCCCATGCCCGAGATTCCGAGTTTGATGGACACTCGTTCTGAGCAGGCGGTGATGTGATCGAGTCGAAGGTGCGAGGAGGATGTGGGTCGATAGGGGGCATAGACTGTACAGGTTGGGCGGATGTTCTGACAGCAGCGATAATTTGACGACTTTGTTTATCTTTGTACATAGGATAATAATCCATGAGTTATGTCTGTCTTCACAACTATGCATGCCTCGTCGATGAAAGTGCATGACTCAAGCAAGCTGTCACGGATTCCAGAAGCCGAGGCGAAGGGCTGGAGCAGGTGGCAATCAAGGGTCCAAGTCCATGACGAGAGATGATGGTTAGCTAAGCAGACGATCACTTCTGGAAGGTGCAGAGCAAAGTCGCTCTTTCCATCTGGTATCAATCACATCTCCGCCTTCTTCCTGCCAATTCACTTGTCGCATCTGCACCTTCCTCAGGAACATCGCAACCACGAAACCGCTTACACTCATCCTCCTCATCGCCGTCGCGATCGCAACACCGCCAATCATGAACTCGCTCTTCGCACGCCTGTCGCGCCCATTCACATCCTCCACCATGCGCTTTGGACCCGAAGGACCCGGCGCAGTCTCTGTCCCTGAAGGCACCGAGAAGGCGACAGTAGCAGCCGGCTGCTTCTGGGGTGTGGAGCACATGTACCGCCACCACTTCCCCAAGGACGCTGTTCTGGACGCACGAGTCGGCTACATCGGTGGCGACACCCAGAGCCCCAGCTACCGCGCTGTCTGCACCGGAAGAACTGGCCGTGAGTCGCTTCCCTCCTTACTCTGGGTATCAGGACTATGCTGACTGATTGCCTCTACAGACGCCGAAGCGCTCCAGATCTACTACAACCCCGACAAGGTGTCATACCAAAAGTTGCTCGAATTCTTCTACCGCATGCACGACCCCACGACCGAAGACCGTCAAGGACCCGACGTGGGCACACAATACCGCAGCGGCATTTTCACCCACAACGACAGCCAAGACAAGATTGCCAGAGAAGTCACCAAGAAGGTGCAAGAGCAATGGTGGAAGCAAGGCAAGATTGCCACTGAGATCTTGCCTGCCGGTGAGTGGTGGGACGCAGAGGACTACCACCAAAAGTACCTGGACATCAACCCCGGCGGCTACGAGTGCCCATCACACTTCTTGAGAAAGTTCCCCGACCTTGACTAGAAGGATACTCTGATGATTGTGATTAGATGAAACATATACCCCACGAAATTTCAAATATCATGATGGCCTTTCTGCTTCTCCATGTCTTGCGGTCTCGTCCTCAGCCCAGAGTGTTCGTGCTCGTGCTCGTGCTCAGCTCCGTCTTCGCTGACAACAGAATCCTGCCTCTGCACCGCGTGCTCAGCCTCCACTCCCACCGGCTCGTCCACCGCCACCATACTCCCCNNCCTATCGATTGCAAACCTCGGCGGTCTCTCCAACCAACTCGGGTTCTGACTCGACGTGCTGCTATTCCTCCTGCTATCGAACGGACTGTTGAGAAATCTCCACCACGCCTTGAAGATTTCGGGCTTGAAGAGCAGGACGAAAGCCTCTATACCCACAAACGCAATCACATACAACACCGCCACCGCCATTGACTGCGGCAAGATGAGTTTCTGGATCAACGGCAGGCATTTGTCTGTACTGCGTTGCTGGAGGATACACAGCACCCAAGGGATAACTTTCGTAGGGTCGGCAAAGGTGCTGGTGGTGTAAGAGTCGACTTGGAAGATGAAGATGATACACACAAAGGCGATGACGAAGATGGCCAAGGCGACAATGGCGAGCGATCGCCATTGCAGGAGCAGCACTTGCTTGAGTCGCCTGACCGAAGTCCACGCTTGTCGTTTGCTGCTCGCCGACTTGACGGAATTTGTCGCGTTGCTGGAGGAAGGCGGTTGACGACCATGCATGGCGGCTGTCAGGTATACCTTTGCGCAGTAGACGAACGTAGCAAACTGCAGCAGCAAAGCCACACCGCCGAACCCAATCATCCAGCCCCAGTAAGTCGATGTAGAGCCCACATTGACATGGCAGTACCCACCAAAGCGATACGACACACCCACTTTAGCCAACACCGCCGCCGTGAGTGCGATCGTAACCGACCAAGCCGCAATGTTCGCAGCAATCATGGCCACACGCCCAGGCACAATGTCCCAGCAAATCTGCAGGTGCATAAACACCGAGCGCACCACGATCCAACATACGGTCAACATGCCGCCAAACACCACAAAGCCTCCTGTCACCGCACAAGCATTTTGACTGTTCATGTCATTCGGCGTAACTGGATCGAAGCATTGTTCAGGCTTCTGACCCAGTGGGATGATGAAGCCGAGTTCCATGATCATTATACCAGCAAGCAACGCGATATTGAGGAATGAGCGTCTTGTTGCAGCCGCGGGAAGCACGAGGTAGGATACCAGCAGAAACCCGCAGAGGATGAGGCCAGTGACGTTTACCCATGCCGCGCCGTCAGCGAGACCAGGGAAACTGGACGAGTTTACCCAGTCCGAGAGTGGGCAAGGTACACAGCATTTCGAGCCATGGCCTGTAAAGTCCAGAGGGTTTTTTGCACAGTTGCGGCCGTTGAGGTCTTTGGTCGGTGCGAGTCAGTTTACTTTCGAGTTTGTTGAGATAGATGGGAGGAAATCACTTACANNGCCTTCGGTATATGGATATAGACTTTCACTGATGAAAGGATGAGGGCAACCACCCGTATCGAGGGTGATGTTCCCAAGCAAGGTAAGCAAGTTGGCAGACATTGTGCTGATCTTCCCACTTTCGAGTGTCGAGCCAGCCAAATATGAAAGACGAGCAAAATATGTGGGACACGAAGGTACCCTGGTAAACCCACTCAAAGAGATGGACCGCTCGTCTCGGCTTCGAGGCCAGACACTCTTCTGCTTTCGCATAACAAAGAAGTGTCTGGTGGAGTGTGCCGTTTCCGGCCCGAGGGGACAATGAAAGGTGCCGTGGCTGGACATTCCTTGGCCCCTTCCGTTTCGAGAGGTATCTGGTTAGGGACAAGGAATGAATGGTTGTTCATGCGGCAACTTGATTCGCTCTGGCTTCTTTGTGGCCGTCAGTGCTGAGAATGCAAATCTGATGCTTCCTACAATGTATGCGTTCGAGGGCTTCTTCTGTGAATAAGGACCATTGAACATGGTGTTTTTTATGTGTTGCAGAGTTGTCCATTCTGCCTGTAGAACAACGTTCAAGAAGCTGGTCTGGATGAAGTAATGTGCTGATGTCGACCGTGATGTGCAGTCGAGTTGGTGCCTGTCCTGAGCAGCCTGAGTAACCGTCGTCGACAAAAACTCTAGCGTTTTACAGCTTCAAGCCCCTAACGCAGACAAAGGAAATAAATCGATGTACACCCACGCAATTCGTGGATTTTCTCTCCGATGGTAGTTACGTAGACCCGGTCACAGTCCACTTCTTCTCGCAATTGACCAAACAGCGCGATGCCCACAAGCCCTGTCATTGCTGCAAACGTCGATGTACGATATGGATTAAGCGAACGTGCCACTCGACGAAGACTTCCGTTAACCAATCTTGCGCAAATTGTCCCGCCCATGTCTACAGTACAGCACTGAGATTCATGTCCTTTTGACAACACATGTTACACGTGATTTATCAGGCCACCCATCTTCGAGCTCGAGCCTACAAACAACTTTTCACCAAAATCAATGTTCCATGAAACTTACAGACAAACACCATGTTCGATCCATCCAACGAAGTCGCCATCCCCGGCCTACACGCCCAAATCCTCGGTAAGCATATAAAACCCCTTCCATACAAGGCTCCCCAGCACTGACATATCCCCACCAGCCAATCTACGAGTCCTCAAGCCCGAAATCAAGAACCCCATCATTACTACTTGCTTTACTCCCAAGAAATGGATCGCAGTGGTTTTTAGCGAGGAGAAGCATATCGTGTATTCGACGCAGGGGAATGAAGAGAAGTTTGCGGTGTTTGCGTTGCGCAAGTTGCTGGATGTTACTTCTAGTGCGATTGGCGAAAGGTTCAGTGTTCAGAAGTAGAGGATGATTGCTTGAGTAGAGTCACTCGGATGGTTATCGAGGTTGATCAGATCTCGTCGCTCAGGTCTAGCTGCTCGAAACTCGGACGTGGATTCTCTGGTGTCGTGTACGATATCAAGGACATGGATGAATTCATGTATAACGCTTCTGAAGTCGGTATGGAGTGGTTCTCGTGATTTCCAGAAGACTAGCCCTCAATCAACACTTGCACAGCGTCTTGACATTGGTCCTTCCTGTACACGGACACGTCCGGCCAACCATGTTCAATGTAGGTACGCCTGATGGAGCGTACCAGAGCAGCTTCCTTGTCGAGATCTCCATCGTCCTCATTCTCGTCAATCCACTCTTCAATCTGACATGCGTCCAAGGGCACAGACTTGAGGGTTCTCAACTCGTTCTTCAACATCTCCAAGAAGTCAGCGATGGACCATGCTGCATGTCTTCGCCACTCGTGTTCGTTTGGTGGCGTGCGGTGTTCGAAAAGCTCCTGACAGCCAGACAGATCGGTGATGGGCTGTCTTGTGGCATCGTCTTTGATGTCGGGGGTGTCTAGCCAGTGGACAGTGCCAAAGCGTGTATCGAGGATGAAGACATGATTGTCGCGACCGCCGCGTGTGAGACCAAATGCTGACGAGGGTATGTTTGGCCAGTCCAATCCTTCGGTGATGATTCTCTTGGTCTCGACATCTTCCTGGTTGTTGGGTCGTCGGCTGAATAATGAAGACCAATTGCACACCTTGGCATGGGCTGCAAGTAAACACTCGTCCGGGATATATGGCAGATGGCGCATCAATTCGAACACTTCTTCGTTTTTGCCCAAGAGTACGACTCTCTCTTTTGTTATGGATGGCCAACCGTCCGGCGGAGGTTCCTCGATAAAGTCTTCTGGTAGAAACATGTCTGTGAGGAAATGATAATAACTGCGAAAGGCGACAATGGTAGCCTCCCGAGAGTAACTAGTCTCGTCAAGTGTCGGCATGGTGGAGCAAGGGAAAACAAGTGCGACAGAGCAATACGCTGAGCAAGACCCGGATCTCGAAAGTTGTCAGGATTAAGAAGAGCAAGTTGCATGCCGATTGACCTAGCCTTGGTCAATATTGGCTGCCTGAAAATGCGAGGGCACTCAAATCTGGCGCCTCAGGATGCGAGTCATCGGCATCATCAAGAAGCGAGAACACAACAGCAAGAAGAGCGCAGCGCGATGGAATGGAGATGATGTTATCGAGCATCGAGTGTTGACTTGGATACAGATTTGCAAAGGACGACGAGAGATTGCAAGGCAGGGGGCTGCAAGAAACAAAGCCGCGCACATGGCGGCGTGAATGCGCAGGAAGCTCTGCTAAGTGTGCCCCCGAATTCTTATCACAAGTCCATGCACTTCAAACAGTTTCGCTCGCCATATCTCCACAAGCCCTCTTGGATAAATTCCTACTGATTGTGGACAGGAGAGAAAATGATTCCATGCAGGTCAGGGTGGGATGCTTGACATGGATATCGCACGTGACATGGCAGCCAGGTGCAGACGCGTCATTCTGAATTTCTTCGACAGTCGATCGAGACGAAAACAATCGCCGTCATGCCAGTAAGTCAATCATGGCGTAGCTACAGAGCAAATAAAGACGAGCGCTGACGACCGGCGAGCTCATCCTCATATCCGGGTTCCCGTCGAGCGGCAAGACGTACCGCAGCGAGCAGCTGAAGGACTATTTTGCGCAGAAGATTGCTGCGTCAGAGGATGCGCGCATTTCCAAGCTCAAGATGCACCACTTGAACGACCAGAACTTGGGCCTCGAGCGCGACGTGTATGCTGCTGCGAGGAGTGAAAAGGATGCGCGAGCGACTCTGTCTTCGGCCATCAAGCGCGACTTGACGGCCAACTCGATTGTCATTGCCGACTCGATGAACTACATCAAGGGCTTTCGCTACCAGATGTTCTGCGAGGCAAAAGCCCAGCGCACCCCGAGCTGTGTGGTAAGACATGGACCACCCATCTCTCTCAGTCAGGAGTTGACAGCATGTAGGNTGCATATTGGAACGCCCGTCGAAAAGTGTCGCCAGCTCAACGAAAAAGCCCTCGCCGACGGCACTGGCGGCTACCAGACCGACCTGTTCGAGAACCTCGTCTTCCGCTACGAAGAGCCCAACGGCATGACACGTTGGGACTCGCCCCTGTACACGGTCCCCTACGACGACGAGACGCCGCCGCTTGAAGAGCTTTGGGACACACTGGTCGGTGGAAAGGCAAAGGCCGTCAAGCCAAACTCGGCAACAGTTCTGGCTCCTGCCACGGAACAAAACTACCTCTACGAGCTGGACAAGACGACATCCGACATAGTCGCCCAGATCTCGGCCTGGCAGAAGGACCATCCGGGAGAGAGCGGCGGTGATATTTCTGTCGCCGGCGCCGAGCACGACATTGAGCTTCCTGCCAACCCGCTCGGTCTGCCGCAACTGCAGCGCCTGCGCAGGCAGTTCATTACCATGAACCGTTCGCACAGCTTGACCAAGGACCGCATCAAGGACTTGTTTGTTGATTACCTGAACGACACCTTCAACGCAGCATGAGCAATCGGCAGCAAGAGATGCGCCAAGTCTATACAAATCCAACACCTGCTGACCAAGGCTGTCCATCAAGAATCGCTGTCTGAAGACAAATGCTCAAGCGAGAGTCAACTTCCGGCCTCAGGACACACCCGACGCTTCTGGCCTCTTTGCCGCAGAGCGACGACTCTGCTTACGAGCTCCCAGCGTATCTGGAAACGAACAGCCGAAGACTGCAACATGGTCGTCTCCCGGGCGCCATCTCTTCCTTCTACAGGAAGCCTCTCAGGCCTCAGCTCCATGAGGTACCGACATGAACAGTCGAGCAAGGTTATATTCTTCAATAGACGATTCACAATATCAAAGATTGTGTGAGCCACTTCCATCACAATCTCGTCCAACGTGCATGTCCCTTGCGACGAGTGAATGGGCATTACTCTTCAGAACTCGCATAGAGCTGAATATGTTTTGTATCATTATGCTTGTTTTGTCATGTTCATGATATCCGTATTGTCTCTCACATGGCACCTTTATGCACCAATCTCTCTGTCCATGTCCTTGTCACCACCGTAGCCAGACTTTTTCNNTCTCTCGCTCGCAGCATCGGCGTCCGTGTTCCGTGCTTCTGAACCAGCGCTGCTGCTATTTGCTTGTCCCAGGCCGGTGGTCTGACCTCCCATGCCGTTCTCGCTCAACGATTGGCCGTAGCGGATCTTCTCTGCCGTCTTTTCACCCTCTTCTGCTTTTTTGGCGGCTTCGACTTCGGGCACGAAATCGACCGACGTCTCGGGGTCNTGCACGTGTCGACAGTCAGTGTGATTGAGGGGCAAAGAGTGGAGAGGGTAGAAGAACTCACTGCCGAACTGACCGCCAGACTTCTTGTGCGGTACCGTGACGGTGTTGATGGCTGTGTACTGCGAAGTGCTANNACAGTAGAGTATCGTTAGCCATCATCTCGCGTGATTGTGTTGTGCTTCCAATTCAACTCACGAGCCCTCGGTGTCGCCTCCGGGTTGGGTATCCATGAGATTCTGAGACATGATTGCTTGTGTGTTCTTGAGGTGGGAATTGTCGAATTGAACGTGGTGGACGTAGGATGCTGGAGCTATGGGTCCGGTTGTGCAGAGGAAAGTGTTTCAAGGTCCGAGTGTGTGACGTAGTGCGGGGATCGTCCTGCCAATCAAAATCACGTGTGGCAGCAGCAACATCGAGGCGCTTCTGCGGTCCTCATTCTTCTCTATGCCGTAATGCAATCAATCGTCAACTGCACACAATAGAAAGCCCGGAGCCAGAACGAACCAGTCTTTCGTTCCTCACTACTTCCAAACAGCGCATCAAAAGCACTTGATCACCAGACTTTTCCGCGCTATGACAGTCTTCCGGTCCTTGGCCATTTTGCGCCCACGTCCGAGCATTCTCATCATGCGGACGCCGGCTTCTTTCTGCACGTCGACGCGTCTATTGGCCCAAAGACCAAAACCGCCTACAGATGGCGGTGAGGATGGCGGCGGCGGCGACGATGAGCTAGATGCAGCGAGGCGTTGGTTAGCAACCTTCGATGCCGAAACCATACCACGCAGCATTTGCGACGTCTCGTTTAGTAGATCGTCCGGTCCTGGCGGTCAGAATGTAAACAAGTAATCACATCCCATTAGCCATCAACACAAAAAGATTGGAATCCTGTTATATAGAGCAAACGCTGAGATGTTGTTGTGTAGAGTAAATTCAAAGGCTACTTTACGACTGCCGTTATCGGCGCTGTTGCCTATGCTTCCTACTATACTTCGGCCTGCAGTATCCAAGTCTCGGTATAGTGCCAAGGATGACTTGGTAATACAGGCAGACGACAGCAGGAAACAGAATGAGAATGTACATCGGTGCTTCATCAAGCTGCACGACATGATTATACAGGTGGGCCGTGAGGTAGTGCCTGGTGAGACTAGCGCTGAGCAGATAGAGCGCGTCAAGAAATTGTAGGTCTACACGTCTTGTGTTGCTAGCGCTAGCATCTGCTTACACGTGTTGCAGANNCAAAAAGCAGAGAACGAGGGTCGGCTCAAGATGAAGAAGAAACACAGCGATAAGAAGAGCGCACGAAGAGGCGGTGGGAAACCAGATTATTGAGCAAGTATAATCGTATCATTTTCGTGTATATCGTCCGATCAAGAGGTAGGGCATGACAAACAATTACCTGTCACAGTGTACGTTGATGCATCGGCAATAGGCATTGTTCGTCCTCAAAGGTCTGCCCTTGTTCGCTTTGCCTTTGATGCTTTCTTTACCACAAGCACGCGGCAAAGACGACAGCTACAATGCATCAATCCTCATCTTTTGTTCGCTGCCTCTCTCGACGGCCGCTTTCTTTGATCACTCAGGGCACCCATTGTCATCAGGTCTTTGTCGACCATCATCAAGACCTTGTCAAACATCAGACGTGCGCGCGTACAAATACTTGATTGACACTGTGAATGCAGAAGTCACACACACATCTCACAACACATCCAAATAAAGCGGCTCCCTCATCTTGTTCCTATACCCAAAACATATCCAAAAATCAGAACCAATATTCAACAAGATGTCTGAGCTGCTTGAAACCTTCTCCCTTGAGGACCCGATGACTTCGACTGCCGAGCAGGGCTCGAGCACCGACAGTCTGCCCGACTTTGACATGGACATGGACTTTGACATTGACTCGCTCGACTTGCCTGCTGACCTCTCCGACATTCCCACTGGCGGCATGGACTTGTCTACCCCTTCCCTTGATCTATCGGTCTCTGATCTTGACTCCAACTTCAACCCTGACACTGGCCTCTTCAACTCTGGTCCTAGCTTCAACAGCTTTGATTCGCAGTTCGCCCCTCCTCCCATGATGCCTCAACAGTTCATGCCCATGTACACTCCTCAATACCCCTTTGGATATATGCCTCCTCCTGGTTACATGCTCGTTCCTGCTTTCTACTCTCAACAGCCAATGATGCCCATGATGCAGCCTCCTATGCAAATGCCCATGCAGAACCCCAGCTTCTCTTTCACTCCTACTCCTGATGTACCTGCTTTCCCAAGCTTTGATCTCGACAGCTCTGAGCCAATGTCTGATGTTTCTGTGTCTACTTCTGCTAGAAGGTCTCACAGAAATGCCGGCAAGAAGACTACATACGAGGACACTCCAACCCCTTCACCGACTCCCACTCCCGTCAAGCGTCAAAAGATCTCTCGTCCCAAGATTCAGAGACCTGCTATCGACCTTGCTGGACCCATAAGTGTTCTCACCGACGGTTGTGATGCGCCTATCAAGGACATGCTTGCCATTGCCAATCGTTCTGCCGCTGTAAGACGTGCTGATGCCAAAAAGGCTGGCAAGATCCTCAGGCCTCTCAACTCGTTTGTCTGCTACCGTGCTGCCTATGCTGATCGTGTCAAACAGTGGGCTTCCAAAAACAGCCATCAGGACCTCTCGATTATTCTTGGCCAGAGCTGGAAGATTGAGCCTAAGAACATTAGAGACTTCTACATCAACTGCGCTGAGCTCGACAGGGCCAATCACAATGAGGCTTTCCCTCACTACAAGTTCAACCCTGGTAAACCTGGTAAGTCTGGTGCATCCAAGAAGTCTGCCCGCTCTGTCCGCACTGCCTCTCCTGGAAGTGATGATGAGCCCACGCCTAGACCCAACAAGACCCAGCAGCTCGTTCCTCTACCTCTAACTGATGAGGATGACGAGATGACTTCCTTGTTTGGTGACAGTCCCGCTCCTACTCCCTCCAAGTACAATTTCCGTCGTAGACTCTAGGTAAGTTCTAATTCCCCTCCCCCTTCAAGAAACGCTTCGACGACAGGCTGGTCCTGCAGAGTCTCATCGGTAGGTCTTTTGCTACACTGTCTCGAGATGTTCTTGATTTATGTTGTGTGTGTCAATCTATAATATACTTTGTTGTTCAACAATTGTTCTTTCCCTTTCTCATCTGTGTACTGACTGTGACATGACTGAAATGACTTCTGTTGAGCAACAACCAAATCTCACGCTCGGCATTGCCTATTCGAGTTCGAGAACTCTCCATGCAACCACCTCTTTGTCCTCGCCGCATGCCCGCCGACACATCATTTGAAATGCAAACCTCGCATCGCCACGTGCGTCGAGACTGCCACGAGTTTCGACAAAAAATGATCGAGTAAGAGACAAAGACACAAGCGAGCATCTTCACAAATCATGCCAGCATTACAAATTCAGAACAAAGACTCCACGTGCGTTTGAGCAAGCGAACCACATTCATCGACAAAGACATTTCAGATACCGAAACATGACGACAAAGAGATGACCGAGGTAATCTTGCGACAACATGTCTCACTGGCAGTCTAAGGATATACTGGGCAATTGTCAAATCTTGTCTCGCTCCGAGTCAAATCTGCGACATTCATTGTTGAGTGTGTTCAATGGCTGTAGGCAGGTGTTTAAAGTATTTGCCTTCGCTGCAGTGATGCGAGATTATCGCTTTTGCCTAGTACATCTCGAATCGTTGACGCTTCAGCACTTGTGCTTTTACTATACCAACTCTTCCTTGTCACGGACTGGATCCTTGACTTGACAATCATATTCCTCACACGAAGCAAAGCATATATCGAAGCCGGTCTTCTCTCACAACCCTTCCTTGGAAAAGATGCCTGCAAAGATCAACGTAGCGGCTGCGCCATACATATCTTCCCGCCTCGCAGTCCCTCCATCTCCTTTTTCTCCGCTGTCTCCCATCACACCCTTTCCCATCAAGCGAACGTTTTCTGCAACCGCAGATATCGATTTGATCCAACATTTGCCTCCACCAACAAGACAACCAATGAAGTGGCTTTGGGCCTGCCATCTTTGTAACCGCCAGTACAATCTTTCTGTCACCCGCCGCTGTCTCGACGACGGCCACTACTTTNGCGCCGGCACATCCATGGTCCGTTCCCGCAAAGATGGGATCAAAAGACTCAAACGCCATAAAGCCTGTTCTTCGGAATTTGACTATGCAGGCTGGAAAGACTGGGGCGTGTGGAAGCGCAATTTGCTCGTTCTTACCGAACAACAGAAGCAGCGCAATACGCCCTGTGATAGTGTGTTTGATGGCGATGACTCTGAGGACGATGACCTAGAGGAGATTTCCACTACTGCTTCTGTGGTATCTCCCATCCTTACGGGAGTCGCTGCACATACGTCTTCCTGGCGAGTTGCTCTGCCCTTGCATCCGGTCAAGGATTGCTGGAACCGCTGTGATTACCCTTCTGAATGTCGCTGGGGCAAGCAATTCGGTGTCGACACGCCTTTGCAGACCACATTCCCGACTTTGGATCGTGTGGCCAGTGTTTTCAATCCCAATACCACCTCGACTTGCGAGTCACAAGATGTAGAGATGAAAGACGCAACACTACCCAAAACACAACTCAAAAATCTTGTCACCGCAGAACAACAACGAATCGCTGCCGAAACCATGGACGGCGTCGACATCGAAGAATCTTGTTCGCACACTCATACTCATACTGATACACCCACGCCTGCACTTGCAAATCTCGCGTCTTTAATATCTAGAGCACAACGCCGCCATTCAAGGACAGAAATCCCTGCTCCTTCATCTCCTCTTGCGATTGACAATCACAGACCTACCGTCACACGAACTTCATCGCGGCAAAGTTTGATGAGAGCAGTTGAAGACGGTATCAATGTACTCACAGGTATTGTCGGGAACTGGAGAAGTGCTTCGGCGCCTCCCGTGGCCAGAAAGAGGGAAGATGATGAGATGCAAGATGTGGTCATGGATGATATCGGGGAGGGTGAGGGTGAGGGTGAACTAAGGGTGAGGAGGAAGAGTTTGGGATGATTTGGATCTTTGTAAAGCTTGGTTAGGGATTTTTGTATAGTTATAGATTATCTCTTAACGAGACGCGATATCTGTGTCCGAAAATCCTTCCGTTGCTGTGGCTTGTGAAGTGCCTGATGGGATGTTTGCATGTTGAAAGTGTACTACACTATTAGAAATCTGTCAAACTCTACTACTAATCTTTTCTACTCGGTTGGTATGTTGCCACTGGAGTTGGCTGACTGCAGTGTGCTAGAACAACAGGACTGTGTTCTCCTGGGTCGTGTTTGCTATAAATCTTGGATCCCGCGGGATCAAAAGTGAAGAAACAATAACTGCTCTCACGACAATAATCTGAAGACTGTCTCCAGCGCACAATCTTCAGCCTGTTATCGCTTTTCTCCTACACTTTGTCACTCATCACATCAAAAGAGTCGTTCGTCACATCAAAAGGGTAGAGAAAAAAGCCATGATAATTTCGAAGCAGAAATAAACAATCGTTTCCAGTTCCTTCCCCTCTGCTCTCTCTCTCTCTCTCTCACAGTTTTATCCCCGAAATCAAAATCTCGACAAGTTCCCCCTCATCCTTGCGTCTATTGCAGAAATGTTCGAAACCAAATGCCGTTTCTATCCAACAGAGCATATGTTGACACCAATCTTCGTTATATTCATCTATCCATCCGCCGGGGATGGATAGAGGAGCTTCGTCTTCGGGCCATGCGTCGGGGACTTTGCATTCTGAGAGGGGTGTTTGTTTTAGTGGGGGAAGCTGGGAAGGTGAAACCAGCTGAAGTAGGAGGCGGTAGTGGTGGTTTGGGTCATTGTGTTTGTGATTTGCGGAATCTAAGGACCTGCCTGGGAAGGTGGAGTGGTGCTGGGAACAGCGGTGTAGAGAGATATTCGTGGAGGGACGTGTAGTTCTAGTGGAAAGACCATACTTCGAGACATTACAGTATATATCCCAACGTAAATTGACCGATGACACTAACGGACAAAGGTGACAAAGCATTCTACTGTTCCATCAAAGAAGCAATATACAAAGCCGCAGAGAGTTCACAAAGAAGGGAACAAGGAAAGGAAATTGAGCCCTGGGAAGACAAAGGAGATCTGCCCTTTAGTATTCTTAACCAGTGTTTGAGGATATGTAGGGGAAAGACGTGAAGGTTGGAGAAGGTCGCAGTAGGTCAAATCAACTGATAGAATTGCCGAACGTTCGAATCCCTCACGCTTGTGGAAATTAGAAAGGAGTTAGGGAAAAAAAAGAGTGTATTAATATTATTAATATTATTAGGTGAGAACAGAAAACCTACCATGATTTCGAAATTGTAGTACTTACCATGACTCATCCAACAACCAGGACCAGCCTAGCTGCAGAACTTACCAGATACTTATACAGGAGTCCAACCAGTGTGAGGTTCAATCATTGAAAAGGTGAGCATCGGTCTTTGACTACCTTCAGCTTTGCAATGTCTAAACCAAGCCTTGTAGAACTCAATCTGTCTATCAGCATCATCAAACATCGTACTTATCAATCTTGGGATAGTGATTCTAGTCGAGGGATTCAGATCAAGTGCACGAGCAGTGTAGTACTCAAGCAGAGGAGAGTAGAAATCACCACGAGGGAGAGGTTTACCGGAACCATAGGTTAGCTCTCGGGCCTCGAAAAGAGTTACATAGCTCAGCTCGTAATTGTGCTCGTCAGTGTTGACAAGTCTGTGGATGTGAGGTGTAGCGGTGCGGTAGTACTCAGTAGCCCTCTCAAGCGGAATCTCAGCGGGTCGATCAGACTTTGTGGCATAACCCGTAGCGAGGAAGTGAATGATTGCTCCAGTTGCCCAAACGTCAGCTTTTGCACCAGCCATTGGGGCTTCAGGAGGTTGCCATTTAGGTGTACCATCTGTAGTCTCGTGATCGCAAGTAGTCTCAGCAGCAATGCCAAAGTCGATAATTTTGAGGGTGGGAAACAGAGCCGGATCACCAAAGTTGACGGGGTCAACCATGATGTTCTCCGGCTTGATGTCGCGGTGAGAGATACCATTCTCGTGAAGGAAGCTGAAGCCTGTACACAGTGATTTGTAAGTATGCCAGATGAACGACTCACTGACCTTGCGATTCATCTTTTGGAAAGACAATTTGAGCGTATTGAGGTCTCCACCAGGGAGGTAGGGTAGAACAATTCTGCTTTCAGGGCACTCACCAGGAGCGGCGGGGGTATTCCAGATTTGAAGGTAGGGAAGGATATTAGGGTGGGCACCGAGTCTCTGAACACGATCAAGAATGACTAATTCAGCGACAGTACTGAGGTCAGTATTGGGAGGAAGCTTGAGACGCTTGATGACGACCATCTTACCAGTTGCTTTGACTTTGGCGAGACTGATCACGCCCTGACCACCCTGACCAAGACTCTTGTCGTGCTGGTAGAAGCTTTGGAACGTGTCATTGTAGCATTGGGAGATGATACCAAGGTGCTGAGGCTCAGATATGTTCGACATTCTTGTGCTTTTTGAGTCGTGCTTGAATCTCTGGTTGGAAGACCGCTGTTGCCCTGAGGTGATTTTTGGAAGGGTTGGTAGTTTTCTGTCGGTGTTCTGGGGACGGGAGTCAACAGGATAGGAGCTGGCTAGTGGACTAAGTACTCTCTCAGGAACCTCGTCTCGAGCCTTGTTGCGTAAACAAGAGAACAAAGCATCCTTTATCGAGTTGTTGGTATGTCTTTGTCCTCGAAAGCTCATGACAAAGACGCACACTTACTAGACGAAAGCACTTCTGCAAGCTCTCAAGCCGCGATCTGGTGAACAACAAAGCGCGAAGGGCCTTCGTGAAAATGGAGAGTATTCTCAAAGCAAGATGAATGGCATTGTCGTGCTAACAGCTCAAAGGGCAACGGGTGGTTATAAAACCCTGCATCTTTGCCCCTGGGTGGTATTCCGCTGTTTGCACAATACGAGATACCCATCAACACCCACTTGACATAATGTCTTCCATCACTACCATCGATGACGCTGCTGGTCAGCCTTCGATTCTGACAGACATGATATCGGGCATTGAGCTAGAGCTTTTGGCTTATGCGCCTCGAAGTGTCGATCCGAGATGCCACCTTTCGAATGCTCTGAGGAAGCCTGTCCTCCTGGAATCCAAAAATTGCAGCAAGTCTAATGCTTGAAGGTTGCCCTTCGTTAAAAACCTCGACCGCAAGAACTTTGCACATCGCTAAAGGGGTGCACAATGAAACGGGAAGGATATAAGATAAGATGGAGCGCGATGGGCCTGGAAATCGAAGCCTATGCTTCTACAGATGCGTCCAAACATGGTACTAGCACAACGGCGTCGTTATAAGGGCATACAAAGGCAAAAAGAGCTCTGCGTGCTTAGTATCACAGCTGTCGTACGCCGCTATCGGTAGGGCCTTGAAGATATGCTCTGGTTCGACCTCTGGCGGTCGTCAGGAGTCTTGAGTTTATGCTTGCGAAGGACAGGTTCTAGCAGAACTGTGGTGGCAGGATGTTTTGGATGGAGTATTTGTTGTTTGTGGGTATTTTTGGGCTGTTGAACTTATGAGATACACCAGCGACATAAAATGTTGAATAACGTGTCGATCAGAAGAGACATACAAGACACTACCAAGCAGCATTCTCTAGTACTGTACTTGCAATCGATGGCCAACATCACCACCACCACTTCTCCCACGTCCCACCGACGCTGCCAAACAACCGTACACGCCTATCCTCCAGAAAGCGTATACGTCTTCGAATTGCCGTCAATCTTTTTAACATCATCTCCACTGACACCCCCAAACCAGCTGACGCGATCCTTCGTAAACTGCTCCCACTGCGGCTTTAGCTTCGTCTCATGCAAACTTAAATCATCCACCGAGCCAATCCGCAAGATGGGCACATTAGGAAACGCCGAGCTGACACGGTACATGAGGGTCCCGCACGTGCTGCAGAAGTAGTCTGTCATGGAGCCCTCGTGGCGCACGGGTGTGACGGGATTATACCACGACTTGAGATTGTCGCGGCCGCGCACGTACACTAAGTACTTGTCGTCGATGGCGAAATTGGATGCAAACATTGAGGCGGTGAGTTTGCGGCAGTCGGTGCAGTTGCAGACGAAGGTGTTGATCAAGCCTGGCCCTTCGACGGGCTGGTGGGCGGGTTAGTGAGTAGAGTGACGCGCGTTAAAGTATGCGGGTGGGAGGAGAGGTGGATGGGGTGGGCTTACGAAGGCTAGTTGCACGCCGCCGCAGAGACAGGTCGCTGTTGGGAGGCCATCTTTGTAGCCGCGGTCTTTGGCAAGGCTGTTGTTTGCGATGAATGGTTTGGACTTGTCTGCTGCTGCGAAGCCGTCGGCCATGTTCGCGTGAGATAGAAACAATGTACTATGTTTATGTTTTTCGTCGAAGGACTTGTGAATGCAAAGCTCTGGGGATGTGGTCTTAACATGGGCCGAACGGGTGATTTATATCAGCGACCTAGAAGTATTCTGCTTACGATCGCATTGTCGCATAGAGTGGGGAAGATGCTTCCGACTGCTTCCAGACCAATTGGACGTAAGACTGGAGTTACCGTAATTATGCTGTAAGCAGTCTTATGGTAGCAGGCTGCATGTATGTAGAGTGTCGGGACGTTGAGATAACGACTATGCAGGTGGCTAGCTAGCCAGCTGACCAATCATACCTCCCCAGATTGGTGGAGATAGTCGTTCCTCCGATTCCGCTTCACTATCTGCTGTCCATCACATACTGTATCTGTGTGCGCGACAGACCACCTCAGAGGCTAACCACATATTGGTGCGCTTGACGCTGTAGATCGTGACCAGACCATGGGTCGCCTTGGAAGCACGTACGAGGAGTATAATACGTCGTTGCATATTGCATGTGATTTCCAGGCGATTGGTGACCTGTTCAAGAATTCCTGTCGCCCCAGCCTGAGGCCATCCTGACTCTATTATTCGCAGGCCATTTACTATGTACAAACACGATCAAGGTGCTAAGCAAAGCCACTTTTCAGGCCTCGGATCTCAAGTGTTTCTCGGAGGCCTTCGCTGGCAAGTTGAGGTAACGGTTTTGACTATGGAGAACAGTTCTCAAGACAGCCACGCCCTCATAACTCATATCCTGCTGCAATCTAATGTTCCAGTCTGGCTCAAAAGAGTCCCTACGTATGACAAAATACAAGACTTCTTGCGCGAACATCCCAAATGGAACGGATGATAATATGCAACTGAGCGTTACCGGGCAGTCAATCTGGAAAACCTCTGGTCGAGCCACAGAAAGAATACTGTGGAGGTCAGGATCAATTCAAGTTCTGTGGATCCCTCTGAGGTCTACGCTTCGTATGACTTTCTGAGAAAGCTCATGCTATGGCTCTCGACTCCTGACATTGATCACGATGCCATCATTCTCGACATCTGGAAAGATCCTCAGAGCACCATCCTGGATCTGATCAAGCAAATCGGCGCTTCTCTATCTACCCTCGATTGTTACACCGACCGCCCGACCCCTGACTGGGCTGTTCGTCGCTTCTCCGACCGAACTCTCGATCTCGATTGCAACGATCCTTCCAAAGCCTTTGAGTATGCTGTCGAGCATCATCGCTACAAGGACTCTCGTCGTGAAGCTGTTGACGTCGAGATCTTGCAAAAGCTCGAAGGTTGTCATTACGGACAACTCCGTGACACCCTCTTCAAAACTCTGCCAACAGAAATCCAAGATCACCCTGACAGCCACAGTCTCAATATGGTCAATATGGAAGGTTGCGACCATGCTCGATGGAGTGGTAAAGCAATAGCTCACGCAATCGCCAAAGATCCTCGTCTATGGTCCAACAGGTCAAAGAGAAGCAACTTTCTCGACCAGAAGTCATCCAAGAAGAAGTCTCTCATGGAAAGGTCTTCTGAATTTGCCTGAATTTCTTTGTATTCTTTGTAAAACAGCGTGAACATTCGCAAATTTTCCTCCATTGATCTTCTTTGTATCCTTTGTGAGATGATATTGCAATGCAAATGTCTCCATCTTATAACCTCTTTCAACTCAATTGACTTCGTGCCCTCCTTCCTTTTTCCTCTCTTGCAGAATTTTCTACCACAATTGCAAACCCCAAACATGTCATCCATTCCCAACTTTCACCCAGTCAAGGCGTCTGCTCGAGCGAGCAAGGAAACGACAACTATAAAGTCACCATTGCCCTCTCCCCCTAGACAACTCGAGACACTGACACTAGGCTGTAAGATCAGCTTTGTTCTAGTGTTTCCCCATTATCACCTAGTGAAATCCGACATTCAAGGAACCGCAAAGGATATCGTGCGCAACACGCTTGCAACAACCACCTTCAAAGATTTCGAATGCAAGTATTGCAGTACACCCCACGAATATGAACTTCCTCTGTCGCTCAAAGATCCGAATGACAGCGACAAAAGAAACAAACTCTGGCATGTTGATATTGACCATAACGCGCACCTTCACGACGACGAGTCCGACGATTTGGCTGAGAGATACTATGCCGTTGGTGTTCAAGTCATCAGTCGCGTCTTCAAATTCCACAACAAGACCAACTGTCCAGGAGACAAGTTTACCAGTCCGATTGATGGAAATTGGATCTATCACAACTATCACGAGAGACGTGCCCAACATCACTGGTCTGTCGAAATCAAAGCCGTGGACGACGCTTTGAAGACGCTGAGTCGGAAACCAAACTACAGAGTCTTGACTAATGAGTTTACAGACTTCAAGGTCTACGTCGGGAACAATCATCATGGTGTGCATATGGATGTCGCCAGAAGTTTGTTGGCCATCTTTACTGCTTTTGAAAGACAATTTGATGCTATCAACATCACACCAAGGATTAGTGGAGGTGTAAATGGCCAACCTGCCCCAGTGGCTAGCAAACCTGACCTCTACCATTACTACTCGGATGACAAGAATACTATACAGGAAGAGGCTGGAGAGTCTTCGAAGCCCATGTCCAGCCTTAACATGGCTTATCTCTCGCTCCAGGGCATCAACACTGGCTATGATATCAGAACCTTCTTGCGCATTTTCCTCAAAGGAGATCTCAGCAGAGTTCAACTTCAGAAAATCATCGACAACGAGCTTATTTCCCACCGAAACACAGTCTTGGATGTATCTCGCGTCTGGGACGACAAGCTCATTGCATACAATCGCGAATACGTGACCAAACACTGCATGAAGAAACCCACGGTAACATTCCGTTCGCACGCCAGCACTCTCGACTCTGACGAGCAAATAGCTTGGATAGATCTATGCTGCATCCTTACTGAACTCTGCTACGAAAAAGACCTTCGACACATCAACAACTGGACTAGAAAGCGTTGGACTGACCCCCACAACGAGTACACCATTCTCTCTATCCTGCATCACGTCGATGGCTACAATAACGATACCTTTACCTGGTACAAGAAAATGTCCGTCCCGATCAAAGACCCGAAATCCACAATCGAGTCTCCACATATCCCAAGTCTGACTCTCGAGATGGAAGCAGAGCTTGCCCACAGCGATCCTCTAAAGACGACCAGGGTTCCTGAAGCAGTACTGGTTGGTCAAGCACGACACAAAAGGTGTGATAATGTTAGAGACAAGATCAAGCACAAGTTCGATATGGGATTGTATGGCAAGTTTCCGAAGGAGACGGTGATTGAGTTTATGAGGGATCATCACGAGAAGAAGGCGTTTTTGAAGAGTGATTGGCAGAAGCTTATACTCAAGCCGGAGTGATGGTATCTGGGGTGGATATGTCTAAGGTTTGTTGTTCTCGTTTTCGCGGATCTGCTGGTCTCAGATCTGTGTTTTCTTGTTTAGAACATAAGAATACAATAGTGCTTCGGCTGGTTGATCACTGTTTCTTGTGCATTCAAGCATACATCTCGCGGCATAGAGATAGACTCTTTTGACCGTGGTTTTCATGAGTTTGTTGCTTACTATGGCATCTCTCACCAACCCTTGCCACATATATCATCAATCTCAAGCCCAGTGTTTGTGATTTTGTGGAAACCACACAGAGTCTCCATGAAGCCCGCGAAACACCGGACATGCATCTCGTTCTCTGCTCTGATGTTTTCGAGATCTTTGTGATTGTGTTCACCAGAGTTTTCCCCGTGGTAGCAGGCCTTTTGAACACATCCTTCTGGAAAAACTTGTGCAGGGTGTCGGTACTTTTGGCACAGAATGACTCGTTGTCGAGTCCTATCTCAACGTGGATGCGGAAGCCTTCACGCTGTGGGCAAGAGGGTTAGTGTATGGATCGATGGAATGGATGAGCATGCTTACGAATATGGGGTGCAGACATCGAAGATCGACAGCGGTGCCTGGAGTGCGTATTTTCTCATAAGGAACCGGAACGCCCGAGTAGTCACAGCAGGTGTACTGCGGAGCAGCGATTTCTTCAACTTTGGTAATGGTCTTGGGAGGCTGTGCGGTCACGGTGGTTGGGGCAAGCTCAGTGATGGTCTCCTTTTCTGTGAGAGTTTTGTAGGTCTGATCGATGGTCTCGGTCGAGACTTTGCTTTCGGTAACGACGGTGGTGGGTGTGCTGTGGGATGTGATGACTTTGGTGTGGGACTCGGAGGTTGTGCTTGTGACGGTGGATCTGTCAGTGTTGCTGACCGAGTGGAGCGAAGTAGTGGAGAGGGTCAGGGTGTCGTGGATGGTTTCAATATCGGTAGTCAGGTCGGTCGAGGTCACGGTGTCGGTATCAGTATTATGGGAGGCCAGAACATGACGATGGTGTGGAGAGACGACATGGGCAGAACAGCTAGTGATGACGAAGAAGAAGAGAAGGGTGAGTGAGAGCATGTTGGACAAGATGCTGAGAGGCACACTGATTGGGAGAACACTGTGGACGAAAGAAGGAGCGAAACACTCGACCGGGGAGATGTATAGGCAGTCAGACGACGACAGGGTGCAAAGAGCTGACCATATGTTGTACACACAGAATTGAGAGATATACAAGGATGCTTCCCACCCTACCTTGAGCAAAAGGGCGTTGATCTATTGGTCAAGATGAATGGCGTTGTGGAAACATGCGCATCCTACGAATAGCCACGCTTGTGTTTCCAGAATGTGTGAAGAGGGTCTGCAACCGAGCCACCACTATAGGCTAACTGCAGTCTGACCGCCAGCATTCGGACTGCGTTTCGCAACCTCTGTGCGAGAAGGTTGCTCGGTATGAGAGTCGAATGTGCAAGGTCTTGGCTGGTTGGAAGACAGAGAAGACAGTCGGAGCTTGGGCCAACGAAAGTTGCTTGGGTGGTGCCAAGACCAGGATGCGGCGTCTTTTGTTTTTCCCTCTCACACGAGAGAGAGAATACCAACAACGATAAGCGACTTTGCCGTCTCAAGACACATGCACATAGACCTGCCATGGCAATGTGAGAAAGATTGCTCGAAACGGACATGTCTGAAGAGTGTTCGACTGTGTCAGATGTAGGTGCTCGCACGGCATGCCGCAGTCCGTGTCGCAGTCCGTGTTGCAGAGGCAGGAGCTTTCTGAGCAGGAGCAGTCGATGAGCCAGACAAGGCAATTGCTCTCCTTCAAGCATCCTCAGACCAAAACAGGATGGACGCCGGGTCGCACCTGCAGTTTCCCACAATTGTTTGCTGTTGTCTTGCATGGAATGTAGCAGAGGCACGCGTCCTCAGGTAAGGAATGCAGCCTCATTTCGCGCCTTCCACAGCTGGTTATTGTTTTTCTGGTCAAGAGTCAACAGTCGTACCTTCCCCTTCCTTCCATCAATCTCAAGACTGTTGCAGACACGTTGGACTTGTCTCGTCAAACTGACTTTCACTCACACCCACAGCCAGTCAAAACCACTCCGATCATGGCGCCGCCAAAGAAGAAACTGTTCGCATCTGTCGGCGACTACGCATCAGGCACAGAAACAGAGACGGAAATGCCCGAACCCCCAAAGCCCAAGAGCAAAAAGAGCATTTCGCTTCATACGGCGCTGGCAAGAAACTTGGGAAGGCCCCCGCTTCGCCCAACAAGACCGAGCTGCCAGCGACCGGACGCTCGACACGCTCCTCGTCGAGACAGCCACGGACACGACCTCCTCCGCCGACACCAGCAACTTCAGTGCCCAAGTCTCCTGCCAAATCGCCCACCAAGTCATCTGCCAAGTCTCCCGTCAAGCCGGCCGTCGACGCCCCCGTCAAGTCTCCCGCCAAAAAGTCCCAGTCTCCAGCTCGCACCAGAGGCCGCCCTGCAGCTCCTCCACCTGCCACTGCCGACCAGCCAAAGCCCACGTCCCGTCGTGTCCGCACCGTCTCGCCCGCCAAGCGTCTGATCGCAGACTCTCCACCACCCGAAGACCGCATGAACCCCTTCCCTCCAAAGCCAGAACCCATGACCGTCACCGACAAGCCCGCCGTCCGCAACCGTCACGGCGAAAAGGTCGTGGCTCCTGTCGATATCAAGCAAAAGATGCGTCAAGCAATCAACTTCCTGTCCGACGATGGTGTCGAGAACCTGGCAGACTTTGAAGAGAAGCTGAACAGGATCGAGGCCTGGCTGGACAAGAATCACCCTGGCATGGATGGCATCATCGCAGACGGCGAAGACGACACCGAGTTGCTCTGCCGCAGGGTCCGTTACATGATCTGGGTCCACAAGGAGCGCATCGAAGAGGGTGCCGAACAGTGGTTCACCCGCGACCAGTTCCCCGCCAGCCAGTCCATGTACAAGCCCATCAAGCCCAAAAAGGATGACCCATGGCGTTTGAATCCCGATTATACCACGACCGGCAAGCCCGTGAACCCCAAGGAACAAGTCATGCAGGCCCAGGACAGGGATCGCTTCGTAAAGGCCCGCGCCGAAAAGGCTGCCGCTGCCAAAGCCAGTCCAAAGAAGGCAGTTGCCTCTACTACCCCCACACGACCCGAATTGCCTCACCCAGAGATCTGGCACCGCAAGGAGGCTGCACGTTTCCCCTACGGCGAGACTCCTTACATGGAGCAAGTCATGAGCAGACAGATAACAGCTGATCTGGCTCGTGGTAAGTCACGACATCTTATCTATAGTCACAACAGCCACTGACTCGTGTCCACAGGCAGAGAAGCCAAAGACGCCCTTGAAGGCGGCAATTACTACGCTCTCAAGAAAGTTCTCGGAGACATCAAGAACTACATCCTCCCTCCAGCCCCACCTGCAGCTCCCTTTGACCCCTGGAAACTGCCTGAAGTCGCCTACGAGGACGTTTTGGATGCCGATCAGTGGATGAATGTCCTCAGCAAAGAGGAGACGACCGGCAGCAAGAGAAAGGCTGTACCCAGTAGAAGCCGCTCGCCTGCCAAGCGTAACAAAAGTGCCAATTGGCCTCTGATGGGTTGATTGCAGAGACAAGCATGTGCAGTGGGGTCTCATCGTTTTCATTTTTGCATCTCTGATCATCTCATAATATTTGTTCTTCTTTTCCACTTCATCTGCACCACTAGTTACTTTCATGCATTGGAGAGGTCATGTAAGCTTGGTTGATTGGCTGCTCGCACTATATGGTGGTACGCGACGTTGACCTGTAATCTCTACAAGATACCTTTTTCGAAGACAATGATACAATTTCACATGAGCCCTGAGGCAACAAAGCGACTTGAACTTGAAACATCATGCGAGTGTTTCCATTGAATGTGTTGATGGTGTCCAGGCCACCAACTCTGAAAGTGAATGACTGCCATCGACCTTCCATATCCGGCCATCAGTGTGAAATTCGGAACATGTCCAACTTTCACTTCATTTTCATTGTCCAGACTTCCGCATGCGGTGATTGGACTTCTTTGTCGCCTCGCAACAATCAACTCCTCCACCATGATAACCAGAACTCACCTCTGTGCGAGCCGCCATGCCAGAAGCAAACACCACACACCATATCCTCAACGCAACCATGTCGAGCGAGCCCTCGTCACCCGCCTTTGTAAATACAACAGCACCCCTCCATCAAGAAATCAAGAACCTCAAAGGAAAACTCGACGAAGTAAACTCCAACTTTGCCTACTATGAAGAATCCAACGAGAGGCTCGAAAAGCAAGTCGCAGACCAGAGCACGCAACTCGATCTCAAAGACTCGATCATCTCAAGGCTGAAAGAGCACATAGCAACACACCAAAAGGAACATGACGAAACACACCAAGAAAATGTAAAACTACGCCGTGAATCTCTGGATCTGGAGAGCTTGGTCAAGGCTAATGAAAAGGAACTCAAGAGTGTTGTCGAGATGGAAAGGACCATCGAGGACCGCGAGGCAGAAGTTAGACACTACACTGCCGAGTTGACCTCGACACGCACCGAGCGCGACGATAAAGTCACCGAAGTCAGGGGATTGGAAGGAGATATTGCGAGATTGCACCAGGAGCTGGAAGTCCGTGATCAGGAAGTCGAGGCTCTGCAAAAGAGAATCGAGATCTATGAGCGTCACATCAGCATCAGCAAAGACCTACCTGTTGAAGACTTGGACGATGCACTCTATGGATTCATGGAGAAATGGTCTGCCATACAAGCCGATGGACCTTCTCCACCCAGAAAGCCCAAGCGAACTTCCATCCGTGGCATGAACCTTGCCGACGAATTTGACGCCCTGAGTGATGAAGACTATGATTCTGAAGGTGGATATGGGTCTGATCAACGCAGTATCCGCAGCTTTGACTCGCTGAGACCAAAGAAGATGGATGCTTCTGTTTTGGCCATGTCGGAGATTGAATCTGTGGCTATCCATCCTTCGGTCAAGAAACCTGTTACCATGACTTCTGCCGGTACTCAGATGTGTCCCAAGCCTGTTCCACAGAACGCCAGCAAGGGAACCCAGACTACACCTGTCCTATCTCCAAAGAAGACCTTCTCGGAAGTCATCAGCAGTGGCGTCTCTACAAGCCCCATTGCTGCTCCGGAGAAGCAAAAGAAGTCTTTCTCCGAGGTCATCAGCAATGGAGTTTCCACCAGCCCGATCGCTGCTTTGATTCAGAAGTTCACTCCTGCCATGGTCAGTTCTGCTGCCCAGACGAGTCCTGAGCCGAGAAAGTCGTTCTCCGAGGTCTTGAGTGGTGGTGTTTCGACGAGTCCAGTCGATGCAACTCCTTCTCCTCCAAAGTCTTTCTCCGAGGTCATGAGCGATGGAATCTCGACAAGTCCAATTGCCGCTTCTTCGACCAAGACTGCATCATCTTTGGAAGTTTTTACTTTCTCGGACGTCGCCAGCAACCGTGTTCAGACGAGCCCAGTTGCTCCTTCTCCAAGAACTGCCATCCACTCTCCCAAGACTACAACCATTGGAGTACAGACAGATCTCACCATCCCTTCACCTCTCGAGACTTTCTCCGAGGTTATCAGTAGCGGGGGCGGCACAAGTCCCATCACTCCTCCTCCCCAAACTGTAGTCTCTTCGCCAACCAGTGTACCTCTGCCATCAAGTCCATCCGCAAAATCTCCTGTCTCTGTCAAGTCTCCGAAATCTCCTCTGTCCAAGGAAGTCACTGAGGAGCAGACTGATTTGGCAGATACACTGCCCCCTCAACCCGGTAAAGCAGCAAGGGTCAACACCCTCAACATCAAGCGTCCCCGCGTACCCACCAAAGACATGTCACCGCAAACACTCCAACACTACAAAGCCGTCACTGCACCCACCACTCTCAACACCGACATCCCCTCTACCTCTTCCTACCCCAACGAACCCCAAAGCCCCGCCCACATAATCACAGCCCTCATCCCCTTCATCCAAGACCTCGTCGCCGAAATCCTCCTCCACTGGCGTCTCATCTTGATTCTCTATTCTGCTGCTTATTTGGGTGCTTCGTCGGCGAATACTGCTGTGGAGTGGTCTTGGGCCAATGCTAATGGGTATGCGCCTGAGAACAAGTATTTGTTTGTGGGCAAAGCGATGCCTGGGCATGTTGGAGCGATGGTTTGGGGTGTTGTGGGATGGGTGTGGAGCTTGGTGTTTGGGCATTGGGGACTCGGTGCTGTGGTCAGACTGCCGTTGTCTCCTGGATGAGTGAGAGATGAAGAATTGGATGGTTGAAAATTTTTCTTGCATCTAGGTTTTGTGTTTCTTGTTTGCTGTCTTTTGCATTTTCTGTATCTTGTATCTATATCTATCCCTTTTTCTTTACATCTTTTTGCCTTTGCCTTTTGATTCACCCATTTCTCCGTCTCTATAGCATCCAGTCTGAGTTCAAAGTCTTCTCTCTGCATACGAAATAACTATGAGCAGACTTCGCACCCAACCACCATATCCTCTACCTCTCCCCCATGTCTGTCTCACACGCAGAGTCAGCGAACCAATCGAACTCTATTCTGTGATCTAATCCCTGAGTCTGTTATCCCTATATTCCAGAAAGACATGCCTCTGGTAGTGCATCTTTTCCCTGCCCTTCTCGTCTTTTGGCGAGAGTCGGGGTTTTGAATTGGAGAATGGAAGCTTTCTCCTTCATTCACTCTTTCACTCAGAAGATGGAGAAACTTCAAGGGAGGACTTTGTTGTGTTTGCTGCTCTTTGCGTCTCGAGTCTATAAATGTGTTGTCCTTTTCTCTTTGCTCACTACACTTTATACCTCATTTTACCTGTCTGTATCTCCTGAGATCAACGTGTCATTACTTTTAGTATATGCAGACGAAGAGAGAGCTATGAGGCTTTGGGGCATATATCTACAATCGAGGTCTGTAGTGCTGGATTGAGAAGCACTTGCAAAATCACAGAAAAGCTGAATAGAAAGTCGAAAAACACTGATTCCCATCTGCGTCCCAAATCTCAGAAGGATTCGAATTAGAGATGTACAAAAGTGCTTTACGTTCAAAGATCTGCCCAGTCATACATATAAGCCAGGCAACCAGCTTCAGCGCAGACAATCCACGTGTTTGCAAGATCATGTTTTTACTTCCACTGGTGTTAAGAACTTTGACGAGGAAAGAGGTAGCTTGTTTTTGCAAGACTGCTTGATGCAAGTGTAGTTTCTTGGATCTGGACGAGTGTCCCGCAAAGCGTAAGGAGGGTACCTAGCGCACGAATATACGAGGATCGAGGAGGATACCTTGGTCAAGAATGTAGATAGTCTGATGAGAAGTCAGTAAATTAATCTTGCAGAGGTTCAAACTCGAGATCTCTGGTAGCGATTGGCCTGTTGGGCTGACGAGAATTGGTGATGATATGGCGGTCTGACTTGTTTATCATTCTTGAGGCAAACTCAAAGCATTGCACAACCCTTCAGAGGCTTTATCGCACCTTTTCTATATTTCTTCCACACTCCACACCTGTAATTAAGATGTTTGTTTGCTTTGCAAATCAACTTTACAGGTTTATTACGAGAACACAACTTGTCTGTTCCGATGACACCTTTGGGAAGCTTTGTAGACACCCGTACGTCGATTTCAAGATGCTATTGTTGTCTTTTGGGACAAGTAAGACACAACTGCAAGACAACAAGCCTATTACGGTCTGTATATAACCATACAAATCAACAGAAACTTGCCCCAATATCACCCCATCTTTCACAGCCAAAACAAATCAAAGCATCACCCCTCATGACTCTCGAGTATAGGCCACTCTAAACTCCGGCGGTGTACCAGAAGCCCTGGCAGTAGATACTCCCTCCTGACCTCTCATAACACTATCAACCCTCCCACTCCCATCCTCGGTCTTCTGTATCGGTGTCCTCGACTGTCTCTGCTCTTCTGCTTCATCTACCACTAATTCACCCTCATCCCCTTCTCCCTCACCAAAAGTCTGCTCCATAGGCGTCACCTCAGGCGTTTCATAACACGTGCCCGCAAGACTTCTAATCTCGATGTTTGGTATTCTGATGCTAGGAATCCTGCTAGGAATTATACCAGCCACGTCGGCGCACAGGACATTTTCCCAGAACAAAGTCGCCAGCCTCGCGAGAAATTGTACAGGGATCCAAAGACAACAGAGTAGACTGAAAATGACCAGTACAGCGATGATTTGGAGTATACCGTACACAGCACCACGAAACAAGAGAGGCAGAGAAGGAAAGGATATCTAGCACTCGTCAGCTCGTCAGCCAACTATTCGCATTCAGGAAAGGAAGGGGAAAGGGAAGAGGAGAGAGTGAAAGAGGGTAAGAAACTTACGGATAACTCATGGAAAAAACGTTGAATGATTTCGGCACCAGGATCAATGATCAATCCCACATTATGTGCTGAAGTGGGGATAAAGGCTTGGTATAGCGACATGAGGAGTACGGATGTAAGCCATGTCAAGACGAGAGGACGGTGATAGACCAAAAGAAAGCGGGCGAGAGAGTTCAAAGTCAGGCGAACGAGAGAGCCTAGGATGGTCATCTTTTTGGTTTTTCGGTGGAGAGTTTTGACAGTGAGTTATGGTGTTTTCTCGAACGGACGGATTTCTTGGTCGAAAGATGCAGATTTCAGATGTTCGTTGAGATGTGTGAGGCATAACTGAGAACAGACAAAGAAAATCACAAAGCACATTGCCGGATTTAGCAAGAATATATCCTTGAACCTTTCAACATAATTTCTTTGTACTACTTGCCCTCAGTTCAGATACTGCATGTACCAATTCCACAGTGATTATCGTCTCACGAGAGAATGTATCAAGCGAAAAGAAAATTCATACATACACAAATCCAAATCTACATTTACCACTTGCTCAACCCCGTATACCATTCTTCAGCGCAAAACACGAGCAAACCATCGCCATCGCCCACCCAGGATTTGTTCCACCACCGTAATTCACAATACCTGTACCAAGTTCTCCCTAACAAACGAATACACCCACAAACACACAAACCCTAAAAACAGACTCCGAAACCCAATGTAGAGGATATTGTAGATGAAAGCAGTGAGAATATAGCGATGGTACTAGAGAAGCTCAATATAGCTCGATAAACCAGTCTTGACGATTTCCTGAAATCAAATATTGGTGTCAGTAACAAAGACCTTTCCCGATTCTACCGTTGAGTAAAAGCAAAAGGCGAAAAAATGAGGGAAACAATGCTTAGGTAGCTTTGCTGCAAGAAGCTAGCGATATAACCAATCTCAGATGTTGCGGTGTGCAGGATGTTGGCGCCGTAAGCAGCGTAGAAGTTCTGGACGGCCATGATCGAAAGATATAGGCCGAGAGTTCGCATGCAAAACTTTAGAAGCTTGAGTTCGGTGGCCATGATGGCGATTGCACTTTCTGTCCAGAAGGGAGGATATTCCGAGAGAGAATTGGGGAGGAGAGTTTTTGGTCGAGAACTGGATGAACAAGGGTGTGCGGAGTACTGTGCAAGAATACGGGAGCAAGTCATTCTTCCATTGATTGGTCAGATTATATGAGAAAAAGATTCATTGTCTTTTCTTCCGGATTTGGTGAGATCACACAAGCTTTTTGGGACACCAATACAAAGGTTATAGAACACAAGTATATGATCGCGTGGCATCAACACTAGCAATCATGGAAGTATGTAAGTGCAAAGGCCCCAAATATGGCGAATCACTACATAATCTGTGTACTGATAAAGTGTTGAACCTTCGAGAAACCGAAAGATTATAAGCAAAAGTTATGAGTCACAGCTTCACAAGATACTCGGAGTCCATCCTTGTTTGTATCAAAGTCGACATGACTGGGGAGACGCCAATCGCAGGAATTTACAACCAATATCCAAACTTAGTAGTTATGAAATAAGTTCGACTCTATGCGAGGAAAATTCCTATAATAAGGAAGATGCTTCGAAGGCCCGTTGATTCATTAGTTGTGCCATTGCTGGGAGAACATCCTCTATACTCCTTCTAATAGTTAGCGTAGTAGCCAATCAATTAGGCGTCAGGGTGCTTGCATGGTGTGTCGCAACACTGTCGACTCTGTATTCAGATCAAGTACTCTCATGTGACCAAGACGAACCATACTGCTGTTCCCACTGCAATCCCTCAAGCTGTGAAAAATCATATCGCATGAAATGCCTCGAACAGTCCTCCTCAAAAGTCCAACTTTCGCATCCAGAGACCAAGACACTCTTTCTAAAGAATGAAGATGCGTGCAACTGCTCTTTCGCATGACCTGTCCAAGCGTCATAGTCGCTTTGATAGCCAGGTAAATTGATCTGGATCCATTGTAGAAGCTCTTCCTCGGTCAAGTGCTGGTCCGTCGAAGCATATAGTGCGATACCGATGAGAGTCTCGAATGATCTTTCGGTGCGTCTTCTTTGCGGGAAGGCAGCTTCCATACCACTAAGGACTTCATATCGTACCAGTTTCGACATAGCATCTGCCTTTAAAATCAGTGCCTTTGTGATGGCAGTTTGGCAAAGTGAAAATTGGATAGGATTGTTCCTCGGCGTCATCTGATCCGGTCGGTGGGTTATGAAGCAGGGAGAATCTTCAACTATGAGCTTCAGACTGTTCATCACGCGCTCATCTTGAGCATCGAATTTGCATCTCGGGTGGACATTGAACAACCAGTTTTTGACGAGGTTGCCGAGCTGTCTGAAGTTCGAGGAGTAGTCGGGTGCATCGAGCATCACCATGTAGACAAAGCCCTTCAACAGTCTATGGAGGTCTCCTGGAAGTTTTTCTTCACGCTGGCTCGTGGCAATGTGTGAGCTCTCACCGCCGCCCTCTCTACTCTTGGGAGCGGTCGGGGACATGTCGTAGTTGGAGGTAGCCGCTTGCGTCAAGTCGAAATCGAAGATTCGGTTATGGGGTCCCAGATCCAGATCCAACTTCGTCTTCTGTCTCTTATCAGCTGGCGCCTCACCCGGCTTGGGCTCTTTTGCACGCTTCTTGCCAGCACTTTGTGCTAAGGGTATGGTAGTGGGGCTGATCTCGACAGCCTTACTCATGACAATGCTGAAACTGGATTGTTTAACAGGACCAGACGTGTCGCACACGTTTTGAGAAGGGACCACTTGATCTAGAACGTCATTACCTGTGTCAATCTGGCAGCCATTGGTCTGTGGTCTCTCGGCATCTACTGGCATTCTCTGTCCAAGTTGAGAGTTTCCAACGGATCTTCGGCGCGACATCTCTGGATTCAGTTCCATTCTCTGTCTCTTATCGTTCAACTTCTTCCTTGGTCGCATTACCTCAATTCGCTTTCTCCCGCGAGTTGGTGCCAAAGCGTCGGAGAGAATGCATGATATGCAGTGTTGGTCGTGTTGGTGAGGAAGAGCAAAGGGTCCCACAGTGCCGCAGGCAGCGTATCGAATAGAGTGAGGCATCTTGCTGGCGTTCTGGGCAGGCATTACTACGCCTTGTGTGTTGCTCGTAGTCTTTTTCGGTCCAGTTTGCGTCGAAGTCTGGGTGTTCTCACTGTTTTGCAATGTCCGACTCCTCACTGCGACCTTTCGCGAAGGTGCTTCACTTGATACGTATGCTTCTTGCCTTGGCCGTGATGGCGCCGGCGTTTCGTCTTCCTCGGTACAACTCTGCTCAGGAGGAAGAACGGTTATGCAGTCCTCTGCATCCGAGTCTGAGTCTGAGTCTGAGTCTGACCTTGAGCCTGAGTCTGACCTTGAGCCTGAGCCTGTGTCAGATTCTGAGCCTGAGGCCGACTCTGAGCCTGGGGCCGAGCCTGAGCCCGAAGGTGAGGTCCAACTACAATCCCTGGCCATAGCAGAGCTGTAGACAGGGGCCTCGTCGTCAGTAGATGCCGTGGTAGGAGATTTGACTGAAGACGTAGACCAAGGGATAATGTTCCAAGCAGACTTGTCAACCATTGGGATCTCGACTACGATAAGCCGGGGAGCATATCTTTGCTTGGGGGAACTACCCTTGGCGACATTGCTCAATGCTGCCTTCGCAGCGTTCTTTATCGCCTTCAGGAGTGTAATGCGCTTGTTTGCTGGCTGTTCGGTTGCCCTCGGCCTGGCCAAATGACGCACGCCATGAACTTCAACGTCCTCTTCTTCGGTCTCCGTCTGTGTGGCAGACTGGTTGAAGTCGGAGACTGGAGAGGCAGGAGATGAGACCTTGACGTCTGATGCATCGTCTTCTTCGGATAGTATCCTTTCGTAGCGCTCGCGTGAACCTGACGAGCTCTGCATTGCTTGTTGCATACTGGCCGAATCGACTTCACTGTAGTCCCAAGGTTTTCCGAGTTCTTCTGAAGGAAACCTTCTACCTCCTTCGACTGAAATGTCAAAGTCGACAAGAGACTCTTCCTCATGATGGTCTTGTCCGTGAGCAACAATCTCCTCAATAAAAAGCAGTCTGGGTGGATGAAGAACTGACTGCCAAGATACTGAGAGCTGGATAAACTGCCAGAGCAGCAGCTTTTTCTTTGCCCTTATTGAAACTCCTCAAGTCGACGTCTTTCGAGTATTGCGCAAGATTGGCCTGTGTCGACGCGTCCGCATACGATCTTCGGATCCACGCTTTGCAATTTGGATTGTCGTGATTCTTTTCCATGCATCCGACCTTGTGAGTCAATCTCGGGCAATCCACAAGTTTGTGCTTCCAGTCCCTGGGAAGCGTGGGCAGACCTCTGCAATAGCCGCAACGATCATTTTCGGTCCAAGATCTTTGCTTCAATCTGAATGCCCACTTGTTACGAAGCTTGTTCTGTTCGCGATAATGACATGTCTGCTTGCGATGCCCGAAACTGCGGCAGATCCAACAGAACTCCTCTTTCCGTTGTTCGGGACAATTTTCGGAGTCGTGGCCAAGCTGTGTACAATTGGTACAGTGATCATCATGTGTGTGACCGAGCTCTCTGCAATCCCGGCAATGGTTTTGAGAGGAGTGGCCGACTTTTGCGCACACGTAACAGTGATTTTCCGTCTCACAAAAGACTGTGTCGCATAAATCGCAGTGATCCGATTTCTCATGGTCCCACGAACTAGCACCAATCAACTTACACCGAGCGCAGTGTTGATCGGCATGATGTCCTTTCAAGTCGCACTCATCACAGTAGACATTGACACAGCGGCCAACGACGCAAGGGCCAAAAACTCCACACTGTATGCAGTGATCAGCAGGACGATGGCCAACAGAACCGCACTGTGTGCAGTGATCGGAGGCAAAGTGGCCAGTAGACATGCAACGCAAGCAGTGATCTTCGAAAGCATGACCGCTGACATGGCAATATGTACAGGTCAAGGTGTTCCATCTGCGTATCGTCGGGGTAGGCATGCAACTATCATAACGGTTTTTAGGCCCTGGAGTTGGCTCCTGCTGTCGTGGAAACTCCTGCCTGGAAGCTGCATTTGCAGGCTGATGGACGTTGGGCAACGATGGGGCCAGTATTGTAGAATCAGAAGTTGCAGCAGAGCTCTCCGGTTCCGGGGGTGGAGATTGATGCTGCGAGACTTCTGGCAGGTGCTCTGTAAGTGCCACTGTAGGTTCTGGTCCAAGCTGAGAGTACAGGGCTTCTTCATTGTCCGCAACGACTATAGGATTCGGGGCTGATCCCAAAGGTTCGTCATGAGAGGCGACTCTACGGTTTTGAGTGATGCATGACGAAGTCACTCGAGTTCCGGCCTGGTTCTGCTCGGGTAAGTATGGCGAAAGAGCCGCCTGGCACGGTCGGGCGAACCTGAAGGGATTGGATTTGTGGAAGGCTAGCCATGACGCTGACTTAGCGTGGACTGAGTGACGTTCTCTTCTTGGTGAGGCGGTGCTTGGTGATTTTCAACAAGTTAAAGACAGTCAAAGAAGTCGAGTTAAAAAAATTGAGAATTGGCTCGTGCGGTTAATATATGGAAGGCTGAGCGTCAACGATGATCGTCAGAGCTAGTTAAATAGATGATATGGCTGTCCTTGGTAGATTTGTGCCCCAGCAATTGTGTACTCTGAGAGTATTAGCAGAGTATAAAATGCACGATGCAGTTTTGAGGGAGGTTTTTGGTAGGAAATGCTGCTCCAAGATCATGCTGAATTAGTCAGCGGCAGGACGAAGTCGACTTGCGCAACTGCCGTGCCTGCCAATGTATCAGTAAGAGGCGTGTAGGATATTTTCTGTGACGGAGGGGAAAGATTCATGGACAAGAAGCGATGGCTGTCGAAGTAAACTTTCTTTCGAGATCCCTCAGCCGATACATGGACCTCTCAAGCAAAAGTTGATTCCTCAGGACATGCACAAGCTGAGTTGAGAACAGTGGAATGATCTGAAGCAAACACAAGGACTCCAGACTTGATTAGAATTACGTGGTGGGTATCAATGAAAAATGTCAAAATTCGACCGTCGGCGGGTCGATTAGCTCGCACGTCCGTACTCAATGTCCGGAGTGCTTCCTCTTTCTTTTGTTGCAAAATCATGGGATGCAGGCAATGGAGGGACTGGCACATCGGTGACGGTCATTCTGTCCTTTTCTCTGACTCTTGGTAGACTCGTTCTGCTGGCTTGATTGCTGGAGGCTTTGCCGAGTGTGGGAGGTGTGACGGAGAGGGCGGGTATCGAATGGCGGGTGATTCCCGAGTTGAAGGGAGCGTTGGCAACGTCTTGACGGCGGCGATGGCGGCGGCGCAGAAGGACGAGGATGACGGTGAGGATGCCCAATCCGACAAAGACGACGATGAGCATGACGATCCACTTCCAGTGGTCGGCCCACNNCTGGAGCTGGGTTAGTCGTAGTTGGTTCAGCAAGGAGCTAACAACTTACCAGTCGTGTCGAGGGTTTGCACTCTTAGACGAGCTCGTGCCTTGGGAGCTGCTGGAGCTTCCGGAAGTAGAGGTAGAGGCTGACGAAGCTACCGTGGAAACAGGCGTGGTGCTTGTCGAGTCCGTTGTAGAGCCGGCACTGACTCTAGCAGCAGCAGCGACACCGTTGTCGGCGCAGTTGGACTGGTACCAGGACGCAATCTTGGCCACATCGGCGGCTTCACACACGTCGGAGCAGATGGTGGAGCCAGCAGCCTTGAGGGTAGTGAGATAGCCAGACTGGCAGAAACACGACTCGTAGATGACGGCGTCGGTGACTGGAGCGGCCGGAGGGATGCAGCCCGTCTGGGCGTTCTGGAGGACGGTGCATTGCTGAGCGCACGAAGGAAGCGCCGTGTCGCTGTATACGAGGAGTTGCTGGGCAGAGACTGCGGCGGCCAGCGATGCGACAATGGCGAAGAGACGCATGACGGATGTGGAGGGCACGTTTGGTCGAGAGAAATCTGCGACGAGAAGAGGCTGTCAGCAGAGAGGACGACGCAAGACGAGAAGAAGAAGAAGAAGAAGAAGAGGAAGAGGAAGGCACGCTTACAGGGCAGTCGCGACTGCAAAGAAGCGTTGTCCACGCACAAGTCGATCAACGAGGGAAGGAGCGCTTCTCTTGGACGCAAAGGTGTTGCTGCTGATAAGACGAGGGGCCTCAGGAATGTGCCATGAAACGTTTCACCTTGAGTTGTCAAAGAGTCGTCGTGGACGAGCAGCAGAGGCAGTCGGGCTGATAGTCACTCAACAGTGGCTCAAGGTTCAAGCCAGTCAGACCATTCCCCTCCCCGGTCTGCGTGTATACAAGTACAGAGATGCGCGAGAGGGGGAAGGAGCCACGCCCGCATGCAGCCTGGCACTTGCCGCTTTCGTCTGTGCAGCTTGTGCTCTTGCTGCAAGGCGACGGCGAGGTTGCATCCCTATCGCAGCAGCAGACATGATCAAAAAGAGAAGCAGCAAGCAGTCGCAACAAGCTTTCCAGAGCAGGCAGACTCCAAGACATGCAGCGTTTAGAGTGTCGGCCCGTTGTCTGTCAAAGCAAACCTGAACCATCATGATGCTGCAAAGCTTGGCAGCGTGCTTGCAGTGCCAAGCCTCTCTCTATCGCTCCCCAAATCTTCACTTCTCCTCCGCCATTTACCCTCAACTTCATCCGCCCAGAAATGAACAATCAACTACATACATGCGAATACTCGCAATCGCAGCCGATCCTCTCCGCTGGCTTGATCCTCCGCATGGTCAACGAATATCGATCCTGCCTCGCAACCAGCCTCGGACCTTTTTGATCGTGTTTCCTCCCCTTGATTCCATGCGTATAGCCATACCTGGACGGGCCTCTCATCACTAATAATGACCTCGCCGGCAGTTCCAGCTCCCACTCTTCTGTCTTTTCGTCAACCACTTCGACAGGAGGTGAAGAGGGCTGCGGAGGTGTTTCGTTGCCTCCACCAAGTGATCGCTTTGGGAGGCGCAACCGTCTCGACTCCTTTTCTCCACACAGCTTAAAGTCCATGCGTGTTGAAGCGCCGAAGCTGAGGCTGTAGATGGTCTCTTCGAAAGCTGAATGCGTGTCGACGTGTGGAGGGATGCCCGTGCCTGGCGGATAGTGCTGCAAGGTGTACTGATCGGGAATATCCCTATCGTCTCTGGCAGGCAAGCGACCCAGTAGGCGCGTGAGGTACTCGGGCGGCGGCGTGCTGGCCGACTTGGAGACGGCAAAAGTGGTATAGTCAAAATGCGGGCCGTAATGCACCGCTCCTCGTTTCAAGGCGCGGCCGTCGCGTGAGGCCGTCGCAATGTGGTATTCCCGTATCATTTCTTCCTCTTCCTCTTGCGTGATGAATTCATGCATCAAAATCAAGCCGTTGGAAAACTCTTGTATCGGTGGATCAGTGGAGAGAAGCGTCGGCGATGGGTGGTTTGGTTGGATCTTCGTCATGGTCGTCTCTACCATGGTCGGCGCAGCATAGGCAAAGACAGCCTTCGACTCTTCTTCAAACGCAGCCCTCGCGTGATCAGGCGACTCATACTCGATCAGAGCATACGGCTTTCCACGTCACACTTAGTCGTCAGCCTTCCATCTCTTCTCTGCTTTCTACTTACTTTTGCCAACAATTCTACAGCTTGCACAGGTGCTCCAGGTAGATTTTCGGATGCAGTGATGCCTGAGCGCGCCCGAGCTGCCATGTCGCCGGCATTCAGCAGCCACAGCCATTTTGTGGGCTCCCCTGCTGCGGCTACCAGGTCTGTGATGGGCACCTTCTCCATTGTGGAGATTGTGGATAGGTAGCGTGAACGTGCGTTTTGGGGTTGCGCCTTCATGCTCGCTGCGCTGACCTTGAGGGTGTGATGCGCCTCCTTGGTTGCTTTGGCGCAGACATTCTTTGGAGCGCGGAAGCCTGTCAGAAGTTGCGGAAGCGAAAGATATGTCCCGAGTGGTCATAGGTCTTGTACAGCTTCTCTTCCTCCATGTCGGCAACGACTATACCAAGCTCTATTCTCTTGCAGGCTCGATTGATGTGCAAGACTACAGTAACATTACCTCTAGATCCATATCCGGGACTATGCTAACAATAATCAACTCTTCATGGCCACGCTCAGAAAACTGTCTGCTTACGCTGGTGTCTCTTGACCATTTTTCAGAATACAATACTGTGGAACACAATATCGAACACAGCACTCCACCACATGCAGAAATTGTCCTCGGTTCCATTTCAGCCAGTCGTCTAGCATCTAAAAATATCTCCTGAGATGCATGATCAAGAAATCACCTCGTCGTCGCCATCACGAAGCACGGTTGCTCCAGATCTACTTGTCGAGGGTCACACCCTGCCCTCATGGAGCAAGCATGGATTCAGCTTGGCAATATCGGACCTCGGTTGTCGGACTCCGATGAGGGGTATGACGTGGACGTATTGGCTTGGCGGGCGGCCTCGGGGATCTCCTATCTTCTGTTATGATTGTGTTCTGTCCTTCTCTTTCTTCTTCTTCCCTTCTTCATCTCTCATCTCTCATCTCTCATCTCTCATTCCACCACCACCTGCTTTCACAGATGTTTGGATGAAGGCGCTCAGTACGCCAATGTGGGCTACATGTATTGACGGATTCGCGCTTCGCTGGTGCGATCGAGGACGAGGGATCTGCTTCAGAGCATGACCGATGTGGCTGTGACTCAGTGGTGTGCTTGACATTGCCGTTGCCGAACGACCTTGAGAGCGAGAATGATATGCGAACGAGGACCAGAGCGATCAGTGATATCGCAAGCCGTTCTGCACGCGCCTCGTGAAGGGATGTGACCTTTGCCAGTACTTGACGCCCCGATCCATGAGTACATGACCCCGAGATGGGTACCTGTCCACCTTGATGGAGGCCTCTTGCAAGATCGAGAACGTGACGCGTAGCCCGAACACGACCTACTGCCTACTCGCGTACCGAAACGAACAACTCGCAACCGAATTATCGATAAACACCCGTCGCGTTGGTCTTGCCGATCGAAGCCATCACCCTGGCGAGCTGCATAGCTGGAACTGCCCATGGCTGAGCGAGAATGCAGCACAGAAAGATACAGAAAGACGTTTCGAACACACATGCCCTTGTAGCACCAATGGAGCCCGAGCAGAGAGTTGAAGAGTGAGTCGACTTGGTCGTCACCTTTCGCCATAAGTTTTGTTGCCGATGCATTGCATCTGAATGCTAGTCACGACTTGTTGTTCTCGAAACATGCTGCCTCCAGGTTTGCTTTACCATAGTATTGAGCTCGAGTCGTGAGCAACAGAATACCCCGACACCATCTGTGAAAGACAGTGCGCTTCTTGAATGTATCGATGACCTTTATATTCCCAGTCATAGTGCCGACCCATTTGTGTGATTCATTCCTACGGAACCCTTGCTAGGCTTGGCAAATTGCCCTCGACCCTTGCCCCGATAGCCACCACAATATACGCCGGATATACTGACCTCAGTGTGACAATCGAGAGAACAGCAGCTACAAAACATGCCTCTGGTGGCGATAGCAATTGTCCGGTATTCTTGATCCCGACATGACTTTCTGTATGGACCAGCGTCGCCAACGACAACAACATTAACCAATTTCATGACCGCATTTTTCCAACGACCCGCGCCCGTACAAACCGACCTTTCTGCATCATCTGCAAGGTATTCACGAAGCTTCTGTCATCATTTTGATTCGATAGTCTACCTTTCCGGCGTCCAACCACGTACGTTTGCACTTGCGACTTACCAAACGAGCCAAACGAGCCAAACGAGCAAGTTTTTCTTTTTTCTAGCAGGACATGATCTTCAAACGACGAGCATATTATGCGTCAAAACAACAAATCAAGCACATACGGCCACAGTCAGCTGAAAACTGGGCATCCCGTCCGCTCTGCCATACATAAGCAGTTGAACGGCAGATTAGTACTACGGTGGGTGACCACGTGGGAATCCCTGCTGCTGTATGTTTTTGTGATTTCTTTTGTCTTATGCATCTTTTGCTTTTATCTTTTCTTATCGCGAGAGATAAAGAGCTTAACGTTATGCGGTTCTGCTTTTCTGAGTCCGAGGGCAAGGAGAGATCGGCGCTATGTGAATACGGTATACTTCTGCTGGCATCGGACGTCATTGCAGCAGCAGCAACACACGAACCATTGAGTCAGCCATTTCACCACCGAAGGCTTCATAGTTTTCGGCATCAGAAATCCGTCGCACTCTGACAACAACTTCCGGGACCATCGGCTAATCAACCAGTCACTATACAACTGCTCGCAACAAATACAGAGCCTTCGAGACACCTCATGCGACAAAACGAACGAAAGGATCACGCTTAGGCCGACTTCGACACACAACATCTCTTTTGCAACCATGGATTGTCATCCGTCATTCAGTACCAAATACTCCGTTGACAACAATTAATCACACAGTTCTCTATAACAGCACTCTGTCCCAGCTCATCAGCATACCGTTCACTCTATTCACAGGCACTTTGTCCGAGTGCAAACTACACGTTCCCAATTGCTTGAGCCTTCGACAGACTTTGAGCAATAGACAAGAAAAATGACTATACTCATGCGGGGTTCCACAGACAGTAACAAGTTCACATCGGCGTACTTACTAGGAACATCTACGGGCTGTTGGAGAAGATAGCGAAAAGTAACGTAAGAGAGGCTCGAAAGCTTTTAGGTTGGAAGCAATCGCTACCGTGTTGCACCAGGAGTAGTGCAGCCCCACCTGTCGCAAATCATTGGTGTCACGGATTTCGCTATCAAGACGAGACGTGGACTGCCGGCCCATGTCATCCATCCATCTATCGAGCAACACAGCGTTCCAGACCTTGTCTTCCTTTTCTTACAAATTCTCCGAGAGTAGTTCGGCGGCGATATCGTGCGTTCCAGATCATACCCTGAATCCACAATGCAGCCACACAACCAGAGACGTGGCCTTTCGTTGCAAAGAGTCGTTGGCCCCTGTGCGATCCAGGCCTCAGTCACACCACGGCTTTGCAGTACCAAGTGTCTTTTAGGGCCGAGACCTCTCCACCAAATGTTCTTCGGGTCGTCCAAGGAAAAGAAAGAGTGGTCCAGAGGGCCACGGCGGTACGACATAAAGGAGAAAAGTTTTGTCGCCGGCCATCCCGAAGCATGATATTCACAGCAGCACCTCAGGGCATATCCGAAGTACTCGGCGTCGGCCTCCAGAAGACACATGCCACGTGTAAGTATCCCTTTGCTCGTCTTCCTCTCATGTGCGCAATTCTTGCCATGATCTATCACTTCCTGGTCACTGCCAACATAATCTTGGACATCGGCCGCCAGAAACACAGATCGACAATCGGACATCTTGCCGTAGGAAGGCTCATCTCAATGTTGAAGAGACAACAACGACCCCTGGCTTGCAGATCCTCGAACTCAAAACCTTGAAATTCTGCGAGAAGTCGTCAATCTCGGCTTGTACACTTGACGGTAAAGCGGAAATATGGCAGTGGCGACAAGTACTGACTAGCAGTGACATGCTGTTACTGATGAAGCCATTTGATGGTATGACGGTATTGGTCACAGTGGACACGTTTGCAAAAGTGAAGATGGTGGTGAAAGTAATCGAACAGCAGGACAGACCTCGAGCGAAGAGCATGTAACGAAGCTCCGATCCATGTCCTATTCGTGCCTGGCGATCACGTCTAAAGATACTACAAACAACAGCTACGACTTTGAGTCGTATTCGCTTTACAGCTACTCATACATTTCCAGACGCCGCATTCCCAGAAGAGACGCTATCTCTGAAAACCTCAACACATATCCACACAATCCTGTCGCACAGTTGAACTGCATCTACGATCTCTTATATGTTTGCAACCTTTATTCGAGAGTATTACCACAAGACTGTGCTATACGCATTCCTGGTCTTCAGCCTCAAGTGGAAAGTCTACTTTAGGACGTCACGGATAAGATAGAATATCCGAAAATATCGCAAAAAAATTGGCGCCTAGCATGTGCCGACGTTCGTATGCGGAGTGGCCGATACTGAACTACGCAGCTGATATGTAAGTGGAGGAAGTCGATGCCGAATTCAAGCAAGGGACGAACTTTTGTGGCTAAAGCATGGCGATCCCAATGCACTGTTTGCACCTTTCCAACAACCAGGACTTTCCTGCTCAGCTATCCTCAATCGAAGGAATGGATGCATGTACTACCCAGGATTGTTTGCCACGACTTTGTATCCCATTGCGACCCCGATCGCTGTCCAACTTTCCTCCACACCACTACGATCAGAAAATCTTAAAATCTCATACACCGTGAACGACATCTTGACATCTACGCATTCCTCGAAAAATTTGCTCGAACAAGCCCCAATATCGTCGTCAGTCAGAAGTTGGGATACATATTGAGCTCCAAACCCCTCGTGGCTGAAGGTTCAAATCAAACTCATACAACGCTTCGTCATATCTCCCCCAGATCCACCTCTTGTGTTACCAACTTCACACGCTCCAAACATCAGACATGCGCTTCGCCATTTTCATCTTCATTTCGACCTCTCTTGCGCTCCTCATCCCGAGATGCGACAAAGGGTACGCGGGCTCAGACAACTCCAATAGTGACCGTTCTTCTGATGCGTATATAGTGNATCACGCCTCCTCATCTGTCGCCGTCGGCGATTTGGAAGCTTCTCCTATCGCTACTGCTACGCAAACCGTCTCCGAATCAAGATATCCTTATACCAAGAAGATCAAGACTACTTCTACCAGAACTCCTTCGACTACACCTTTGGCGACCCGTGCTGTGACGACCGATATCGACGAGCCCGAAACTGGTGAGGTTTCGACAAGCAGCTGCAAACCTAGCTCTATCTGTGTGGACATGATCAACTCTTGCGGCCACCGTTATGGAGGGTGAGTGGGTTCCTCCTTTTCAGTCCGAGTCAGAACTGACACAGCAACCAGATGCTATGATCAAAACTTCTGCGATGGCAACACAAGCCCATTCCCTATCCCTCCTGCTTGTCCAACCATGACGACGATCAAGCGGGCAGCCGTAGCACCTCCAGCTATCACTCCAGCTTGAAATGGCGAAACATGAGGAAAGTGTTGGCGTCTGAGGGATTCTCTACCTTGCAAGAAAGTGGTACGAAAGCAAATGATAATAACTCCAAGGTTGCAGTGGGCGTCCGGTATTGAAGAAGCGAGCGAGCGTGTACGATAACAAAAGGTTTATATAGACTTGCTTGATGGCATGCTTTGAAGATCTCCCCGAGCTCGACCGCTCCAGAAAGGCCAGAAAGGTCTCGCTGCATTACTGTAGTTGTTTATCTCAGTGATCAGGAATGATTTGCTAGTGGTGTTTGATGCCCAGAATCTTGGAGAAAACAGCCAAGTCGGTAGATTGGAGAGGAATGCACCACGCTTTGATGCGCAATCTGCAACAGGCAAGGGATTGGGCCAAAACACACATAAACTTGCATCTGATTGTGCTTGAACTTTTGCGTACGACATTCGACAACAACACTGGTGCGACCTTACTTCGTTGGCATCCTTTTTTGTTTGCGAAGCCTGTGGGTTCGCCCTCTGTTTTGATCAGAAACAGACATTCATTACTTTTTCATTTCCTATCTCTTCTGCTTATCTTATTGACTTTTTCTACAAAGCAGAATAAAGTCACTCTTTAGTATCCAAATGCGCCTTCTTCAAGCTGCTGCTCTTGCAGCCTTTTCTGTCCCCATAGTCGCTCGAGGCGATTTCGACTTCAGAGTCAACCAACCACGCCGACTCGTTGCTGTGCAAAAGCCTAGTCCGGACAGAATTACTGAACACAAGATTACTCTGGGGCGAGCTAACACAAAAGCTAACTCATTGAGTGCTGGATACCTTCAAGCCATCAGGTCGAGCCAACATGTAGACGGTGTCTACTCAAGACTTCGAGTAAGCTGTATTCGCATCGGTGGATATCAGAGTACTAATCAAGGTCNNCAGAATGGTACTGCAGACCTTATCTCAGTCAATGCAGGAAGTGTCTTCCTCGCACCTCTCACTGCAGGTGCCGAAACCTTCGAAGTTGTCATCGACACGGGAAGCAGCGATACCTGGCTCGTCAACAGCCAATTCACCTGCGTCAACCCTAAAAACTCTGCTGTCCAAGACGAAGCAGATTGCATGTTCGGACCAGCGTACTCCTTGACCTCCATAGCCGAGCAGATCCCTAACCGCAACTTCAACATCTCGTACGCAGACGGAGAACGCCTTAATGGTGAAATGATTACCGAGGACTTGACCTTTGCGGGCATCACAGTGGAGAACCAAACTATGGGACTCGTCACCTACGCAGGCTGGTACGGCGATGGTGCATCTTCAGGATTGGTTGGACTCGCCTATGCGTCCTTGACAAACCAATACAGCGGCAACAACCCAAATGCAGATATTGCAGGCTTGACCATCCCTTACAACCCCCTCCTCACGAGCATGTTTGCTCAAAACCTCACTGCTCCTCTTTTCAGCATCGCTCTCGACCGTGACGTCTCCAGAAGCGCTCAATCAGCAGGGNGTGTCCTTGCCGTGGGCGGCATCCCAAACATCCCCCATGGAACCTTTTGGGCGTCGGCCAACATCTCCGTCGTCGTCATTGACGCCTCCACAGGCCAATCCGAATATCAGTTTTATGCCATAAGTGTCGACGGCTGGGCAGTAAGCAAAGATTGGAATGCAAACTTTGACGTCAAGATGACTGGAAACACGAAANAGACGCCTTTGCTGGGCGCACCCACTCGCAAAGTCATTGTGGATTCGGGCACGAGTTTGATCTACGCACCTACCGCTGTCGCTGCCGCCCTTGCTGCAGCCTTCAACCCTCCTGCTACTGTGAACGCAAGCTATGGACTTTACACTGTCGCTTGCAATGCCACCGTGCCTTTATTCGGCGTCACCATATCCAGCAAAGTGTTTTACATCAACCCCTTGGATCTCATCATCGATACTGGATTGGGCTTTTGCGTCATGGGTGTCCAAGACAATAATGGAGGCTTGACTATCATCGGAGATGTGTTTATGAGAAACGTGCTCACTGTTTTCGATGTCGGGGCCGCTCAGGTCCGTTTTTCGGCCAGGACATGTCAGTTGACTGATGGAACTATTACCACTGGAGGGAAAGCTAACTTTTTCTGAAGAAAAGGCATATTCTCATTGAAAGTTGTTGAAGGTAGTTTGATTGCGGAAACGGATATAGAAAATTATATATGTGGGAATTATCTCGACAATTTGCTTCTCATTACTTCTTTCCTTGCTTTTCACCAAGATTCTTCTACCGAGAGTTCTGTGCAATCTGTGGCTACGGGCAACATATTTGCCACTGGTACAATATCGCCACCGGCTTCAGCGACGGCCTTTGCAGCTGCTTGACTGAATCTTCTCCAGCGTTCTGCGGCTTCTCTCTCACGTCTGGCTTTGGTTTTGCTGCTTCCTGAAGGCGCAACACCCGTGAGCAGTTTTTCACTGTCCGAAGGCGTGTAGTTTACAAATCCACCAGATTTGCTTGTGCGGTTGGAGGATTTGAACTCGNNCTGCTTGATTTGCGGCTGTGGGGTTTGGAGGAGGAGTTGCGCTTTGTGATGCGTGAGCGTGGTGGGGAAGGTGTGCGTGATTCTCTTCTTGNNAGACGGTGGTGGTGTATGCGGCTGTGGTGTAGTAAGGTGCGGCCTCNNTACCACCAATGGCTCTTCTGCAAATGAAGGTGCCAATGTTGGATCATTGTATACTGGCAACAAACTGCCATGGACTTGGAAGTTGGTCAATGAGGCTTGGTATTCTGCCTCTTTCTTTTCACTCGCCATCCAAGGACTGAATGTGGGAGAGGGCTCGTAGATGTCCTCGGCACCGAAAGAGTTTGCACTCCAGGCCGATTTATTGTAGGCTTCTGCGGTGGAAGGTGCTTCGTAGTAGATATCGCGGAAGACGGTAGGTTCGTTGATGAAGAGGGCTCCGCGTTCAACGCTGGGGCTGGTGAGGGGTGAGGCTTCGGGGCTGTAGAGTTGTCTAGGCATACTCCGTGCGTTGAAGGTGTTTGTGAAGGGAGAATTTGGCTCATCATAGTTGGCGAAGGGCTGGAAAGGTGCAACGTCCAGGTCATTGAAGCTTTGGAAACCGAGTCCAACTGCAGGCTTGTTTCTTCCACTGGAGGGAGGAGTCAAAAGCATGCTTCTGACAGGCAAGTTCATGCTGGTCATTCTGCTGGGGGTTTGGTAGATGCTTTCGATCCAAGCGTCTTGGGCACCTGCCCTGTAACGCGATGGCGACATCATCTTTGGCGACTTGCTGGCCGAGCGATAGGATTTGGTAACGCCAACAGGTCTTTCAGGCGTCTTTGCACAGCGTTCTTGTTGGTATTTGATTGATTTCCGGCGCCTGGCCGCTGCGTTCACTGGAGGCGATGATGGAACAGTCGAGATGTGCGGACTTGGGAACCCACCAAGGCTGAGAAAATCCGCATGTGGAGTATTCTTTGTATTGTAGAAAGAAGCGGCGGGCGAAAGCCTGTGTTGCTGTTCTCTTTGTTGTGTACCGTCTTGCTGTTGTTCCAAGGATGAAGCGCTTTCTTCCAGCACGGCAAGTGTTCTGGCCCAGAAATCATCTGAAAGGCGTCTGGCTGCTGCTTCGGAGGAACTGCTGTCGCCACTGTCTGTAAACTGTTCTTCGTGGATTTCATTGTTGCTTGCTTCGTCTGAGCTGCTGGTGCCGAATTTGAAGTCGTCGATGTCGATGTCGACGCATTGGCTGAACAGGTCGTCATAGACGGTTGCCCATTGGGGCTCTTTGTTTGTCGACCGCATTGGGTAAGTGTGTTGCTGAGTAAGGTATGCCGTGTTGTACTGTGAGGTGGGAGTTGTGCAGATGGCTGATGAAGGGTTTGTTCTGATTGGCTGGTTGTAGACCGCTCCAGAGTTTGTGCAAGATCTGTGCAGAGTGTGGCTGAGGATATGCGAATCGGTAGGGTGGTTGCGAGATGGTTGGGTCCGAACAGGTAGATTGTAATGCACGGTTATGCAGGAACAAAACAGACATCAACACAAGATGCAAGGTAATATATGCACAAGAGACTATTGTTGGTAGAAACACCCAGCCATCTCTGATTGTAAGAGGCATTCCGGGTGGTTGGTCGTTCGTATGGAATGAGAGGTTTACAATAGTCTGGTTTTCCACTTCGGCTCTGCGGTCACATGTGTTTGGCGAGTCTGCTAGGCTCACAATTAGAGCCAAGAGATGGTGGCTGGTGGGAATCATGAGTGGCTAGCATTCCGGTGGTCTATAAAGAGAGTGGCTGGAGAGTCTGGTGCATTCCTCGACGCAGACATTCCTTGATGGTAAAGAGTGACACATGTGATTCTGAACAATGCTCCATCAGGTACAGCAGAGGACATTGTTCACAAGAGCATTATTGTGAACGGACTATGGCATTGGTGGTTGGGTTTCATGTAGACATACGGCCATGGCAAGAAGAAAGCTATATCAGATTTCAAGGGGTTGACTTCGCAATCGAGTTATGAAATTCGGTCGTACCAGGTGCATCCCCACCATTCATGACAGAAAAGTAGGAAGTAGAGTAGGGTTCTGAAATCATGTCAAGTATTTGTGCATCAAAAAATGTTTTCCACCTTGTTCTCGTGCCGTGAATGTGTTCGCCTCGGCTTGTACTCTTCGAGGTTGTCGCGTGCGTTTCGAGTATTCGCCTCTCATCTCAAGACTTCAGCACAAGGAACACGACTCGACATTGTCAAATCAAGCACAAACCAAATCAACAGTCCAGCGCCATGAATTAATCTTATCTCGTTGCTCTGACTTGCACGTCAATCCGCTTTCGTGTGTTTGTTGCCCAAGTCAAGGAATGTACAGCAATCAACCCACATTCCAGCATCATCACTACAGCAAAACATGGCCGTTAGCAGTACCTGTATAAGTCATCTGCTGCTTCAGGAACCTCACTCATTCGGGCTCTTTCTCTCCTTCAATAAGTTGCTTCAGAATCTCACTCGCTCGATTCTCTAGCCTTCCTTTCCAGATATCATTATCATCTACTCACACAGTCACTCACTTGTACCTTACAGCCTTGTAATAACCTTTAGCCCTAATATCAATCTCGATCAAGCTTCAAGATGAAGATCGAGTTTGCAGCAGCTGCTACAATTGCAGCCTCAGGCGTTGTTGCTCAGTCATCGCCTGCTCCCATCACCTCTGCTGCAGTCAGCACATCAACTGCATCACCAGTCTATGTCACACTGACAATTGATGATTGCGATACTACCGCTCCTCCAGCAATGGTCACAGTGACCAATGGAGTCACACTTACCTACTGTCCCAAGTGCGAAGAGGCCTCAAAGTCCTCTGCCGCCCAAGTCACTCCCTTCACCACAATCTGGACAACAACTTATCTTTCTCTTTGCACGACCGTTACTTCTCACGGTATGACACCAGTCGTCTACACCGTCACCGAGTCATGTACCGAACCTACCCCTACCTGGACTCCTGGTCCGAGTTACGTTCCTCAAGGCTTCACCACCACCGAAGTCGTCTGCCACCAATGTGCCGAGGGTCCTGCAACCTACACGGTCACTCAACCCTGCGATTGCGAACCTACGCCTGCTCCTGCACCTGCCAACCCTACTGGCTCATCTCCTGGAGGCAACGGCGGAAATGGGGGCAATGGAGGCAACGGTGGAAATGGTGGCTCGTCTTCTCCCGGTGGTAACGGAGGAAATGGCGGCAACGGTGGCAATGGAGGCAATGGAGGTTCTTCAAGCCCTGGTGGCAACGGAGGAAATGGGGGCAATGGTGGAAACGGTGGAAATGGAGGAAATGGAAGCCCTGGCACACCCGGCACTCAAGGAGGCAACGCTCAGCCTCCTGCTCCTGCTGCCGGCACACCTGCTGCCAATCCTCCTGCCGGCAATGTCGTCACTCAGATCAGCGACGGTCAGATCCAAGCACCTACTAGCAATCCTCAACCCGTCACCCAGATCTCAGACGGTCAGATTCAGGCTCCTACTGGTGGTGCCGGACGTCCTGAGGGCCCGGCTGCCAACAATGGCTCATCGACTGTCACCGTTCCCTGCCCAGGACCTCAATGCAAGTTCTCGACTGCTGCATCACCTAGCGGCACCGCACCCGCATCTACCAGCCCAGTCTCTTTCACTGGCGCTGCGTCAAGCTTCAGCATCGGCGGTGTCTTCGCACCGTTCGTTGCAGTCGCTGCCGCTGGGTTCGCCGTGCTTCTCTAGAAACAGAGTTGCTCTTGATGTATGCTGATATGAGGGTGAACTCTTTGCATGGCGAATTTGAAGCCGACAACATGTGGTCAAAGGGCGTTGTTTATCTTCTTTTCATTCTTTTTTTGATTCCTTTTTTCTTATCTTTCTCGACTTTTCTTCTTCCCTATGTTTGTTTCTCAAACTAATCCATCTGTGTTCCGGATAAACTACTTATCTCAAAATTCAAAGAACAAATGATTATGCTCCAAATGCTTGATGTTGAACATACCTTTTAAGGACTTTTGTAAAGGACCGTCCAGAGAATTACTTCCGGACACGTCTGCATCCGAAAGAAAGCTTTTAGATTGCTTGCTTCCGGCTGTGACGTGACTATCATATTGCGATTATCTTGAGCAAGCTTCGAGTACTTGCGGTGACCTTCATGAAGCTGGCCTTGGAGAGGTAGTAAGATGAGTGGCGAAGTCGTGTATGAGTCCTTTCCCACTCTCGTACGTGTACCACAGGCTTCCGTATGAGCTGTCAGGATGAGGATTACGCGTTTTAGAAATATTCCATCACATGCTGCTTATCTGTCTTTCCAACCTCGGCTGCACCACAACGGTTTTCAACCACGTCGAGCAGATGTCCACCTTTCTATCTACTCATAATTCCTCGCGCCTATCCTGATCAGAGGCACCTAGATCACAACACTTGTACCATCGTGTTGCGTAGAGGAGTGAAGATGAAGCCGCCTAATGCCAAGCTTTCAATATCGACGGCACAGGCCAATTTGAAAATGTTTTCTTTGGAGCAGAAAGGAAGAGCATTCAAAACATTGCACAGCAACAACTACCAAGCTACCACCTGCGATTGACTACTATGAGCGACATTGACAATATCTCAACTCCTGCGACTCCTGGTCAGGAGCGTCTGGCCTCCTCGGGTGGCGACGCCTCAACCCCCGCACCCTCGACAACCGAATCTGTTGCTTCCTTCGATTCCGGCATCGGACGTTCTGGCGAGGACTCTGGCGATACAGATGGATCTTACGAGACTGAATCAAACAACTCTGATGGTTCTTCAACTCCCGAACAGGCCGATCAAGCTGGAGTTTCAGACGTCCAATGCAGCCGCGAAGACTGCGCAGCACGAGTCGCGGAAGACCTGGCTACGATATCTAGACTCGAGGAATGGGTGAAACTCGCAACTGGTACCAGGATGGATGAACTCTTCGAACAGTATGTCAAGGAAAACGGACTACCTCATGAAGGCTGCATCTGTTCCCAGATGAAAGCTCTCGAGGCAAGGGCGGTCGAACTCAAAGAAGTGTGCGAATTCATCGAACACGAAAAGGAAGTACTCATCACCCAGAAGAGAGAAGTTTCTGAAAGGATGGATGATGTCTCGAGACTCTATCTACAAGTTCAAGTCAAGGAAAAGGCACTCGGTGAAACACACGCCGCTATCGACATCAGAATGGGCAAGATGGACGAAATGCTCGGACTCGCCAACGACTCAAAGGCAGAAATCACACGCAAAAATCAGGCACTTGACAAGCGACAGGAATATATCGAGAAACAAACCAAGAAACTCGAACACAGCCAGGAAACCTTCAAGAAGCAGTCGGAGCTATTGACCAAACTCTTGCGACAACAGCAAGATTCCCAAGAAAAACTTGACGATCGCGAAAAAACCATGAAAGCCCAACAAATGTCACTAGAGCTTCGCGAGCTTGATTTGAAGAAACGAGAAGCCATTTTGGCGCATCGAGAACAGGCTCTGAGGAAACACGAACGAGATGTTCAGAACCATATTGACCAGTACACGCGAGGCGAACAAGAGTTCAAGGAACGAATGGCTCAATTGATGGAACAATCAATGCACACCAGTATAGCGAATATGGGCCTTGAATCTGCTGCAGATAAAACGGAGGGTGCAAATGAGGTATGTTTTACCATGCAACAGCTGCAAGCGATAATTACTGACGAACCAACAGGAGGCACCAACGTCGGCTTCGCATGCCCCCGATGCGATAACTTCTCCCCAACCCTCCCCCTCCGCAGCAGCACCACTCCCGAGTTCACTAATCCCGCCCGTGCGACAGCGCCGAGAGCTGTACGGAAGACCTGGCAGACTTGGCCGGTACTGATCTTAAGTGGCCCCTGCAAGTAATGTGCAATCTTGTCGGTATGTATACAAAGTCCCCCTTCCACCAACCACTTTTTTTCCTCTCTTTGCATGATGTAACAAAATTGGTCCGTGTTTCTGAGGCGGCTTAAGACCCCGCTACACGATGTCAAAACAATGCGCTTGTCGCGACACTGATATTTTACCCTGTTCACACTCTTATCATATTATCCTTGTCTTGAGCGACATTAGCTGACAACTTCTCTAGCTGATGTATGTTCCTCAAGGTCAGAGGTTGCTTCTTGCAGAACTGAGCCATATAGAAAGACGGAAGCCTGTCAGTAGAGACAGTCAGAGCGAGAACGAGAAGGCAACTAGATGATTGTTCAAGTAGAATCACATGGACGAGTGGCCTCTTAGTTGAACGTGCTCTAAATCTGCATCAAACCAATACTCATACACTCTGTCAATTACCACTCCCTCGAATCGCACCCCAGAAAAGCTCTAGCCGTTGATCGAGTCATGTCTTCTGTACCGCTCGAATGATCTGCACACCACGGAGCGGCAAAGGATGACTCCATCTTTTCTTGTCAAAACTGTTTTTTGCGTATCTATGTCCAAGATTGGCGGCTTGTCTTCCATCAATTGGTTCTGTGGTGTAGTTGGTTATCACTTCTGTCTAACACACAGGCGGTCCCCGGTTCGAACCCGGGCGGAATCATTGCTTTTGCCACCAGACTGAGCACTTCTTTTGCACGTCGAGAACGCCGGGGTGTGGAAGATTTGGTAGTGGAGAATCTTATTTCGAGAAGTTCGCGGGCGCAAAGTTTGAGGCTTCGGTGCGGAAGCGACGCCGACATTAGATTGTCTATACCATTACTCGTTTACAGATGGGACACCGTCATATAATCAATAACAAAGTACTTTTACAAAAAGAGAAGCTCGAAAACGTATGGGATCTACAAGGAATGTACGATTCAGCCATGTTCATGTCGTGTTGTAGTGTTGAACATCTGCTGATGTTGCAGTAATCGCCTTTGTTCTCATCGTATACAAGGCGTGACATGACAGCTCTACCCTAGCGGGTGGACCAGGTGTGCAAGAGTGCATTTGAATCCAGAGTCGAAACCAAGAAGAGCTTCATGGATGTCGTGGAGAGGATTTCGAATCCATGAGCAGGGTCGTACTGGCTGCAATACAACTTGACCTTTTCGTCTGATTTACTCGTACGTCTGCTTTGTCTCTCGTGGACAAACTCTTGTCAGTCAACCGAATCGCGCCGCTCTGCAACTGTGAAAAAGACCATCTATCTGTAGCCATCTCGACTCCTTGATGCTGACACGATCCCGCGACCGTGGCGGGTTTCGGAGAACTCGAGGAAATTGCTACGAGACGATGATTCACTTTGTGACTTCTCAAAGCCGAAGCTCAACAGTTTCCTTGATGTTAGAGGCGGACTGATGGTTGGCATCGCCGGCGGCGCTCGACTGCGGATCACGATATACGACTCGGTGACGTCGTCGTGAGCTCTCTAGATAACTAGATGGGTGGAGTGTATCAGTATGATTATGGAAAGATGTTATAAGGCTGTAAGTTCTAGTAGACGGGATTTATGAACAAGCCTCTAACAGTGGTGCTTATAGTAGTCAGCGTTCTCGAAAGCACGTACGAGAGCGAATGCCACGATATCGAGAACGACATGAATGCCATTCTAGACCAGAACCCGAAACTCAAACAGAACCACAGCCGGCCTGACAGGCAAACAGATTGTCTCTACAAGTCAAGCACCATCCATCCCTACAAGACCGAAGGGGACTGCGAGAAACTGTGCGGCAGACAGTTGCACCGTATAGTCCAACGTCGCGAGAGAAAATAAGGCGATGATGATCCAGCCATCCACGACGCCGTGATTGCATCTGGTACTCAGCTAATGTGGTTCGCGACAAGACGAGACGCCCCGACAAAGGAGAAAGGCATACTGTGCTTCGAGATGGAAGCTGCTGATCTCATGAATGGAATCTCCTGTCTGGTGGTGCGCGGCATCTGCGACTACTCAGACTCGCACAAAAACAAGCAGTGGCAGGGCTATGCTGCCATGACAGCAGCAGCCTAGGCCAAAGACTTGCTTGCAAAGATGGTGCCGAGAAACGTGGAGCAGGCGACAAAGATCAACGAAGTGCTATCATCAAGTAAGAAACTTGCTTGCTACCCGAAATATAATCGACCATCATTCTCATCAGCCTCACAGTATCACAAAATGTCGATGCCCTGCGTGTAAAAACAATGGAAATGTACGCGGGTGTGAAGCTGCTGCTGATGGTGGAAACGATGACATCGATCAACTCCTTATCGATGAGTATGGTGCCAACGTCAATCAAGTAGGAGGAAATCGGGGCACGGCTTTGCAAATCGCCTCAGAAGCAAAGTTTGAGAGCACGGTGCGGTTTTCGTTGTCAAGGGGTGCAGACCCTAATATAGTGGCTGGTTTCCACGGTACTGCACTGCAAGCAGCGGCGTACAGAGGATCTCGAAGCAATGTCGACATCTTGCTTGAGCATGGAGCTGACATTGACATTCAGGGTGGTGCAAGACACAATGCAGTCCAAGCTGCACGAACCGCACATGATGGACCAGATTTTGAACTTGCCGACTTTTTGCAGAGCCGGAGCAAGTTGACGGGCACATGGAATCCGCTTGCTTTATCTAGGATGTGAAAGAACGTTGCAGCCTGTTTATAGAAGTAGACTGTCTTTCATTCTATCAGATAGACGGGTTTGTAGATAGGGGAAACCTCTCTGATAAAGCATTGAGTTGGATGTGCCTGATGCTCGTGATGGTACTCACGGTCAATGACTGGATGGCGTATGTTATGCCGTCCGCTCAGGGGCTTGGTAACGGGATAGGGTCTTCGTGCGATGCTCTGATGTCCAGTGACGTTGATTCAGGATTGTCTCGTTTGGTGCATAGCCTCAAGAATATGCATAAAAATTGCGATCAGAGGACTACTCGGCTGTCAGTAATGTGGTTCTGGTTTTGAGAGGTTTACGTGTGGAGAAAGATAGAATAATAGAATCGTAGAGGTCAGTCCAGCCATGATTCCCAAGGTAGTGGCAGCAGTAGCTCTAAATCTTCTCAGGATCAGGCGAGCTCAGGATGACATGTGACCGGACTTGATATAATCGGGTTGTGCAGCATCATGGCAAAGTATCTCAGAGGTGCTGGAGATGCCTCCTCACTGATTGGACGAGTTCCAATCAGGGGTCTGCCGTAGTGGAGGCCCTCCTTCCATTTGCGATGCTTGGGTCGTCTTGCGGTATAGAGGTGACTGAAGCGACGAGGTGGCCGTGGGTGGGACTGGACGGCTGGTTTGAACGGGACCATGGACGTGTCACTGCCGTCACGCGTTGACTGTGAGCGAAAAGGTGGATCTGGGCAGCAGAATGAGCGCGTAGGGCAGACCGAACCATCTAGAGAGGCTTGATAGATTGGGTAACTCAAGATATCTCGCTGGCCGCCCAGGTTTTGACAGGTAATGGAGCAAGGTTTGGAAGGGACTCATAACGCTCCAATCCGAACCAGGACGAAGAAGCTAGGGAGTAATCCCGGGTTCTCGAGCACGGCCCGGGCATCATTTCGCGGACGTAGTCGGAGGATCGAGTGTGAAGAGAGTTGGCACGGTGCTTTGAGCAGTTGAAGAGTTTTGACGAGTTTCAAAGGTTGATCTGGACGGCGAAGCAGAGGCTGCCAGCCTTTCTTGGTGACATTGCTCGTCAATCTCTGGACGTTTGCTCGATCGTAAGACTATCTGGCGAGGAGAGCTCGAAGAGCGTGATTTACCTTGGCGATGGTTGAGTCAACAGGTCGAGTGTAGGATGTGCGAAGTGCGAGATGCGAGGTGCGAGGTGCGCAAAATTCTTCTTCAGGTCCCGGCCGCCAGCCGAGCGAGTGATGAAAAAGCGTTCTCGCATCAGCCTGAGGTAGTGCAATACAGGCGACACAGTGCCAGCAGACTTGAGCACACGCAGAGGTCTGCCAGCGAGTTTCAAAAAGAGATGAGGAAGTCTGTCAAGTGTGGCCGCGCTTGTTACAGAGCATCTCTAGGCAGCGTGCAGTCTTGCCCAACCGGACTGCAGCCTTGAACATACCAGGGTACGAGAGAGGCGAGAGGGTGGAAGGGTAAGCCACAGGAGAGACCGGGGGATGGAGACGATAGGGAAAGAGGGCGTGGATTCAACGAAAGAAAAGAACAAGGACGCGGAGAGAGGAGAATTCAACCAATCGCGCAGCCGACGAAGCCAAAACAAAGAGATCATTTCTTCTCCAAGCCCCGGCTCAAGGCCAACAGACTCAATGAAAAGATGTTCGCGTCGACTCGAGGCAGTGCAATACGAGTGACACAGTGCTGGAAGACATGAAAAGCAGTGGTCTCCCGGCTGGATCCAAAAACAGGCGAGGAAGTCTGTCAAGTGTGGCCGGGCTTGTACAGAGCATCTCTAGGCGGCGTGCCGTCTACCCACCCGACTGCAGCCTTTGTGGCATGTATTATGACTCTTCCATCCTTGTCCAGCAACTCTTGGAGCCACGAGAAAGGGAGGTGAGGTGGAAGGAAGGGCGAGGCGCGAAAGTGAGGAGGGGAACAAAACGCGGAATTCAAAGCGACGCTCGACGCAACCGCTGCCATCAAAACAAGACGACCGTTTACAGTGCACCTGGTCACGAGAGAATTGGGATAGGCGTGATGAAAGTACAGAAGAGAGCATAATCGAGAGTCATTCAAGTAGTAGAAAGCTATATAGGTGATGTTCATATGTCACTGCCCCAAGTGCCCTCTTCGCCATAGGAGGACGAGTCTGGTTTCCTCGGAAGAGTCGTCAATGTAGCCACAGTACCATACAGCAGTCGGTATAGAATGACCAATGCCTTCGTTTTCTGCTGCAATTTTTGAAGAAAAGCAGAGGACCTGGGTCCGGGAGCAGTATTTATAGTGTGTCGACGATGTTGCGGTGATCTTGGCGACTCTGATGATCTTGCGGGTCGTGCTACCGTAATCTATCACGATTGATCCCGCAAAATAGCTGGACGAATGAAAGATCACCAGATGCTACTGATTCTGCGGATCCGGATAACTTTCTATATTGTATTGCAGATTGCAGGATACTTCATGTGGTTCAATCGTCATCATAACAACATCAAGATGATTAATTTCTCGCTTAAGGACATTGCGGACTACCCTTTGGGTATTGCAAGTACGTTTGGACTTTTCCTTACACTGAATTGGTATCCTCTGACTTTGCTTATAGTGGCGATGGCGGCTCAGTCCTGAAATGCTTCTGGGCACTTGCCAAGGTCGCCCACCACCGCCTCGATCTGACAATCGTGGTTGAACATGACAAGCACCACTGGCGCAACGAAGCTATGTTCCGCGCCCAACCTGCTACTCTGTTGGCCGTGTACCACAGAGTTCAATCTTACCAGGCTTGGAGAATCAAGAACGGGTTGCCACTCGATCCGGAAGACCTAGAATTCTGGAGATGGGTGTTGGACAAGGATCAGTTTGTCGTTCGCTTCCCTGGCTTCGAAGAGGAACATCAGGATGGAAAGGATGAGGACTTCTCCAAGGTCGTTACCTTGGGCTGAAAGCATGTGTGTCTGCACAAGTCTTCTCCATGTATCGTCTACTGACATAGCTCTTCCAGAACAAACTTCTGGTTACCATGACCCGAATCAGTTTGTCAAGCACCATATCCTTGGTCCTCTGGTGCTTTTTGGACTCTGAGCTGTCTTTCGGTCGTCCCTTGGATAGATCATGGTAGTGTTTTGCTCTGGGTTATTTCTTTGTCTGCTGGATTTAGTTTTGTTCTTCTTTTCTTTCTTCTGTTTTTCTTTTGTCATCTCTCGGGAGATACCTTCTTCTGAGGACCATGCTTTCATGCATGAGGTTATCTCTGTACAGTGTAAATACCAGAGAAACATCTCTTCTCCTCTCCAAAGTCGTTGTATCTTCTAGCTTTCAGTGGTCTATATCGATGAACCTGATTCCTTTGCGCCTTTTTATAGCTCTGCTATACCACGGCTTGAACACTGGGAGCAGCGCTTCCGTGTTCCATATCTGAGCTCCCAAGCCAATGTCTTCAGCTATCCATATCTATCAAGATGCATGATGGGATGCCTGTAACGAGCACGTTCCACATAAACACCTCGTCTCCGCTAGATCTCACTGGAACATGTCATTATGTGTTATACATCTTTGCATTTTGATGACTATATCAAGAAGAGACCAGTGTGTGGGAGATGAGCTCTGAGCATAAAGTCCAAGCTTTCACATCGACATCTCGACCGCTCTATGACCCTCAAGATGCATAGACTCTACACTGCCTTGCTTGAAGACCACTGAGACGTATAGGAATATTTTTGCAACCCTATCTCTTGCAAAAACTCTCTGTGGACTATACCTCTCTCTTGGGAATCTTTCTGCCCTTTTGCAAGTCGATTTAGCAGTCAGTTGAGGGCGAGATAGTTAGTCCAGGAGCTCTGCCTTCTATACTCCACGGCCGATACCATGATGGGGATGTATTCACAAAGATACATAAAGCAGTTCTTTCGAAAGAAGAGGCCCACCGAGACATCTTCCCAATCTTGACTACGTTTGAGTATGCAGGGCTTTCACTGGACTGTATCGATACAAGAGCAATCATTCTGCATCTCGATAGGTACTTTCAGGGACTATCTGACTACGAGGATTGGAAACGTTCCACGACGGTCGAGGAAGATAATCAAGAATCTGTCTGGCTATCTGAAGTCTGACTTGGGTCTGGGTGCTGAGGCTCACTCAGCGGAAATGAATGGCAGGTGGCATGAAAGGGCGGTCACAAAGTGCTGCAGCATCTGGGTATCTTCTAGCCAACTCTTGCATCTCTTCCCGATCTTGCAGGAGCCATGCGACTCCTTGACGTTGGTCTGGGCCTCCATGCAGCAAGATTGATCGATGGTCCCACCACGCGAGTTCGTGGCCATAGAGTCGAGTGGTGGCACTGCAGTGTGATGGACCAAGAGTAGCGAAATAAAGCTTGTTCGATGAGACGTAGAGCGTGTAGTTTCGGTAAGGTTCCAAAAGGTCATCTGACAAGTCAATTTCCTTGGTGTAATGGATGTCGACAAGGAACTTGCGCATGGTCTCGAATACTCGATCCCAGAGGTTGCCGAACAACTTGATCAGGAATTGGCGGTCGCCTTCAATCTCACCGATGGTTGTGACTTGTGCAGTTGGGTCGAAGACTGCATGTAAGAACGAGTGCTGCATCCAGCTCTCAAATGCTGCCAGCCACTTCAACACGGCGAGAGGAGTAACAATCTGTTCGGATGTGACAAAAGGTGGTCCAAGTCCTTGGTAAGATCCTCATGGACCTGCTGGAGAGGTGCGTCTAGTCCTGACCACTCCGCCTCGACCCAGTTGAGAAGGTCGATCTGATCCATGTAGGTTGGTGAAAAACTGAACTTGGCCATAGCCTCAGGGTATTTGATGGCACTGTGGAGGGTGTGCTGGTTTGATGGAGGAACAGCAAGGTCAAGTGGATCTGATTAGTCGCGACGTTCGAGAGGCATAGTACCTATCGGGGCGATTTTAGCCTATGATACCATTCTGTATGAAGACCTCCTTACCAGAAGGGGTTCAGAAAGATGAGAAATAGGAGCTACGGGATGCTGCGAGTGCTCTCCTTGGACAGGGGTGGCTAGACGGAAACAGTGTTGCCTTTTTATGGTAGTCTAGCACGCTGCGAGTGGTGTAGAGAGACCGCGAGATGATACCAGGAGCTGAAGTAGATGAGGGAGCTATCGTCGAGGCAGGCTGTAGAATAAACTGTCGGACGTATCAACAGAATGGAGTCAGTGAATTGTGGCATGGTGAAAGTGGGAATGGGCTGAGCGGAGTGAGACTGGTATCAACAATTGTCGAGCTTATCCTCCTGGAAACAGGCAACACTGGGTCTGAATTATCTTTACGCCACCACCTGCACCCCATACCGCTAGCCATATCTTCACTATCCTTCCTGTCACATCACCGCCAACAATGACATACAGCTTCGTCGAGAAGCTCAAGGACATGGGCAAGAGCCTCGTCAAGAAGGTTGCTGGTGCCTTCCAGCCCAACAATGCGTGAGTAGCACCCCTCTGCTCGCCGTGCAGTTTTCTGACAGTTGATATCCAACAGCAGTAACAACAACAAGAATTCCTCGTACGAGGCAGTCATCGTCTCACCGGCCACCCCCGTGCGCACCCCTTCGGAGAAGCGCGATGCAAAAAGGAGCGCGCCAGATTTCCTTGCACCTCTCCTGCTCAGGAGCGTTTCCCCATCGACGACTGAGCTTGTATACAGATTGTAGGGAGATGCAATTAGATGCCGCAAGAGCGCGTAGAGTTGAGAGACAAGAGGAAGGGGTAACAAGACATGGTCGGCCTTCACGACTTGCACCTTGACACAACATTGGCGTGGAAGTGTAGCAGTAGCAAGAAATCAAGACACGATGCAAAGCCATAATCGAGCCTTATCACTCTCAATGAAATGTTAAGCAGTGATGATTCGTTGTGAAATTCTCTAATTGACGTCGGCTGCCGCGAAATTCCGACTTCCAACTATGTACAACCCAGCCCGGCGTCACTCCTGTCTTTCTCCTTCCTAGCAAAGCACCGCTACAAACGCAATCCCAAGTCCGCGTCCAATACCAAAAAAAACTGCAGTTTCTACCGATCCTCTCTCCAAAACACCGACATCAGCACCATGTGTTTCGGCAAGAAATCCTCCATCTCCGCCGACTCCTTCTCATCTTCGTCGAGCGATGAGTTCAATGCTCGCCCTATCGAGCTCAACACCATCCGCCGCGTCAACTCTCCTCGCTGCGCTGCCAGAGGCACTGCCTACTTGCCTTACCAGGTCGCTCAAGCCGCCTCAGACCGTGACACCATCCGTGTCGTCAACAAGAGTCCCGCCGACCATGCTAACCAGCAGAAGTGTAAGTTGTGGTACACCCTCGCTACTTGAGCTACGTTGATTCCTGAGAACAGGTCAGAAGTGAGCTTTCGCGGTTGTCAAAGCCGGACGCAACATAATGTGGCCTATACCCAGGACGTGCTTGGTAAGACCACTCACGGTCATCGTGATCATCATAGACACATGCTGACAACGCCCAGAAGACTGTTGTCGAAGCAAGTGGGTTCAGAGAGGCTGATCGATAGATTGGAGGGGGTCAAATTGGAAAGCTACTCGAGGTAGATGGCTGTATCAAATCATCAGGAAGAGGATTTCGTTTTTATCCTTTGAACAGTGATACTACTTGGTTGCCTCATCTGCACATTCTCAATGTATCAATTTTCTGATCTCGCTTCTTAATGTAAGAACTGAGTCCGGTTGATACGTTTGTTCGACGTCAAAGCTTTGACCCGTAGACCAGCCCCAGGCAGACCCTTCGTGTTTACCATTTCACGTGTTCGAGCACGACTTTTACCAAACACAGACCGCAACTCTGACGTATCCCACGCGACTCACCATAATCATCAGCATTACTCCCGTACTGCAGCAATCTACTACAATGTGCCTCCCAGTTTTCAAGCACAGTTGCTTTGTTTTCGGCGCCGTCATCAACCTCGTCCTTCTGAGCTTGACCATCTACACTGCTCAGACCGGCAAGCCCTTTGCTGTTTGGGGCTCTCTCCTCATTGCTTTCCTCCTTGCCTTCGTTTTCGTCGCTTCTATCAGTAAGCAAACCATGCCTTTGTACCATCTATCTCAATTTGACTGACACGTCCGCGTGTAACAGCCATGGGTAATCTCCGCTACGAGCCTCGCCACACCCCCAATTCCTCCTACATCGTCCCTCTCTACGACGAGGAGATCGAGCTCTACCACATTGGTACCTCGCCTCTGTCAACCATCGAAGAAGACCCTGCTCAAACGGAAGTTTACCGCCGCCTGCTCCGCGACCGTCCTCTTCCCCCTGAGCCAGCACTCAGCCCTCCCAGACGCGGCTCGCCTTTTCCCACTCTCATTTCACCTATGAGCGACCCCTTCTGACCACGCTGGTACTAGTGACGCCTGTGGTGCCGGTCAAGAGGTTGATGCAACCATCCGTCTCGTCCCTGAGTCTTCTGGTAAGCTTGACCTTCTCCTGGCATGACTGTGTACCCAACTGACAGGCTTTGCAGTTGCTTCACGCATCTGAGCGACTGTTCTACCTGTATAGTGGGGTTCGACAAGGTGATGAAGAATCATGACAGCCCGAGGGATCCGGTCAGAGGCATTCGTCCTGGGGAAGAATATTGGTTGAGGCATCATGATCACTGAACTGGCCATGAGCAAGACGAGTAGCTTGGGTCAAGAAGTCTCTGAGCATATCGCAAGCAATACCCAAGCTAGACTGTTGAGAATGGTGAGGGATGGAAGAAAAGATAGCTTTCTCGTCGAAGGTGTCAAGTATCATAGCCGGAGCAAGGCCACTACTGTGTCATAAAGATCGAAACCTCCATTGAATTTACATCCGTGTCTTTCAAAATTCTCAACTACGTCTTGTTCCACCTTCAGAAATTACTTGACATGATTGTCGAGTTGGACAGTGTCGATCGAGACCGAGTCGTGTTTTGATGTTTTTGTACTCTTTCGAAGCCACGACTTTCCAGCCCTCTCTCCACCACAACAACACGCAACCATCCCGCGAGAACAACCAAAATCTCCAGATATCGCTCACACCATCAATCTCATACAAGATGTCGCTCGGTGACACGTTCGCCCGCTTTTGCAACTGCAACAGTCCAGTCATGCCTATCGCCAACACCAAGACACAACTTCTCTGCTTGTCTACCCTGCTAATCGCTGTCCTCTTGGGTACTGTTCTCTGGGCTCTCGTTCGCTTCTGCGATACTAAGCTGCTGATTCCTCTTCTCGTCGTCCTCGCCCTCCTTTCATGCGTGGAAGGTGCCTTGGGTAAACACATATCTCTTTCCTAAACATCCGATGGACGTGTCCTGACGACGAACANNGTTCTCGCAACCTTTCAAGCATCCAAAAGCAAGCACCCCGACATTGAACAACAAGAGATTCCTGTCGCCCTGAGCCGCTCACGCTCGCCCGACTCTGAGAACGCCGTTCCGACCTGCCCTGCCACTCTCAACGATAAGAACTGCCCTACTGGAGTTTCGCGCAACTTCTCTCTGCCCAGAGCACGATGCCTTGATGCCATTCCTAGTACTTCCACTCTTGTCATCCCTGTTCCTGGCCCATACCTAGGTACTGGTATCGTCTCATCTGCCACTGGCATTCCTCGCCCACTGCCGCCTATTCCCACCAAAACCGCAGCTACCCCTATTCCTTCCCCACATCTCGAAAAGCTTGAGCACGTCGAGATTCTCCCTCTTCGCATCCAGAAAATCGCAACCGCTATGCGGGAAGCAGGCAGAGAGCAAAACGCCATCGATGAGTTTGTCAAGAAGACCATAGCCCGATCCGGCCTTCAGCTGCCTGTTTCTGTTCCTCTCCTGGACATCAATGAGCCTACCACCAACGACACCAAGAAGGTCAACAAGCACGATGACAAGCAAGAAAAGATCGAGATTGGAGTCAAGCTCCCCAACCCGGGCAACGTCGAGGCCGAGGCTCCCAAGACCAAGATCCGCGGTGTTCCTCCCACCATCGTTATCCAACAGCCTTCGCCCTTGACTCCCGAGTCAGTCCAGTACCCAGCTGCTGTCTTTATCGGTACCCCGACCATTCGTCTAGTCAGCCCACACCTTGGGGTGCCCGAGGAGACAAAGTACGGCTCGCTTCGTAAGAGATGAGCGTCACTGTGACGGTTCAAGCTACGTTTCAGAGCAAGGTCCAAAGGTCGGAATGGGTGTATGGGTGGAGATGAACAGACAGATCAGAAGCGAGACCGCGGGGACAGAGAGTGATAGGCAAGGTTAAGTAAGCATTGGATCCTGGTTGAAAGGAAGTAATGCAGAGAATGGTATGATTGACGACGATCAATGAGAAGGAGTAAGCCGAACAAGAAAGCTAGGAGAATCAGATCAAGAGACTTCTTTGGAAGCGTACAACTCCCTTGGGCATAGGAGTCGGAATGCCGCCAGTAAGGATGCACAAAACAGTCACCTCACAGTACACATCTGTAGAAACTCTCAAACCATATCTTTATCGAGCATACGTGATGATCTCACTGGCCAAATGCTATCCCAGCACATCTTTCTGCATTCTGATAGCACCTCCTTGCCCCCTTCGTCCATCAAGCCTCTTCATACAAGATACACAGAGTCTCTACATTGTGGTGCTCGCCACAAACGCCACAAGGCCAGGTGCTGCTATCGTGCAAGCTGACAGCACGAGAGAGCAATGGCCCGCGCTCGAGGTCTTCGTGCTGATTGAGCTGGAACTCGAGTCAGAAGATGTGCAAGTGTATGAGTGGGTACCAGGGAGATATCCGTGGTTGATGTAGCCTCCAGCGACCAGATAAGGGCCTAGGTAGTACATGATGGTGCGGGCGAGGCGACGGAGGTTGACGAGCATGAGGCGTGCCAATGTGATGCTGTTTCCATCAGCATTTTCCATCAGAAGAGCGTTCTGCAGGTACGCACGAGATGATGATGGTGATTATGATGACAATGGAGGAGAGGTGGTGCCAGAGTGGTAGAAGTTGGGAGTGTCCAAAAGAAACCATGCGCGTCGCCGAAAACAAAACAACCCAATCTCGAAGATAGCAAGCCAGTAAAAAGGAGATGTGGCTGCCGGGATTTGAACACGGGTCTCGACTGTAGTCCCTTTTAGATCTAATCTAGCGGGCGTCTGCTCTCACCACTGAGCTACAGCCACGAACTTGTTGGAGAGCTGTCAACTTTGTTCCAATATCAAGTGACGTTCTAAGTCTTGCCAGCTCTCGAAGACCAAGAGCGTATCTCCACACAGAATCTTCTCTGCATATCGCACAAGTAGGGTACGAGATTCCACATAAAGCCAGTGGATTACAGGGACTACAGCTCGAAGAACTACCAGCAAGTTGCGAAACATGCATCCCGAGGGAACTGCGATCTGGATGAAGCTGGGCATCTCCATCAGATTCCCAGATGCTTGGACCCCAGCAGGGGTGACCCGGTGTGGCATTGTTTGTCACAGACAGAGGAGATGACTGGATAGGAGTAGAGACACAGGAGACTCAAGAGAATAGCGAGAAGGAAGTCAATCAGTGCTAGGTACAGAAAGCAAGCGCAATAGTGATGTATGCGAACCAAAGGCATCGAAGGAAGCAAGATGCGCCCTGCAAAAAGGAACTACAGTGCCCCAAAGCCATTCTTGAAATGCTCCAGAGAACAACGAGGGTTATCATAACGTAAAACCAACAACCCAGCTGAAGCCGGAATCAAAGAACGACCAACTGATTCGGCGGCCTGAAGGACAAGATTTATTCAACGGAAAGAAAGACAAAGGAGGTTTGGAGAACAGCAGGCGATAGGCTGAAAGGCGTTCTCCCCACAAGATGGTGTCGTACCCAAAGACATAGGATGCTGCTCAAGTCTTGATTGATTTGAGAGATGTGATTGCGACCACAGCTGGAGATGGGTGCATGGCAAGGAAAATGAGAGCTGTCTGTTCGGCTCCAACAGTCGCAGCTGATGCCTTCATTGGCGGAGACTCAATTGAAACTCTGCACCAGACCGGGCACCGGCGAGCCTTGGAGGGGGAGCTTCAGACTGAGTTTATTGCAGTCGGACTCGAGAGGGGAAGAGTTCTTACAGCGCTGGCTCCAGTGGAGCTGGGCAAATGCCGACTCTCGGGCAATATTCTTCTCACGTTCTAAAACCATGTTAGCTGAAGGCAAGAGCAAGAAGTGTAGGCCAGAAATACCAATACAGAAACACCAGAGAAGAGATCTGTGACGGCGGCAGATAGGATCGAGGACCACGGTGTCAGGAGCATGCACCTCGGTCAGACCACGGAAGTCGGTGATTGAACTCCTGAACCAAGGGAGGATGGGTGGTGGAAGACAGCCAGGAACCCCTGGAGCAAGGTAGTCGGGCAGGATTGGAAGACGGTCAGGGTCTCTGCGCTGACTGATGGCAGGGCGTTGGAGAGTTGCGACAATCTTTTTCCGAGACTATCAGTCTCTCTGAGAGACTTTTCGCTGGTGTAGAAGGCGCTGGCGAGTTTCATAGGCTTTATAGTGACCTTCTTGAGCCCACGGATGTTCATGAGAACATTCATGCCCAACGACTGAACTCAGTCTTCCTCTGGACCTTCGGTGGCGGGGATGCGGAGGGTCAGCGTTTGGAGAGGTACCTCAGACAGGGCTTGGAGGGCGTAGAGGTCCAGGTCATATGGTCCCGCTTCCAGCTGAAGGTCAACGTGTGAGAGCCAGCGTCTTACTGCTCCTGATTGGACAAGCAATGACAGCAGTGTGTCAAGGTTCCCGAATCCGAATACCCTAGCAAAGAGGACCTGATTGAACTCTCTGTGGACCTGCTTTGATGCTTGCATGAGGCCCAGGTTGAGCTTTACTCTGGCCTGAGGTTCGTAGAAGTTCTTGTTGTTTGTCTTGATAGCAATGGGGTCGTCTGTTTCGAGGACTTGGTGGTAGATCTTGATGCGAATGTCCAGAGACAAAGAGAAGAAGATTTCGTGTGCTTGTCAGACGAAGGTCAATGCTGATGGAACGTTGTTGTTACTCACGATGCTCTTGGTGGTCATGAGGACCCTCTTGAAATGCTCGTGGCGAGCCAGTTCTTCAGCAGTGTAATCGTCAACATCAGATTGGTCTTGCTTTTCGCGGTAGACCATGTTGAAAGTAGTCATGATTGCTAATGCTCTGCGATTGTGAGAAAGACAAGTTTGTGTGAGAACGACGTGTTCGTGTTCCAATATCGACACTCGTGTAAAGTCTTGGCGTCGTCCTCCATGTTTGTTCGATTTGACTGCAAACAACACGTGAAATCTTTCCACCACGCCGTGTACGCGTTCATCTCCAATCTACGAGCTCCGCGACTCTACACCCTAGAACAAGTCAACCACACTCGACACCATGGACTCCACCATCATCATCCAGATGCGTGATACATTCGACATCCGCCTCTATCTCAACCACATCACCTTCGCTGTCTGCATCGGCATGCTTGCCTTTGCTACCTGCACCTTCGCCCGTCACCATGACATTGTCTGGCTTGACAAGATGTCCTTTGCCCTGCTGCTCTGCGTTCTGGCCTACCAGATCTACTGCCTGCTGACTAGTATGTGTAATGAAAACGGAGCTCTGCCTCGAGACTGACATTGATCCAGCCCGCCGTGCTCGCCAACAGGTCAACATCCCTGTTCCTGCCCCTGAGCCTCGCGGTCTCGAGCCTGACGAGCTCCACCGTGCCGTCGAGCAGCACAACGAGAACCGTCGTCGTGCTGAGCAGCGAGGCGCCAACAACCGCCGTCGCAACGCCGCTAGAATCCAGGCCTGGAACGCCAACAACCAAGCCAACAGAGGTAGGATCTGATTACCCCTTTGATCATCGACCCTTACTAACAACTCTGAGTTGCTCCCTACAACTGAACACCAAGACTGCACCCAGCGAGATAGGCGCATTACGCCGGTCTCTTCAGAAGCCCAAGTGATGATCAAGGAGGTGGACAGAGCAGCATCAATGTCTCAGCGAGCTTCTTAGTCAGCGTTGGTATTCGAACATGGCATCAGAGGCACATCCTCTCCAAGGGCGAGTCGAACCAGGATGAGAGAACAAAATTCGGGTAGAGCACACACAGTCGATCCCTGAGAATGAAACAGTCACAAAACCAATACCTTGCTTTCCACATTGCGTTAGCAGCTTGTACGTGTTCCCGTGAGATGACGGGCGGCAATCGAAGAATCATAGTCGTCGTACACTTCGTTACTCTACCCGTCGTCATGCTTCTTGACAGTGAGTTCGCTTCAGCAGCACGCGTGTCTGAACAGAAGTTTCTGTCACCTGCCTGAGCTTCATTTCACAATGACCTAGTGCCGGTGATCTTCGAAGACAAATGGAGTGTGCTTTTTGTAGTGTAGCTAAGTGGCGAAGAAGCTCCCTCCATTCTTCTCTTGCTTGAAGGTAGGTTTCGATGATGTCTAATTTAGCTTTGCAAGTAGCTTCGTAAGTGCAGGTCGTGTTTGGAACCATTAGAACTGCTATCGAGCGTGCGACTCCGGAGACACAGAATAACTCGTAAGATCTGTAAGCAACCTATCGCAAGCGTGCGGAGGACAAATTTGCTTCTTGTCACATCCCATATGAACAGAATATAGTATACGATCCCAATAGCCATAAAGATGCAGAGCAATGAGGAGATATTTGGGCCGACTTTCCGAGAGCAGGGTTGTACTGGCAACAAAGCCGACTTTGCCGGATGCGGCCAGATCTCGAATGTCGGAGCAGTAGACTGCTTGTCTATACCAATACATTCTGGCCAAGCATGTTTAAATTGACTGCACAGAGACAGGCTGTGTTCAGCTGAACATATTTTGCTCGAGAATGTGGAGACCTTTCACCGTCAATGGTCGCACGAGATGAGGTCTCGAGAGAGTTTCTCGCTCGGCCCGACAGCGCTTCCACTCTCGGGCGCGTCGCGTCTGCTCACCAACCTCACCTCCTGTATTTCCAACACCGACATTGACTCAATGCGCCACCCGATATGGGTATCCCTGGGTATGCAGTTTACTTCTCCTCAAATTTTCGATCATTACTGATGGAATTACAAGCCTCTGGGACATTCTTGGCGAGGGCGAAGTGAAGTCTCCCGCCAAATTGTCCACCGACCACTTTCGACAACACAAGCGACCATTACGCGTCGCCATTGATGAAGCCGGATGGCGCTTTCACAACCTCAGCGATGCACAAGTTGCCGCCATCCGCCAGAAAGTTCCCGAAGCCAATCCCATCGAGAAGGCAATCTTGTGGCGAGTGCTCAAACTCATGCGGATGAACATCCAACCAATCTTCATCTTTGATGGAACCTCTCGGCCTTGGAAACGAGGTGGTGTGGCTGGCAAAATCGATTGGAAGAAAATTGATTTGCTCAGAAAGACATTGAACATGCTGAAGATTCCGCATCATCGGGCGCCGGCAGAGGCGGAAGCCGAGTGTGCGTGGTTGAATGAGTTGGGCATAGTAGATGCCGTGTGGACTGACGATGGAGATGCGCTCATGTTCGGAGCCAAGGTACTGATTAAAGAGCATCGCGAAGGTCGTGGTAACACCGCGAAGAAAAGCGATACGCTGGTCAGGATATACCGTGCAGATGTCATTGAGCAGAAACATCGCATCAATCGACAAGGCCTGATTCTGTTTGCTCTCCTCAGCGGCGGAGACTACGATACCAAAGGTTTGCCTGGTTGTGGACCGATGGCAGCCCTGAAAGCTGCACAAATCGACAATGGCAGGCTGGGAAAGATACTATGCGAGACTCCCTTGCTTCAACTGCATTGCTTTACCGAATCGTTACGAGAGTTCTTTCAGATGCCAGGTAGTCCCAGTGTCTATGTACCTCCTGGCTATCCTCGAGACTTGCATGTCAAGAATTACCGCGAGCCGAAGGTGTCGACTTCTGAACAAGCGCACGACTTGCGAGGCCTGAAGAATGGCTGGTATGTGCCGATCGACGAAGCAAAGTTGCGCCCTTTTCTCCTGGCAATGTTCAACTTCGACACCAAAGCATATCTCAAGCACATTGTGCCTCTCTTGCTGGTCAGAGAGCTTGTCCAGACGACGCCAGAGACTGTAGATAAGAACTTGGTCTTTGAGCTTGATTTGCGACAAAAGCGTGGTCGAGACCACAACGCCGAATGTCTGGAGCGCCAGATTACTTTCAACCCGAAGAAATGTACTGAGCTCAATCTGTGGACAAAACCAGATAACGAAGCCTGGGCCGAAGGGTTTGACCCTACTGCACCTGTCGAAACAGAGTTTCTCGAATACATTCTGGTGACTGCACTTGGAGATGCTGAGATGCAAAGACTCAAGCAGCTTGCGAGTCGACCAANNAACCAAGAAAACGCAAGACTACCGAGACGCAATCAGAATCTGAGAAGCGGACACCAATAGAGCCAAGCGACAGTGCTGCCAAACCAGCAGCGAAAAGACAAAAGAAAGCGCCCGCCGGTAAAGCAGATACTGACTCGTCCTCCAACATACCAAAAGCAGCTAGCAAACCAGCAGCAAAACCCGAACCAACAAAAAGACACGGTAAAACTATTCCGTCAGCCGAGCAAAACGAGCCAACCGAGTCCGAAGCACCGACTCNCTCCAGTCAAAAAAAGCTTCCAACTACCTCGAGCACTGATGCGGAACCCATCCATGTTATCAGAATTTGCTTCGCAGAGCAGTCAGGAAGCGCTTTCTCGCAGCACTTCCTACCAATCCGTGGACTTGACGTCTCAATCGAGTCGCGAGCTATTTGGTGTGCCCGCCGACGCGACACCAAAGCCGCGAGATGCTACGAACCAAGTGTCTGTACCAAGTCGTCACGATCAAAAACCACCAAGCAGCCAGCTCGACCCAGAAGCTGGAAGTTGGGCATCGTCAGGAGCACAAATCCGAGCTCAGATCTTTGAGGAAGCGACACCTTCGCCTGAACATACACGAGCATCAGCATCAACTTTTGCACCTACACTTCCAGTATCTCAACCACCAACAGTCGCTGCTACGGAGGCAGGAGCACCACAGCAGCCATCCTCAAGACGTGGTCACGTAGTCGTGGACCTGGAAAGCGACGACGAAGAAACACTACCTGTACCAGTGCCTCTTGCGCCATCCCTTCCCGCCCCAGCCCTTGCCGCGCCAGTCCCACCGGCACAAAGAAGAGAAGTGCTTCGCCAGCAGAGCTTTCCGCTGCCACAAAGCGCCTGTTTCGCGATCTCCACGGCGAGCCCACTCCTGAGATGATTGAGCCCAACAACAACAACAATGAGGTCACCCAAGAGGAAGAAAGCGAGGAGGACGAGAATGAGGAGGAGGACGAAGAGGCTGACTTCGCTTACAAGCCTCATGCGATGCAAAGCAACGCAATTGCTGAGTTCTACCCAGAGGTATGTCACTGCCTCTCACGTCCCAACATGCAACCCATTGATACGTAGGTAGCACTATGCTGCCATGAATGGCAGAGCCAGCCCCCGCCTGCCATCAGAAATGGATGAGCACTTGCCACTGCCATCGCCCGCTTCCGTCCTCTGAACGGACCTCTGCCCGCCGGCTTTGACATCAACACCTTGCCTGTATACCGTGCTCCGGTTCCTTCACCCGCGTATCTGGAGACTATGGCCGCTGGTGCCACTACGCCTATTGCACCCACCTCCAAGCCCGATGAGGCTGCTTCTCCTGACCCCGAGCCATCTAGTCCTGTCTCTCCCAAGCCCACCGGGGCCCCGTCACAGCCTCTCGCTCCTACTCCTGGAAGTCTTTCTTGCCGCTGGGAAAGCTGTAGCAGAACCTTTTCTGGCGACAACGCCGCTACCCTCCTCTGGGTGAGTCTTCCCTGCTCCTACCTGATCTCTCCCTTGACCCTCGATCAGCTCTAACTTACACCCAGCTGCACATCGATATCGACCACATCGGTCACGCCCGCCAGGGAGTCAAATTCCTCAATCACAACTGCAAGTGGGGAACTTGCTCTTATTCCAACAGCACTCGCAGATTTGTTGTCTCGCACGCCGATTGTCGACTGAGCTGTCATGGGAGTCGTTAGGCTGGGGACCAGACTTGACGACGGTTTCTTCGATGTTCGAAGTGCTTTCCTCGGCCATGGTGGTAGTGTCATCTAGCATGACTTTCTCAAGAGTGGTGTTCTGGAAGCCATCGACGATAGGGAGAGCTGACGAATGATCAAAGGAGTCAGGCACCTCGTCATGGCGGGTAGCATGAGTTGTGGCGGTCTCGAGAGCTTTGAGAGTGTTGACGGCTGGCGATAGCTGAGGAGAAGTGGATGGCTGGCGAGAATTGTGGACGTTGGCGGTGAAAGGACCAAACAAAGAAGTAGTCATGGGAGTATCTCCAGTAAAGACTTCATCAAGACATTCTGCAGAGACGAGAGGTGCCTGATGGGCTTCTTCCTCCTGCGCATCCATTGCATCAAGCTCTTCGACGGTGAACTTGACATCGTGGGAGGACTCGTGTAGCTCGTAGTCGATGAACCTTCTGAACGTGGCAAAGCAAGTCAGGCACATGACGTCCAGAAGCAGGACATCTGTTGATATGTAGCTTCCAATGTCCATGGCTGCACGCGTTGGTCGATCGCTGGATTGACACAGAGGGTGATGGACGCGTGATTCGGTTGTGACGATGCTGTTGGGCGTAATTTGACTGGTGAATCGCGAGTGGTGGTGATGCATGGAAAGCAAGAAGTGCAAGACGGGGAGTGATGTTGTTTACAAGAAGCACGTCGTCGATGCCAAGACTCCTCGACCAAAATCCGACACTTTCAACCTAAGCTGGCACCGCCCACGGATGTTCAAGACGGAGTGCCTGCAGTCTTCGCCATTGGAAGGCTGCATCGTTCACGTCTGCTACATTAACATGGAAGAATCATCGGAGCATGCCTTGTTTGCACGACGGGCAAAGTCCTGTCGAGCTCTATGTGTATTTAATAACGTCACGTTCAAAGAGATTATATACATGATAATGCTCAGTTGATGGTGTGGCTTTCAATACGCTTTTCTAGAAAGATTGAGACATGAGCACACTCGGCCCCTTCCTACCTCTTCACGTCCATTGCCTGTTGACTGAGGCATGCTTTCCGTCTGCCCCTTTCATATGTTCATTCTGAGGCCACGACCGTCCGCAGAAGTGGTCTCAGATGAGCTATCGCGTCCCCCTTGCTGCCTACGACATGACACACTGACCGTCATTATTGCTGGCAGTGTGAGATCCGATGTTCTCTCTCACCGTCTCGGCTCTGTACTCTTCTCTCTCTGGGTCGAGAGCCCAGTAGGGGCTGGACAGCATCAGTAAAAGTCCCGTCATAGTTTGCAGCGCTCAACTTACTCGTCCTCAGCGGCAACTTGTTCATCGTCCTGCTTGACAAGTGCAGCGGCGGCCTCAACTACTTCCTCATCGTACTCGTTCTCCTCTCCAAACTCAAAGGACTTGTAGATCGTAAGTCTGACCATCGCATCGTCCTGGATGGCACTCATGTCTGGGAACACGACGCAAGACATCTCCAGATCCAGGGCGTCGAAGAGACTTAGGACGGGCATCTTCTTGGCGAGCCTCCAGCCAACAGGCAGCACAGGGCGAGATGTGCCGTCTTCGGCAGGGACTTCGGAGCGAATATCGTCTTGAAAGGAGTAATAGTCTTCTCCGTATTCGTCAAAGACCCGTGCGATGTAGCGGATGATGTGGTTTTCATGACGGTCGAAGGCGAGATTGTGGGATGGGTCTTCAAAGGTGAGGACGTAGATTGAGGAGGCCTGGCGGTGAGCATCGGTGCCACTTCTCTCTGTGACCAGATGATCTTCGATCGAGTTTTGGGCGGCAGAGTACTCGTCGGGGTAGACGAAGCGCATGTACAGTGTTTGTTCCCCTTGATGCCGGTCAGTAAGTCTTCCCTGACAGTGCTTGATGAGGTTGATCTTACACGGAGCCATTGGCTGAGCGTCCGCGTCTTCTGCCATCGCGTGTTTGTTGTGATAAGAAGTTATCTGCGGAGAAAGGACGAAGCAGTCTTGACGGCGGAAAATTGAGGTCAAACAGCTGCAAACAGTTCACCCTTGGCACTGATCTGCTCGACACCTCCGCCAAGATTGTGATAACATGCTTCGACTACGCCACCACCTTGGAGTCTGTAAGTGGGATCCGGAGTTTGATTTGGCTACACTACTTTTTGATCTCGCGTCTCATTGCTTCGCTTCGCCCTCTCGTTCTCTCGATCCCCTCTCGTGACCGAAGCTATCTATCTAGTAATTTCCACCCATTCTCCAAGCAGTGTAAAGAGGGTTGAGCAACTCCAAGAACGTATGCAAAGACCCAAAAGTAAAACAAGCAAGACAAAATCGTGGCTCCTCAGAGTCATCTCCGCGTGAGCTTCTCGCCCATGTCGAAGGATACGACTCCTCTTACTCTCAGGCATGATGAATCAGAGTCTTGTCACGACTTGAAGCACTTCTGAATAGTCTGGAGGCGGTTGTCGCCGAAGGAAGCACAGCTCAGAGCATACCACGAACGACAAGCAGGTCTTTGGACAGGGCCTTGGGGTCCAGTGTCTTAATGTAAGAGAGGTTGGGATGAGCTGAGCTTGATGAAAGTCAGCATGATCAACAAGAGCAATACCAGTGGTCAGACAGACTTGAAAGACTTTTCGGCGGACTCCTGACCTTCGACGAAAGCAGCACCGGTGTACAAAGTCATCTTGACCATGGAATTCTCTTCATCGATAGGGACATCGGGGATGACAACGTTCAGCAACATGTTCTTGCAGACACGCTGCAGGAGACGGACGTCGATGTTGTAAGTGACTTGGAAGGTTTTGCCGTCCAGGTCCGAGCAGCTGCCCAGGTAGATACCGCGAGTCGTGATAGAGTAGACAGATAGTCTGAGGAACCAGTCAAGGCGATGTTCAGGAACGATGGGAATGTAGGCAGTCTTGGGGAATGACAAGGTAGCGACGAGGTCATCTCCTTCTTGGGTGTTGAAGGCATGCTGCTTGTTGACTTGGTGCTGGAGCTTGCCCCAGGTGTTCCTGATGAAGATAAAGGTGCACTCTAGTACAAAATGTCAGGGACCTGATCAAAGAGGAACGAGTTCCGCTACACGTACCTTCAGAGTTGATAAGAGCCTGACCAATTCCAGACATCCTGAGTAAGTGGAATTAATGCTAGCTTTTGGCTAGATTTCGCGTATGCGTGAGATTGTTTTGTGCGAGAGCGGAATTGTGATGCGCGAGTGATTGTTGACAGTATGGCAGTCGGCGCCAAGCCTACGAAACGCGAAAACCTTGGTAATTTCACACCTCGATAGCCTCTATGTTTGTCATATATGGTAGGTCATGGCACAGAAATGTTGTTCGATTTGTACTGCCGTCCAATTTGTCTGGTATGGCAAGTCTTTGATGCAGCAAGCAGTATATCTTCTTCCTTCTCGTGCATCTGTTCGTCCGCTCCAGTCCGAAACAGCTCATACCGTGCTTCCTACCTCTTTTTGTTAACGCCGTTACATCATCTCCTGTATCGCGGCTGTCTTCATCGGCTCTATATTGCCCGTCCTGTGCTTGATCTGTGGCCTCCCGATGTTAGAAAAGATACCGTGATATGGGAGCACAAGAACATACCCTTCAGCACTCTCAGACGATGGCTCAAACCCCAAATCCATTCGCACGCATCTTATTCAGATGTCTAACGGTAGTCAGATGCTTCTTCGCCGCCTCAAGATCCGAGCACCGCATCTTACAAACAATGCACCGGGTAATGTGCACACCGACATGAACACTCCAATGCTCCCACAACTCGCGCAAATTCGTAAAGCTGAAGTTGCAGAACTGGCAACTCATGGTGATGCCCTCTGCATCGGGCGTGCTGCCATAGAGGCGCTATGTGTTGACCAGGTGATCGAGGGTGGCCATCTCTTGCTTTATTTCTGCCTCTTCGGCCTTGATGGCGGCGTCTTCGGGCTTGATGTGCTGCTCGTCCGGGCTGGGCTCGCGCTTGATGGGCACGGGGGCGGGGTCTTCGGCGCCAGGTTCCTGTTTGATAGCCATAGGGGCCAGGAAACCTGGTGGCATCTCTGGGTAGCCGAGGAGGTACTCCAGCGACTCTCTGTCGAGCTCGTTGGACATGCTGTTGGTGGGAGAGTGTGTCAGATAGGTTGTGGAAGTTTCGTAGACAGGGTGTTGAGCAGATAGCACTGCTTCCAGGATACATACGCGGTGGGTTGAGAAGCTGTCGAGGAGCAAAGGACTTAGTGCGCAGAGAGTTGCTCTTCAGGAAACAACGTCACGAAAGTGCATTGCAGATGGGGTATCAACGAGTGATGATCCAATTGGAAAGCCGAAGCTTCAATTCAATCTTGCATTCACTTAAGAGGTCATGGCCAGCAACAACCTCCATGAGACGATCGGCAATCCGACAAGACATGCTACGACATCAACGAATGTTTTTCACTGGTCGCTCTGCAGTAAATTGTCGTGCAGGAACATTGTGGATTGGGGATACTGAGCAGGGTTGTACCAGTGGCAGACCCTGTTGTCACGTGCGATTGTCGGTAAACTCTCAGGTCTCAATATGTGAAGCTCGAGGTCTGGGCGAAATGCACAAGAGTGTACGAGTAAGCAATAAGTACAGAGAAACTCAACTCATGTGAAGTATTTCTGCGGAGAATGGGGTTTGCTAAAGCAGTCTTTGTAATGCAACAGCGGAATATCATAGCGAAGGGTATCACGAGATTGATTCAGTGCACGAAAAGACGCTGGAAAGTTCTTGAAGATCGTGCAACTCTCAATCCGTACATATATCACTGCTACAGCTCATCAATATGCACAGAGACTATCTGCATATCAGTCCTGCCCAGAGAGTGGGATCCGATTCGGGCGCTTCTCCGGTGCATGTCATACCCAATATAGATTTCTGCATTTTGACCGAATGCTATGATCAGAGCAGTATGGGGGAGACAAGAATGAGTTTGAAAATTATGAGATCGACTGCTTCGAACGGATACGCTCCCGAAGCTTGCTCGAAGAGCCTTGGCACAGCATCAAATTGCAGAGTAGTATCACATCATCACAGTGGCACCAAAAAAGGAGATAAGCGAATTCATCAAGAAAGGACATTGTATTTGTATGCATATAGCCCAAAGACGAAAGACTTACCGTAGCAAAATCACTAACATTGACTTACCGTTCGAAGCGTATCTACTCATCAAATTCCATGTACTCGGCCTGCTCCTTGTCGTGAGAACTACCGGAAGACTCACCGTCATCAGAAAGCGCACCCTCAGGCAGATAAAACGAAGGCTGCGGCAAAAAGTCAGAGTGGTCATTAGCAATAATCTCCTCGAGTCCAGCAGTAGCACCACGTCTTCTCATGACCGGTGGGGGTGACTCAGTAACAGGTCTTGGTGGCGACAGTTGACCAGCAACACGTCTAAGGTGAATAAACAAGTCAGTGAATCTTCTGTGCCAGACTATTGCGCCCTCAAAGGGGTCGGTCTGGTTGACGAGTCCAGCTTCAATGTTAGTGATGTCGATAGAGGCTTGAGCGGCCCAGGAAGTGTTATTGGCGATCTCGAATTCGGCAGAGTGGACATTTGAGATGTGAGAGTTGGCAGCGATGACCATACCAGCTATCCAGTTTTCAGACCACTGGATGACGCGAGCGAGACGGAAGTCGACGGGAGCGATGGATGTGCGGAGATCCTGGACAGTAGGGACCATCTCCTCGACCATGCGAACGAGCAAGTCACGGTGTTGAGTAGCCAAAGTCAAAACACTTGATAGGCCATTGGCACTGCCAGCAGTCCAACTAGCGGGAAAAGAGTGAGCATAAGCAGGAACTAGCGATGTCGTACGAGCCAGTGTGGTGAAAGATGGAGCGGCGAGAGGATCAACGTCCATACGAGTGTCAACGTGAACAGGAGCTGGGTGAGCATCCGTAGTGATGCCCATACGAGCATCACGGCAGAGTTGGTCAAGTGCAGCACAAGAACGGTGCGATCTAGTAACGTTAACAACAGTCTCAAAAACCCAACTGCAGTCACCCCATTTCTGGCCAAAAGGGCATCCAAGGAGGACAATGTACGGAATGGCGGGCCCACCACACAAAGAACAATTCAGCATCTGTTTCTCAATGAAGCACATCTTATCTGAAGTTTGTGATTGGATTGGAAGTAGATTATAGCGGGGGTGTTCTTCGATAGTAGTGGTGGTTGCTGTGGACCTTCTCGAATCGGGTGACCTGTCCAAAGGTGAGCATCATAGGAGTTTAAGTATGGATCATACAAGATGTCGACTCGCAGATGGATGAAAGAGGCGAACAATGCAATGTTCGGACCAACAAAGATATCAAACGATGTTCAAAGAAATTGTAAAAGCCAAAAAGAAGATAGGAAAGAGAAACAAAGATGCACAATGTTGAGGTTTCCAATGGACAAGGACAAAGAGAACAAAATTTTCTGCATCTTGATGGTCTACTCTAACCAATGCTCTGTTGGCGGAGGTTGAAACAGCCCTTCTTGCGAAGGAGCTTGTGCTCGGAGGGCTTGCCCATGGCAGAGGCGCGTTCGATCTTGTAAGCTGAGACAGTCAGCATGGGAGATCAAGTACGGTCGGGCAGCGATGGCTTACGAGGCCTGTCGACCAAAAAGCGCAAGAGAAGGACCCGAGGGGCAGTGGTGCCACCAGTCTTGCTGTATACGAAGCTGCCCAGAGCCTCATTGGCGTCATCGATGCTTTGGAGATTGTCAGACGTGTGCTTCGCAGTTCCAGAAGCAGGTAACAATACCGGTACTCAACAGGCATAGACGCCTCGAAGAGGTCGTCTTGCTTCCTCTCGCCGAGGGCAGCAGGCAGGAAGTGCTGTACTCTGCATCCGTTGTCAGTATGCACAAGACAGACCCAAATCCAGCAGCCATACCTGTGCGCATCAGCGACCTTGTTGTTGCGCTCGCGAGCAGAGCCCTCCTGAGCGACAAGATGTCCCCAGACGGGATGCTCGCGGAGCGAGGCTGGCAAAGCGCCGGGCGCGATGCTGTTGCGAGTTGCCAACACGCTCGATGAGCGGTTGCAGAGCTCGACTTGAGATGCAGATGGAGCGGGAAGAGTCATGCCGGCAAAGGTGGTGGTGGTTAGAAAGCTGACGCGGAAGCAGCTTTCGCGTTGTGACAGTTCAATATCGCTTTGACATGTGCTTCGTGGGTCAGCTGACGTCTGGTATGGCTCTTGGAACTGTTCAGTTACCCGGGCAAACCTACAGACATCATTAGTTCCGGTTACGAAGGGATTTCCAGATTGCACTTTGGAGGCGAGGATCAAGTCAAAAAGTTCAGTAAAGGCTGGAGCGAGTGTATGAACGCACCTCCCTAAAAAGCCCGAGAATTCTGGGTTCGAGGTTTGGGGCTACAGTATGTTTCTTGTGCTTTTATCTGGTGTCTGGGTATTGGAAGACGACTTGATCATCATCTTCTTGTATCAATCCCTTTTGGTTGCGCTTCCTCTGACGCGCGCTTCGATCATTCATTGCCCTCTCTGGTATCACCCATCCCGTCTTGTCGTTCGTCTAGCAGCTGCCTAATAGTTCTCACGCCTTCAACTCGTCGCTTTCTGGTCTCTAGTTTGTATCAATTACCCAAGAAGAGGGTTACAAAGCCTTCGAAGAGCTTTTGCTTAAGCTCGACTTCTTTTCTGGCATTAAGAGTTAGGCTAGGCTGGCATGGTCATTGTGATCCCCAGTTTGACTCTCGCGTATGCCCTGAGCCTTCATTCCCTCCTTCGCACGATCAGTCTCAGACGATTCAGTGCTGCGGCATTCTGGCCAGTCGAGTATAGCGCAAATGATATGGGTAGCAATGCTGGTTGGGATAGCAGGCTTGACCCTTGATTGGTCGGACTTAATTGAGCTAGGTATGGAACGCTCTGGTCTGTCCAACACCAGGCAAGCTGCGGTACGACGGATGTTGGTAAGGAAGTTAGGGGCAGGCTTGGACGATGAAGAGTTTGGGATGACGAGCTTCTGGGAACCACTGGTCTGAGCTTGAAGGAGGATTGGGCGCCTCCGAGCGCTACGAGTGTGAGGCTCGGGAAGACCAATGGGTGGTCGTGGTCTTCTAAATTCGGCAGCAACACGGCGGCGCGAGAATCTCGGGACAGCGAAGATACTTTGCATGATGTTGCTGGGCATGGGAGAGAGGAATCTTACCGGCTTGTCGCGTGGACCTCTTGTTGCGGGCGATGAGTCGACCGAGGTAGTCTCCGGAGCTTCATCGCGATCGTTCGCAGCACCGTTACCGGCTGTGTGAGCTCTACAGAGCCCGTGACAGCCTCCCAAAATGATGGCTTTCTTGTCTTCGTCATTTAGAAGCAGCTCTCCAAAGGTGCTGAGGATGCCCAAACAACAGTTGCAGCCGCCCGATGTAGGTTTGAATTCGGGGCAACAGGCCGGAAACCGTCCATGGATGTGGGCTGGATAGTCCGGCTAGCTGGGAGGGCAGAGGCCGCTTCCTGATCATCCTCGTTCGTGCGCTGGTCGGCGATCTCTTCGGGAGCCAAGCCGTGCTCGAAGCGATGAGCGGCAGCAGAAAGCCCGCTCTCGTGATAAGACACTGGTCGCTGGAAGGTCTTGGCGGGAATGGGCGACTGGATGGCTTGGTTGTTGTGGAGAGCATGCCGCGAAGGTTTTGAACACGATGGAGTAGATCCGAAGCGGGTTGCACTGCTCGAGTAGCAGCTGGTATGCAGCTGATCGCATGACTCGCCTGGGCCAAAGTCCTTGCCCGAGGAGTGATAGGGAAAGCTTTCGGTCTCCAGGGTGAAATAGAGGCTGGTCTCGCACGAATGTGGATGGCGCACAGCCACAGTGCTAATCTTGTCGCCCATCGAAGCCAGGTGCTGCTTCTGTGTCTTCGAGAGATCGTTACATTCTAAAGCGCTTGCACTTCCACAAGAGCGACCGGAGTTGTGGGTCGCGCAGCATGAGACTGTGTCAAGATCGGCGTCGCTGTCTTTACGTAAAAGATCTTGCAGCACGTTCTCCAGAGTAAGGCCAAAGCGTGCATGGTTCTTGGAGGTTGCTAAGGTATCGGTCTTGGGCTTTGTCTCTACCATAACACTGTGTTAGCCTGACCAACTTGATCAACAGATCTGTATAATCACACTCACGTTCAGAGACACGAGACTGATTTGCTTGATCTTTTGACCGACGGGAAGCTGACTTGTCCTTGCTGAACAAAGCCAGATGTTTGGAGAGCCCTCCGAGGCACATCTTGGGACGGGTGCCGAAGATCGTCGAGATCAATAAATGGCTCGATAGATTTGACTCGACGTGTTCCTTGTCGTTGGCTTGCTGGAAGGAGATGGCTTTGGGTAGAGTCGATCAAGTAGCGATAGACTTGCGTTTGAGGAGAGGAGCAGGTATGTGTTGATGTTTGGAAACGCTGCGAGAGTGGACATCTCGCCGGATGTCAAAGCTTGGCATTTCAACTCCGGGAACAATACCCCTTCGAACCTCACTCCCATCGCTGCCTACAATATGAGGTAATGTCGTTTACAGAGATAAGATACGTCTACTCAAGAGACGATGCTTGTGAATTGTATGCTTGTCTCGAGTATCTTCTAAACGCAAAGACCACTCTTGGGGCTTATGAATCTTGATACCTTCGACGGAGACTCATCCAGTAGAGATTCCACTACTGCATTGCGAAAGGACATAATTGTTAGATATATCTTTCTAGGAATCGTGAGCTGATCCACAACCTCAATATCTACTGCGTCAAAGCACCATGCCAAGATGATATCAAGACGGTGTGGAGATACGACACGAATCAATGGAAAGGAGATATAAGGTTCGACCGTGATATACCGCTTCAATTTCCTTCACAGTCATCTTGCTTCCTGACTAGCCCATCTGCCGAGCTTCCATCACTGTGTAAAGAGCGGTGTACGTTTCTGCTCTCTGGCCTCTCGTGATCATTCTCCATCAAGCATCAGGTAGGCGGCTCCATTCCCCTGGACACACCCAAGCCCTGTCTCGTTCTTGTTGCTTCTGGCGGGACTGACTTGTGGCGTGCGGTGATGTGATCATGTCGTTCAACGATTGGCGCGAGCGTCAGCCTCCTTGACAGCGGGGAGCTCCTTGATCTCCTTGACAGCCTTCTCGCCCTTCTCCAGAGCATCAATCATGACACGGAGACTGTGCAGATGGTCGTTGACTTCTCCGTTTGTGATGTCGAGGAAGCGACGTCTACGGAGTCTGGCGTTCTGCTCGGCGGCGGGAGCCACCATCTCTTCAGCCAGGTTACACCAAGTATTGACAGCCTTGCTCATGGTTGTGATACCATTCATGTGTTTGGCGCTCTCATCGTTGACTTCGACAGGGAGAGTCGATGATGTTAGTAAATGCAAAAGACTAAAGGCACCTGACGCGACTTACGGGTGCATGGCCTCGTACTTTGCCCAAGAGATCAAAGCAGTGGCACTGAACAACAAGTGATCGAATTCTTGTCCCAGCTTATCGTCAAAGCTCCATGGTAGGCCGATAATGTCGTGGTTCTTGACAAGCCCTTCTGCCTTGGCTGCGAAGCGTACTGCCGACTTGTGTGTCTCTGCGATAGCGTCGCCAAACCTCTTCAGGCGTTCTGTGTGAGTGGTCATAATGCTGATAGATTAAGCTGCGGTCTTGATGATGCTGGTGGTCGCGAAGAAGAGGTGATGTTGACGAGCGCAAAAGGCATTGTGTAGGTTCGGCACAAAGAAGGAGTCCGGATCGCGCGTGGGGGAGCGAAAGACGGGGTGAAGGTGTGAAAGTCTTGCAGGTTATCGACGAATTCATTACAAACGCCAAGACGCTCGAGAACTCGCTACTCGATACAAAGTATATACATATCGTGGAGACTGACGTAGAACCTCCCTATACTTTCTCGCCGACCGACGACCCTGCTTTGAGCGTTAATGTAGCCGTACCCCCAGTCTTGCTCCATACTTCCAACGTGTATGAGCCAGTAGCTCAATGATCAACACGAGGTACTCTACGGCGACTCCCCCCACAGGTTACTGTCCTCGAGAATCTCTTCAGGACTCAGAACGACGTCCCACAGAGTACTGCTCTCAAGGATATCCTCAGGAATAAGAACGAGGCCGAGGGCCGAAAGACGGGCATCTCTGTCGACGGCTTTGAGGTTTCCATCGCGGCGCCAAAGTCTCAGGGATGCAAGACCGTACTCCAGTTTTTCAAGCATATCGAACATGCAATCAACGAGATAGCCGACATCCAGTATTTGTTCCCCGTACCAGAATAAATTAGCGTGGGGGGCCGACCCGGGAGCGTCCTCCAAGGGTGTCAACAAGTTGTGCACACGGCAGACGAACTCCTCGACAGCACCGAACATCTCTGACATGCGGTCTTCGAAACCGGTATCTTTTGCGCACGAATGCAGGGAGACTACGGTCGATCAGTACTGGTCTGACTTGAGTGTTCAAGAAGGGGCTTACGCGGCAATGTGCCTTGCTGCGATGAAAACAAAATCCGAGGCCTGAGTGCGGACGCCGCGTAGCTCGCCGCCATATCTGATTTTGATGTCCACACTTTCTCTGAACAACATGCATGTGTAGTGAGTGGCATGGACGTCGCGATGGAGTGTGAGAGCTGCGTGGTGGAGATCGTACACGGCTCGTATGAGGTGGTCGAGGCGCTGTGCGTTTGTGTCCATTCCTGTAGGCATTTTGATGACACTTTTCTGATGGTTCTCGAGAGGATCTACTGGTATACGAGTGGTCGGTATTGATGAGCTGGTTGATGGGAAAGAGGCTCAAGTGGTGAGTTGACGCTGTAGTCGTGGAGCCCTCGAAACATCTGCGAATGGCAACCTTTGCAACTCACAACGACGCCAAGGGACAGTAAAGCCATCCTCAACTATACAGATGCTCTGGGGATTGCACTTTCGTCTTTGACAGCTTTTCTTCAATTTCTGTCAATTCTTTCGCAACATGCCCATAACACGATGTCTTGTTAACGACGCTGCATCGGATCGTCGAGCGGAATACGCATCATCCTCGTCGTCAGTCACCGACAATCGTCAGTCACCGACAATCGATTGATTGTACAGTAGCTCAACAGGTTAGTATGCGACACCAGCAAGATGCTGTCTGATATCCTCTGGGTAAGATGCCTCTTCCGAAGTTCTTACAAAATGGTGATAACCGACGACCTTGGTTATATATTGAAGTAGCCGGTGCCCTAACCGTAAGCGAAAGTCAATTCACGACCCTCCGAAGCTTGTTCCGCGCTCTCGGCCGCAGTTGCCAACAGAAATGTGGAGCCCCGCATTCTTTCTGCTCTTCTTTTTCCCTTCTTGGCTCGCCGACTCCAGCAACTTCTTGCTTTTCGTATCTGGCCACAAGCCTAGCCACACGGCAGTTGACATCGGCAGACAGACGGATATCAATACGCAGCATCTGATGACTTGTGTATATATATCAGCCATGAGATCGCCCTCCACGACTTAGGATCCATCTCACATCTTCCCCACACACCGTCAACATGAAGGCTTCGACGTCAGTCAGGGCTGCTGTGTTGGCAACGATAACAACCAGAGCAGCAGCAGACTGTTCGACTGCTAGTATCCAGGCCTTGCTTCCCTCCATCGCAACAGTGGACTTCGTGCTATGGCAAGCCGGGGGATCAACTTTCTCGGTTCCTGCTGGAGACATCGCGTACCCGACATCGCCGACTAATATGACGGCTCACTGTGCCGTACAAATCCGCGTCAAGAACGGAACTTCGAACTATGGTTTTGGCATGTTTTTGCCTGATGACTGGAATGGAAGATTCTTGTATGTGTACCAGTTTGTCGCTCGTTTGGACGATTATCAAGCTGACAGGCATGATCAGGNNGCTGTAGGCAATGGCGGATATGCCGGCGGCATCAATTGGCTGGATATGGTAAAGCTAAAGCCTGCAAGACCTTGTGAGTGTGTTGCTGACTTATTATCAGNNGGTAGCGGACTGGGTTATGGCTTCGCAGTCATGTCGACAGATACTGGACACAACAGCACCGCTTTCGATGGCACATGGGCCTATGGACAACAAGACAAGCTCAAAGATTGGGGCTACCGTGCCATGCACGGATCGACAGTGCTGGGTAAGCAACTAACCCAAAGCTACTACGGCTACAAACCAAAGTATAGTTACTACAGAGGCTGCTCGACCGGCGGACGTCAAGGTCTTCGTGACATTCAGCTCTATCCCGAGGACTTTGATGGTGTTATCGCTGGAGCTCCTGCTTGGTACCTGACTCACATGTCGCCATTCACACTCAAAGCTGGTACTTACAACCTCCCCGTCAACGAATCGACTCATATTCCAAATACCCTGTTTCCCGTCATCAATGCTGAAGTCCTTCGACAATGCGACGGTGTCGATGGTGTCAAAGACGGCATCCTCTCTGACCCGCAAGCTTGCGACTTCGACATGGATGCTTTGCTGTGCACTCCAAAGAGTAACCAGTCTGAGTGCTTGACGGCACCTCAACTCACCACCCTATTCAAGATGTACTCTGACTATGTTGAGACAAACGACACTTGGGTGTTCCCCCACTACTGGAAGGGCAGCGAACTTGGCTGGCCACTCGTCTTTGGTAACCCGCCAGGAGGTCTAGGCGTGGACTACGTGACCTCGTTCATGCAGTACGGCCCCAACTGGAAGTGGCAAGACTATGACTACAGCGTTGTCCAGAACGCCGAGAGGATCCGTCCCGGCAACGCAACGGCCGATGACTTTGACTTGTCCCCTTTCAAGAAGAACGGCGGCAAGCTGCTGATTTACCATGGAATGGCTGATCAGTTGATCCCGACTGGCAGCAGTTTGTATCTCTACTCTCAGATCTTGCGCGAACTTGCACCTCGAGGAATCGAGCTGGACGACTTCTTCCGCTTCTTCCTAGTTCCTGGCATGNGGGTAAGTTGCCTTCCTCTCCCTTTGCATCATAGCGCCGATCAACTGACCACACCCAACAGCCACTGCAGCGGCAACTTCGCTCCCGGTCTCGCACCCTGGTACTTTGCGGGCGGCAGTCAAGTCCTCAATCCAGGTACCACTGGAGTACCAGGGTTCAGAGATGCTGCTCATGATATCATGCTTGCCATGATGGAGTGGGTTGAGCATGGTATTGCGCCCAGTCAAATCATTGCTACGACTTGGAAGAACGATACTACACAAGATACGGTGTTGAGACAAAGACCGCTGTGCATGTATCCCAAGAAGCAGAAGTATGTTGGTGGGGATGTTGATAAAGCGGCGAGTTGGACTTGTGTTTGAGTGTAGATGGGTGTTGATATAGTTGAAGATGGGAAATGTGGTATAAGCGGAGGATGCATCTCCTCGAGGAATCTCTATCATGTTCGTGAAGGAGGCATCGGGTACTTTCGTCGCAATTACTCGTGGCCTGCAGCTCTGGTTATATGAAATGACTCCCACTCTTGCATTTTCCTTACTTCGAGACTCAGGGTGATCAGCTCAGGAGCGACATCCCAAAAATAAGGTAGACGAAATGTATCGACAAGAAAATTTGAAAACGCATCACTGAAAGAAAAGGGTATCAAAAGCGACAGCGGATGGGCCCCCAGCCCTTCAACAAAGAAGACACATTAGTAGGGAGCTGGGCATCAGACAAAGGAGAAGATATTATCAAAGACCGAACACAAAAGCCACGGTCAAAAAATAAAGCACAGAAACAAATCAAGCCAACGGTTTCCATCCATCTCGTCGTTGCAACTATAGACTTTTCTCGTGGCATGAAGTCCCCAGATCGCGAAGCCGCCACGCAGCGAGGAAGGAGACTGCTGTTCACCAGGTACGATAGGCGGAAGTCTCGTAACGAAAATCACGGTGGTGATTGCGGTTGCGATCGCGGGTGCTTAGGCCGTATGGGGTGTCTGTCAATGGTGCGTCGTCCCACTGACGACAATTGGTGGCGTAGGAAGTCTCCTGGTAGTCCTTGCTGGGCTCTTGATCCGACTCGTCAAAGTAAGAAGCTACCTGTTATCTATCGTCAGTCAAGGGGACTTCGTGCAGTGGTTCATGGTACTCACGAGTGCTTGCTCTTCCTTCTGGGCTTCCTGGCGCGACTGCTGGTCCATGACCTGTTCGAACTCCCTTTCGGGGATGCCCCACCACATGGCGTTCGTCATTCGTGTAGTTCTGGCAAAGCGAATGAAATCTCTTTGTTGCTTGGCTGCTTTGATCTTCTGGAGGGTCTTGGTGCTTGCGGCAGGGCAAGAGGAGCTGTGTTTTGTCAGTGGACTGTTGACGAGTGAGAATCGCGATACTCACACTCCGCTCTGAGGGCAACAGGTCTCCATGTCGTCGATGGGATCAATACCTTGCTGATAAACGATGATGTAGCTGTCTGCAGTGTCTCTGGGATCATAGAGGCGTTCATGCAGGGGACGCTGCATCAGCTCTTGTTGGGCGTCATAGACCTTGTTCTTGGTCTCTACCCACAGCTCATGCAGACCTTGTGCAAGAATGTCGTGATAATGTTCGTGCCCGTGGCTGAAGATGTGATTGCATTTGTAGTAAGCGTATTGTGTGCAATCGGCGTGCCACACTTCTTCCTTGGTGATAAGGTTGGCAGTTGCGGTTAGGATGGCGATAAGGCGCTCCAGCGCTTCCACTTCGGTGAGACCCATAAAAGGCGAGTCGTTCGATGTAAGTTGAAGTAGACGCGTGGAGGAGAGACGTTGTGGTTCGAACGAGTTTACACTGTTGACTTCGTGCTGCGACTAACTACGGGGGACCCGACGCCAAGATTCTTCGAACTCGTCCCACTTCTGTCTAGGTCCCATCTGAGCCCTTATCGTTTCGCCGTTCTGTTTCCTGTCTTTGCTGTATCCATGCTTGATCCAATGTATTTCTAACTCCAGAGTTCGAGCACAGTATCAGTTTCCAACCCGCAAGCTCATGCGTTGCTCACAAAGCCTTCTTGAGAGTGGGAGCCATCATACCTAGCCAGGTCAGCCTTGCTTCCAAAGAATGTTTGTTCGTAAAACTTACTGAAGGGACCAATCACAGTGTCCTTGATCAACGGCCAGTCAGGATGATCACGTCTCAAATGTCTGTCTACGCTCTGGATGCTGGCATACAGCTTGCCGCACTCGGGGCAAGGACACACAAAGTGTGTGTCAACCTCCTGAGCTCTGGCATTGAGACCATCAAGCTCTTCTCTCTGCAAAGGCTTGATGGGACCACCAGCGCGGACACGAGGATCGTAGGTACCAATGAAGTCCTGGGGGCTGGGCGCGGGCTTGTTATCAGGCTGATTGGGAGTAGCGTCTGTGTCGAACATTAATCTTGAGGTTCTGTATTGATAGCGAGATCGTTTGATTGGGCGTCCTTCACCTGTGTATACGGGCTTGGTGTAGCCCATGTGGGCCTCGTCTGTGGGGACTTGAAGCGGTAAAGACTCGTTGGTGCTGCTGGTGTCTCGGGATTCGGCAGTGGGAGGAGGAGGAGGAATGCCATCAATGAGCGTGACTGGTGCTTCAGCGAAGGTGACACGGCGCTTGCGGCGTGGAGGGGGATGGTGGAGATCTTGGCCTCGGTTATGGGCTCGGCTATAGGCTCGATGATGGGCTCGGCCATAGACTCGTTAATGGAATCGTTGATGGGCTCATTGGTGATATCGTCGACGGGCTCGTGCACGGGCTCGTGCACGGGCTCGTGGATGGGTTTGGCGATGGGCTCGTCAATGCGAGCATCTTCAGGAACGAAGAGTGAGTCTTCATCGCCAACGGCTTGTAATTCGATAGAAGGCATGGCGGAAGCTTCCTCGACCTGAGTTGAGTGGAAGGTGTTCAAAGCATCAGCCACAGGATGCTGGAGCTGAGAGACACGAGTAGGTCCCTGGTCACGCTCGATGGCGAGCAGAAACTCGCCATGGTCTCTGGCATAGGCACGGGACTCCTCCTCCAATGCAGCGAAGTCCTCGTCGAGCGCCTTCTCGCGAGCGCGCAGGCGTGCCATTATTTGTTGAAACTCCTCGGAAGCCGCCATGGTTTTGTAGGATGTCAGTAGGCTGGAGGGAGTAAGGGTGTCACAGACCTACTCGATTGATGTTGGTGGTGAGGTGATGGTGAGGATGTTGAAGAAAACGAAGAAGAAGCAAAGTTGCGAACTTGAACAAGTGTTGAATCAAGCCAGCGTTGCAGTACTGCACAGCGTCTGGGTCGTTTCACTTCTCGAATGGAGTTGAGATTGTTCAGCAGCTCCCCAACACGTAATTCGTGTTGAATACATCAACGTGTTGCAAGAAGGATCCCCGAATGTTGGTATCTTCTGTCGTCACAAAGTGACAAACAAAAAGAAGCTGCCTTCCAGATTGGCCGCCAACACGCCTCTTGCATGCCATCATTGGTACGTCTTGTAGATATCTGCTACTTGAGAGTCACTGACAGAACCGTGAGCAGAGTGCTTGATCGTCGCTTTCTTCTCGTCCTGGACCCCACCATCCTTGATGGTCTTGTCTGAGATCTCACGGCACTTCTTCTCGAGGTCGTTTGCATCGGCAAGAGCAGCATCTCTCTGAGTGTGGTTAGCATACAACTCTATCCATTATGACTGCACTGATGACTTACGACAGCTTGGCCATCCTCGGCTGCGAGGGCTACAGCCTCTTCCTGGAGGTGCTCTCGGTGGACTCGGATAGAAGCGTCGAGGTCGACGTGGTCAATGTGAGATGATATGTTCTCTATGTTGCTGTCAGTGATGCAAGACACGCAGGATAGCAGAGTAGACATACTGGTGTTGATGACGTTGATGAGAGAGGTATAAGCTTGTTGATGGGCTTTGAACCTTGCTGTGCGTGAAACCCCGCATGCGGCGGAGCGGACACAGAGGGTATGTGCCAAGACTTTCCAGCTCGAACACACCTGCCATGCTCCGAGACTACTCCTCGGGACTTTGCAGCGCGTGGAAATGCATAGACTCTGGCCTGAGACTGGTCATGATCATTGAGAGCTCTTCATGACGGCCACTTTCTTTTGGGCTACAGTATACGCTGGCGTTGTCCTGCGTCTACATAGTAGTAGTCCGAGTATATGGAGTTCGTGCTGGAGATTGGCATGTATCACCTTCAATAGGTATCCTCGACCTCTCCCCAGGCTCAGTGTTGAGTGTTGGCGTGCCAGATGTGACTTTTATATGCTACCTATACTTTTGCAAAGCCAAGAAGACCACACTCAGGACACATGCCGGGCACGTTCCTGCTTGGGAATTTGGGAAAAGACGGTTCTCTCTAACGCCAAGCGGCGGAATTTCCGCGAGAACTCCTTCGGAGTCTGATCTGTGTGCCTATGCCGCTGGACGTTTGACGATTGCTGAGGTAGCCAGGTTCGAGGATATAAGGATGGACACGAGTGATCAGGAATGCACCAACACGAGCAGACATAACAGCGGAGTGGAACAAATGGAACAGACACCATCGCTTCTCATGACTCCATCCAGACAGCTATCTCTGAGAAGGGACAAGGTCGGTATTTCTGACAGAAAAGCTCTTTTGTGCTAGAGTTGTAGGGTGCATGCTGGTACTGGATGTCAGGAACTTGGTCAATCGAGAGTGCAAATACCGACTTACCCGCACGGCTGACGGCAATCTGGTCAGTAGCAGACATCTTGAGCAATATGTAGCTGGTTGATTCGCGCATGGCAAAGTTTGTGCATTCGCGAAGGCGTGCTTTGCGGTATATATAGCTCAAGAGCCGCATCTGGAGGCGAGACTTCCAAGGGTAGCTCGAAGAATGAATACAGAAGAGTGTTAGTAGATATTTGAAGCTTCAAAAGATAACGATGGGACGAACATGTCCAAAAGGGCGTGCTGCATGTCTTATATATCTCCCTGCCATCGGCGGTATATCTGCCTCAAAACTCCAAGTATGCTCTTATCTTCCCATTGACCTTTGACCTTGTGAAGCTTTCTAGGATCAGGTATTTGTCTCTTTCGGAGTCCGAAACTTGAGTTTGCTCATAAAAAGGGCGTTTGGCCGGGTTTCATACAAGCAAGCAAACATCTTAGTTCAGGTGGAAAAGCTGATAAACTTCTTACGGAAACAGCTGGCTGCGAACAACAAAGACATAACCCCAAAGCGACGGAAGCAGCAAGCAAATCTTCAAGCTCGAGACACAAAAGAACATGGTCAAATCCACAAAGCAGAAAGAAGAAACCACGAAAGGTTTGAGCTTGCCGAACATGGTAGGAAGATTTACAAAGCCAATGATTGCAAATCTCGAGGCACTGAACTGATTGCTGATGATCAAAATTGATTGAGGATTGATGGTGGCCATCAAGACTAGAAGATCAACTCTTCGGTATCACTTTTGTTGCTTTCACGTAGTGAACATGGCCCAATTGTTCAAAAAAGAGCCCTTTTACGTTATGTACAAGTGATGCATTTGCAAGATACAAGATATCGCAGTGAGCGACTGTGAAATATACTATCTGCAATGATGCTGAAACTTTTCCGCCCTCTACGGCATGGCTGAAGAATATTCTAATCCTTCTTGAGCCCCACCTTTCCGATTCTCCTCAACCCCCAAACGCTAACAAGCAAACTCGCCACAATCAATGCAACACAAAACCAAAACGCTGCTCGGTACCCCACCATCAAAGCTTCAGGACTTGTCTTGTCTTCGTACTTTGAGTTTGAAGTGACTTGCTGCGCAATCAGCAACGTCAAAGCCATGCCCACAGACTTGCCAGTTTGTGAGACTGTGTTGAAAACACCGCCCGCAACACCTTGTTCGCCGGGTGGGAACATGGATGTGATGAGCAGGTTGGCGACGGTGAACATGCCATCTGCGCCCACGGGGTTGAAGAATTGGGCCACAAAGGCGCAACGGAAGTAGGACCAGGAAGGGTCGATGATGGCCATCAAGAGGGAGGCGAGCGCAGAGACGATACTGGTGAGTACGACGATCCAATCGCCTCGAACGCGGTGAACGAGGAGACCGACTCCGATGTTGGCGAGGGCTCCAGAGACAGGCGCAGGCAAGAAACGAAGAGCGGTGCCCAGAGGACTGTTCCCCTGAACATCCTGGAAGAAGAAGTTGGCGTATTGCTCGAAAGCGTTGAAGGCTGCCCAGACGCAAAAGACATTGAAGCAGATGCATGAGAATCCTTTGTGTTGCCAGAGAGAATTTGGGATTAGTGCTGGACGTCCGAGACGCTCCTGTCGGCCCACCCAGAGGACAAAGGCACCGAGAAGTACGAAAGACAGAACGAGCAGGGTGATGTTGACGGGCTGTTTCATCACAGTCAAATCTCCTGTCAATGCAGAGATGACGTAGGACAGCATAGCGAGAAAACCACTTGCGAGAATGAGACCAAGCCAATCAATATCAGTCGCTAGTCGTGACCAGATCTGATGCTTGTGAGCAACAGGAGTGGGAGGGAGTTGCCATGCGGCCAGGATAAACATGAAGAAGTTGATGATAGCAGCGATGTGGAAGCCCCACTGCCAACCAACGGTTCCAGTGAAAATACCACCCAAGACCATTCCGATGCCGAAGCCAAAGGGCTGAGCTCCGCCCATCATAGCGAAAGTGATGTTTCTCTCCTTACCAGGAGGAAATACTTCGTTGATGAGACTGACAGCCGAAGGAAGACAGAAGGAAGCAGCGATACCAGAGAATGAGCGGAAAACAATGATTTGGGCCGTGTTTTTAGAAAGACCGCAGGCGATTGTCATGAAACATTGGAGAAAACAGCCGGACAAAAACATGCGTCTGCTTCCGATGACGTCTGAGACTGAGCCGCACGCGAGAAGAGTGCATCCGCAAGCCAGAGAGTAGACTGTGACAGGCCTACATGATATTAGCTTCTGGACCTTCCAATCTCATCATCGAACATACCATAGGACCAAATTGTCGGGAATATTGAGGTCTTTGGCCATGATGGGAATAGCAATTGTGATGGTACCAGCAAGAAAAGACGCGATGCCGGTGCTGAAAGCAATACACCCCATGACGATCGCATTGCCCTTTTTCGAAGTGATTTTGAGGTCTTGCTGGGTCAATTCCAAACTCTTCACCCGCGTCGCTTGCCGTTGGTCGCCCATTGTACTCAACTCCACAGCAGGATCACCCCACATGCCACCTCCAGATGCAATGGCGGCAGCCTGCATTGGAGTAGGCTCGGTCATGGCAAGCGTCGTGCTGCTCGACGTGTCGCTCTTCACGGTGTTGGTGAACGCGACAAAGAGAGGATTGGACGCGGCGAGGCTCAAAAGAACAAAGAAAGTCGTTGGAACGAATCGAGCCCTGAACGGAAACTTCATCCGGACCCCGGCAAGTTTTCCCCGCCTCCGCCGCCGATCACGGCCACAGCGGAACACAGCCGCTTGTCAAAGGTATCACCCTGGCCGCCCTCCTTCCCTCCCTTCTACCGGGCAGTTCCCACCCGACGAGACCAACACTACTCTCAAGCAACTTTCTACGTTCAATGTAAAGATAGGCAAGAATCTCACTACGTTGGCTCGGGAGGACGTTCTGAGGGCACTTCGTAGTACCTTCCACACCTTCCAAATCTGACTTTCGTGGTCTTCTTTGAGCTCGCGGCGCATGATGATGGGGTCTTGATTGGTGTCGACAAGACGAATTCGAGTGCGAGCATCAGGTTTTGGAGGTTGTGTGTCTCCTTGAGGTATCGGGTAGGGTCCTGATCTGATTAGCAACTGTTCACGGGTTAAATCATGTACTGCTTACATCGACTGGGAAGTTGCGGATGGCTTGAGAAACCTGCTCGCAGAGTTCAGGGATAGTCTTGATGTCGCTCATAGTTGCGGGTGCGATGAGCTGGTCTTTCGAGAAGCCCTGCGGGTGTTGCGAACGAGGGCAAGTCTGAGCCCACAGTGTCTATAAATACTGATGATAGGCGATGTAGGGCATCGCTCCCGCTCACCTTGTGTGGACGTTGAGTGGTAGTAGTCGATGCAAAAAGTTGTTGTTGCCGAGCAGGTCGACCAGAAACGGACTCCGTCGCGCGTCGAGCTTCGTATTCGGTCTGCCGAGCCAACACTCCTCAACAGCCACAACCTAACGCCAGACTATATCTCTCACCCTCAAGACACTCTGACCATGGATGAACACCTTCGAGACCATCCAGGAGGCGCTCACGATGCTGTCGTCCCTCAAGCTCAGCGCGCTCCTGCAATGACGGCACCTCAGATCTTTGTCCCGGGTCCAAGTCAACCTGCTTCTATCATACCACCCGATCATCGCGTAGATCCAGCCAAGTATGCTTCTCATTCACATCCTGATGATGCTCAGACTGCTTCTGGCGAGACCATACTCTCTTCTCTTGAACCTCGTGTCATTTTCCTCTCGCAAGAGGCTCAGCTCTCAACCACCATATCCCTTATATGGCCCAGCATGCCCAAGAGGACTCGCAACCCCCACAACATCCGAGCTGGCCTGCTTTAACACCGCTTTCTCAGAGCAGTGGCCGTCGGTCCTAATCATGTATGTGGACTTTGATACGCTCGTGCTGAGGAAGACTTCTGACACCATGAGCATTAGCCCGCGCCGCATGCTACTGTTTGGGAATGAACCCAGTTTGTCTATCCCAAAGGCTCTCGATGTCAAGCCTCGGTCTCCGTCAGCTACGACCTCGGTCAAGATACGCTCCTTTCTTCTGGCTTAACCTTGAGAAACTCACCTATCTCGTGTTCATCTCCGGTAAGTTTATCTCATGAGCTCTGCTACCGATGACTGACGCCAAAGCAGAGTGCAGGCGCTATCCACTGGCGGCGTCTGTCTCGCTTCTACTCTTCTACGGCACGTTCTTTTCCTTGATTTGCTCTTCGTCTCTTGTGCACTGCCTTTGGGATACCGTCACTTGGTTTCTTTTTCATCAGCGTCCACCAGCACGATGACTGTCGCCAATTAAGATATCGCAATTGGCATCGAAAGATAGGGATAGTAACTGACAACATGCTCACCAATCCAGAGACCTCCAGAGGTAGACAAGGCAATCCTATTCCAATCTTCTTGTGCCACAATTTCAAGTCCTTATATACACTGTTCCACGACTACCCGACCCAGAAGTTGAGCCATCAGAAACTCGCGGCTCTGGAATGTAGGACGAGCGTAACCCCTTCGACCCGAAACATCCTCTGCAGCACCGCCAACAATCGCCACCTCCACGTTCCTAGAAACCTTAGTATTGACACCGTGAGCAGCCACATGCTTCTAGCGACCTCGATGATGTCCCAGACAATGAAAGGGAGGTGAAAGTTTCGATCGATACGTCCCTATAACTCCAGCACTGAAGATATGTTCGCAATCCATCTCGATGCCACCCTTTTCTCTTCTGATATATTTTCCACTCCAACCACGCCAATATCCCATTCCATGGTGCGCCCAAGACATTCTCCCGAACGATCATTGTTGAACGGTGATGTCTCTGAAGATGATAGAGGGGTGCAAACTTCGTTCGATGCAAGGCACAATCTCAAAGACATGTTCATAGTTTAGCTTAAGGCCGCTTCCTAACATTGCTGGTCAGTAACCTGATCGTGGAGCAAGCGAGCCAGAGATGAACTTACAAAGTCACGAGAAGTTCTGATGAAGTTGAGGGTAGCCAGCTAAAATTTGAAGTTGGGGGAAGCTTTTTCCAATGGTAGGAGAAGTCTGAGCGATTCTTCGAGATGGAACGGGCACAAAGCTTGGAGTCTGTGGCATCGACACGCTACATGATGCAGTTGGTGATGATGTTGGAGCCGAAAAAGTCGACGATGTCCCACTCAATATTGTGATCCTTGAGAAAGAGGATGAGAAGACACATAGACATGATGCGCGCTGTCTGGGATCCTCGATTGATAAGTTTCGAAATGGGGAGCGACAAAGGCGCGGCCGACTCTAGAATTATCGAAGCAGTGGCTGAGAAGGATATGGGAAGTCGCAGTGAGCTGCAGGAGTAGTGTCAAGGAAGAACTCCAAGTCACCAAAATTGATGCGGTCGAGACAGAGTTTCTGTTCCTCTGACTCTGTTGATGACGATTCGCGAACACTGCATTTCTGGAAAGCATTCTCCCGCTTCTGAGGCTCGATTCGGACAGTCCACTGTACTCGTGTGTGCTCTTGACGCCGCGAACGAGACAAGAGGTATGACCGCAGTAGTTTCGAGCTTGGAAGGCTTCTCAAATAAGCTCATTTGGAGGAAGTAAAAGTCGTAACAAGGTTTTCGTTGATGTATGTCCTGCGGATGCCAACCTTGTGACAACAAAGATACATTCCTGTGTGTCGTCACAAGACTTTCGTGAAGGCAAGTTCCAAGCGAGAGATGTTTTCGTCCAAAACGCAGCACTCAATCGCTGATGAGAGCGCCGAAACCACGAAGGGTTCAATGACGGTAGTGGCTACGGCAGTTGCCACGGAAGAAGGGGTCCTTCTCGTCGAAGTAGTCCTCCTCCTCCTCGTCCTGGTAATCACCGCGGGAACGAGGCTGCTGCTGGTATCTGCCCTTACGAGAGGTAGGGTGCTGACGGCGGTCATTACCATGGTAGCCAATCATGCGGCGCTCGTTGTAGCGGAACTGACGCTGCTCCTCGTGCTGGCGTTTTCTATGGCGATGGCCCATCCCGCCCCACCCAACCAGTGACTCGCCGATCATGCGGGTGGGGAGGAGAGCCAACCCCAGGCCAAGCTACCTATTCGATTGCCTGGACCCGAGGCCGAGCCTGATGAGCCTTGCTGCTGACTGCGAAGACGTCAGTAAGATGTTGACCATTTGAATTGGGGGTGCACGTTGATAGAGCCCTTGCGTAGAATGGGAGGGAACACGAGGAGAGATGGGATCTGAGAAAGACGATAGTGACGAATGCGAGACGTCCAGCGGGATGACCAAACGTTACTGCGCATTCGTTCGCGGCCGCCATCTGGAGGTGCAAGAGAGAAGATGGGGAAAAGTATGAAAAGCCATGTGTACAGGATCTTCTGCGCATGACAAAATAAGAAGAAGCGTTTGCGCCGCTACTCGCGTGCGCGGTGTTGGAGATGCTCTGTGGAGACGGCTGCCTTGCTTTTGATGTACGCGTGCCTGATACGAGGCCAAAGCATCGTGATGATGTGAAGAATCAGAAGGCACACTTACTGTAGGCTGAATTGCCAATAAGGACAAACATCTTGAAGATTGTGAGTGGTGTTGTGGAAGAGGGATGAAAGAGAGGAAGGCAGAAAGCAAAGCGCACAAAGCTGAGTCGGAGGAAAGTCGTGGAGTGAGCCATCAAGCTGGGACCAACATCTATCATCGCGTTCACTGACTTGCTATCAGAGTGTTTTCACTCACGCTTCTCCTGCTCTCTTTCTGGACTTCGAAAGGTACACGATTACCACTTTGCAACTAGAAAGGGTCACATAGATGGATACAGCTCAAGGGAGACGGTCAAGAATTTGGTCTTGCGCCGAACGTCTGTTCAAGGCTGCTTCTGATGATGACACCGGGCATGTCCAATGCACTCCTGTATTCTTCCTTCTTCTTGCTTGCTCGGCTGTTGATGTCTTGTAGCCACTCGAAGCTGAGCATGGCTCAGGTGTTCTTGGGAGCGGCGGGTCTCTCGTTGGTGGCCAGCTCCTGGCGCTTTCTGGCGCCCTTGTGCTCCTCGAGCCACTTGGCGTCCATCTCGGCCTTCTCCTGAATGNNACCCTTGGTGTGATGGTTAGTCGTGCATCGAGTTAAGGTCAAGAGCAAGGCATACTTCTGTTCGAGAGCAACGCTTCCAGCAAGAGTGGGAACGAAAACCATGGCACCGGCGATCATGCGGGCGGCGGCAGCGGCAGCCTTGGTGGCAGGCATGTTTGTATGATGCTGCTTCTCCGCCAGTCAGTATACAGAGAAACAAATACACCAAGTCGGAGTATACATACAGAGAAGAAGTTGGAGGAGAGTTTTGAATGTGAGTCTGGTGGTTGTGAATGGTTGTGGATGGTTGTGGATGATTGATGGTGCGGACGCGTAAATGTTTCGGAAAGTGGTCTTGTGTGAAAGTGTAGCTATCGATGTTTGGTGGAAACACCTCAGAAGTTGGTATCGCAACTCTGAGCACAGAAGACCTTCGCAAGCACCCAGACGGCTACAAGGACTGATCAAAGTGGAGCAAATCTTCGTCAAGGAAGCTCTCCTCTTCCACATGAACATCTCAGAGACCATCGATGAGATCAGCATCTTTGTATCATGGTGGAGGCGCTTTTCACAAGTCGACCGTGCAGGTTGATTTCATGGAAAGGCGATCGACTTGAGAGTACAGTGTTGCATGCACTCCAACTATACTTCTCGTCGGGCAAGACAGACGCTCGATTGGTTTGTCTATCCTGTTGTAAAGTGTTCAGACGTCTTCTTCATCATCTTGCTAGCCTTTCGAAACGATGTCGTACTTTCGCCGTGAGGAAGTTTGCAACGAAATCTGAGACATGGCCTAGATTCGGTCGTCAACCAATAGACAGAAACAAATGGAGAGAAGCTTGATGATTTTGACTCCAGGTTTTGGTAGCTGTCTGTTCACGATTTGCTCGGCGATATGAGCGCGATCTAATGTCTACTTACAGTTTACCCCAGTAATACTCGTCCTGTTATAGTACATCTCAATACTTTGAATCTCCAGAACATTATCTTTNTCCGGCGGTCCACCACTCCAGCTTCCACCATTTGCCCAATTGTTCNNCTGCAATGACCATTAGTATATTCTCCAACCATCACAAGCGCAGCAAAGAACTCACCAAACCATACTCCCAGGCACTGTAGGCACATTCTTCTTCATCGCGCCCACATACTCGCCATCCACATAAAATTTGGTCACGCCCTTCAACCAATCGAATCTATACTCGTGGAATCCAGCAGTCATATCGCAAGGCGGGTCAGTGGAAAACGTAGACTCGGCAGCTCTGGCAGAGGATTTCTGGTTGGTGAGAAAGATTTGATCGGGGTAAGAAGTACGGATCTCGATGTCTGTTTCTTGGGTGTCGGAGTGATAGAAGAAGAAGCCTNNTGATTCTGTTAGAAAGGTTCCAAGTTGGAGGTCAACATGGATGGGAGGAAGAAACATACCATGACAAGTACCAGGCACAGCGCTGACCTTCGCTACCGTGCGCACAGAAGCGTAGAGTATATCATCACAAGCAGTCGTGAACTCAGCACCTTGTATAGGCGAATGTGTCTGTCCTCCAGGCACTCTCAACTGCAATGGTCTTCCCCGTTTCAGAATCGCATTATTAGGACCATAGTATTGATCAAAAGGATGTTCGTCGTCGTTTGGGTCGGCCGTGATGCCATAATTGCTGATGGAAAGTCCAAGAGGAAAATTCGTCCATTTCGCAAAGTCGTATTTGACGTATTGGTTGAAGCGACCGACGCCGGGGACGGTAATCATGCATGACTTTTTTGCTGTTGCGCGTTCTTCTAGTAGATCTGTGGTATTGGGATTTATGGCTGTGGTTGAGGTTGCCAGGAGAGCCAGAATGGCTGAGACGCCAAGAATTTTGGTCATCGCAGAGTCACAAGGATGATGTCGAATTAAAGCTTGAAGAAGCGAAAGGAAGAGGGAAATACTCGAAGTATGTAGTGAGAAATAAGGAGCGAACGTTGGACGCCGAAACGGCTTTCGTTAGACACAAATCCTTAACGGTACAGAGCCGTTTCTTCTATTTTTACGGCAAGACCTCATTTCGGTATACACAGTATGGTCATACTAGAGACATAAAGAGTGGGTGTTGTGATGCGTGGAGATGAGCAAAGCTCGCAAGGAATGCTGGTGTTTGCCGAAGACGCCGGACGCGGAGGATGAGCAAATTCTGCAAGTCACTTTCGTAAATGGTATGACCCTGTCGGGAAAACATAAGCGCCCTCCCGATGCGGCACCTTTTCCTCATACCACCCAAACACCGTATACGGCTCTAGAAGGGTGTATACAGGTTTCGTCTGACAACTTAGATGGTTAAGCATCGATGATGTTGTGTTTAGTGACCTCGATCACGCGATGGCAGGGAAGGTCGACATCAGAATGTGAATTTTCTCTTAGTGGCCAACGTCACAGCCGACCTCTTTAACTCAACCACCACTCTATAGCCAATCGAATAATCAGCGAGACACGTAAATCCAAACCATTTCATTGTTCCGCTACATTACGCAAGTAGTCACATTGACATCTCTACAAAACCCATGACCAACGCCACGTCTAGAGCATTTCGAATTCCTGTGTATCCCATTCCGGCAACAACCTTCATCCCTCGCTTTCTCTTCTTATTCTCTTTTTGCTGTCTTTCTCCCATCACAAGACATCCGGACTCAGTCTTTTGTCGTTTCTGGCCAGTCAAGAATGTGTCTTTCTCTGATTGTCTTCGTTCGCCAAGCTCGAGTGGGTTGAGGGACAGCGAGTAACGGGAACACAGTCAAACGCCTGAGCAGTAAGCAGGGATAAAACATGCGAGAAAGAAAATGTTGGCCCGGAGCAGATATCTACCCTGTTGATGATGTTTGATGATCAAGCCTGGAATCTCGAAAAGCATACGAACAGGCAAGCAATGAGGGCCACCAAAGAACAAGTCCGCAGTCATGGAGAAGAACCAAACCCTTCCTCAACAAGCGAATGGAAACTCCCGTGGGAAGGCCTGGCCGAAGGGGAAGGTTTCGGGTGCTTGCTTGATCTTGAGCTCCCTGGGTACTAAATGAGCGTGGAGAGAAACTGAGTCCAGGTGCTACTGATCGTCCTGTCAAATCTGTTATCCTCGGTACCGGTCGATGAGTGCTGTCTCCGTTGGCCGCCATCTCGACGGTGATCCTTTTTCGTTGGGATAATATGTCGGCAAGTGCATGCAAGTCTGCTAAACTTTCTTCTCTGAACTCTCAGTCGCCATGACTTGGAGCTCCTCCATAGAAGGCGCCTTCTGCTCATTAACCTGCCCGATCATCTTCTCAAGCTGCTTCTTCTGCCCATCCGACGCCTTCCACCCCGGCAACATCCCCGACAACGCATTGACACCCTTTCCAATAATTTCCTCCGGCTTGAACCAAGGTCCATGCAAAGCACCCACTGCAGACCCAATACCTCCCAATACTCCTCCCAGCGCCAACGAACTCACTCCACCCACCAAAGTTCCTGTCAACGCACCCAGTCCAGCACCCACACCAGTACCCACGCCGCCTCCAGCTAAGAATCCCTGAAACGCGCCTGAGGAAAGGTACTTTGCGACTTTTCCATGGGACTGGGCTTCGATGGTTTTGGCTAAGGCTTGGTTGAGTAGCTTTTGTCGCTCGTCCGGGTCTGCTGCTGCGGCTGCTGCGTTGGTAAGATCCTTGGCTTGTTTCTCGAGGTCGAGGGCTTTTTGGGCTGCGGTAGTGGATTCTTTCTGTATTTCCTCGGAGCTGGGGGTTTCTTCTGGTTGGTCGGCAGAAGCAGAGCTGGTGGCTTTGGATGCGCTGTCGTTGGCGGCTTTTTGCAGGCTGGCCATGTTGAGTCAAGAAGTCTGGTCTTGATTTGTGTCTTTGAAGAGATGGAGATGAGGATAGGGATGTTGAAGAGCAGATGGTGCAAGCTGAGGTTGTGATTCGGAGACGGCAAGTGTGTCAGCCGTTGACGTATCCCGGGAACCCTGTTTTGTGCGCAGTATTCTCATATGCAGAACCCATGAGAATCGGCTTGGGATAAAGGCGATTTGGCAACATCTCTTCTCTCTCTTTTCCATGTTGGCATAAGTCGTCTAGGTTGGTTTTCTGTCAGTTCCAGACTGGCTTGAAATATCTCTTCTTCATTCATCGTCGTTTGTCGGTGTCAGAACGGTTTTGCCGATCTGCTTGGAGGAAGAGCTGCGGCCGCAAAGCCGCTCGTCTGCACGCTAAGTTGCAAAGCTGTGGGAAGCCATGGTGCCGGTGCCTATATCGAGGTAAAAGTGCCTCATGCTTGCATCTTTTCTTCTGTGCTTCATATGAGCGACAGTGATGTTCGTTTTGCGTGGTCTCAAAACTGCCGCAGCTTTCAAGCTCTCCGCTCGCATCTGGCCCGGTTCCGATGCGATCTTTGATCTCATAGCCTTGGACAGCTCTTGCAGCATCGAAAAACCAAGACAACACGCCTTGCTCGATTGGCTGAAGGTTCTCGAATGCAGAACAGTGGGCGATGGCGGTGTGGACGGCGTGCAGTTGCGGTCCGTCAGGCTAGGCTCGAGATTGAGTACTGCAAAGCGGGCACGACCGGTGTGATCTGGCTCTACTTATCGAACCTCGAGCTTTGGTCTCAGGACATGAGTGGTATCCACAACCAGGCTTGCGTTTGTACATGTGTTCTGGCTTTCTGGAAGAAGGCACCAGCATCGCTGTCGTTCTTGTCAGTGTTGTACAGTGTCTTCGTGACCGTTCGAGCATCGTCTTCTGGTCATGAGAGGCGCCTACCTCATCGCGGTCAAGGTCTCTCTCGTTGTACTTTAGACTGATGCGCTTGTCTCCGAGGTCTTCCGCCCTTTCCATCTCTTGCAACACATTGCAGACAGAGCAGTCGAGTCAAGGCTTTGCACAACTCTTCGTCAACCAAGTGTCTCGCTTTCTCGCTAACGACCCGCTAGCTTTACCTGCGGTCCACGCGCAGTCTGCTCGTTTTAAGCCACAAGGAAACATACCAGACCTTCCCCCAGCCGCCCGTCGCTGATAGATTCGAGATGGCCGGTCGTGCAGGCATTTGAGAAAAATTCTCTGCTGGCAAATGTTGGCCAGATTCTTGAAAATGCGCAAGCGATGCATTGGCTGTTCTTCTTGTTGTTTTCGAGAATACGCGAGCGCCAGACCAATCGAGAAGGCTGGCAGATGTGTCGCGCGTAAACAGAGATTTCTGAGCAGAGACGGTGTGTTTTGACAAGGGCTACTGTGCAGTGGCGGTGGCGAGGTGCGAGACAAGTCTGTGTGTTTGCGAGTGCGGAGAGTCGCGTTCATGGAGCAGTTGTCGCTTTGGGAGGGAGAAGTTGGTTCCAAGCAGGAGACGGACGTAAAGCCACAGAGTTCGCAACAAAGCAGTCACAAAGGAAGTAAGAGATCAAGATATGAGAGAGCAACAAGACATTTATGGTAAGATTGTGAGAAACCATAGCATGTTCCTTCTTTCTCTGCTTTGTTCAGGCGGCCAATTCATCCTCCTACTTCCTCCTCCATCTTCTCGCCTTCCTCTCACTCCCTACCATCTATCCGCCATAAGTCTCGATATTCTAGGCAACGACGGGCTTGCGCTGAGCAACTCCAGACACGACAGAACACTTCCTGATGTCATCCACAATCCCTGTGAACTGACAATTGAAGTTGATGCTGCAACCATTGCAGGACTTGTGGTCAAGAGCATACTGCTTCTCCATGCTCAGTCAAGCGTTGAAGTTACAGGCCAGTGTTCACCAATACCCAACGGGAGTGAACACTGCTTGATGTCGTCCACACTCCCTCTGGACTGAGAGTTGAAGTTGATGCTGTAATCAGGACTGTTGGGAGGGCCGAAAGCACTTAGAGCTCGGGACTGGATGTTGCTGGCAGGATCTGGAAAGTGTTAGCAGTAGAACGAGAAAAGCGAAACTTGCAAGAGACTTACCAGTGCGAGCATCATTCAGTTGGGCCCTAAGGAAGCTGTTGTCGCTTGTGTATATATATTGTCAACTGGTCCCGGGCCGACCACCTCTTCAATTGCCCGGACCAAGGACCAGTGACATGAAGTTGAAAGTCCCAGGCCAAGCCACCTCTTCAATTGCCTGGACATAGGACCTACTTGTCCTGGACGTGGGCGTACTGGACATCCTGGGAAGGAATGCCGAGCTTGCATTCGCAGTAGCACTTGAGCTTGCCGTGGACATTGCTGAGCGTAAGTAGCCGGCTGAGCCTCGAGCTTCTTGATCTTGGAAGCAGTGGGGAGTGAAGTCCATCGAAATGTTCGAGCTCGTCACCAGTCCTGACTAGGAGGAGCGACAGCACGCTTGATCATGTTGAACGTCTGAACTTCATCGAGCTTGAAGGTGTAGCGCTGGTTCTCCTTGATCTTGAGAAGCTCCAAGGGAAAAAGATACATATGCAGAAAGTGGAGTAGGAACATATCTCTGTGGCAGACTTCTTCTTGAGCGAAGTCCTCCTTGTTGAAAGAACCGGAGGTGATAGTCGCTGGATAGATTCTCGCACATGATGCGGTCCAGCACAGCGATGGTCTGGAGGATCTTCTTGTAGTAGGTGGCGGCACCTTTGAGGTAGACGCGCAGCCCGGGAGGGCAATAACAACAAGGCTACTCGACTGATGGATGGGCTTGGAGGGCAGACGAGGCACAATGAAAGCGTTCAACTGGATGTTGACCTCTCTGCCGAGCTTTGAAGCAGGCTGACTGCCTTGGGAGGCGTTGCGTGCACCGCGAGCGTCAGACCACATGCCAGCACCGAAGTCGATGTTCTTGACATTGTTGGAAATGCCTTCGATCAACTGAGGAGCGGATTCAGTGGGGAAGGAGTCGCGACTGCCATCAAAGCGAGCGAGAGACAAGTGAGCACTCGACTGAGTGGCAAAGATGATATTAATGTCGAGGAGGCGGCGGCTCTCGATATCTATGGTTGCAATGCGAAGGTGTGAGACACGGGGCCAGAGGAGGGGCAAGAACACAGATAGAGGTTGCTTTTGCACAGAATCGTAACAACCAGGCTACTCGACCACTTGGGAAAGTCGGTACTAGAGTAGCAAAAGTCTGGTTCACGAAAGTCAGTGGGGAAAGCAGGGAAGGGGAGGCCATGAAGCAGGGCTTGGAAGAACGAAGGACAAGTGCGCAAGGCGGAAGGAGAAGGCGAGCGGAGCTGAAGAAGGTGCCTGGCAAGACTTACTTGAGGAATGACGACAGTAAGGGGTAGACGATGTTGCAGTGCGGCCAGAGATGGAAAAAGTCGCCGGCGTCAGGTGGGCGGCGAGATTCTCGATGGAGACGCTTGATGGAGGACCTTGAAGAGGATTGTTCATGGATGTTGTTGGTGGAAGCTGCCGACGGGGGCTAACCAAAGACGTGAATGGATGAGACAAGGAAGGGAGGAAGGTGTAAAGGCAATAGTGGAAGGTGCTCAAGTTGGCTGCGGAGCAAGCTGAAGTGCGGATGAAAGGAGAAGAGGAAGAGAGTTTGGCTTGTAATCGAGTGCGCTTTTTATAGGCACCAGTCGTGAGCACGCTGCGGAAGGGCTTACTAAGCGGAGACCGCGCTCGCTCGAGCTCGATGAGTGATTGTCTGGTTGTTGTTTACGTGCAGAATTTTCCGAGAGTCACTCGCCTCGAAGTTGCCTAAAGCGGACTAGTCAAACGAGCGCTCATTGTCACAATGACGGCCTCTAGGCAGCGAAACGAATCATGCTCACTCGGCAGCGAGGAAGAGACGACCAAGTCATAGTTCTCAGTATGCACATTTGTGGGAAAGCAAAGGCAGTGGTCACATATGGGCGGTTCTCGAGTGGCAGAGCCTTGTCGTACCGTTTGCCGCAGAGCAAAGGAACATCCTTCAGCACGAGCCGAACTTTTCCATCCCGCATGCGGTTCTGAACTGCTTGTACTAGAGACCTCATGAGCCTCTTGTCTACAGAGTGTGGAAGAGTATCGATTGAGATGTGCCCATTGTACCAACGCATGAGTTGAATCCATCTGGCTACAAATGCATTGTTGCAAGAAGATCAAGCTCTACAGCGATTCAAGATGAGCAATGGACTAAACAGTGGCCTTCAATATCTTAGATGCGATACTGGATGCCGGAAAGTTTGATGTCCATCTCCTCAAGCAAGACCTTGAGCGAAGACAACTTCTTTGTGATATCAAGATCCGGATCCGGAGATCCTGCTGGCGAAAAGGAGGTTGAGACTCCTGAGGATATATGATACGTATCCTTGAAGTAAGTTGCAAAGGTTGCTGTGTCACACACCACCGTCAGATGGAAGTATGATTCCCGCCTTGCAAATATTCGAGAAGAATCTTTCCGATCGTACCTGTGGAGTATGCTAGAGAGACTAGTATGGTTAGGTAAAGTCGTGCAAAGGGAGAGACCGTACGCAGCAGCTCATGCAAGTTTAGCAACTGCGAGGTTCGTGCACGACTTTATTCAAGCGTGATCTTTCATCTAGCCAAATCTTGCTGACCTTGAGGCAGTCGGCACTCCAATTGTCCTCTGCATCCTTCGCCCAGACGAGTGCCCTTTTTCAGACTTCGATATCATGAGCCTAGATCCGAACAAGGACCTCGACTATCTGAGAGGAGTTGCGAGATCTCTCCCTTTGACGCGAACATTGTCGGAGAAGAAGCTTGAATGGAGCAGGAAGGTTGGACGAGCAGCTTTAGGCTTGCACGCCTTACTACGATCAGCACTACAGGTCGAGAAAGACAGAAGTGAGCACAAGTCGAACATCGCATGAGTGATGGCAATGACTGAGAATAGATGGCGAAGGAGAGTACTTTACTGATTGAGCTTGCTGAAATTACTCATTGGCGATTCTTATAGTGTCCCGTCGCTTGATCTGAACCTCCTGGAAGACGATAGCGAATCCTATACAAGATCCGCCACTTTGTAACCCCTGATCCTCAACAGCATCCGCCAGTCCCTTCTTCTCCGAATGGCTCTGCCTTCGTAGCCCTTCTGGCCCCGAAGTGTGATAAACCAAGGCTTTAGGAGGCATTGTGTTGGAATTGTCTGGAGGAGGTAGGAGTAGAAGAGGTCTTGCCACTGTTTGAGTTGTCGTGACTTGAAGCTGAAGATGTGCTCCTCTTGCTCTTCGCACATTCTTCTGGGAGAGAGCGGAACATAAGCTCTGGGGACTTGCTGAGGCAGGCTGTTGATCGGGTGTCCGTCTGCGAGCCAATCGTCGTTTCCCATATCAAGAGCCTCAATGACGGCTTTCGCCGGTGCTAGGTCCCGGGCCAGCCACCTCTCCAATTGCCTGGACCAAGGACCTGCAGCTTCCACTCTTCGAACTGGTTAGCAATGAATAAGAAGAAGACAGCAAGAGACTCACCTTCTTCTAGCTCCTTTCGAAGCTGTCCTGCCAAATCCAAGCCCAGCCATACATTCTGTCGCTCGAACTCAGTACCGGCGGATGAACAAGACGACACCATCGATATGTCTGACATTGGCGTTTGCAGGTAGATTGTCTGTTCTGGAAGAAAGTCAGCGATGGTTGGAAGCAAAGAAGAGTCATGACCTACCCACCAGTAAGACATGACCATCCAACTTTCCCACCTGAAATTCCCGCGTTCAATGGGACTTCTGGGTACCAAGCGAAGCTTCAGCTTCAATTGTCCGAAGGAGTTTGATTGCTGCCAGCGACTTGTCACAAGTTGTGCCGAGAGCATCGTCAGGTTCAAAGCGTCTGTTGAAGAAGGTAGAAGTAGAAGAGGTCTTGAGAGCACTCCGGTCTTCTCGAGCCGAGTCTGGTGACTTCTCGGAGGAGAACAGACTTCCGTTGAGAAAACCCCTTCCGTTTAACAACTCTTGCCAAACCCTTCGGGGCGCAGTTCAACCCGATTCATCGGGAGGCGTGAAAGCGGCGGTACAAGAACCTTTTCCGATACAGATAGTGGTGGTCTTGTCCGATTGTTCAGAAACACCAGAACAACGGTGTAGAGCTCGTACTCATGCTTGTTGGCTTCACCAGCATCCGCCTCCAGATGATATCATCTAGGCCCAGAGTTTTGTCCAGCAAGTATGAACCGACCAGCTCGAAAGGTTGGGCGGCAACGAGTCTCACGTTCTGTCCATGGTTGGCGTCCTTGGCCAGAGGCTTGCTTTGGACAATGTCGTTCTCAAAGGTCACATCGACAGGGGCAGCACTGCTGAGAGCAGTCGACAGCTTGTTGAAGACCTCAGCAGGCGCTCCAGGCCTTCTTGACTTCAGTGGCGAGAGTGGTAGGTGCCTCGTCGCCAGAAGCTGACGTCAGTCAAGTCAGTCTACAAGGAACTCGGTGAATTGCTGTTGTTTTGGATCAGAGTAACTCACTACCTACACGGCCTCATGTCACCTTCCAGCCCTTCGCCGGAATGGAATATCCTTGAGCGACCTTTGGCTGGATGGAGAAGAGAAGCCCGAGCCAATGGGCTCGACAGGAGAGCTCGAAGAAGTCTTTGTCGAGGGTCCATCAGGAATTGGACCGATGTTGAGAAGTTCCATAGCACTGCCATTGGCAGGAGTGTAGATGCTGTTGGATGATGAGCTGACGCTGTCATGGTAACTTGGGGAATCCTTGCGAGGACTGAAAACGGGTCCAGAAGGGTTCATGCAAAAGTTCTTCTGCTCAAAGAACGAGTCAGTGATGGGGTCAGGTAGACAGAACTTGTGAAGTGGTGAACGAGAAAGAGCAAGTGGTTGTGATGAAACAGTGAGGGCCATGACAACAAAAGCCAGTGCATGGCTACACGTGCAGCAGCGCGCAGTAGAATACGTGCTAGAATCTGGAGGTTGGGGATAGAACAGCGACTTGTTCAACCCGCAAGAGGTCAATCGCGAGAGGGAAGGCTTTATACAGCACAAAAGTTGCAAACCGAACAGGTGACAAGTTTGCACATGCTGAAGCCGCTGCGCGTTGCAGCAAGCGCTTGAGAGATAGGATGTGCAAGTGTGAGAGAGGAAGGGTAGAAGAGGATATGGAAGAGTGTCTGGAGATAACTACCACGCCAAAGCGCGCAACTTCGCTCGATGGTGCGATGGTGGAGAGGGGAGAGCAGAGAGATCTAGGGAGAAGACGCTTACCTGAGGTGCCATGGCACGCACATCAACCTTCTCTGCGACGGAGAGGAGGTGAGAGGTGCGGCCAGAACGGCAGTAAGGTTGAAAACACGCGAAAGCGATAGATTTGAGGGTCGAACATTGATTGTTGATGGGAAAGAAAAGAGGAAAGGAGAATGCGCAAAGCTTGACGATGGAGCGGATTTGTTCAAGTCCTTCGCGTCACTATCGCACTGCAAACTTTACAATCACTTTTGGACCAATCATAACACATTTTAAATGTCTCACAGCAGCTAAAACAATCAAGAATAGAGAAGGGATGATTGAGCCTGTTCTCAATCCTTCTTGCTGAAGTACTTGTTGGCCTCGGCAGTGTTGATGAACAAGTTCTCCTTTCTGAAGGAGTTTCTGGGCTTGAAGACGTCTTTGCTCTCAGTGGAGGCGTTGTTGTTGCTCGAGTCGGGGGTGGAAGACCTGATGATTGATCAGTATTGTGCACAGAAAACATGTCTTGGGTGCTTACTCCTCGATAAAAGCATCTTGCTCATTGTTGGCGGTGACGGGCTTCTGAGTGTTGATGCTGCATGGTAGTTAGTACTCTGCTAGTGCTTATGATTTGAAAGTAAGCTTGCATCTGGTACGTACGTCTGGGTAGCGGTGCCTTCGGGGACCTCGCTGTCGGCCGCGCCGTTCTTGAGGCTCATAGCCTGGGAGGTGGAAGTGGTAGACATGTTGTGACGATGACTTTCTGCTGTTCAGGGGTGTAGGATGTGTGGGAGTTGTGGGATTGCTGAAAGGTCTGGTATTGCGAAAAGTTGCGTTGCGGAAAGGTCGACGTGAAAATACGCAATGTTGATAGTCGACAATACGCGTTTAAACACCAGTCAAACAGAGCAACAATAGAAGCACGCGAGTATCAACGAAACCTCGACACTAGCTCTTTGCTTGGCAGTCCTCGACTATCACTCAGTCACTCACTCCTCGACTATCCGTTGTGTTCTCCTCAGGTCACTATCAATATCCACATTCATCAGCATCCCATACCAACACTTCATCACCACAAACACATATCGACCACCAACATGGCATACCACTACCCTGTCCTCCCCGAAGAGAGACTCCTCGACATGCCCTTCTTGTATGAGGAAGAGCTGCCCTTCCTCCAATACTTCAATGCCCCCGATCAAATCACCGTCGAGGAGGCCATTTACCTCATCAACTCCCTGTAAGTCATTTTATACCAATACCCTTACCCTGCTTGGATGCAGACTAAGACATTTACGTGTAGCAATGCCACTACTCCCTCTCTCGCCTCTGCTGCCGCCTCTTCTGCCGCCTCGACCTCTGCCGCCTCTGCCTCTGCTCCCCGTAGCGAAGCAGCCCAAACCATCTACAAGAAGTCCTGCACAATCTGCACCACTCGCAAGATCAAATGTGAGATCGTCACCGGCAGTGACCCCAAGATCTGCACCCACTGTCAGCAAAAGGGCTTTGAGTGTGTCTTTGAGCTCAAGAAGGCGTATAAGGCCTAGAGGATGATGTTGTTGCAGTACACGAAGGGTATGCTTGAGACGCATTGGCTATTGAGAGGGGTTGGGGAGGTGGTGCTCAATGAATTGAACAGGTTTAGATGGAGAGGAGGGTTTGGTTGGTATGACTGTGCGGGCTTATGGTATTGGGAAGGAGAGAGCGGGGGACTGGGATGGTGTTTTTGACCGTTACTCTGTGATACAGTAGCGAGGATGGGAGCTCTGAGCAGATACAGCAGAGCGTAATGCATATTGTGGCTACCAAGCATGAGACTGATGCCTTGTCCGTGGGTGAGACCTTCTTTACGCCATCCTTGAACACTGCACTGCAAAAGACGATATCATATGTATCAGAAACACTTTGCCTTTTGATAAACCACCGGCCTGACACCTCTGCTACTCGAAGCCCACAATCTCTAACTCTCCATCGACCCTATGTCCTTCATCACAAGCCACCCTCTTTGTCTTGGCCTTCCCCTGTCTCTTTCCAGCCTTCAGCGCAGTCTTCACCCATGGCACCTCCTTCATACAAGTTTCGAACAACTGCGTCAAAGCCTCTTCCTCCTCTGCCGTATGCTCTTGTTTCTCACCCTCGGGTGCAGCCTCAGGCTCATCAATCNNGATTGCAGGCATCCAATTACCGGTGGAACTCTTGCGTGTCCCTGAGCAAGCACGCCACAAAGGGATCTTGAGGGATGGCTCCGAGTCATCAAGGTGTTGAGTGGTGGGTTTGGAGACTTTGCGGATGGGGATNACCTGTGGGTGTGTTGGTCAAGGTTCAGCTATGTTGACGAACAGGGTGAACTTACGCAAGAGATTTGAGACAAAGTTTCTCAGGTAGCTTTCGCTCAAAATACCAGGTACGCCTCTATCGTTATCGATACCGTCTTCTGTGGATACGATGCTGGTAATGTTGATTGCTTGCCATACTCTCATGCCTGCGAAGTTGTTCATGACGATTTGAGAGACGGGACCTAAGCTGCCGATGCCATGCCAGACTCTGATGAGCAAGACTTCGAAATTGTTCATTTGTTGCAGCAGTTCGCGCATCTTTGCACCNAAAAACGAAGGCACGAGGTTCTCACTCAGACTACGATCCCCGCGGCGAATATCCAGGGTAACAACGATGAAAGCCATGGTATTGGCAGAAGAAATCAAGCCTTCGTGCAGGGGTGTCCAAAAGTTCATGTAGACGTGAGCAAAGTCAATCTGCAAGTAGACCTGCTTGCCTATGGCCAGAAACCTCCTATTGACGAGAAGAAAAGAGGGAGCAGGGCGGGCAGACAGAGTCTTCTTGAATATCTTGGCTATGATCAGGATACTGGAGGTAAAGCCTTGACGATAGTCGAGAAGGGCATGGCTGAGGATCGTGGCGAGGAGGGTGGTGGGTAAGTCGGTGATGGCGAGGTGATGAGGGGGGATGTCGGGGCGGATGAGGGCGCCAGATGCTATGTATGCCTTCTGGTAGTCGATGTACGGGTTAGTGGCCACCCTGATGGCGATCGTATTGCTGTGACGGTGCGAGAGGTGTTGTGCTGTGATGGGCACAAATTGTTGTTGACGACCTGCGATTGCACGTCGAGCGAGCCTGACTATCTATCGAAATTTCCAAGCATGCTGGTAGAAAGTCATGAACGTGATGTCTCTTTGAACCAGATGGTAGAGAAGACATGTGATTTAGCAGTCCAGTCTCCTCTCAGGGACATGTAGATGACTGAGAGATAGTAGTTTACACGGAGAGCTTAAGGCTCTGCCGGAAGTGCAAACCATCAAAGACAGGGTGGCTGGACTGGCAGCTTCGGAGGAATGTGAGTGCAACCGGAACCGTCATGAGCTGCATTTCGATTTCCAGGCAACGAATCTTGATGCGACAACTTACCCCATCATGACATCTCTGAGTCAACAGGTCCACAAGCGTCACAATGTTCATCTGGAGACTTGTCACAATGTAGAAGCATCTCAGGACATGTCGTTGAAGCATCCCGATGTTCTTCCTTGGGCGTAGTTCAGGTCCTGACATGACAGCATGAGCACGGGCTGAAGCACAGACCAGGCCCATCAATGTTGGAGATTTTCGAGAAGTCGCGACCGACAGAAGCGCAACTTCCGCTTTCGCATCGCGACTTCCCATCTTGACGTCTATATACACCCCCTGCCCCTTGAAAGCTTCCCCTTTCACTAAGCCATAGATTACCATTCACATCAAAATGGTACGCGAAACATAGAGCCATCAACATACACTTCCTAACATGGCACAGGCACCCACAAATGGCAAAAAGCGCACGACGATGCGCGCCAAAGTCGCCGCAGCCTCACGACCCGCAACCACAGCTCCCAGTGCCACAACCTCGTCCTCAAACACAAAAGCCGGCAAGCGAGCCTTGAAACACGACACACTCATCTCGCGCATCGAAAAGTCACAAAAGAAGCCTTTGAAGCGCCGCCGTCCGGGAAAGAAACTGAATACGGCTTTGGACTCGCTGGCAGATGCTTTGCCGGAGCTCGAGGAAAACACTGATGATGAGTGGGAAGGCATTGATGAGGATGACAAGACAGATGGCATGAATGGCGCGTTGGGGGATTTGAGCAAGATGGTCAGAGTCAGAAAGGCAAAGCCGGCGGATGGAAAGATGAAGCTGAAGACGTTGAAATCACGACCCGGTGCCTTGAAGAGAAAGCAAAAGATGGAGGAGAGCGAGAAGGAGAGATTTGGAAAGAATTTGGCAAGCATGAGTGTGCCTGCTCAATCTGCCCCTGACGCCAGCGCTTCCTCCGACAGATGGGCTGCGCTGCGTGGTTTCATCGGTCAGACTCTGGAGCAGAATCCTGGTTTTGCCAAGAAGGCTTGAAGAAGCTATTCACGATTGCTTCGCATCAGGCGAACAAGATGCCTCAGCACACCATGCCCAAACATGCAGACATTTCTCGTCGTCAGGCAAAAAGCCGCCTCCGAAGACGTCCCAGCGGGGTCAAGCTCGAGGAATCAGTAGCAATCTCGAGGCATGGATCCGAGCTGATTTTGTGTCCGCGCCGGACTCTGTTTCGACTCCGAGAAAAATCAGCTTGCTGCATCTCGACCTTGCGAACGGTTCGTTGCAGAAGAACCATCAAGCCAGACTATGAACTCATTGAACTATGTCAGCCTCGTATAGGCCATGTGCTACTTATGACGCTGTATACTACCAACTCCTGCCTACGCGATTACTTCGCGACCCCACACGCACAATTATCAACTTGAAAAGAGACAGAGGGTTTCCGAGCCGCCAGCTTCTTTGTCTGACCCGGCTCGATGCAAATCTCCAAGTCGCAACGAGAGTGCTTCCCCTTCCTTTGTCTGCTCGGTTCCGCATCCGTTGCTGCTATGGGCCGCCATTGTTTTCCACCTACTGATGGTCCAGTCGCTTGCAAGTACTGACTGGACACCCTCTCGAGCATTGTATTTTTTACTCCCGGCAAGATGACATCGCCACATCCTGACCCTATGGATATCGGCTCACCTATGAGCTTGGGCACACCCACGAACGTGGGCAACCCTATGAACATGGGCACACCTATGGATGTTGGCTCACCTATGGATGTCGACATGGATATGACCGATACTTTCACTGGTACTGCTCAGCCTCCAAACCAACCTCCAAACCAACCCCCATCTCAGCCTACTCCCCAGCCGAATCTTCCACGAGGCTACAGTGTGCCATTTCCTCCGGACGTCCCTGTGTTAGGCTTTGATGAGCATGGCAATCAGACTGTGATACAGTTATGGTCCGACGTTTGCGACAATTACACCACGAGGTTGATAGCCGACAAGACTGCGTTTGAGGTACGAGAATTGGACCACGATGATCCAACCGGTATGGGTAAACGTTGGGAAGGAGATTGGCCGCAGATGTACCCGCTGGGACCTCCGAGTGAACAGCCAGATTATCACCCAATCCACGAAAAGTACGGTTTAAAAGTTCTGAATGCGGCCGGCTTCATCAACTCGGTACAGCCCAAGGAGAACGCAACCAATGGACCGGCTGGAAGGCTGAACAAGGGCTTGAATGCCTTCTGGCGAAATCCAGCGAATCTGGCTACGGAATACATGCATCCTGTTTTCAGATATGACATGTGGCGGGGAATTAGTCAAGACGAGTATGCATTGATCAAGCCAGGTTTGCTGCTTGCATCGGCCATCTTGGACGACCCCACCACTTTGAATTACTTTTACGCCATACAGCAGCCTGCAGATTCGATGCAGACAGTGTTTGGCCCTGATCTGACTTGCAAGATTACTGATGTCCCAGCCACTCTTACCGACGACGAACAATATCACACGTATCAGGCAGTCTGCAAAATGCGTGAATACACAAATTTCAGCATCGCAGAAATGGAGGATTCAGACTATGTCGCTTTCGGCGTGACAAGACTGCAGACCAATCAATCTGGTTTTACCATTACTGCAGCAAGACCGTNNGAGTAGTCCTTCCACGAACCATAAGCATGAACTAACCCAACATACAGAAACACGAGAAAAAGCACCATGGTACTCGACGACCATTACCTCAAGGTGCTATCTGAGATCAAGACAAACATCGAAAAGGGCACCGCCGACATGCTAAATCCATTCTGGCAAGTGCAACGCATGGCACGCATCCCCGCCCACAAACGCGAGAACATCGATACCATGTCTGTTCGGTTGCGCACACACCTTATGCTCGCCTGTACCGTTCTCCACGAATTCGCCCACGCTTTCTGCAATGCCTACTTCGAGGACCTTGATCCCTCCACTCAACCACGCGAGCCTTGGCTACGCGGCACACGCCNNTCAAACGAACAAGGCTGTTGTCTCGAAAACTTTGTGCTTGGAGGCTTACCCCGCCCAATGCTTATTGCCATCCCACCCATCAGCCATCTCTACGCTATGGCACAATCCATCGCCATGCCCTTTGGCGCCTGGTTCGAAGACCGCTGGGACCAATGGTACGACGAAACCACCTATTCCCAATCCACAGTCATTCCTGTAAACGGCGCGCTAGAATTTACACAGTGTAGGCGACTATACCCGATTTTGCAAGAGTGGTTTCAGAGAATGTTTGGGGATGATATGTGGGAGAATCAGGTCCAGAGGTTTGGACTCGAGGCTGTGAGGTTGCCCAAGTTGCCTTGGTGGCAGGTTACGTATTATCGAGGTGGGTCGAGAGGGATCTGGCGTACCGGTGAGGAGAGGTGGAACCGGAATGAGCCTNTTGCAAAGACGCAGCATTGGCTATGAGGGTGCATAGTGAGTAGTCTTGAGATGGATGGATAGAGGAAAATACAGCCTGCCGTTCTACCTACTTACCAAAGTCCTTCGATCTCTTCTATCTTTTCTCGATGCACAGCTCTCCCATGTAATAGTTCTGTACTTCATTTCCAAACACTGTTTCTGAAGGCTTTGTTTGGGTTGGGTTTCTCTCGAAGGCTTTGTTCGACCTGTGCGGCTCCCGCATCCGGCAGGCTTTGCATGTCAAAGAACACCACAGACTCCATCCAAGCAGTACCCGCGACCCACAACATCAGATCATCGAATCAATCCCAACAATCAAAAAGCACAAGATGAATGGCTTCGAAGACACCGAAATGCCAGACGCGGGCGACGAGTCCGACAACGAGTCCACCACCTCCAGCGTCATCAGCATAACCACACCCCCATCCGATACTTTACGCACCTACACAGCCGTAGAACCCCCCGCTNTACCTCTTTGGACAACCGTCGACGGGACCGCCGAAGAAACAAACTGGAAACAGCATTCCTGGCGCTACACAGCACGCAAAGATGACCGCGGCACTGGCTTTGAAGTTCGCCCATTGGCCATTGACAAGTTCAATGGTTATGAGCTCCCAGATTGGAATAACACGTTCTACTGGCCTGCAAAATATGCTCTGGGTCCTCCGACGCTGGACGGGAATTGGCAGGGTTTGCTCGAGAAATGGGGGTTTCCTTTGTTGGAAAAGGCTGGGTTTTTGCGGTATGATGCCCCAGAAGAGGAGGGATATATGGCACCCATTGGACGACTTGCGAAAGCGAGAAACCCACGTGAAGATGATGACAAGCGTATCCATCCGGTGTTGAGAAAAGAGATGTGGAAGGATCTTGATGACGAAGAGTATGGGCTCATGGAGCCAGCTTTACTGTTGGCGAGTGCGTTACTCGATGATCCGGCCACCCTTACTTTCTTGTACGCTGTTGCGGATATTGATGCCATGACGGAGTTTGAGGATGAGGTCCAGGGTGTGTGTAAGGTTGTAAGCACACCTGCCACTTTGACCGATGCACAGCAAACTGCCGTCTACGAGAATATATTGGCCATGCGCAACTGGATGACCTGGGAATTCGTACCTCAGCGAGAAATGGTGTGGATTTCCGCCTTTGGGTTGACCGAATTCCGAGAAGATGCCAATGGCAATAAAATGAGAGCGTCAAGAGCGTAAGTCAAAGCCATCTCTCCTGCGGTGAATGAGTACTAATTACAGGTAAGTCAATGCTACCAATCTGAAGTCTCCCTACCCCAGACCTTTCTCGATATCCTCCAGAGATACGACGACGACTTTTCCAATGGTACAACCAACCACAAAGATCATCTCGAAGTATGGCTCGACAGAGCAAATGTACCCGCGTCTCGTCGTCCCAAAAAGACGGATGCCACCTCCGCCTACGACCGCACAAATTTCTTCCTCGCCGACACCATTGTGCACGAATTCTGTCACGCTTTCAATGGGGCTTACTTCCCTCTACCCAACGCTACCGTCCCCTCCGAACCATGGATCCAAGGAAACAGATCCAACGAACTGGGTAACGCCTTCTGTGTCTACCTATTCGGTGGAGACCCCTACGCTATGACCCACTACACCAACTCTGATCTTCAAGATCATCGACAAGCCTGTAGTGTACCGTTTGGCTTTTACTTTTGCAAGCAATGGGATTTATGGCGGGATGGAGGTACAGATCAATCAGAGAGGACGATAACGAAGGGGAAAGAGGAAGCGCTCAAGACTCAACAGATTAACTATCCGGTGCCGCAGAAGTGGGTGTGGAATTTGGGTACGAGCGAGACTTGGTTGCATCAGGTTCCTAGGTTTGGGTTGGCGGCTTTGAGGTTGCCGAAGTTGGAGGATTGGGCGATCAAGACGAGTAGACCTACTTGATGTAACGATGTTTTTCTGGATGTTTTGTGAGGGTGGTATGGGTCTCTGCTTCGTTGTAGTTGCCTTTTGCTATAGCGCCGCGATTTGAGATAAGTACATCCTCAGCCTAAGAATCCAGAGTCCAGCGTATACATGTCTCACTTTTGATGATTGTGGAGATGCAAAAAGTCCCTCCGGGGTCTGTGTATGTCTATTGAGCAGAGTGGATGTGACATCCACGATCGGTCTGCCTTTGCGTTGTAATTTACTCCACCCTGTGGAATCACCCCCTGCCGCATCTCACGTCACCACAGCAAACCTTACATCTTTCCAACCCGGCCGCCATCGCTACTCACGTACCAAGAAGACATCAACTTCCCCTCTGTGGCCACCAGCCTCTCTCTATCGTTGCCGCTTTCTATCTCACAACTGGTGCTCTCCTCTTCCGCCGCCGCTCCTTCTCCCATGCAGATCCTCGACGTAGATCAACTGCCCTTAGACGGCGCCGCGGTATTCTACCACCACAACGACCCTCTCTTTGCAGTCGTCGATCTTGACACGTCGACACTCTTGCTCCAATGGGTGTGACCATCGTGACATCCCCTTGCGTCAATATAGCCATCTCAATTCATTCAGTGCTCAATCATGGCCTGGCGAGACATTTGAGGACACTCGGGTGCTTCAAAGCTTCTCTCTGGACAGATAGAGGACAACATGGTGCTGTGCGATTGATAGTTCTATCGGTGAACTTGCCGCTTTGTCCCGTTCTAATCGACCATAGAAACGCAGAAACCAGAATCGATGTACATTAATGTCCAGTGAGATGACAGACAGTCACAGCTCTCCATGGTCAACTCTGCGGCCTCCGATAATTCCATGACTTCTGATAGTATAGCGAGGCATTGATTACTTTTCAGGGAGTAGAACGAACAAGCACATCTCACCAAACACTCGAACACTGTTTGAGGACTATGCAAATACAGAGTGTTATTAACGTCTGTGGTTACGTCCGGTGGAAGCTTCTCATATCCCTGCTCTCATGATACCCTGGACAGATTCTACATCTCGATAGATGTCTTGTCAAGGTCGATTTTGCGCTCTACCGCAAGAATACAGAGCATTACTATGATCATAAAAAGTCACAGTTGAGTTCAGATGCAGAGATATGGCCAAAGAGAGGTAAGAATATATCTCCTCTCAGTGGAAACTTTCCTACTTCACGACAACATCGTGCAACTCGACATTCACATACTCACCGTGATATGTTATCAGAATTACGACACCCCGTCGACCACCTGCTTCCATTCGTTTGCTCAACCTGAAAACACAAGTCGTCAGATTGAGGGCTTCACTAGTCATCGACGCGCCCCCGTTCACACAACAACAGCTCCCTCTTCACGTGCATCAACCAACCAAAAACTTTGCCACTCTTCCAAAAAAAAACACAAATGGATATCAAGGCTTTCCTCACCATCGAAACCTTCATTATGTTCTTCTTCCTCGCACCCTTCTACATCGTCTTCTTCTTCATGATTGTGTAAGATCTTTGGCTATCTTTTCCCCCTGATCTCTACTGACGCATACACAGCGCCAACCGCCACGCCCGCAACGAGCGCCGCCTCACCCGCGAGCTCCACCTGATGGCCGCCGAGGAAGAGGTCCGTCAGTACACCATACGCCGCGGCGAGGAGAAGGAGCGCGAGGAGAAGCGCGCCCGGGAGCAGACCCTTCTTCAGGAAGCCGCCCGCCGCGCCACTCAGGTCAACCACGACAGCGACGATGACGAGGGTGGATTGCACATTTACTACAAGCACACCCGTGTCGCTCCCTTCGCCCCTCCCAACTCTCCCGAGTCGGGCCGTAAGCGCAACTGAACCTCCCGACAATGCCATCACAGTCACTACGGCTAGCCATGACAGGATCATGCTGCCATTGAGGTAGTTTTCCGGGCTATCAAAGTCACAGAACAGCCATCAGATCTTTCCAAATCGTCTTCAATCAAAGTTTTTCTCCCAATCATGTTGTCCCAAACGTGAATGCCCATTGTTCCTGCGTGAGCTTTGTCAAGGTACACGTGAGTATTCCTTAATTTGTCTATTCCACATGCTTTTGTCCCTTCGCTGTTAGTACCACACGCCTTCGTTGGTTCACAGATTGGTCGAGTGGAACACACCCGCAAACGAGCGTCTGTTCTGCGCCAACACTCAATGCCTTAGATTCGTTCCTCCCTCAGCTCCCATATCTTCGAGAGGCCGTCAATGTCTGTCTTGCAACACCATCACTTGCTGTGGTTGCAAAATGGATGCCCACGATGAAGCCTGTGTTCAAGACCAGGGCCTCAAGGAAGCCATTGAAACTGTTATGGGCGATGGTGGAAAGCCATGCCCGCGCTGTGGTGCCCTCATTATGCGCAACGGTGGTTGTCAGCACCTTTCTGGAAATCACTTCGGCTGTTCCTTCGAGTTTTGCTTCTTGTGCCTGCTCCCTTGGGAAACATGCCAAGGCAGATGTCCTGGCAGTACTGAAGACGCATGGAGGGTTCATCAAGAAAATGGCGAAGAAGAGGACGACGGAGTGGACTGGGACGCATTTCAAGAGGCTCAAGAGCAAGCAGAGCTCGAGGAAGAAAAGACTTGCTGGTCTCTCACTAGCTGTTGAATATCCGGATCGCGACATGCTTGTGTATGAAGAGCTCCTTGCTCACATGCATATCATGGTCATCGTTCACGCTGAGTATCTTGCTCGAGGCCCGCTGGGCCGCCTACAATTCAGTGACATCGCCCATGTCGGACGAGCTCTACAGATACGCATGGCTCGGGGAGGGGTTCGCTTCGAAGACATTGATGAGTACAACGAGTTCGCATGGCACATCGTCTCAATCCGCAGCATGAATGAGCGAACCATCCATGATCCAAATGATGTCATGTACAACCACAATCGCAGGCAAGTTGAAGAGTTCTTGACCCTCCTCCGCCCACTCAGATCAGAGAGATTTGTCGCTGCGGAACAGGAAGCACTTGAACTGCTAACCCTGTACTACGACCAAAACCCTCGGCAGGCTCGTCGCTTCTACGAGACAGTCCTACTGTCTCTTCTGGGGTGATATAACTACATTGTAAACCAGGAGATGTCGCTGGCGGTACGACTTTGTAAGTATCAGAATACAAAAGATGTGACAAGTTCTACTTCAAAAACTTTCTCCTTGTGCAAATTGAGAACGTGCTACACGAGATCGTGAATCTAGTAAATGGATAGTAACACGAATCAGTGGTCGATGAGACCATACCTTCATATGCGCAGAATGACCGGGCATTGGAATGTCGTTGGTGCCGCCGTTATAGTCAGGCAATACACACCGGCCATCACCAGCTCTGTGAAACGAATCGGTTACTGCTATTTGGAGTGCTGAAGATCCTCGTTCCCGAAATTCCCCTGCAATGTCTCTCGTAGGCCATGGACTTTGAGCAGAAGCGCTCATGGGTTAACTTCTAACCATGCGTCGGACACCCAGTATGCATCCCTTTGTCACAATTTTAGAACTTTGCTCATACCTCGTGATTAACTGATCCTGCTTTGTCTGCTTGCTGACGGTGCGGAAATTTTCTTTGTGGTTCCGTGACCCAGAACCAGGTTGGTGACCGCTTTGTTGTTGTCTCGACGCCGGAAGTTCTCTCACACCGTGCCCACCCCTGCCAAACAATCGATTGACAATCTATCGAACTGGTTCGAAAAGCATAGATATTCGCGCGTTACTCTTGGTGACGCCCATTTCGATTTCGAACGGCGGAGAGTCACCACCTATCGTTAACACGACCGCACCCGCTACCCACAAGATGCCACCAGAAAAAGATCTCCACGCGATCTTCGGTGTCCCTCCGACAGCGACCAGAGACGAGATGAAAAAGGCATACCACAAAAATGCCNTTGTGCATCATCCGGACAAAACTAGCAGCGAGTCCGCCCCAGAGATGCAGGAGGTCAACAACGCTTGGGAGGTACTATCTGATGCTCAGTTGCGCGCCGAATATGATGCCAGATGTCAAAATGACTGCGAGTTTTGCACTCCAGACAGAAGGGGAGACTTTCTGCACCCTTGGAACTCCAGAACTACAGGCTCGAAGCCATCGCCTTGGTCTTTCCCTAACCCAACTCCGTCTGGCCCTCAACCACCGCCGCCATCTCCTCCTCCACCAGGATGTGGTCAATGCGGGTACGACAAGGGTAGAAGTGTTCGCCTCTCAAAGAAATTCACCGAGCTCGAGGTGGATGTTCACAAGCTCAAAGATTACATCGACGCTTTCAAGACCAACTTCCGTGAAAGAGACGATATTGCCACGAACAACGAGGAGATCCTCAAGCAACAACTACGTGATTTACAGAGCCAACTGTTGAAGCTAGCCGCTGAAAAGAAGATTCTGGAAGGAAAGAGCTCCAGAGACTTGATCGGACACTCTGCAGAAGCGACCAAGTGTCATGAACAACTCGCCAAGGTCCAGAATGAACTTGCCCAGGCCAAAGCAAAGAGTGCCAGTCAAGCAACGACCATCCGACGCCTTACCGAGGAGCTCGTACAAAAGGCAGCAGGACAGCCAGGAATTTCGCACGCAAACGACAAACTGAAAGATGAGCTGGTGCTCAAGAACAGGAAGATTTTGGAACTCGAGAATTCAAACAAGGTTTTGAGAGGCGCAAACACTCAGGAAAAGGTTAAGCTGTCCAAAGCTCAAAAGGCTCTCAAACCCGCACTCGACAACGAGACAGCCACCAGAAAGGAGAATGAGAGACTGGTTGTGGAGCTCGAGACAGCCCAACTCAAGCTCGAACAACACATCCCTCCCCAAGACAGAATTTATCGGGCAGAGACCGAGCGTGCTGCGTCTTTAGACGCTGAGAGAACCGCCAACATGGCCACTATCGAGCAGCGCAACAAGGATCTGGTGGGCGAGCTTGCTAGACTGCAGCAAGACCTGCACAGTCAAAATCAGGCTCTCCAAGACGCAGAACTCAAGCATCAAACTGAGCTCGCTGCTGCCCAGGTGGCTCTCAGGTTTGCAATAGACCACGACGCTGCCTGTCAAACACGCTGCGCTGATCTAAACGCTGAGCTAGCCAAAGCTCGACTCGACCTTGAAACTCAACAGCAGGGTCTCGCTGACAGAGATGGAACCAACCATACCCAATCCCAGGACGAAGCCGAGGCCAAAAGTGAAGCCCAAGAGCAAATCAGAGATCTGATCGCTCAGCTTGCAGATGCCCGAGTTCAGAAGGCTGCCGCCCAGTCTTCGGCCAATGCGATGCAAGAACGCATCACACTCCTCGAAGCACAACTCGCAGCACCTCACCATGATGGAAGATGCCAGCAGTGCGGGATTCTGGATGCGGCACCTCATGATCCTGACCACTTTCAAGACCCGAGCTCTGTCGACGCACCCAAGTCGCTCTGCAAGACATGCGGATACCAAATCGCTCTTGGTAAGGAACTTCAAGAGGTCAAGCACAGACGCGATGTACTTGTCAACGAGCGACGAGAGGCCGAGGCTGTAGGGGACTTTGAAACTGCTACCGACCTCATGTACGGAGCCATCCCTGAGTTAAACGAACACATCGAGCAACTCGAGAACGAGGTCGGTCAAAGTGCAACTCATTCTGCTGAGCAACCTGAAGTTACACAGGCCGGAGTTTTATCTGGTAATGAACAGCAAGAGCAAGCCTTTACAGAGGATTTCGATGAAGTGGCTCCTCAGGACGGCACCAGTGGGTCTCTGAACAAGCCTATCGATCTCCCAACCGGTCAACAAGCTAGTAGCCCGCAGCAAGACAAGCCATCGGTCGTTGATGGCGGTTCTGTATCAACAGCCACGAGCCCTGAGTCTGCCTCAACATCAGCTAGAAACAACCAGCCCGACACGCCCATCCGTCTGCTCAAGGCGCAGCTCCACTACGCCAAAGCAACACAAAAGGCAGCTCGCGACGAGACCAGTCAGCTCCAAGACGAGACTTGGGAGCTCAAGGCCCAACTCGCACGCTACAAGAAGTTTGAGTTTGACGTCTACCATGAGCTTGCCAACGCCAACGAGACTCACTCTGCCTTGCAACACGAACTTTCCAAGACGAAGAAGCAACTCGACCAATACGAGCAACAACATACAGACACAATCGACGGGATGATCAATGATCTTGACAAGGTTGTCAGATCGAAGAAACCCCATGAGCCCAACGAGACAAGACCCAGAAAGTCACCCCCAGCACAAAAGATCGAGAAACCCTGCGTATCGCCCCTCAAAATCTCTGCAAGAAGAAACCGCCGTCTCCGCGACATGATCAGAGAGAAAGACCAAGAGATCTCCGACATCAAGATCAACTACGGCAACAAATGGGGCAAAGTCCTCGACGATGTCTGCGCCAAGGAGTCAGAAATCAGAAGTTTGAAGATACAGATGCACGTTCCTAGATCTAGACACGGCAGCGATGCAATGATTGATGCTACAGAGCCTCTGCCCTTCAGCGAACACGAACAACGTGTCAAGGCCCTTTTGAGCGACAAGGACCAACAAATCAAGGCCCTCAAGATCAAAGCTGGCCTTCTTGGCTTTGACGCCAGTGCAAAGGATCAACAGATCAGCTCTCTGAGTACGCAGAAAAAGGACTTGGAGGACTTGAAGACCAGAGCTGCATAGGTGCGCTTTGAGCTCGACATGATTCGCCGGAAGCACATTGGCATCAAGAACACGGAAAGAAGAATCTCGACTTGAGCTTGGAAGTTTGTGGAATGGAGTTGGTTTTTGCTTTTGGTTTGTAGTTCTTGTTTTTTAGTTTCCAACACTCCTGAGAACGTCTTGTGCGAATTTTGGTGCCATAGAAATGCACAGTCGTATCCAGGAAACGACCGTGTTCAATGAAGACCTGCTTATAGTAATGGTCAGCAACAAGGCATCAGCGTCTTTCAGTAGACAACACACCCGAAGCAAAAGTGTGCTGCATTCACATAGCTAGTCGATCCCTTGTTCACCCTCTCGGGAATTCAGATTCTCTGGAACGCACAAGATCAGGTTTGTCCGAGAGTCGATAGCATACTGCACCACATACCCTGAGCAATACAGCCTCCAAACCTATCATCAAATACATGACCGAAAGGGCGTAAAGCAAGACGAGGCCGACATAACAAATGTCGTGGTCAGAAACACGACCGATGTCGTCAGAGCCACAGAATTCCAGCAGCGCCACGAGGGAAGCGTACATCATGACTCCGGCGAGAAGGATGAAGAAGAGGTCAACGAGCGCAGTGATGATGAGTAGCATTATGTTGTTGATGATCGCAGTAAAGTGCTTTGCGAGTATGTGTTCTTTGGGGTTGTGCACGGAGACCGAAGCGTGGTGAGCAAGATTGCGTTGGTTGGTTCGAGGCTGGTGTGCACGGGAAGAAATTCAGCTAACATACCAGGATCAACATCAACCCGAGCACCTTGGAGGAATGGAGAGCATGTATAGTCGCGTTGCTATTGCACAAAAGCAGGAACTTTTTGTATAACATTGCACGCTGGAGCATTACTCGAGTCTTGAAGTATGCACCCTACATCCTGTTTTCTCGATTGACCTCGTTGATCCTTGACCTCTCTCCATTAACAACCTGTTTGTCTTTGCAACAAGTTCTGCGCGCTCTCCGCATTCATTTTCACGCCGGTACCGAGATCCTCTTCGTCAGATTGCAAAAAGTGTTTCTTGCCTAGGCAATCTCATCCTCTTCACTGTCTGAGACTACCTTCAGGGCGTCAAACCAATCACGAGCCCCCTCAATCAACTACAAGCTTGTCAGTCACCGTCTGTGCCGCGTCATGAGGACAGAAGGTGTACTTACAGCCAGACTGCAACGGACTCTCTCGGTCCAGATATGGTGGGCCAGAGGAAGCTCGAAGAGCTCGTAGAAGTCGTTCACGATGCCTGTTTCGATGGCGAAGTGGCCCCTCACAACCTCTTTGCGCATGCCGTGGGACAGGTCAGCCCACAGAGAGGGACCCTCCAGGGCTGCCTTGAGAGCCTCCTTGTGCTCGAAGGCCAAAACACGTAGCTTGACTCCACTCAACTGATCGTCAACACTGCCATCGGAATCGGGCTGTGGTAGAGTGAGAGGATAGGCCACGATGTCAGGGGTAGGTGGATCGGGGGTACGTGGGTCGGGAATAGGGGTAGTGGTAGTGGTAGCTGCGGAGTCTATACCAAGATCATCAGTCATTGTACTGTGACAGTGCATATACAGATTACAGACCTTCATTCTCGCGGCCGAGATCATGGTGAGGAGTTTCAGCTTCGCCATCTCCAGCTACTGGACGAGCAGGGGGCTCAAGGGTGTTGCGCTTGTCCAACTGCCTGGCGACGGGACGACAGATTCGAGTCTGATTGGTGGTGGTCTTCTTAGCTTTGGGAGCACTGGAACGCATCTTCTCCTGGGAGATGGTGGTAGTTGGGGGAGTAGTGGTCTTTTTGGCGTTCGTCGTGCTTCTCGTGGCACGTCTGTTGGCAGGAATGGCATTGGTCTTAGCCATGATAGGGCCGTCGGTATTCTCACGCTTTGAGGATGTGTCGGGAACATTCTTCTTGGCTGGTGCCTTAGGCTTGAGCTTTGATTTGCTGCTGTTGTTGTTCTTATTCTTCTTGATCTTCTGCGTGCTTTTCGTGTTGTTGGATATGGTCTGTGGAGGGGCAGATGGTCGAGTTAAGGCGACGGCGGTGTTTCTTGTAATACGGCGCGCGTTCATTGTCTTACTCCTGGTTGATACTGCCATGTTTTTGATGGTGGATCTTTTGCTTGAGGAGTGCGTTGTAAGATATTGAACGTTTGTTGTGGTGGTTGTTCTCGACTCGACGAAATTTAGCTCGCTCAAATAGTCCGTCGACAGCGCGTACTAACCACGCAGCACCATAGAAAGCTAGCCTAGCTTGACAGTTTCCAAGAAGACTTCGTCTACATGACAAGGATACTTTCGATATGTCTGAAAATCGTTCGAATTTCTTTCCACCCATTCCAGCCTCGGTCACCATCTGCCAGTAATCAATTGGCAGTACATATCGACTCCGTCATTCTGAAGTCCATCGACCACCGCCAACAGCTCTCCGTCTGAGGAGGATGTACACCGTTCATCTTGTGTGATACCTTGCTTGACCTCTCGTCATCTATGCTGCTTGTTCTGGTTCCAGCACTCTTTGTCAGAAGTGGATGCCGTCTCCAGAAACCCTTCTTCAAGACCGACTTCTGTTCTATGTTGCTTGAGGAGCTTGCAGGACACATCCAACAGACACCAGTGTCACTATGCATCACTTCTATGGAGATAGCTCTTGACAACACTTTCCGGGCTCTGGCTCTTGGCTTTCAAACACATGGCTCCTGACAGCAATAGTTGAACCAAGAAGAGGCATTTATCTTTTCCACAGCCATGCTTAAAATCACAACTTGACAACACGACCAGGTCCTCCGTTGAGGCTTTTCCCATTAGCGAGTCCTCTGAGTATGATAGTTACGACCGACCTGCTGTATTCATCTCCTTGATGTCGCTCCGCCGCCGATGGAAGGGAACGAAACGAAACGAGACGACAATATAGTCCAAGAACCTCTACACCATTTTGAAAGACTCCGCAGGCTTGCTTGCCCTGTTTTGAACTACTAAAGGAAGATGTCATGGGTCTTCTCCTCCAGGCCAGCAAAGTGCTATAATGTCCTGAACGAGTATGGGCTGGTCATGAACCCATTTTCGGCCAGGTATGATCACACTTTATCACTCGACATTCGGAAGTTCTTGAGCACCAGCTTGACCTTGCGGGAGTCGTTGTGAGTTGTCATATCCAAGATTTTGCTTGTCCGAGTCGGCCAGCGGTCTCTCTTCGTCTTTGGTTTGCAACCTCTCTGCTTTGACTAAGGATTATTCGCGCTTGTTCTTCTTCTTCTACTACTCCATTTTTGACCCTCCTCAAAGGCGCATGCCTTTGCCATTCCTCTGCCTCATCATCGTGTTCGTCTCAACACCTTTCTGATTCTCCTGAAGCACCTGAACACCATACTCTCTTTTGTAACCAAATCAGAGCTCCAGAGTCCTGATTTGATCTTCATGACCTCAAAAGCACAAGCGTCCGGCTCTCATCACTACGTCTAGAGAACTCGGAGAACTGACCTTCTCCACAGGAAGACCTGGTGAGATAGGTAAAAGAAGTCGAAAATGGTGAAGAACTACCAACGCTTCTCCATATAGTAAGTTTGGCCTCCCTTGATCCCGATCTCGACGATCTCGTGCAAACCCTTCGCAGCCTCCTTGTCGTCTCCCCTTCCCTACAATTTCGACGGTATATCGCGGGCTAAGTGCTCCGTGCTTTGTCCAAGCATGACAGGAACTGAGCAGTCCTGTTGCGTGCTACTTGGTTGTAAGTTACGGAGTCTGGCCACCGGGCCTCCACGTTTTCGACAACTCGAAAGACTCCACCAGGGTTCCCGAAAGGAATTGAATATAATTCGAGCAGCTCGAGAAAAGGCAAGTCAAGCACAACGTCGCTTTGTACAGCATCGGTAGCAGCAAAAGTGTTGGCTGACTCAAAATTCAATCATGATAATATCGATGTTTAGTACAGATTATCTCACTCTTCCTTTACTGTTGGACCAGTGTTTTCATGTTGCCCAGGTTGACGACTCCACCATCTGGGCTAGGCGGTTCTCGGCAGCCCGATTTTTGCAACCTGTCTTTATGATCGTATTATACCAAACTTATTCCAACAATATCCGATATGGTCTAGTGGCTAGGATTTCTCGCTCTCAAACCGTTGTATCTATTACAACAACCAGGTCCGAGGAGGCCGGGGTTCAATTCCCCGTGTCGGAAATCTTCTTTTGCGTTGGCCCTACAACAACCAAATCTTTTTCCACAGCAAAGAAAATCTTTTGGGTGGAAATGTGGGTGGGTGCTGCGGGGCTTTTTCGGCGGAGCGGAGGGCTCTGTGGTTGGCTTTTTTGCTTGACTGCGGTTCTTGGCTTGAGGTTTCGGATAGCAGGTATTATCCCTACGAAGATATATGTTCACACTCTTCTTCCGTTATTCTTATGTCCAAATTTCAAGAGTGTCTTAGCCAGTATTGGTGTATCGTAGGTAGCGTTACAAAACGTCGCGAAGCCTGCAAATCCCGCGCCATCAGCTAACCAAAATTTTTCAAAAATTCACCTACGACCAAATCTTCCACACCCACGCTTTTTTGACGTGCAAAAGAAGTGCCCAGATGGCAAAAGTAATGATTCCGCCCGGGTTCGAACCGGGGACCGCCTGTGTGTTAGACAGAAGTGATAACCAACTACACCACAGAACCAGTTGATGTGAGTGTTCAAATTCTTTGGGTTGTAAAGAATCTAGGAGGAAAGAGATGCGAGACAGAACATGCGATGTGGACTGGAGATAAACGCGAGTGATCTCGGTCTGGTAGTTTGATTGTACGGGTGAGGATACAGCCAACTTGATTGACTTGATTGGAAAAGAACACCTCTTTCCCGACGAGTATGACTGCTGCGAATATACTTTTTCGCTGTCGATTGACTGACGCTTCTGCGAGAGAGAAGAGAGAGGAGGGAGTATACATCCTGTACATCTCTAATACGCAAACACCTCCCAATGCTTCCATTGACTTCCCGTACTCCCAGATGAAGTTGTCCTAGATCTGTTCTTGCCGTCATCTTTCCAGCAATGGTATATGAAAAGATTCTTCGCGCCTAATATCAGTACATCTACCACTTATCCCCACTTCCGCTCACTCATCTTTAATTTTCTGTGAACCAAAAACGCGAAAAAACGGTGGGTGAAACGTGTTAGTATAGCTATTTTGGGTGAGGTGACCACACAATTTGCCTCTTTAATGCTCAGCTGGACAAAAGACGGCAAAAAACCACGATATGGGTACAAAAGCCCGAGAAACACGAGAAGCAAAAAAAACACAGAAGATGAGTATACTAAACTCGAGAAAGCTAGAAACGCAGAGTGGGGGGTATAATGATGCAAAAAGGCAAGCAGCAAGACCGCAACGCAATAAGAAGCACTTGAACCATGAACTTCCTCTGGTTCTCATTTTTTCTCCTCTCAAAGCAAAGTGTAGAAATTGCCAGAGGACAGTAAAAGCGTGTTCAAAGTCGGGTCCTGTCTTGAGGCGCTTTCTCTGTTCACAAAAACTTCGTGTGAGAGAATACGCCCTCAGGCTTTCGCGGTGAAGAATCAAAAGATTGAAGTAACAAGCAATTCTGGATGCATTCTGAGGGAGAAGGAGGCCAGAGGATCAAAGTCGAGGAAAAACATCAGAGCAAAAGCCGATGTGTTTGCAGAAAGGGGGTCCGGCAATACCTGTGGAGATGAGAAGGTAAAAAACTGAAGAAGATGTGTTGCTTGGTACTGGTGCCGGATTTCGAGAAAAGAGAAATGGTGTCTTCAGTTGAAGACTGCTGAGAAAGAGCGCCGTTTAGAAGTTGTGTCCAGCTGTTGCCGACCAGTATGCAGGAACTCCTGGAGCGAATAGATGCTGGGGTTGCTGCTGTGGCTGTTGCAGCTGTGGTGGTTGTGGCTGTTGCATCTGTTGCTGCAGATGCTGATGGTTCGTCTGAGCAGGCAATTGCACCTGCACCTCATCTTCTTCGACATCCGCCATTTCCTCTTCCTGCTCTCCTTGCTCAATTCCTCCCTGCTCTGCTCCTTCGATCTTCTTCATCTGCTTCCACTTCTGCAACTCATTGGCCACATCCTTTTCTGAGAACAAGCCTTCAGGAAACCTCTCCCGTAGCCTCTTCAACCCCTCTTTCCTGCCCAACCCTTCCTCCGCAATTCCTCTCAAACACTCTTGCACATCGTCCCCCTCCCTGGCCCTTCTACGATGATTCGGCAACGTCCTCACATCAACAGGCGGATGATTGTGAAGTGCAGGATCCGTATCCCCNCACCGTATCTCCCACGCCCCATCCGGGTCCGCCCTATCCACCGCCCACGCCCAAACCCTACTCGGACACCCCTGTTTGAGAGATGCTTTATCCCTCCTCCGTTGATCTTCAGTCAAATGCCTGGTGTTTTTCGGTTTACCGCCCAACACGCAGGTAATGTGCCATTTATAGTATGCAGCGTTTGGAATTATGCTTTTGCGACCCCCTTTNTGGGTTGTGGGTTTTACGCCGNNAGCTTTTTTTNNTACCACGTCGAAGCCGTGGTGTAGGGTGTGGGTGTGGCAGGCTGTCATGAGGTTTGCTAGGGTGGTGCCACGGAGACCGGAGGGGATGGGTTTGATGTAGTAGCTTTCGCCGTCTTTTGGTGTGGCAGCGGGACGGGGGAAGGAGGGTGTGGCCGTGGGGTCAGATATTGAGGTTGTGGGTGGAAGGGCGGTGGGTAGTGGTGGTGTGGGTGTGGGTGTGCGTTGTTTCGGCGCGTGGAGTTTTGTGATGAGTTCGTCGTCAAAGTCCATGGTTTGTTGTTCTTTCCTTAGTTTGGTTGCTGCCGTCTGCGAAAGGAAGGCGCAAGGAAAGTCCACAGAAGAGGAAGTCGCAAGAAGAGTTTACAAAAGAGGAAGTTACGATGGCATTCAATTGACTGAAACTGGCAGCTGCGACGCGATGGAACTTGTGGGGAAAGACCTCGATGGCTTGGAGTCAAGACTTCTGACACTCGGGAAACATCTTTTGGCCGCTTCCTGCTGAATCACCTTGTTCTTGAGGTAACTTTCTGGTACTCGACTCAAGAGTTTGATTCATATGAAGGGATAGCTCTGGGTGCATGTATATTCTGAAGATCCACGTAGAATATACTCAGATTTGATGACGACTTATTGAGTTCAAAGGCGCAAGTAAAAGCATCTGCTCGTTAACATCATGATGGTATTGATAGTGATGCCTGTCGAGGTATCTGCATGCTAGTCTTGACCACGATGCACGCTCTTGCCAGGAAACGCCGCTGCTAAACCACTAATGCTCATGCTCTTAAACAATGCAAACCATAATGCAACCCCTGTCAAGCAATCATCCTTTTCTTTCCCTTGCAAGCCTTTGACCTTCTCAAATGACCTTGGCCTTGCCTATGCCTTTGGTACTTTTCTTCGTCTTCGTTGCTTGGTCCTGCTCTGGTACGATTGGCTCCGTGGCGTTCATCAGATCAGTCAGCCAATCTGTTGCAGCTTCTGTCTCTTTAATCGGAGCTGATTGTTCTGGAACCGGTTCTGATGCAACTTCTGCCTCCTTGTTTGAAGCACTCTCAAGCAGTGCTTCTTGCTGAGAAATTCCTCCTCCAGCTGTAGCCTCTGCTTCAGCCTGCCTCTTGCCAACTTCTTGGCCGCAAGCTCTTGAGCCTTCTTCTTTGCTTTGGGAATGTAAGGTTGACCCTTTGGCTTTGGGTTGAACCTCTGCTTTTTCTTCTTTTGCCCAGGTTTTGCAGGCGCAGTCACGGCTTCAGGACTGGACTGAACGGCTTCTTGTTGAGATTCAACCACATGCCATCCAGCAACCATGTCCAGTTCATTGCCGATGCGCGTTTGTCGTTCTTGTGCCGTTTCCTCGCTGCGATCTGGTTTGATGAGTTCTGTTGCGTCTTCTTCTGTGAGAATTCTGGATGTGTCTTCGTCGCCGGTGATGTGGGCGACGTAGCCGAGCCATTTTGTCAACCAGGCATCATTGACTTCGCCTGATGCGAGCAATTTGGGATCGGTGCCGGCTGGAAAGGTGGGAGGATTGGGTTCTGGTGAGATGGCCAGTGCTTCTGCGATGGAACTGAGGTTTGGGGCTTCTTCGACAACTCCTTCGATCACGGGCAAAGACCCTTGTGCTAGATCGACAGGTGCACTTGAAGGGCCAGCAACAGCGGGCAAACTCATTCGTTGACGTTTTGCAGGTCTCGAATCTCCATCATCTGGTCGTGCTGGTGGAAGAGTCGTCTGTCTCCTCGAGCGTTTGTCGATCAAGGCAGGTTTTGCATCAATCTGTAGCCGCTTCAATTCTCGCTCCCTCTTGAGGGCCTTTTTCTCGTCTTCTTCCTTTTGCTTGACGTCCTGTCGGTCGTGGCCTTCTTCTGCGGTGATGTAAAGTTGCTCTTGATCTGTATCGTGTGGCTTGTCGGGCTCCTTGTCTTGTTGCGGTACTTGTACTGCTTGTATGACGCTGTCCACCGCTGTTTCCTCGACTTGATTCGATGCTTCTTGGTCCACCTCTTCGACAAGCTCTGACTTGAGCTCAGGAGCACTGGCGGCTGTTTGTAGTGTCGCGGGAGTAGCCACAGGCAGTTCCGGCATGCTGAGGGTGTTTTGTAGAGCAGGCGGATCGAGAAGGCCATTGTCAATCTTGCGACGCTTGTTGGTCTTTGCTGATTGTGGGACAGCAGTGAAATATTGTGTAATCTTGCGTTTGCCAGCAGATTTCGTGGTTAGAACGGGCGACCTTGCGGAAGCTTGCGGGTCGCTGGTCTGAGGTTGTTTGGCAGCAGCAGGAGACGGCACGCGCTCAGTCACAGCAGCGACATGGGGAGAGTTTGGTGAGTCGGATGGAGACGGTGTAAGCAAGACTCCCCATCAGGCAGCAGATTGTGCAGCGCTTGTGTGGCCTCCGGCTGTGCATTGTCTGGCAGCAATTCCTGTCGCATTCCGCTGCGCCGTGAGACTCTTTTTGCTGCCGACGACGACGAAGCGACGCCGCCCAGACTGGGATTTGCATCGATGGTCAATCGCCGTAGCTCCTTGGTCATCTTCTTGCTGCTGCCCGGGGCTGACTGTGCTATCGTAACTGATCCATGTCGTTCTGCTGACGGCGTCGTCGGCGGAGTCGCGCTTGCCTGCGCTCGTCGCGTGGATACCATCATGTGCTTGATATGCGATCGTCCAGGGGTCCAGGGGTCAGGGGCTCCAGCGATATATACGTTTTCTCTTTCCAGTATTTGCTTGCGTCGCACCCTTTGGCAAGTCTGTCGTCTGTTCCTTGTCTTGTTGTAGTGGATAGATCAAGCTGCAACTGCCACAATCAAAGCCAATTGTCCATGCACGGGCCCTGCCCATTGACGTAGCCACCAACCCGCCCTGCATGCACTCACCACAGCCCTACCCGTCTTTAGACCTCGTCTCCTTCTTTTCTGTTAGCATTCATTGCATGTCTCGTCCGGATGTCCAGTCGCAGTGCTGAGACGTTGCTTTCGACCTCGTTTCGACGCTGCATACCGAACTCACACTTGACTTGAACGACCAAGACATTAGCTTCAATGGACAACTCTATGGATGCGATATCCCTTCTGCATTTTGATAGCATTATTCTCGTTCTCGCGTTGTCGAGAGAAGTAGGTAAATCATGCCTCTCGGACCTTAATACGATTCCCGGGTCGTCGTCGTCCTCCCATCTGTTTGACCTCCCTCTCATTGCCTTCCATTACACATCATTCGTCCCTGCCTGCCCTCATTCCATCGCTCCTCTCCCTATGCTCATCCCCCTCTCAATCTTCATTTCTCTTCTCCTCCTCAGCAGCACCGCGCAGATCGTCCACGCCACGGCGGCGACGCACGGTGCCCGGAGCCACGACAGAAGGCGAGGCGAGAGCTGCGGCATGGCCGAAGAGCATGGAGCTAAGCTCGCCAGCCTCGCCAGCCTCACCCTCTGACTCGGGGCTAGGAGAGGGGCTTGGAGGAAGCTGTTCTCTCGGGCGGCCTCATAGGCGTCGTCATCGGGGAGGCCGTCGAGCCAGCCCTCGACGCCCAGCTCGAGATCAGGCTCGTACTCGAGATCATCCAGACCTCGCTCAAAAGCTAAGGTTCTTGGGCTGATGTACTGGAGTTGTGTCAGTAATGCATCCAGTGACTATGCTCGACAAACAGAAGCAGTTGAACGAGGTAGAGGGCAAGGCGGAAAGGTAGGTACTCACACTCTCAGCACTAGCATCACTTTCAATCTCTTCTTCCTCGTCCTCATCCTCCATTTCCTGGTCAGGCTGAATGGAATCACCGGCTCCCTCCTCCTCCTCCTCTTCATCGTCAGCGACAACAGTCTCGTACTGCTGCATCTCCTCATCTTCCTCCTCTTCATCGCCTGCGACAACAGTCTCGTACTGCTGCATCTCCTCATCTTCCTCCTCTTCAACAATCCCAGCAATACCGCCCGACAATCTCACAACCTGAGCGAGATGCATGGTAGTCTCTTGCGCACTCATTGCGCGACGTGCGAACTGAGCGTCACGCACCACTGTGGCAGGAGGAGCAGACGAGGTCACACGTCCGCGACCAACAAGGTCATTGCGCGTAGGAGAGAACGGGGAGCCGAGACCCAGTGTAGCTGACTGTGTTGCGTGGGGGCGAGGCATGGGTTCGAGACCACCAGGGAGGAGAGATGGGTTTGTGGTAGGTGCGGTGGGAGGTTGATTGTTGTGCTGGATCAGCTGAGCGTGCTGGTCTTGCTCGGGGGCCATGGTGGTTGTTGGTGCGATAGGGGTTTGTTCTTCGTCTGTAAGGGGATTGTTGATGGTTTGCTCTTTGCTGGTAGCCATGGTGTTGTGTAGTAGTTGGGTATCGCGAGAGCAAGATGGTGTAGAGGAAGGTTGATTTGGTGTGCGAGGAGAAGTGACGCAACGATGGAATTTTCACACAAGTCGATAGACAGACGGAGTTGGTTACCAGGTCGATGGACGAGAATGTTTAGCTCTCCCTCTCTCTACCTTTCACGGACATTTGTGTGCATACTCACTACTTGGGGACAAGACTGGTTTTACTGATTATTAAGTTGGAGATATCAACATATTCTCTGCTGCTATCGATACAGCTATCGGTGCGTACATGCGTACATAGACACACATGCAGAAGAGTGTACAGGTTTTCGGTGATAACAACCCTACAAGCATTGAATGCAAGAGACACGAAGATCGACTTCCTTCCATCCGAAACTAAACCCTTCCCATCTCAGAAACACGAGACCCTACTCATTTCAGCCGAGACCGGATGAGAACTCGATCGGAGAGTTCTACTCTGTCTATCCCAAACCGTGGTCTTGACGAAGCTGAGTTCTTGCTTCAATAAGGAACGCTCTATCTTCTGTCTTCTTTGGCCTACATGATGGCAGTACTCTCGACTGACTTGACATGAAGATACTCAGCATGACAGTTCCTGATCTCGACGCAGGTCAACAATCATACGCGATCGAAAGAAGTGCAGGACTTCTACCGAAGGTGAGTGGTGATGGCAGTAGCAGTAAAGTCTTTCTTAGAGCATGAGGAAGCTTCTTCCCAGCTGTATCACCAATCCACTCGAGTTTCGTCGATCTTGAGACCAGTAAGAACGCTAGAACCAGAACAGGAACTAGCGAACTACTGATGAGAAACCAGAGCCATGAAGCAGAACTCGGGAGAACCAAGCAATGCCACAGTGCCAGCAGGTGCGTAATATCAAAGGTTGATACTGAAAAGTGTCAGTGAATGAGCTTCGCGTGCATGAGAAGGAGAAACACCAAAAGACATACCTTTGACGATGGCGCGCTCTGCGCAAAAGCAGCAGCAGCATCCTGGACGAGCCGACGTACGTTGAGTGGCGTCGCAATGTCCTTGCACCACCTCAGAGGACTGAGGTGGAGGCATGGCGGTGTTCTGGATCATTGCCGTGCCTGGTGTCCTCATTGGGGCTGCCAGAGTTCTTGTGGACCATGTAGTCTGAGTTGGATGGCATTGAGGTGCGTTACTTGTAGCTGAAGATAGTCGGAGAAAAAGACAACTCTGAATGGAGAGGTGAAGTCCTGCAGATTGTCAAACCCATGGTACAGACTGACGCAGTCTTCAGTGTCGCCGAGAGCAGCCACACTTGATCCCCGAACCCACGTCCTTGGTGAAGCGATCGATATTCTGCGAGACGTCCCGGATGCGAGTCTTGATCTGAGCATCGCATTCAGGAAAAAGGTGCGGCAAGATGGCTACCTCTGAACTCGTGCTCTTGGACATAGCTGTGGACTCAACCTGACCATCATAGGCAGACACAGCTTGGGCGCGAGGATGGTTGGGGTTGGCACCGAAGTATTCGTGATGATCGACAGATCAGAAGCTGGTTGTAGTAAGACCACTTTCGGACATGCCCTTCGAAACAGCCACGGCGCGCAAGTCGTCAAAGCGACAATACAAGCTGACACAGTCTTCAGTGTCTCCGAGAGCAGCGACGCAGTTGTCGATAGTCTCGACCAAGCCAATCTATGCCGAGTTAGCAACAAGTCGAGACATCAACGAAAAGGACTTACTACTTGCAGGACTTCATGAAGGGTGCTACCCTCAAGCCACTCGCCAGGGATCATGCCGAAGCGCACGAAGCGGATTTGAGCAACGTTGTGATCGGCGTCTGTGCTGAAAGGAGGACCATCCCTGCTTGGAAGATTTCAGTGGGTGTTGACTATGGGGCGACGGACCCAAGTACCTCTGTTGTTGTTGCTGCTGTTGGCCGAAGCCGAAGTGTCAATGGCCAGAGCCGTAAGGTTGTAGTTACTAATTGCGGTGAAGAGTTGGAGAAGTGTGGCGAAGCGAAGAAGTGTGTAGAGGCTCTTGTTGCGCAGAGAACTTTTGAGCGAGGGAGTGAGGATGGCTTGGTCTATTTGCAGTGTGATGGACTTACGCTTACTTAGCGAGCAAGTGAACGTTTGTCAAAGCTTTCTGATAGTCCCAGACGGGATGCATTGGAAGCAGGTTTCTGTGCTGCATTGTCATTGGCCAAGCGAACAGCTAACATATTAACAGGACTGGTCTCGCCTCTGATCAGCTTTCCGAACTTTCTATATACTCACCTATACTCGCTTACACTACATGACAGTATCAAGATACACAGTAATTGATACTTTGCTTAATGGGACCACGGAGACCATCTATCTTTCCCGTCTTGTGGACAACAGACGAAGTGTGCTTCTGATATCGAAGCCACCTCTAACCTACAGTATCAAAACGCATAAAGTCTTTTATATGGCTTCTACTCCCCGTTGAGAGCCTGAGAGATCCAATCCTCGTTCAGAGTGCTCACGACAGCACGAATAAGTACCACACTATCATATAGGTCGCCATCACTACTCAAGGAGCACACTTACCGAGAGCTCTACAGAGACGAACACAAGTCCATTACGGTCTGTCCGGTCACTCATATCAGCTGGATTCAACCTCGGTACCTAAAGGCACTCATCGGGCCCATCCTGAGACCGAACAACACGTGCAAGCTTGGAGACTACGACAGAAGACATTCACCGAGTCTTGCTGGCACCTGAAAACTCGTGCGGACGTGATATCTTACCATCTCTACGCAAGATCTCATCAGCAAGTCCAATCATCAACGTGACACCTCAACTGAACCCATTACCAGTATCTATACGATATTCACCGAGTCATCTCGCGCCTGATAGCACATGCAAGATCAGGAGCTCTACCATCTCAACCCGTTCTCTCCATATCACCACCTACTTTACCATGCGCTGTTCTCTTTGTCACACCCGGGCAACAACATCTGGATGCATGAGATGCGTATGACAGGCACAAGATCGTTCACGAGCTCGCAAGAGACTACAAAGCGCCTTCCGCGGCCTGTTGTTCCTTTCTCCTTCAACATCCACACAGCAAGCACATCCCTTTGTCTCACCAGAGGGATCTCCGGCCAGTTAGGACAGAACTTCAAGATGAAGTACACCTATGACATTGTCCAGTGGGACAGGTTCAACTGCTACCCAACGATGATTTTTTGCGACATGGATCCGGAAGCTCTTGAGTGTCACTCCGCCCACATTCGCGAATTGTGTTTCTATCAGCCCTTGATATGGCAATATCACAGCCCGGCAAAGTGCTTTAAAGAGATACATCTTCACCCGGCCGGAGACTGGATGGAGCCCAACGCCCTCAAATTCGTGTGTTGCGCCATCAATCGTGCAAGACGTGGGAAGAAGATTTTCCTTGAGCTGCCCAAGGACTTTACCCTTGCGGTCCAGGTACATCAGGTCTTGTTTGTCTTGCAAGTGGAGGAGTGCATTGGTCCTATGCACGGCCATATCAGACAAATCATCAGAGAAAGACCGCTTACCACTATGGAGCTCGAGACTGTCTGGTCCTGTCTCGGCATCCTGGCTCCCAAGATCTACAAGTTCGCTATCCAGATGCGGTTCGAACAGTCAAAACATATGTGGTCACTGGGACCAGTGGTTAAGGATCATAAGCCGAATGAGAAAATGGTGGAAGGTGACACAGAAATGGCAGCATCATCAGCCAATGACACTCTAGTGGGTACAGAGTCGGACCCAGACACAAAGATGATCACAGAAGACATCGATACGGAAGATATTTATTATGATGCAGACGAAGAAACTGCTCAAGAAGACGAGGAACTCGTCACAAACTTCGATCTCCGACGCACATCCAGCGAGCCTTACCTCAAGCAAATGTACAAAATCGACACCAGCGCCTTTCGTGAGTGCGAAGACGAAGAGCCAGAATATTGACCGGAGCAGAACAGATTGGTGGAGAAAGGGAAGAATGCTACCCATACTAGCCACCAACATGCATATTACATTATTTTGGATTCCCGACAAGCAACAGCAGCAAGAAGATCTTGAATGCAAGACCTCGAAGACTGCAATACTTCTGTATACGAAACAAGCAGCGAAGCAGATCCAGAATGCTGGATTCTGACTTCAGACTGCACGATACTAACCTGGATATGTTACAATTTTTCGGAGATGCATAATGCCAGATCTCAAATTATTACTGCCCTCTATGGCTATAGGTTCACCTCTCATGTATCCTCCCAGTCTTGTCTTTTCTTTTCCAGATTTTTCAGTCTCTAGATTCTTCCCTATTGGGTGTCGTCGAGTGTTCCATAAATCAGGGCAGCATCTTCAAAGCATCGCTACTTTGGAATCTCTTACTGATAATAGTCTTAGGTCGAAACCGTCTGTCAGATCACCATTGCCCACGATTACTGACTTCACCGGAGAGTCTATCGCTGTTTCTTCCACCCCCTCTGCGATGACGGTTTCACCCCGACTGACATTGTTCGACAAAGGTTGTCAAACGCCTTCTCAATAATTGAGCATGCTTCTACATACTTCCTTTCATTCTTTCGATGGAGAAGTGTATTGCATGTCGTCAAAAGAGGGTTGTGGAGAAGGTCGGATTGGAATGTTCATGACGCAATCTGCATGGCTGATCAAAAGGAAGGTGTTGCCTAACTTCCTCTTCCTTAACTCCTCCTTACAGCTCGCAAGCTCTCCCACAACCCTTCGACGTCGAAATATCACGCCTCGAGTCGTCTCCTATTGTATATTCTACCTCCCACTGTTCCTCTTGCCAAGTCGTCTCGGTCGTCGCTATACCGACGCCCCCAGCTTTCGGTAGCCGTCCCCCGAACACAGTCGCTTTCCCGCCGAAGCTTCGCCGTCTCGACACACGAAATCGAAAATTACAGCACCAGCAAAGAGCAGTGCGAGAAACGAGAGAGGGATACTCTCATGGATTGATTGACATGTGCAAATCTTTTCCGCACGAATCCTCTTCTAGTCTGTCCATGGAAGGCCAACATCTGGCAAAACTTCCACACCCTCCCTGGCCTTCTTCATATCCATATCAGAGCCCCCAGGGGCAAAAGGGTCTCGCCGGGAATCGAACCCGGGACCACTCGCAATTGGCTTAGAGTTTTCAAGGTCGCAAGCAACCTCCCTAAGCGAGTATCATACCGCTAGACCACGAGACCTGCTCAGATGTACTGAATTGATGGAGTTGCGGTCGTCCGGTGGGTTTAACAACTTGCTGACCACGGAACAGAGAGGAGCACAAGATGGTTTATTCGAATCCCGCGTTGACATCTCTCTTGATAGTGGAAGCTAAGAATCTCGCTGTTGCTACACTACTGTGTCTGGACATCCACACCGGGTCCTCGTTGTTTTGCTTAAATCGGCCTACTCCCGGCTCATTCCTTCTCTTCAAGAAAGAATCGACCCTCTGCAAAACTTCTCGGTCAATGACATGGCTGTAGGGTAAGTGAGCTGAGCTCAGCTGACTCGGTTTCTATCCGGGGAGGGTAATATGTTGTAAGTGTTCTTTACAGGCCACACGCTTAGGCGTACCCAAAAGCGCAACCTCAACTCGATCATCTGCTGCACAACAACTTCCCTCCCGTTGCTTTGTCGTTTGCCTTGCACAGTACTTGTACAATGCATCACAAACGTTCACAGAATCACAGTCGACTCTATGCAGATATCTCTCCTCGGCCCGTTTCACCGGCCAATCTTCGGAGATTCTCTGCTTCCCATCAGACTTTTGATGTCGTATACCCGCACCCCTGGCCCAGGCTTCAACAAATGGGGTTGTGGTCTAGTGGTATGACATCTTCTTAGCATTGCTCTTATGAGCAGTCCTGAGTTGGAGAAGGTTCTGGGTTCGATTCCCAGCTACTCCATTTTTGCTCGTGAGACGTATGAGAGGTAGTCGAGACTTTTGTTTTGGAAGGCGGGAGTGATTTTTGGTTTGTGATTATGCTGGGATAGTGGGTGAGCTATTGGATAGGGGTTTTGAAGAGCCTGACATCCGTTGAGGGCTTCACTGTGATGATCTTGGCATGAAGGTGAGATGGCCAGCGAGTCGTCGGACAAAAGAAGGCTATGGCATTTGGATAATGACCATTCTTGGTTGTGGCAAGGTAAACACACATTGAATACTCTTGATGCCAGGTAGATTCAGGAGAAGCGAACAACATCTGATAACGAAACGAATAACTATCTGCATTTTCATAACAACCCAACACAAGGCCTCTGCATTCACAATCTCCTTCGTCTCCAACCAAGAACTCAAGTGCACTGCGAGTACCAGTCGTTCTGCTTGGTGCAAGTAGATCCCGAAGCACAGGTGGTAGCTCCAGTCCATCCATTACCACCACACTGAGCATACTTAGCAGCAGTACCTGACCCAGAGCCCGAAGCAGCAGAAGTAGTAGGAGCAGCAGCAGCATCAGAAGTCTTGACCACAGTCGACAAGGTAGTAGCAGGCTTGGTAGTCACAGGAGCAGTAGAAGTGGTGACAGGCACCTTGGACGACACAACAGCAGAAGTGGTAGGCTTGTTAGATGACACGGGGGCAGCACCGCCAGCGCCACAGCTGATGACTGCAGGTCCAGGAGCCTTGTATGAAGTGTAGATGGAGGTGTCGTAAATGTTGGCAAGGATACCAGGGTCAGTGGCTGAGTAGCCACCAGGGAGCGAGATCTCAGCCGACGACGCAGGCGAGAAGGAGCCAGAACCTGTAACCTTGATCTGCGCACACGACTGGTAGAACTGGGCACCACCTGCAGAACTGGCAGAGTGCAAAGCAAGCAACTCGACACGCATAAGGTACTGGCCAGGCGCAATGCAGCTGGGCATGGTAAACTTCTGCCAGCCAAAGCCATTGGAGTCGGTGTTCTTGATCATGTCGTCGACGCCCCAGACACCAGACGAAGTCACAGTGTCGCTGGCAATCTTGAACCACTTGAGGCCAGTGGCGGCAGCGGAAACGGCATCGTCGACTTTGGCGAGGTAGACTTGGGTAGGGCCCTTGTGGGAAGAGGCGATAGGGTTGTCTGAGTCGCCCTGGCCTTGTGGGCCACCGAGAGCATGAGCCCAAGCACCTGCGACGGCGGCACCGGCGGGGATGGTGATGAGCTTGGAGGAAGTGCCGGCGCTGGCACCGCAAAGAAGGTCGGTGGAGGTGACGTCTTGGACGGGGTTGTTGGTGGGAGGGGAACGGATGCCGGTCAGAGAGCCTTGGTCAACACCGTCGACCATGATACGCTGCATGATGGCATGGGCGTTGACCGAGGAAGCGGCAAGCGCCAGAGCAGAGACGATAGAGTACTTCATTGTTGTGTTTGTAGAAATCGAATATAGATACCTGCCAGAGGATCGAGAAAATATGTGGATATGAACGAGAGTCGAAAGTGTTAAAGAAGTGGTGGTGAGAAAAGAACGTGGAAAGTAGTCAAGATGCTTGAAGAAAGGAAAGTTCAAACCTCGTGCACCAACCTTGCACTTATATATCAGCCCAGGGCTTCGTCTTGTCCACTTCAGGGCAAGACCAGAGATCTCGTTCTCCTAAACAGACACAACACGACGCCACAGACCATAGGCTAATATCCAGCCAAGGCGGCAAGTAGACTGTTTATTGAGCAGTACTACGCCAAGTCATGTTCTGGTATAGGGCAAGGGCGGATTCTGTGTAAGCGATCTGGTGAGATGTGACAGCGCAGCTCGCGTATGCCCATGCGAATGCGAGAACAACGTGCCTGCAGGGGTGCAAAGAGGAAGGTCGTGTATACTCGAAACAAAGTCGTTGTCGCCAAGCACGATCTGGAGCGCTTCAACCCGCTAGGGATATCCAGACTCATCGATGCTTTGAACTGGATCATTGACGTTGGACGTGGTATGGACTTCAGGCCCGAGAGTCCGCAAGAAGGTGTGTCAAGCATCAACTGACCGTCAGCCATCTCGTTCTTGAATATATCCAGTCCAATAGAGCACCTTTTGCCAAGAAGATTCATGCACATGCAGAAGTTCGAAGCAAACGCCAGGTTTGTGGGGGTGGCGCTGGGAGAGCGAAAAGTTTACTTTAATCTCGCTTCAGCTTGAGGCTCCTGAAGCACGCTATGCAGATGTATGCGTTTCATCTTTTGGGAAGGGCAAGCGATGGATCGGTCGCATTGTTGAGAGTTTTTGCGTCGTGTTGTTCTGGTCTGGAATATATGATCGCAGCGTCTCCATGACTGTAGAGAGGCAATGTTTGTAGCCCCTTGCTTGTTTTGCTGGAGCTGTTTGTTTCGACGTGAGCGCTCGCAGCAATTCAAGGCTTGCGACTCCTCGGTCGCAAAGCTGTACAGCACCTAACGTTCACCGTTTAGCTCGAGCGACGGAGCTGCTTGGATGCATCGCTTGCTGTTAAGAGTCAGCTTCACGCCGCGATGGCGCAAGGTCGCTAGAGTCGAGATTGAATCAGTCATGAGCGGCAGCCTGTGGCTCGTCGAGATGCAGTGCCTCGTGACTGTGAGTGTATGGGCTTGGGCAGCGTTACGGCCGCTGTAGTCGCTGAGACTGCTGACTTGGTTGCTCGTCGATATTGAATACGGCCAGACTGGACACTATATCATGCAGTCTTGACGCTATGTCGATAGTTGGTTGTTTGCTGTTCAGCCTGTTCTGCTGGAGGGATGCTTGTGGGAGAGTTTTTCAGCTTCCCCGCTCGGGGAGTTTTGAAGCCTCGACAATTTGACGATTGAGGACCACGATTTTGAGGCTGTCATTCTCTGCTCAGTATCTATGTTGGCTGAGTGAAGCGGTCGTGTCTGCCACTCGCTTTGTGACTCTTCGTCTTGACTGGTCTCAGAGTCTTCGCGTCTTTGGGGTCGCTTCTGAACAGAGTGTGATGGTTTTGAGTCATGGGCATATCACGGAAGACACTCCGAAGCCTGAGACTCGACAGGGTGGTCCTCTCAACTAGCACTTTGACCAACGAATGTGGTGTAGAGCCGTCACCATGTTGGTTATGCTATATCCAACTATCCTGAGGGCAAGATACCCATTCAGGAGTTGTACCTCTGAGGATTCAGGAGGGCTCGTTGAGTACGTCGACGTCGACGTTGAGTAGAAAAGATTTGAGCACGGCTTTGTGAGAAGACGCTTCGATATCACACAGAACCAGAAGCACATCGTCCACGATGAGCAGAGAATTTGTTATCTCGAGTTCACGCGCTTAGATCTGGACATGTACTGTTCCAGTCAACCTTCTTGAGCATTAAAACGCCTTCCCAATACATTTGAGAGCCCACGACATTGCTGGTGACCTTCGAGAGACGCGTGTGTGGCCGATGTTCGGAGATTCTTATTCCGTATGGCTCAAGAATGCTTTCATCAAGGGCGAGATGGCCGAGCGGTCTAAGGCGCCAGCTTAAGGTTATTCCAATACGCTGGTCCGAAAGGGCGTGGGTTCAAATCCCACTCTCGTCAATATCGTTTTGTTTTGACTATCCCAAAAGCTTGAGAAGGAAGAGCGTGGTGGTGGAGGAAGAAAATTTTGGTATCGGGATTTCCTGGACCCTGAATTTTGCGCTTGCAGCCTGTCTGCACAAAGGTTCTTGGCGGGATTGTGTAGGGTATGTGCAGAAGTGCGGGGTACTGGCATAAGATGTGTAGAGTATATCAATGGCATAATAATGCTCATACTTCGGATGGTTGGTGGTTGCCCGCCTCGTGTTTTGCGGACTTTTAAAGCTAAGCAACTTACACTTGCAAGGCGAAGGATCAAGCATGTTGCATTGTCCGAGGAGTGATAACCTTTGCGACTACACACATCCAAGGCTGAGCAGTGTTGGTTATATACAAGAAGTTTTTCATCAGGGTCAGCGAATGAGGAGAGCAGTATATACACGACAATAGCCTTACACCACAGCACCAAGAACGCCAGCCCACGAGGCCTTGAGCGACGCGTCATGAGTATTGTCTACAGAAGTCATCATCAATAGAGTCTTCAGCCGGAGACACGAGAGAGGATGAGCTTGGCAAATGTCCCGGGCGGTGGGTGGTACACACAGCCGCGTGGCTCGCACGATTGACATGCTTCTTACTGTATGCAAGATCTGAGAAGATGGTGTGGAGAAGAGATGTACAAGATCGACTGAGAGAGAGCCGCGGACAGTCGGGGCAAGAGGAAGATATAAGTCCGACGAGGCTGTGGATGTTGGTGAAGCTTCGGTGGGAGGAAGAGTGGATCATGCCGAAGAAGCTCGATGCCACCACTTTGGTGCGAGAGACATCCCGGAGACTCAGAAGAAGGATAGAAGGAAGATTACAAAGGTTCCTTGCATGCTGTGTTGGTTGAGCAAGGCAAGATGACAGGCTGACCGGAAGATGAATTGGTGGATCAGCAAGAGATGGATGCACGAAAAAGGCGGATGCAACAACTACCGACACCTCCGACTGTGGGTATGGACGAGGCGTCAGTAAAATCTCCGAAGCGTCACATCAGATTGCAAACATCATGGACATGTGTGGCAGCAAAAAGGTCAAGTTTTGGGTGGTGGTCAAAAGGGCCTTGGTGGTGACGTCCTGCTGCTCTCGGGCAACCCCACGGACTTGCTAAGCCCAAACAGGCAAAGCGTTCGGACTTTCTGAGGCAGCTTATCCTTATTTTTGCTGCTGTTCTGTTCGCCCTGCCTCATCTTCTTGTTGCAGCAGTGAGAGACGTGTCCGAGGGGCGCGCGTGAGCTGCGAAACCAACGAGGCCCTTCGGAGAATACGCGTCACTGCAAGTCAGAGGCGATGAAGAAGGGTCTTGGTTCTGCATGACGCGGCTGTGCAACAGAATCAAGGCTATATAGGCAGAGAGGGAGGTAGGTCTTTTTGCATCCAGTCATTTTTCCAAATACACCAACTGTTCCACCTGTTCATACCACCAAACACACAACCAAACGGCAGAAAAAGACACACCATTTCACAATGAAGTTTGATTTCTCCATCCTCGCCGCTGCCACCGCCCTCGTCGGCTCGGCCACCGCAGCACCTCAAAACAACAACAACAATGGTAACAACAACTGGCAGAGCTACGCTTCACAAGCAAGTTCTTACTGGGCATCAGCCAACCCCACCGCCACAGGTGATTGGTCGTCGTGGGCCAATGCTGCCTCGTCGTACTGGAACAGCGTCAGCCCCAGTGCCGCTCCATCGCAGTGGTCTTCCTACGCGTCGGCCGCATCCTCATACTGGGCTTCCAACAGCGCTAGCATGGTCACTGCCGCCCCCAGTGCTTTCCCTTGGGCCGGCGGCTTCGGTCCTGGCGGCCATGGCGGTCCTGGTGGCTGGAGAGGTGGCAATGGATACGGTCCTTTCGGGGGCGTCAATGGCAACGGCACAAACGCCGGCTGGGGTCCATGGGGCTCAAGCGGTGCATGGACTTCCGGCCCTTGGACTTCGTGGTGGGGAGGAAGCAACTGCCCTGACAGCACCTGGTCTGGCTGGACTTCAGGCCCTTGGGGCACAAACGCACCCTGGACTTCATGGTCGGGCTGCAAGGCTTCCACTACTGCTACCTCTACCATCACCACCACTGTCTCGGGCACACCTACCACTTCTCTCGCATATGGAATCCAGGTGAACGCCGCCACTCAGGCTTCCACTGGTTCTGGATCGGGTACCGCGGCCTCGGCTTCGGCGACCAAGACTGGTGCTGCTGCCAATGTTGGTGTTTCTGGCGCCGGTGTCGGTATCGCAGCTGGTGCTGTTGCTTTGTTGATGCTGTAAACGCTTCGAGCGGACAGTGTGGATACGATTTGCATGACTTGTCACGAGGGAAGGATTCTCAGGGTTGCTTGTATGCTAGATTGTGGTTGAGAACAAGAAAATGGAAATGTCAATCATGCTCACCTTTCTCCTCATCTTTGATGTCTAAAGTTCGCAATTGCCTTGTAGTGATATTTCGTGGTTCGAGCATGTCTCGACCCGTCTGAAGGGGTGAGGGCATGATCAACTTGGTACCTCTTGAAAATTGTGATTACCCAGATTGTCATGTTGAATTCTGACGTCCAATTACATTCAAGGGTTGTTGGTAGGAAGCTTCGTGACCGAGGGACGTGATGCCTCTCCGCGTCGGGCGGAATTTTGAGGGAGCTGGGGGTGTGACTTGCGTCGTGCAGACCACGACGAAAACCTCGAGCATGCATGACAGACTCGGTATATTATCTCTCGTGTTGCTGTCAGCCAAATGAAGCTTTCAATGTCTTAAGAAGTCTAGAGAGCGACTCCTGGTGGGTGGGAGGTGGCATGGTGACGTTGCCCAAGCTGTCCCGCACTCCCCAACACGCAGCTCCTGCATTCCTCACTTGCATCAAGCACAACGACTTTGGCGTTTTCTTTTTTTCTTCTTCGTCGATTGCTCCTAATCTTGTGTATGCTGAGCTCTGTTCCCACTGCTAATCTGTCCAGAGTAGGCAGCCGGTTGTACTCCATTGACTCATGGAGGAAGACTCGCTACGCAACTTTACACGCCTTCCATTCTGTTATACCGGATATCTGCGCTTCTGGTACCTCTCCTACCATGAGCATGTCGTCGCTGTTTCTTTGGACTCTTACTCTAGATCGTCTTGCCGACCATCGCCTATCATCGCCCATCACCACCCATCTGCGCCACGCGCGACTAGAGTCAAGAGAAGGCAAGCGAAAGCTGAGGATATTGGTTGGTCCAAGGCAACAGAGCTAGGAATCGCGAAGGAATATAACTTCGAAGACGGCAACCTTCGTTGGCACCGCCATTCAAGAATTGAGTATTGCTGCCTCTGTGGTGGTCACACGCACGCTCTTGTTCGTGGTATTCGGTAACAGTGTAAGTCAGACCGGGATCATGGTAAGTTCAACACGTTTGTTCACGGGTTGTTCGTAACACCTCCGCCATATCTCTAACCGCTCGGAAGTAATCAAGCAAGATACGTGACCTAATATGTTTCCCTCCTTCTTCAACTCATGGTTGGACGTCAGGCATTGTGTTGTTGAATTCTTTTCCGCCCTTGACACAACAAGAAGATCTCCTTTGCTGTTCTACGGCGAGCACACGAGGCTTCTTAGTCAAGAGATGAATTGTGCTTGGACTGGTCCTTGTCGCAAGTTAGGTCAAAATGGCCATACTAGCACGAACATTCAATCAGGCATCAGATACACTGCTCGATGGCAGCCAGAGGATGCTACCGATCGGGAAGAGATTGTTTTTCTACAATCGATATATTCAAGCTAAACCAAAGGCTTCTCAATAAGTTGGTTCTGTGGTGTAGTTGGTTATCACTTCTGTCTAACACACAGGCGGTCCCCGGTTCGAACCCGGGCGGAATCATCGTTTTTGCGGTCTCACATTCTGTTTTCTAGGTGTCGAATGGGTGGGTGGAAAGGTTTTGGTGGAGGATTTTGTTTGGAAAATTTGGTGGGTTGCGGGCGCAGGATTTGCAGGCTTCGGTCGCAGACGCAAGCGGGCAACATCGACGGTGAGCTGGGTAGGATGAGGATGGATGATGTTGTCTCTATCACACACACAATATAGTGCCTTGAATCAAATATTGAGTCGAGTCCAATGCCATGCATTCATCAGAAAACATCAAACAACAAGCAAGAGCTGATAGAAAATAAGACTCGTCAAGAGCTGATATAATTACTACAAGCAGGAGGCCAAAAAGAAGACGATATGAACCAGCATATAATCCTTTGCCTCTTCTCCATCATGTGGGTATCGCGAAAATTAACTCTCCATCTTCTTGTCTCTGGAGATGAAAAGTCCAAAGGAAAAAACACCTTCGCTATGCGACTGCGAAAAAGAAGCAAACCAGAAAACTCAGATATCCCTCCAACTGCCGCCCACAGGCTTCCTCGCCGAAGCAGGAGCAGGAGCAGAGGTATGATAACTCGGTGCCGCAGTCGCCGGTGAAGCAACCCTTGGACTATACCCACCATACCCATATTGCTCTCCTCCAACATATGGACTGCGACTAGCGGCCACATCCCCATACGCACCAGCATTAGCCTGATAAGGATACTCATTGACCTGAGCCCTTGGCGATTTCGGCAACATGGGTGCAGATTGAGCTTGAGTGTGGTTCATCGTGCCCATTTCCATGTCGCTGGCATCGTCTTGTTGGCGCAGAGTGCGTGAAGTATTCCAGCTGGGCATTGCAGGCAATGCATCTTCATTGTAATGTTTGTTCGCACTCGGGGCGTCAAAGTGTGCGTATTGTGGTGTTTGTCTCTGGGTTTGCTGGGCGCGATACACGGGTGCAGCAGCGGGTTGATACTGTGTGTACTGCGGCGTAGCAAATTGCGACACTGGCGGTGGTGGAGCAGGTTGCGAATATCCTTGACGGTGATGAGAGTGCGAGCAACAAGATGTGCAGCAAGAAAAGCAGGTGAAACAGCTGCAGCAGCATTCAAGGCCGCAGCAAAGGCAGCGGACTAGACACCAGATGATTGAGATGGCGATGAGGGCGCCGGCGACAATACCGATGATGACTGGCCATNNCTGTGGAGAAAGTGTTAGTGTTGGGAAAGAGAGGGGAAGGGGTAAGGGAACCACGCACTTGCAGTATGTTTTTGCCATGCATTGATCCCAACCAGAAAATGTGTTTTTGACGTCCGATACCTCGGAGCCAATGTCTCGCATATAGCGGTGATACATCTCGTCTGTTGGTTGATATTCTGACACGCAAAGCGAATGTGGGGTGAATTAAGTCGAAAGGCCAGAAAAAGCAGAAACCCAGAAAAGGAGCAATGTTACGGTCAAGCTGGTGTATGAGGAGTAGCACAGCACACCTCTTATCTTTTAAAGTCCGTAGTGCGAAGAGCGAGTGCTGAGATGAGAATGCTGCCAACACAGCTGACGGCAGCAGACCGCAGTAATAATAATCCTTCCTCCTGCGCCTGCAAACCTGAAACGCGTCACCCCCTCTTCTGAACAAGATGCAGGAGGCTGGTGTGGCTTATGGCCGTTACATATTTGGACACATCCGTTGCAGCTGTTTCGTTGGTCTTGGCGTTTTGCTATGCTCGCTCATACTCAATTGCTGAGTCTTCGATACGCGGTATCCTGGAGCTACACGCCATATAAGCGGGACTATTTGCTGAATACGCTCCCGTCTTTGAGCTGACGACTCGCCGACTAGCTTTCACGTATTCGCGGCCTTTGCAGAAGCCTCGGAGTACATTCCTTGGCGAGCGGCTCTGGTATGCAGACACCCGTTTTGATCAGAGGGGCTGGAATATCGGATTGCATAAAACGGCTACAGCACTTGGCATATTATGCTGTCATTATCAGACCCTTATGCCGTCATTTACTTCTGGGTTCGTGCGTTTATGCTGTCATGATGGTTCTGATCAAGTCTGCTGCAACGGCTGTGAGTCTACTTTTGGAGTTGATTGCTGGATGTGGTACGAGGAGTATGGAATACTAGATGAAGCAAGAGGAAAGATCAAATTTGGGTATGGGTTAGATTGGTGCATCGAACCATGGAAGGAGGAGCGACATGGAGAAGAACAAAAGAACAAAAGAAAGAATATTCATTATCTGGAAGGAAATAATGTACAAAGGAGACTCATGGTCGAGCAATTTCTACACCATCACACCATATACCATGTGTCGACCTCCATAATTATGAACAAATTAACAATCGGTAGGTCTTGCCTACACCTATCCAGCAGCCTTTTGCGACTCTCTCTGCCTCTTCATCTCCTTATTAGCTTTCGCCCTCCTCTTATTCTCTTTCGTCCTCTCCCTGACATCCTTCTTCCATCTCAACCACTTTTCCAACTCTTCCCTTTCGTCTTCAGGCATAGCTGCTAGTCTTTCTGTTCTGGTCGCTTTTCGCTGTTTCTTGGTTTTGTTGGACATGGCTTTGCTGTGTGCTGCAGTGGCCTTTTCAGTTTCTATCACGTTGGCGATGCGTTCTGCTTTTGCTGCTCGCCGCTCTGCGCGTTTTTTCGCATGCGTGCTTTTTGCTGTTTTTGCGTTGGGGGTCTGCCGTCGAGTGAGGCTTTGTAGGCGGCTTTGGAGGATGCTGCTTGTTCTGCTAGGGTATCGGCTGTTTTGGACCCAGGTATTGAACTAGCTGTTGCCTCTGTCGCGACTTTAATTGCAGGCTTGATTGAGAAAGGGTGATGGATTGGCTTTGGAGAAACAGCGGTGATACTGAAAGGTTGAGCGGCATACCTAGATGGTGGGATTATCGCTTGCTTTGGCGTATCGTTCGTGTCGTTGATGCTACTGCGGGTCCGGGAGGACACCCGATCGGTTGACGTTGAACTTGCTGGTGATGACGAGGGAGTCCGAAGAGCAGAGACAGATTCGGCAGCTCGAGAGGCAAGAGACTCGTCTTGGACTGTATGCACGAGAAGCCCAGGAGCACCTTCGAGCAGAGACGAGGATGCAGGCGATGGTTGNCGCTGCAGGCTTTCTGACAAGGATTGCAGATCCAGCTGCACTGTTCCTCGTAGACTTCTTTCCTTGTCTCTTTTTCTGTTCTCTNNTCTCCTCTTCAAGCGCTCCCAATCTCGCACTGCTGCTGCATTCGCATTCTCTGCTGGCTCCCAGGTATCGAGAAATCTTCTGCCATGGATGGGTTGCCATTTAATCAGATACCTTTTCTCTCCTTTGACGTCCTTCTCATCGATAATATCGACGAGTGGATACTCTTCTTGATCTAGCTTCTCCATTTCCTCAGCGGTGGGAAGTTGCGATGATGGATCCAGAGATTTGCGATGGGCAGCACGGCGCAGAGGTGCCAGATGAGGAGGAAGCTTGGGTGTAGATGTTCTGGATGTTGATGCGCTGGATGCTGGAGTATTGGATCCGGATGTTCTGGCTGCGAGCCTTGCGAGATGAGGGTTCGAACTTAGTGGTAGGTCGTCGTCGCTGAGGAAACCAGAGTCAGAGATTCGAGGGGTNTGCCTTATACTTGATCGAGCAGGCGTGGAGATCAAGACGATGCACTCGCTCTTGCGTGATGTTCTGCCGCGAGTGGACTGGGTTGTGGTGGGTGAAGCAGATGGNGGCGAATTGCTCGTCTGAAACATCCTCTTCTTCTGGTACATCTTGCATGACTTCGTCAAAAGTAGAGTGGTCAGAGATAATTATCGATGGCTCGGTGTCGCTCTGTATTGCTTCCATGTCGTTGGANNTATCTCGTGGGTATCGTGAGACAGCATTACATCCACTGTAGGATCCGCCTGCTGTGCAGAATATTCCATATCGACATTGGTGTTCACATGCGGCACAAGGATCTCCTCCGAGGGCTCAGGCGACGGCGTCAGTAGCTCTCTATCATCAATTCGGCCATTGATATTTTTGATCGGTCTGTGACCGTCATGTTGCTTGTCCTCATGCTTAGCCTGACGAAGTCGAACCAGGTTTTCAAGTGCTCGCTCGAGAAATTGCTGAATGTATGGCTTCATTGGTTGTTGTGTGTCCTGTTGATCGTCTACATCTTTTCGTTCATGAACGGAATGTTCATCTGGATCTGGCGAAGCGCTTGTGTGAGAGCCTTGGTCCTGTGATATGTTCGATCGTTCAAGCAAATCAGGCTGATTGTGAGGTGGCTCGTTGGGTTGCGCACCTGCTTCTGTATCCTGCTGGGATGGTCTCCCCATCACCGCGTGTTGCTCCGAGGTCGGGATTGCCGGATCAAGCTCTCTCGAACCGATGTCGTGGTCCGTAGAGATAGGCTCGTTCTCGTAATCGCTAACCTCCTCATCCATATTCATGTCCATATCGACGTCTGTTGTTGGGTCGTAAACATTCCAGTTTTGCAAGGGCTCATCCTCCTCTTCGGCATACTCCCCGTTCTGATTATGTAGCTGTTTGAAGTGTAAATCGATCGACGGTGATGGGGCGTCCAGATCCAGATCATTTCCAGGCCGAGTTGCACGATGATCCAGCGACTGATGAAGTTGTTCCCTCTCGACTGGCCGATACACGAGTCGCGACATCTCATCTCTGAGTGCTGAGTGCGCATCGAGATCCTTCGCAGTGATGTTCTTGGGAGCGGGATATTCTGCTATACTCTTGACTGAAGCCATTTCTTCGAGGCGTAGTAACATTTCTGGTACAAGCAAAGGGTTGTTGGTCGTCACTCCAGTCACCTGTTCCAACAGCAGTCCTGGCCCCGAAGCTTGTGATCGCGGCTCTGTCCTTTGGAAAATATTGAGAATCTCGTGCCCGGATGGTAGCGATCGCCCTTCGAACACCGAGTCCTGATGTTGTGTGATGATGGTGGCAAGAAAAAANTGCGACAACTCGAAGAATAGAATCCCNCCAGACTCGCAGGTGGTCTTGAAGGGGTTGATTCGTCGGATACATTCATCCAGCCAGCCCTTTGTGACAACCAGTCTTGGTAGAGTCGCTGCACCATGCTGATTATCTCGTGTCGCTTTTTGATAAAATGCCTTGTACTGAAGGGCAAGCTTTGTCTGGGCTAGGCATAGTTCGTACAACAGGACTTCCTGTCGCAGATTCATCGCGTCTTCATCATTTAGCGGTGGAGGAAGATTATAAAATAGTTGCTCGACAGCTGCATCGCACACATCTCTTGTCTCACGATAAGTGGACCGCAGATCCTCGAGACTTTTCGACCGCGGCGATAAAAGTCTGTCTGCAGTCTCTGAAAAAGACGAATCTTGATCTCCAGTAGAAGCAAATCCATCTGAGGTTCCGGAGTCCTTCCTATTCGAATGTGTTGGAGTGTTGTCGGTGACACTGGTCGGCTGCTTCACTTGTGGAGTCCTGAGTTGGCGTGACAGCAGCGGGAAAGCGCCTGAATGGTCTCCGGCAGTTGATCGCGACAAAGCGACCCTTGGAGTCGACTCCGCATGTCTCGTAACCAGTTCACCATGATCCATCGAGCCCGTATTGTTGCCGATGGAGTTGGTCGGTCGCGAAGTTGCAGAGCAAAATTTTCTCGGCCTCGTCAGTTTTCTCGGCACAGTCACCTGAGGCTTCCCNCGGCGGCGCGCCATACGGTTGGCGAGAGATTGCGAGGGAGATTGAGTTGTTTTGTTTCACGTGCGAACGAAGACGGAAAAGCTTCAGGCGGCTCCAGGCGTTGAACGGCGGGGACGCCCCTGCCAAGCTCCACACTTTAATCTCCCCTTCCAACCCAACCCATGTCGACTTGACTTTTACCATATCATGAGGCACACCTTTGATCATCGTTTGACCGACAACGTGTTGGTTCTGCTGTATCCAAGATCTGAAGGAGTGGTATGGTGACGAAGCCTAAATGCTGTCTTTCTGCAGTTGGCTCAATCCTCAGAGGACGTGCGATTCGAGCCATTCGATCTCGAGATATCAACGACAACGACATTCATCTTGGCTCATACTACACATGGGAGGTTCTCTAGCACGCGATCTTTCTCGTATCATAAAGCAGTTGGGAAGATGAGTACCCTCATCCCAATGATTAATTTCCTTAGATGTCAACCACACGCATATTCTCTTTACTAGAAAGTCAGGCAAAATCTTTTCTGCCGAAAAGAGTATGCTCTCTGAGAACTATAAACGCTAAAGTAGCAGATCGAAGCTGCTACGTCTATTCCTGTAGGTATAGCTGTTCCACGAGTTGGACGGGTGTCCTGTGGTCATCCTCATCTCATAAACTCCTCGACTTTTCGAACAACCTTCCTGAGATCGTAACATCTGTTGACCATCAAAAGCAAGTGCCATTTGTCTTGACGACTCTCTTCTCTACTCTCCAAGTCCCACACTACGCTTGTTTGGCTGATATAGGCTTATAAACCCATCCTCGTCCCCATCTCAAGCCTCAGGACTTTTCTAATTCGCTGTGTCCTGGTGGGCAGAGCGAATGGTTTCGTCAAGATCTTTAGCCCCTAAAGCGATACCAGATCAAGATCATTCATAGTAGCGGTTATGCTGGCTTTGCCTGCCTGGCTTCTCGAGCTTCCTGTCGAGATAGAGAAATCGTGATCAAGATAGTTTCTGGTCGTGAGCTTGTGTCGACTCTCCTCATGAGCTTAGAACCCATCTTCATGGTGGGACATATAGCCGACGTGTTGTAGCAGTGATTTTTCTGACAGCACCATCTCGTGTCTTCATGACCTATAGTAGCAGCCTATAAGCTTTGTCCGGATAGCAGCGGATATCATGATGGCGGGACTGCAATCTTCATAAGCTTTCCTTTACCGATCACAACCGGTGAGGTTGCGTATACCCTCTTGGGTCAAGTCGTATTCCAAAGTTCTGCCTGTCTCTCGGACCTCTGATTCTGTAGAGTCGGGAGTGTTGCTCCGTACATGCAAGGTGTGCATGTCCATACCGCAAAGAATTTACTGCTCGTGCTATGACGCAACCCTCGAGACAATGTCTCTCTCGTGTCGTTGACAAAGCAGTGTAACCCGGAGCCTGACGTCGGTGGTAGCTTGACTTGATGGAGCTACCGAGTACTCTTATCTGCTCCAACTTTGTGTAGTCCGACGATGGTGAACATCCGTCGGAATGCATAGGATTGGCACCATAGGTCAGTTGTTGACCATAGTTCCTCTGCGACGCCCATTGCCAGCAGATAAAGCTTTGTCCGGGTCACCAAGAACAACAACATTCACCTTTACTATCATGTTCTTTGCGAGCAGCCCGAGACAGCAAGGATGTGTTTCGGATTTTGACGACTATCTATGTAGAAACCACAGCAAGACTCGATACCATGAAATCTAGGTTCATTAAGCTCACGTTGACGACCTAGTCATTGCATGCGATCATCTTGTATGGGATCCGCTACTGCCATCTTCTCCGCTTTCCCTACTGATGATAGTGGGTGGCCTGCTTGAGACTCCAATCATCCTGGCCGTTGATCATGTAGGCGTGGTGCTGGTGGAAAAGACTGACCTCCGCATGATCGATGGCGACAGACTGAAGAAGATCGCTGAACTCCTCGAACCGGCGGGAGCCAACCTCCATGCGCTCATCCAACATATTCACGACAGCAGCTCTGGTGCCAGAAACCTGCTTGGCCTAGACAAGTGTCAGTTGGGAAGGTGAACAGTCAAGAAAAGATAGCATGCAACGAACCATTTCAAGCTCGGTTTGAAGTGCGACTTTGGTAAGAGTCTCGTCGACAGCCTCTTCAATGTGTTCCTTGACGGCCAGCTTGATATTGGCCTCGAGACCGCGTCTCGCTGTCTTCTTGAGTCTAGAGACAGCGCGATCAGTGTTGTCCTGGAAGACATCCCAGAAGATAGTGCGGGCAGCCATAGCGACAGCATCCTTCATACCGCAGCAGAGGAAGATCCTTGCGGTAGTGGGGACCAAGGCCGAAAAAGTCTCTGCTGTAGCGCGGCGCGACGAAGGCGATGTCTCCGAAAAGAGACGTCGTGTCCTGAGATTGTTGGTCAGCGACCTGAGCGTGGCTGCAAGTTAGACAGAAAACTCACAAAGACACAAGTAAAGTTTGAGTAGATACAAAGATCTTGAGGTTGAAGTTCAAAGTTGACATCCAGGTTGTTGGACAAGTCGATACGGACGTACGAGAAATCGTAGTGGCCCTCCGAGGTGGCATCGAGGAAGAGCTTAAGGTCCTCAAAGTCGACGCGGTTAGGGATGTTACGCACCATGATGGTGGTGCGAACATCGATGCCGGCCTCAATTTTCTGAAGATTGACTGTCTGGGGCTGGTTAAAACGCCAGAAGTCCATGTCGGTCTGGTGGACTGGAGAATCCTCTGAGAGACACCAAGCGGGGCAGCGAGAGCCATGGCCACGGTAGCCGCTACGGAAACAACGGGGGACGTAGTCGCCACGGGAGCGGGGAGTGTGATCACCTCTGGAACCACGAGCAGTGTGGTTGCTGTAACCATCGTCGGGATTATTAGAGACAGCAAGATCCTGGGTAGCGGCGACTAGGTCAGTTATACCCACGGCGGCGGGATGAACGTAGCGCTTGTAACCGGCCGGTAAATACTCCTTGATGGACACAGTCAGAGTGTTCTGAGATTGTTAGTAAGTGATCAACAAGGTAGACAGGCGAGGATGCAGATGTATAGAAAAGAAGATAGAAAAATACTCACAGAGCAGAAGGCAGCATCTTGCTACATCGACATGGCAACAGCACCCTCGGTCGTTCTGGCGGCGGCAGAGCGAGAAGTGCCCACCGCCGTCAGGGGAGAGGAGATGTGTGTCCTGAAGTCGTCAGTCAGTGACCTGATCGTAGAAGCAAGGTGATAGAGAATCATGGGACAAGAGAAACGCACAAAGACACAGTAAAGTTGAACGCAAACGATAGCGATAGATCTAATGAAAAATAGCCGAGATGGAAAGAAGACTGGAGGATGAGGAGTTGGAAGAGTTTGCGCTTTGAGGACCAAAGTGAAAGACTTTCAATGCGTCACTCCCAATTCAGTAAAGCTTCAGGTAGATCACTTGAGGCTTCTTTCACTTCTGCTATGGCAATGAAGAGTCTCTCCGGACACCACATCACGCCTCGTCTCTACTGTGCGTTTCCATGCTACTATCTGCTCCCGGATATGGAAGAGGAGAGGCAGACAAAGCAACAAAATAACAAAGCATGACAGACAAAGCAAGACGCAATCACTAAAGACACCAAGCATTGTGTCTCTCTCCAACAAAGACCATGCAGCCATCTTCGAGTATCCTTTGTTTCTTCCCAACTCTCGAATCATTCTGTACATAAGCCATCTAACCCTCAACCTCGTCTTTCTTCTCCATCCTGGCGATCCTCGTAATTTGTGATCGAAACCCATCAACAAGATGGCCAACGCTTATGCAACTCATGAACACATCCTGGAGATGTCACAATTAATGACCCAATGCACTGCTCTGAACCCTCCCGTCCTGGAGACATACATATTCTCGTACTCATTGATCGAGCGCCGTCAATTCACCGACATGATGCAACTAGCAAACCACATCCTGTTTCTGGCTCAGATGCAGACTGACTCTGGTCTTGCCGGTCAAGTCCAGAGAAGTCTGGAGAGCTGGGTGTTGAGAGGAGACCCCATGCCTAACCAGTTCATTCAAGAGACAGCTAAGTTATTTGCTCCCCTTGATTACCGTTTTCGCGTCTTGCAGTGGGTGAGTCGCGAACAGGCCNTTGACGCACTGATTGCTGCTTCCAATAAGGATGCCGAAGACCCCGTGGATACTGTCCTCGATGGCTTTCGTATCAAAGAACCCTACACCTCATTCACGCCTTGGGCAATGAACAACCATTCAGGCGTCTACCATGAGACCAACAACCCACCACCTCTCTCCCCTCGCCGTCCTTCCGTCTACAAAACAGACATCAAAGCTGATCTAGACTGTATAGGCTGCCCTTCCTGCTCCTTCTGCACAAAAGTCAAGCGCGACATGCTGGCCCACGAAGCCTTGCACTGGGACCCACAGCCCTGCACTTGCTCACAATCAGATCAAAAGGTCATGGCTGCAGAAATCGACACTATGATCTGTTCATGCGGTAAGCTGATACCTGACGAAAACGCTCGTATGCTAAGAAACTGGGAAGATGAGGCTACTGGGCATTTGATCAGGAAGTTTGGTAAGTCTGAGGTCATGAGGACGTTTTCTAATACTACTGCTATCCAGATGCAGAGAGATTTCGCGATGCCAGATATGCAGCAGTACTTGGCAATGAACACTCAAGATTGGAATTGAGAGGTATAGTTCTACGACAAATTGAACCAGAGGCAGTTCAGCTGGTCTGCTCTGCTCAGGTAGGTATGCGATCATTTTCGAAATGATGACTTTGACATTCTTGGAACAACATGAATAATACAACTCTTGCCATTTTCCTCTCCAATCTTCTCCTGTCTTGCCGTTTCCTCAGTATAGCCTAATGTCGGCCCCTCTTTTTGTGACTGTGAGTCTTCGACGACGATACAGATCGTTCATATTCCAACTGCAGTTTTTCCAACACTGCCTCTCGAACCCAAGAAGACAAGCGCTGCTCATAGCAAAAGATCACAAAGCCCGCGGGCGTCGCGAAGCCTCGAATTCTGCGCCCGCAAAATTTCCAAAAGTCTTCCACCAGTGCTCACCTCTCCTTCTACACTTTCTACACCTACAAAAGAGATGCTAGGATAGCAAAAACAATGATTCCGCCCGGGTTCGAACCGGGGACCGCCTGTGTGTTAGACAGAAGTGATAACCAACTACACCACAGAACCGACTTGTTGACGTTATGCTCAAGCTTAGTATATAATGCTCTCGTTCAATGCGCATGCAGGGTCGGTGGCGGTCTGTCTTTGTGCGCAGAGCATCCGAGTGTGGTAATCGAGGTCGAGGAGTTGATTGTCATGGCAGAGGTGTGGTGACAAAGAGGTTCGGTTGGGTAAACAAAAACTTGACCCAACAGACGGCGACGTATGCAGCCCCGAAAGCAAGAGACGGATGCAGCACACTGCGACATGAGTACGATTCAAGCAAGCGACAAAGTATCGCGGCCGTTGAGGCAGTTTGAGGAGGTGGCCAAAAGTCGTGGCGGGACCGAGGAATGCGTGGATCTTCGCTTTCGACCACTTTTGCATTCCTCCTCTTTCTTCACCAGCTACGTTCTTTGTCAACGGCTCTGACTTTGCGACGTTTTCGGAAAGATATGTGTCGAGGTTGTGTGGGCTTGGTGCCGAGATGGGAGAGTTGATGACCACAGGTCGTCGATTGCTCGATTGACAGCCGCAGCTTTGAAATTTGTCGTTTGTGCTCTTCAGAAGCTGCAAGCAGTGTTCTCGAGGCCTGCACACAAAACCGTACGCCAAATGAGACTTTTCTGCAGGATCAGACTTGCGACTTTTTGAAAGATGCGTACGGGAGACATCAGAGTGAGGGCAGCAATGAGGGAGCAGGTGGACAGAACGTCGAGCGAATGTCCCTGCAAACATGGCAATGCGTTGACCGCAATCTGGAGCGACAAAAACCGAGGCTGGGAAGTATCTGTAGGAAATCATTCACTCCTCTGGTATGACAGGGCCCTCGTTTCTCTATCCTCGCAAGCGATGACTAATATGCTTTGGCTGTATTGGCGCCGAGCTTCATAATTTGTAGCTCTGTTGGCTGCCTAGAAGTGTTCTCTCACAGTGTCTCGAGCCTTTCTCGCCTTCCTCTTTCCGCTCCTCAGCATCGCAGGTAAGCCCGTCTGAGGGTTTTGGTGGCGCTTCTCGTGATTCAGGGCATTCTTGACGAAGCGCAGAGTCCTTGTCGAGGTGGCGTAGGCATCACTGGTGATCTTGCTGATGTTCTCTCGAGGCTACCTTCTTGCTTCAGCCGCTGACACAAGTCACCACGTTATTCACGCTTGGAGACTGGTACAGAGATGGCACCACTGTTCATGGTGCCTCGCTAGCCTGGTGCTGGACCTGCAGCCTCAGAAGCTCCGATGGGTTACTGCTCGTCCGAACTGTCGATCTTGGGTATGGGCTCAACGCGGAAATCATCCACGTCTGCGATGGGTTGCTTCTGATCGAGAAGGCCAACAGTCAAACGATTCTTACCAATCTGGATGGAGCAACACCCATGCTCCGTCTGTGAGCTCTTTGAGGTCAAAAGAAGCTTTAAGGTTTCGAGATCGACCATGAAATAACTCAAGGCCTGGATCGCAGACCCCTATGGAAAAGGCGTTGGAGCCGAGGAGATTCGTACGCAGCTGCCGGATGAAGAAGGCGTACCCATTGGCAGAGCTTCAAAGAGCCTCTCTTCTCGCTACAGAATACCATGCCGATAGTGTTGGTGACGTGTCAAGCTGGTTGTGTCTGCACACTCAGTACTGTCTCTATCCAGGGATGATCGTTCCAGTTGATTCTTGGTCTGCTTCTGGCGCACTTGTATAAGGGCACGGCCTCAGATGTTGCTCCTGCTGGTGGAGCTGAGGCTGGCGATGTAAGTGACGCCAGCTGGGTTGTTTCTTTGGACGGTAGTGTTGACCATCTCAAGCGTGAACAATTTGCCACTCAGATCAGGTAATGATCAATCACATGCTCAGAGAGTTGATACAGAACGAAAGGGATGGTGCGTATAAGGGCAGTACTGGTGGTTGATGTACCTGTTGCTTGCCCTTGCTCGAGATTGCGGTGACGAGTGCTGAGCCGCAGGAATGAAACCAGCTGCTGCCATTGCGAAGCCATCTCTTCGACTTGGCCACAGGAAATGATCTCGTTGTCGATCAGCGCAAAGGTAGATTGAACTGACGGTATCCTGTAAGAGATATCTGGCGGCGAGGTAGACTGTGGCCTGGTAGTAGCTGCGGCGTACAAGGTGGCTGATGCCTACTGTTGCTGGTGGACAACGTTATCTTGGCCATCAATCACATTGTACATGATGCTGATGCCCTGCAAGAAGCTCTGGAGTATACCAGCAAGTCTACCCTGGTCGACAAGCAAAGCAACGTGGTGTTTGTTCCGTTTGGCTGCTCAAGGAGATACCTCAGAAACCTCGACTCCCAACACATGGTCTTGTTCTAATCAGGTTGGAGGGAGTGAGTGGTCTGCGAAGGTTGAGAGGCGCCAGGGTTATCAAGGTCGTGGTGATTGACGATGCAGTGGAGCTGAGCAACGAATCCACCAGCCTTCTCGCAAGTGCCGAATCAGCTGGCCAAACCTTGTGCATGGACAAGACCACGATCACGGCTTTGTCAGTGTCGAAGGCACATTTGTAGTGCTCTCTCTGCAACACCCCAAAGTTCGGCGAGCTTAGATGCTGGTTGTCGTCAAAGCTGGCATCGATAGAGGCATCAGGCATGGGGAGATCGCGGAGTCGTCTGAGAAGATTGAGATGCTCCGGGGTTGTTGAGGTCGAAACCGATAACGATGCAGTGAAGCTGAAAAGTCCTCAATCAATTGCGAGGGACCGTAGATAATAGCTTGTTGCGTGACTCACAGCTTTATGCATGAAAAAGGGACTGTAAGGAAGAGTAACCGGCGTCTGTGCGTACCCTCTGGGAGCCGACGCACGAAGGCGAGCTGGAGTGTATTGAGCACACTTCGTAGGTCTTGAGGGTGGCATCATGCGTGCATGTATGGTAGGTGAGCGTGTCTCGGCGAAAGTGTTCCTCCTCTTTCCCACTGCAGGGTATGACCTGTCTCGCATTTCTTCTCTTTTTGCCTGCAGTTTGTGTATATCTCCTTGCTCTTTCTGCTTGATCTCGATGACACGTAGTTGTTATGATTTCTTTGGAGGTTGGTGTTTGTAAGAAAATTGTTTTGCATTTGTATGCGTACTCATCGGCATGGTCGTGTGTCTCGGTCTGCTGCTGACTGCCTCCTTCTTTGGCTGGTCTGCCCTCTGCCGCGACCCTCGTCTGCACTTTCTGTACGCTGGGGGCGTACGTCGTAGCCGGATCGTTCCTTGCTCTGAGAACAACGATGGTGTATCTGGTCATGTTGGTATGTGGTATATGCGTTCGAGTGTGGAGTTGAGCTAATCAGTGGTGTAGAGATTGAGCTGGGTCCTCTTCCTCCTCGCCACCCTCGCCCGGACAATGTCCTCGCTCAGCTTGAGGAGGCACATCTCGCTCGCCCAGAGACTCCTCTGATGTACATCAGGGAGTTTTTCGGTCGTCATCGAGAAGATTAGGAGGGCTCAATCTATGGCAATAAAATTGAGATCTTGCGGGGGCGAGATAGATTGAGGTGGGTTGCAAATCCCATCGAGCCCAGGAGTATTCAGTCTCTAAGCTCGACAATGTGTTGATGAACGAGCCAATTGCGTCGGAGAAAGCAAGATCCAGACAGGCGGCTTTTCGATGGAAGAAATACATCGAGAATGTCGACGTCAACCGTGGTGGAGAGGAACGCAAGAGATGATCAAGCCGGGGTCAAATCCAGAGCTGGTTCAACACAGCACGTGGGACAAGATTTAAGATATACCCAAACTTGCTCATCTGCCCGTCCTAACTCATTGCGCTGACTCGGAGCCTTCAGCAACTACAAGAAGCGATAGAATGTGCGTCTCTTTTACTGATTGAGTATTACTCGTCAGGTCCTCTTCCAAGCCACTATCAACATGCGTCTGAACACCCTTGCTCTTGTACCTCTCGCTTCCGGCATCAATGCCACCAACATTGTCCTCTCCAACGACGATGGCTGGGCAGAGATGAACATCCATACTCTCTACGAGCGCCTAAAAACGNAAAACCACTCTGTCAGCATCTCCGCTCCCGCCCTCGACCAATCAGCCACTGGATCTTCGTATGCACCTCCAAAGCCCATGGAAGAGCCTTGTCAATACTATACTTGTAATGCAGGTGACCCAGCTACTGGAAACTGGCATACTGACCACAATATCTCTTATGTCAATTCTTTCCCGGCGACGGCTATGAAGTATGGGATCGAGAAGGCTGAGAAGAGGTTAGGCAAGAAGCCTGATCTCGCTATTTCTGGTATCAACGTGGGGAGTAAGCAGATACAGCCCCCAAGCATAGTATTCTGTGATATACTGACAGTACCAGTCAACTTGGGCATCATCGTCCCCTTCTCGGGCACAGTGGGCGCAGCAACTCAAGCCGCCATCCTCGGTATCCCAGCTATATCCTTCAGCGGCTCCTCCGGTACCCGCACACCTTATGGCACAGAACCTTCCTTGCACTCAACCCTCTACACCGACCTCGCTGTTAACTTGACTTCCACCCTTCTCGCCTCTGGACCACCCTACTTACCCNCCAACACCTTCCTGAACGTCAATTTCCCTGCCGCAAACTCAACCCACTGTTCCCGAGCCGCAGACTTCAAATTTGTGCTTTCGAGATTGTATGAGGCGGTGCCTAGCATCTCGGGACCTGATGTCAGTGTTTGTGGGGCTGAGAAGAGGTTGCCGGCTGAGTGGGGAGTGGTGGGGAGAGAGGGATGTTATATTTCTGTCAGTGTGGGGGTTGCGACTACAAAGAGAGATGCAAGAGCCGAGGTACAGGAGATTGTGAAGAGGAAGCTAGAGAACGTGTTGTCTTGTTTGGATCAAGGGTCAGGCAGGGGCTGTATGATGGGTTCGGTGGAGAAGAAGCCAAGGCAGAAAGCGGAACAGTCCACGAGTTGACGCTCGCTCTTGATCATCACATCGATGTTGCTGGCTTTGCGGAGAGCTTCGAGGTTGTCGGTTGAGAGCACAGGGTTGGTGGAGTCGCCTCCAAGGAGAAAGCGTTCGAATGCGATGCCGGAGTTGAACTTGAACGAAGTCTGACGCAAGACAAGGGCCAGGATCTCTTCGCGGATCTGGCGGTCGCATCTCAGTAGAGCGAGCTCTCTGTGGCCGAGGTTGACGAGAGAGAAGTGGTTCTTGCGCTGCGAGACGTTCTGGCTGCGTTGGGCGCGGCGCTCACCAATCTCGTAGGTGTGGTTGTTGGTGACGTTGTCCAGGGTACCTGACAAGACGTAACGAAGGATCTGGTGGCGGACCTCGATGGGCAGTGCGAGGAGAGTGCTTTCGGTCGAGGCAGACGACATCACTGGGTCGGTGATTGCTGATAGAGTTAGCTGGGTTGCGTAGTCGACGTGTGCAGGAGGTTGGCCTACCAGCTTGAGTACCTGCACTAGATGAAGGGTTGTGGTTGGTAGGATTCTGAGCGCAGTTCTGAGTAGCACGGTAAGTAAAGTCCTCCAGGGGCATTTTCAAAAGATTGATGATGTTTACCTTCTTGTTGCCCCGCTTAGTGTCGCGCACTTGCTTGCCTTTGGCGTCGGTCTTCTTCTTTCTTGAAACCATCGTGCTGTAGAACAGATTGGATGGTAGGGTACTTGTTTTGATGAGTCTGTGATCAGTTCTGCGTGGAAGGAAAGGCAGGCAGTCGACGAAGTTCGCTTGATACAGTGAGTTTCAGACACCGTCAAGGCCGGATGTCGACGAAACGACGACACAACAGGACATCAGTCAGACCAAACGAGACAATAGGCAGAATGCGTGAAAGATGTACTCAGTATCTCAGGGGATTCTTGGAGTGCAAGTAGATGTTTCTTTGCATGGATACTTGATATTGTGCTGGTCCAGCACAGGATAGTTGTCTGCATGTCCTCACTAGACCACACTCGTATGAGACAGCGCCCATTTCCCGTATCACCAATTCCCTTTCCAACCCATGCTAAAGCTCTCCTCTCTATGTAAGCCTTGGTCCCCCAACCAGGTCTCGCTGGGTCGTGTCTTCTCCAGTTCCTTGTCTCGACTCTAGCTAATGCAAATCTTCCGCATACATATGTCCTATACATTCACAGCCTTGGTCAAACCGTGACTAGGGGGTCCGCCATCGTCCACTTCGTCAACAAACTTGAGGCTGAGAGGGTGTGTCAAAGCTCGGCCGAGCATTACCAGTGCGAACCATGGTTCGGACCAATGCTGAGCCCTCAAGATGACGACTTCAACACTCGATGAGTTGCTCAACAGCTTGAAGGTATGCTCGTCCACCTGGCGAGGAATCAATTTGCATCCTCCAAGAAAGCAAGCCAAGGCGTCGGTGTTCATGAACCTGAACGATAGCAGGGGAACAATGTAACACTTCATCTCGTCTCTGATCTGACCACAGGCTCTAAGCAGAGAGAACTGCTGATGATTGATGTTGACCAGCTGGAACCTGTTGGTGCGCTGTGCACAGGACTGGCGACAAAGATTGCGTCTCTCTCCGATGATGTAGGTGTGTGGCTCGATATCACTGCCAGTGGACAGGACGTCGTCGTAGATCATCAGGCGAACTTCCAAAGGTAACTTGAAGAGAGAGCTTTGGAATTGTGCGTTGGCAGGGGCTGGGGTGGATGTGATGGTTTCTGGGGATGATGTCAGACACGCCGTGTTGCTGATGTTCAAGTGTCGACTTACCGTTGCCCTGTATCTGTTTGCCAGTAATAGGCTTGTTCTTCATAGAGTTCTCCATGGCAGGCTACAGAGCAGGGTGAGTAATGTTCTCGACGACGGGAAAGTGAGACGGGCGACATTGTTCACCTTTTCGTTCTTCTTCTTCTTGTTGGGGTGGCTGCCGTCTGCATTTGGCTTGCCTGTAGGGGCTCTCTTCTTCTTGGGTGCCATCTTGAACCACTGCAAGTAAACTAAGGTTGATGTGGTGGTTGTGTGCGTGGACGAGAGATGCGAGCCGGAAAGGAGCAAAGTTGACAAGACGACCAACCACGTCCTCGAAGCCGAACGCATGTGGAAAGAATAAGAAGAACAAAGGGACAAGTGCTGTTGATCAAATCAGCTCTGCTTTCAGCCAAGGGCGAACGATCAAAGGAAGGTCTTGTTTCTGGAATTGCGCTGAAGTGGACCACTCGTATCTGACTTCTTCTGCTATAGATGCCCGAACGGTGGTTTGTGAAGTCCAAGTAGAGACAATCTTTTGAACGTCTTGTTCAAGCCTCTCTCTTTGATACCGATGCCCTCTCCCGAATGCTACATGGAACGTAAACTACGAAGTATAACTTGTTCTCCTCCTCACAGCTCCGCGGCGAGATGCATCAAGGTCAGAGAGAGTGCCCCATTACCCTGCGCAAGGTCAGCACGAATCAGTAAGGTGGAAAGGAGCAATAAAAGTGTGAGCGCTGAACCCAAGTTTGGGCAATGGGATTGCCCGTCAACCATCGTCAGACTTCTTGTAGATCCCTTCGTCTTTCCGTTCCGGTTGCAACACTGCCTTATGGAGTACGATCCTTGAGTCTCTTCAATTCTTCAGTCCAAAGAAGCTGGGCTGTACGAAAGCCTTCACTCCGGCTTTCACACGATGCCAAGACAGGTCGAAGTACGTCGGTGCAAGAACGAGCCTCGGGACCGGTACACCCTCGCATCTTTGCTGTTCGATCTCTTCTTTTCTGGATGCCCTCTCCAGATCATACAGTTCTACGGCCATATTCAGACGGGTTGAAAACGGTATAGCGAGTCTTCCAGAAACTTGAGGCTTTGATATCTCTTCCTTCTCTGTCACTGTTCCTACAAAAAGGGTGCAAGGGCGAGGACGGTAGCTTTCTCAATCCGCCTCAAAAAGGTGCTCAAAACCCTTCATGTCCTCCTCGTTCTCCGCCAGAGTCTGCTCAAGACCACCTTCGTGCTGTTCTTCCAGCTCTTCGATTCTTGCTTCCTCCACCACACGCTCTGCCCATCTCTCTTTCCACTCCACGTCAAAAACCTCCTGAACGTCCTGGCATCTCTCACACCAGCATGGCCAGTTGACGCCGTGCTGGATGACCAGCGACACAATGCTCTGCCCGTTGGCCAGGCGGGACAGGACACGCTCGCGAAAGACGTGGTCGACGTTGTTGATGTCGTCGTTGACCAGACGAACATACTGAACGAGGGCCAGGTTGGTGAGAAGACGGGGGCCACGGTAGATGCTGCGTTGTTGCAGGAAGATGTCCAGCTCGGCGGTCGTCTCGAAGACGAAGGTGGCGTAAGCCCAGAAGACTGGTTTGACCTCCTGGTAGATGCTCTTGCAGGTAGCAAAGATACCGAGACTGTTGTAGTTGAAGTCCGCCGCGAAGGGGCGGACATGACAGTCCTGAGGGCGCGAGAGGTGGAAGGCGTCTGTACGCATGTTGACCGTAGTGTTGTGGTTGGATGGACCCTCGACGAACAGACAGGTGTAGATCATGTAGCGGATCTCCCTGCGAGTCTGGTCAGCTCCTGGTCCCCGCTGCATATACTCAAGTATAGCTTACGTCGGCATATCAAGAAGGCTCAGCTTCTTGCCATTGTGGTTACGGAAGGGCTGGTGAACGAAGGTCATGCTTGCGGTTGTCTCTGTGTTGCCCGTGGTTGGTCAAAGTTCGATCGCAATGCACGGTGTGTGGATGACTTACGGAGATGCGACGGGGAGAGTTTTGGAAAGAAAGGTCGTAGTGATCGAAACACGCGCCGATTCACGTAATCCTGCGATTCTATCGCTGCAGCTTTCACTCGCCTTCGTGTCGACCAACCTGAGACCGCGCATCGTCGTTTACTAAAGACGCAGCAAATTTCTTCTCTGCTACCTTGCAGCTTTTTCATCAAGTATCACCGAGCATCCAACCATGTCCGCCAACAGCGACAACACGGGCACCAAGGCCAGCACTCCTCCCCCTCCCACGTCTCCCAAGCAAGGTGAATCTTTTTCTGTGCACCGACGCATCATGCTAGACTGACAGAGATTATACAGATGAGGATGCCGCACTTGACGCTTACGGTATGCCTCGCGCCGGTTACCCTCGCTCGAGTCCCCCAGGCCGCTATGTCTCTGTGTCTCCTACCGGCGCCATGCATGGTAGTCTGACTCGAGGAAGCATCGCCTCTCTTGCCTCCGAGGCCAATGCTACCTACGATGGTTCTACTCCCTCTCGCGATGGATCTGTCGAGTCCATCAACTGTGAGTTGTTTCATCATCCTTTCTCTTGGATGCTGAGAGCGAACGATGCTAATTACATGCAGCTGGCCAGGGTAACGAAGTCAAGCAAGAGGCCGTCAAGCATGAGGCCATCAAGAAGGAGCCCTCCGAGCGCGAGCCCGCTGGCGTCAAGCACGAGGTTGTTCAGGAGATCGACCTAGGCACTGAGTACCTTAAGAGCTTCAAGGTTGAGGTCCCCGGTCAGATTGCTTTCGTTGAGTTCCCTGGAGAAGCTGTGAAGAAGGAGGAAGTTGACGATGGTGGCGAAACCGAGACCAGAGTGAAGAAGGAGGATGAGGATGAGGACGACAAGGGTGTTTAGACTCTTTCTGTGTTCATCATGTCTTTATGCAGAGATCTGCCCATGCGATTGCGGTATTGACTCACCGCCGACGGCCGTAGCCGACTGGCATATCATGAGGAATCAAAGCGATGAGACTCACATCTCTGCTGCACCGTCGAGTCTCGAAATGATTTCTATGCCTTCCTTGTAACCATCAAATCGCACGAACTCTTGACGCTTTTCCGCAACATCCCCTGAAACCATACATGTCTCGAGACCTAGGAGTTGACATCAAAATCCCTCGGTGTCTTTTACTATATAGCTGTCTCCGAATCGTGATGTCACTTGTATTAACCATCGAAGTGCATAATCTCTTGATCCTCTTCCCTGACATTCGCTGGAACCGTCCATGTCTCAAGACCGGAAATCAAGATCACAATTCGTCACTGTGGATCTCCTAATCACTTCTGCAAAACATGCTTGTTCCAAGTCGCGGGCAAAGCCCTGCCCCTACATCACAAAGCTATGCGAAGGGAAATACGGAGCATCATACGGTCCTATACAATTATCTACATAAGGGGGTTTCAGTACTGTTGTTACCGTTTGAGGTCATTGGTTGCCTGTTCTCGGGCCATGGCAAGGCGGAAGCCGAACAACGAGGAGTCTTTGTCAAGATGTATACTACAAGACCGGTAAAACTACTCTACATCGTTTTAACCACCAGCATCTGCGTCTTCCGCCCTACTCCTTGAACTACTGGCAGCGTTTCACGCTAGTAACAGAGCACCCGGCACAGTATGGTATGGCACCCGGAGCTCGTCGTCAGTTGCCACTACCCCAGCACTGGCACGGCGAAAGAGTCTTGCTGGGGACGCGGGTGCCGGACACAGCGCTGTTCCTGCGCTGGTGGTGCAGCAGTTGGTATCTTCGCCGATGCAAGTCTCGCCGTTCGGGCAGTCCTGGCTGGTGACGCAGTTGCGCGCGCCGCACATACCACCGTTCTGGTAGCAGACACCGTTGCCAGAGCGCGTCTCGTAGCAGTAGCAAGTGCTGTCGTCGCTACTGCAGAAGTTGTCGGCCGGGCAGGAGTTCGGCTGTGCGCAGATGCCGTTGATACAAGAGTCATCCCCAGTACACTATGATAAGAGAGCAAGTATGTCAGTTTGTACACTATGATGGATATGATGATGGATGGAATCTGGAGGAAACGGGAGAGATGGGCTAGAGGGCTGACTTACAGCAACACCACATCGTCCACAATTTTGGCGGTCCGTGTCAGTACCAGGGCTCCTGCAGCCGCCCTGAGTTGGACAGTAGTTGGGGGTTGACGCGGGGCATGTCACGGTCGATGTTATCACCGCCGTGGCGGTAATCGTTATTTGGGTCGTCTCAGTGGCTGTGGTGAAACTCATGGGCGCGGTGATGGTTATGGTGTTCGTCACAGTTGCCATGGCGGTTACAGTCGGCGTGACCGTGATGGTGATCGTAACGGTATTGGTTGTCGTTGTAGTCACGGAAGCGGTGATCAAGCTTGTAGACGTGACGCTGACCGTGCTGGTTGGGGTCACCGAGATGGTGGTTGCGGCAGGGACATTACCGTTGCAAGAACACACTGAAGAGAAGCGTGTCCCGGTGCAAGAAGAAGCGTATGCAGGGACTTTGGTCGAGGCAGCAGAGACGGTCGTGGGACACATCAACGCCGTGCGAACCTCAATGCCTCGCTTTGCATTGAAATTTACAGTCGTCGTGGCGGTTGCCGAAGTGACTGTCACAATCACGGTGTTTATCTGGGTGATAGTAGTCGTAATCAGAGGGGTGGTCGTGGTTGTCTCAGCAATTGTTCCTGTATGAGTGATTGTTACTGGAGTAGCAGTGGCCGTGATGGTTGTCGAGGTCATTTGAGTGATAGTGACAGTATTCGTCAATACCGTGCTTGAGATGGTAGCCGTGTTGGTCTTGGTGCTAACGTGCATCAGTGCATTGAAGGTGGGATGGGAACAAGCATCAGACTTACACGGTGCATGGCGAAACAGTCTTTTGGAGGTATGAGAGGCATGCCGCGGCACCTGAGGCAGATCGGCCTGCGATAGTGGTACCAAAGACCTGTCTGTAACAATCATCCCTGTTGCAAGCACTGACTCCGGCTCGAGCGACAAGGCCTTGAGGGATGTTGGCAGCGTGAGCCGTCCACAAAAGGCAAGAGATAATAAGAGCACTGAACATATTGCTAGTAAAGGTCAATGAGGGCTGCGAGAAGAAGTCGTCGATGATTCTCGTAGGGCGAGGTTCAAGAAAGCCGTCAGTCAGGCCTCTATATAGATCTGAGCCTCGTGTCTGTAGGAACAGCTTCATCCTCCTCAGCCCGGCTTGGAAAGAGCTGATCAGGCGGTGCACGACGCAACTTCAGCTCGTGGCTGGACTGTAGTCGCCTGGCTCTCAGTAAGACTAGCTGGCCGCATCTTGATGCCATGAGTGCAGATCGCGGGAGGTGCTACATCTGATGGTCAGCCTTGTCCACTCTCGACCTCAAGAAACCCCCAAATGGCTGCATTGAGAGCTGAGCAGAGCAGCTCTGCTGCGAGTCAAAATGTGGCTAGCTGAAGGTCCATATCAACACCTGGATGCGCACTTTGCAAAAAGTCATGCGCCGAATTCCCCGCATTGCGTCGCGTGAACCTTCCTCCAAATTCTGATCTAGAACGCACGATCTAGAACGCACGAGGAATTAAGGGAAGCAAATAGTACAATTGAGTGACCAATAAAGTCTATCATAGGCTTTCCTTGCGCTAGGCCTGACTTTGCTTGCTTTCTTTCCTTTTTGTCTACACATAGCATTTCTGTACTGGGATGTTCTTGCAGATAAGCACCTACCTCTCGACCGTCTGACTTCGACACTCTGCATAAGCGATGCTAGTCTGGAGAGGGCATGTGTCATCTGAATCCCTTTACAAATAGTCCAAATCGCAACCGAGGTTCTTCAAAAGGAGTTTGTGGTGGGATATCTACCTTCAGTCTAGCATGGAAGCAAGATCACGGACTGACTGCCCCGGTTTCCGCTTACATATCATATGAGCGAATGCTGGCCATCATAAGCGGCTTCCACTCAAAATGGGAATGCCTTTCAACTACTGACCTGGATCAAAACGTGGGCTCTGGACAGAACTTTTGTGGGGATGGTCTTGGAGGACTTGAATGGCTGAATATTGACTCGAGTGTGGGTTTAATGAACTCCTGATCCTTGCGGGAGCACTCACTAATAGATTCGTTAGACACAGTCATCGGCCACATAATGCGTATACCTCTCTCGTATTGGGAACGAAACAAGACACGGATTGCTTGTGATCGCAAACCTTGCAGCAGAAGTAAGAAATTCTTTTTCCATCAACGTTTTCATCTCGATCTTGATTGATCGAGGCTTCTACCATCCACTTTCTTAGCACATGGGTCTTCCCTTATTAGGCGTCCTGATATCCAGTCATTTCATGAGCTCTGGACTCGAATCAACCATGTATCCGTCTTGTCTACATTTGGAGGGCTTTCGCATCGAGCGTTGATGGGTTCGAGGCAGAAAGCTCGGCAGCCCGGGGGTCGATCAAATCTTCCCTCTTCCACTATCCACCATCGAGTTTGGGATCTATGCTTTGGGAGAAGACATATGGCTAGTTGAAAATTCAACTATGTTTCCAGTCATGTAGCTCTACACAGCGCTACATCCGCATCTAAAATTCTGATTTCGTCTCTGTTTTCTGGATACCACGTTTGATTGCAAGACTTGAGAGCAAAGACTCTCCATCAATCCAACTGGATGTCGTGCATCCAACGTCGCTCAACATCTCTGTGGTGAGGACGACCGTACGCAACTCATCCTTTATTCCGTTGTGCTCAATGGGTAGCGCTTTAGTGCGGATGAACCGAGTGTCGTGTTCGCCGTAAGTAGCGATGAGCTTTTCTTGACTCGTCTTTTCCAGGCCGGACTCCTCACATGTCTCAACAAGCTCGGGCGAGAAAAGTCTTTGATAGTGACCCCAAGGCTACTAATCGTTTTCTGCTTGTTTGCCTTCTTCTTCGCATGCTTGTTGGTGATTGTCTTGCCCTCCTACGCAGGCAAAGATATAACGACAAACGACTTTGAGGTCTTGGAAATACACTTGATAGGAGGGTCGGCACCTTGATTTCTCTTCCCACACGAGAACTCTTGTTCCACTTTCGTCTCGCGCGGCTGGACCGCGCCCACCATCTTCGGCTCTCATCTGACCTTACGACCAGCGAGACATCGCTCATTCTCAGTAGTGCCAGCTGCGGTCAGACCAGAACGAGTCAGGATAGGGCTTGACGTTGTGGTGGCGGCGACAGCTTCTTCCTCGATCTCGACCTTTACTCTGATCTTCTGTCTCGTGGCTTCTTCATTCCCATGGTACAGGACGGTACTATTGCTAAGAAGCGTCGCGAACAGTGGTTGGATCTTGTCATCGCGATGGAGAGAGTAGTAGAGATCCTCCAGGTGTCGGGGGATGCTTTTGGCGAGATTCAACCAAGACTGCTTTTCTGGGCACGCGAATCATCAGGCCATAGTACAGGGCCACGGGTGTCGAACATACTGTCGATATCGCTTTTGAAGGGTGTCGGATCCATCCAATTCTTGCCTGCACCGGAACTTGCCCTTAACATTTGAGATGTCTGGTGGTCTTAGTCCTCGGGGAGTGTGCCTCAAAGCAGTATGAAAGCGGGTTCCTTGGGAGTCTGGACCTTCTAGTGATCATATTGCTGTTGGTATGAAGTCTGAGTCATGGCTGCATTGCAGCGAGGTGTGGACTAACTTCCTCGATCTCGCTCCTGCCAGCATCAAACTGTTCGAATGCCGTCAGGAGATCCTCGAGTATGGGCACCACCGAAGGCGCTTTTGCGGAGTATCAATGTCAGGTTTCAATCTGCCTTTGAAGCCTTGAGATCAGTAACAGAGTTTTTGGACTCGCAGAGCAGCAAACAGCGATGAGGAGGAATGAAATAATTTCTACCGCTACTGCGTTACAAAGATATGTTCTCGAGGAGAGATGGTGTGCTTGTCGAGTTTGCCCTTCGCGAGCTTCAATGCGACGCCCAGGTCGTTGTCGTCCATTCATCTGTCCCATTTCCTTCTCATTCCTTTCCATTATACATTATTCCCTCGTGTTTGCCCTCATCTCCATCATTCTCTCGCTATCATTGCATTCTCCGACTCAAACGTCGACGAGCTGGGAGAACCGTATTCGCTGGTAGCGTCATATGCGTTGTCGTTGGGAGGGCTATCGAGCCAGCCCTCGACGCCCAGCTCGAGGTCGGGCTCGTACTCGAGATTATCCAGACCTCGCTCGAAAGCTGACGTTCTGGCGTCGAAGTGGGATAAGAGTCGTCGTTGAGAAGAGGCAGACCTTATTCGTCGACTGGACTCGAATAGGATTGCGCCGGATAAGGGTATGCCCCAATCAGGCTCCCAAAATACCGATACGCTTTGATGAGCGGCAAATGAATCGTACGTCGTGACCTCAACATGCCTTTAGCTACTGAGTGATTCTTTGGGCTGGATCTGCAAGTGCTTTGTACTGGAGGGAGAGTACACTTTCGTTGTACGCTCGAACAGCGACTGCACGCAATCTGCCTCGGGAACGTAGCATGACCTGACTTGGAGGTCTTATCTTTCTTTGCGAAGAGCTTGGTAGCAGGACCATGCTGATATCCGGTTTGTATTCTCGCGGACATGTATGAATCCGACATGTTGCACAACCCAACAACTTTGTCGTAGTGTGGTTATATGTGATTAAGCCCGAGCAGAACATGGTATCGATATTGCTCATCTGCTCTATCATTGCTTAGATCAGATTCTGAAAAGCTTTCCGGCTGTTATGTATCTAGGAGTGTTGATCTCGAACGCAAATGTCTGTGATGACAGGAGGGAGAGCGAAGCGCTGCGATCTTTACTGAGCAGCAAACCGACGGCGCGAGAACCTGGGTACAGTTGAGTCCGTCCGACGACCGTCGTGCGGGATGTTGGATGGCGTTTGGAGTAAGCTCAGTTCAATGAAGACAGACTTGCTCTTGGTAGTTCCAATTGCCGTAATGCTTGCACTCTGCGCGACCTCATATATATCAAGCCGACTCGACATGGAGATGGTAGAAAGGTTTCGAACCTGGTTATCTGTCTGATGATAGAACGGTATAACTCTGAACTGATACGTTCTCTGAGACGGGTGGCGTTACGAGAAAAGCATCTTCTGGACCTGATCGTAGATGGACGGAGTGAGATCTTGATGGAAATTGAGTCTTCGTCATGCTTCTCGTGGCGCGCCTGCTGGTAAGAGTAGTCTTGTCCTTGGACATCACGGATGGTCTGATGTTGCGATGTAATGGTATCCACCCGTGTGTCGCGAACGTCCAGGAATGGCCGGAGAGCGTTTTGTGAGTTGAACTTGAGGTACTCTTCCGGGGCTGTTGTGTCGATGCTACCTTCGAACAGGTGCACAGGCGCGTCTTGGATAGGAGATTTGGCGAGAGGAGCTCAGAAGTGGAGGCAGATGATGTACATGTATATAACAATGCGAGGATCTTTTGGCGCTGATTCAAACGTATATGTACTCAGTGAGGGAACGATTGTGAAATCAATCATTCCTGGTCTGGTATTGGCCCTGGAGAAGCACGAGCTTGATTCCAAGATGGTGTGAACGATGTGCCCGAGGGAAAGCCTGTAGATGGATGATGACTGAGAGCACCGCAAGCAATGTAAGCTTTCTGGTAGTCGTGATGTTTCCACCAATCGGGCTGATTCCGGGACTAGGGCGCAGTGTTGATCAAGTCAAGAATCCTGATTCCTGATTCTTGCAGTCCTCGGTGTATGCTTGCAAAGCCCAGGAATGCATCTGCAATCCTCAAAGTCTTGACAGTAGTCCAGGCATATATATATATTCAACTGATCTCATGAGAAGTGTTACAGAAAACTGGTATCTCCATCTTCTGCGAAGGAAGTGCCTTCATATGCCATCCAGCCACAAAGCCATGCTACTGTGCTATGAAAAAGACAAGACTGTAGCAAACTTGCATTCTTGATTCTTGACGCGAATCAGTGCAAAGTGCAAACATCCTTCTCGCTTTCTTTGATTGGAAGCTCAGATACCCAGAACGATCTAGGGATCTGCTTTCTTTTGGCTGCTGGCTTTGACAGCTCGATGAACATTCATTCTTCACACTCTCATGCTTTTCGACCAAGACATTGACGTAGATATACAATCGTGAGATTATTATAGCAAACATTGCGTCCAAACCAATATTGACATCATAAAGAGAAAAGACAAACCAAGCACCAACGTTTGTCCACGCCAGGGGCCAACTGGACCAGCATTTTTTTTTTGAAGTCAAGCCATTGAACATGGAAGAAGGATCCAAGGACATGCAAGCCAGCAAACATCAAGCTCAAACACGAAGGCTCCACCGAGAGCTCACAAGGTTCAAGAAAGAGCAAATCCGCACGCAGCAATCACTATCCATTGTCGCGATAGCAAAGCTTACAGAGTCATGAGAATAAGAGCGGAGATGACGGGGCTCACAGACCCAGATGTCGAGGGTAGTACCAGCAGGATCTGTGTTTTACAGACTATGAGGAAAGCAGATAGATGGTGCTCAATGAGAATATCGAAAGACAAGCTTCTGATCACTTGCAGTGGGACATCACAGGAAAATATTACATGAAAGTGATCAAAGATAGGTGTCATTAGATATATGATTAGCATCGAATCGTATCAAAATAGGTCATCTCGTGGTCCTGAGAGACTCGCGAGTGACGATCATTCATATCCTAGCTTCCGTAAAAGCATCTACTCATCATCGTTGACGTCGATCTCAGTCTTCTTCCAGTGACGAGCAGGAATGCGGCGCTTGAACATGATGTCAATCTCGCGGTAAGATCTGCCCTTCATTTCAGGAAGGAAGAAGTATGCAGTGACAAGACACAGCAGACCGGTGCCACCCCAGACGTAACCACACTTGCCACCGACTNNGTGATTATATGTTAGCACTTTGCTCTGATCATCGGATTTTGCAAGGGATAACTTACGGTTACCGCCAGTGGGGTTGAGCATGTAGGAGGCGAGGAAAATGCAAGGGATCTCGACAATGTAGTAGGTAGCACGACCGATACCGGTGGTGAGAGGACGGAGACGGATAGCGGAGGTTTCACCGATGATGACCCAGGAGGCGGGAGCGGGACCGAGAGTGAAAAGAACGGAAACAATCAGACCAAGAGAAGCTTGAGCGAGGTTGGCGGTGTTGGAGATGCCGAACGAAGCAGCAATGCCCAGAGCGATGAGGAGAATGGTGTTGACGGCCGAACCCCACAAGTAGATGGAACGTCTGCCGTAGTAAGTAGTAAGAATCCAAGACAGCATGACGAAAATCATCTGGAGGGCGGAGGTGATAAGACCGAGAGCAAAGGCCAAGTCGTCGCTAACGTGGGCCTGCTGGAAGAAGTAGACAGCCTGGTTGGCGATCAAGTTACCAGTCAAGTTCTGGGCGGCGTAAACACCACAGACGATGAGAGTACGGCGGAGGTCAGTTCCCTTGAAGAGTTCAACGTAGCTGGGCTTCTTTTCGGACTCTTCCATCGCAATGACACGACGCATCATAGATACTTGGTCGGCCGAGTTGACTTGAGATCTGCGACCAAGACGCTCAACGGAGTGTGCGGCCTGCTCGTACTTGCCCTTACGAGTCAACCACCAGGGGGACTCGGGTGCGAAGAAGACGAGAATGGCCAGAGGAGTCGGGAACATCCATTGGAGGGCGATTGGGATCTTGTAAGCTCTCTCTTCGAGAATAGGGTTGTATACGTAGGTAACGGCGCCAACAATGATACTGCCGATAGCCCAGAACATTTGCAGCATCTGTGTTGCGGGAGCTCTGAGTCTGAGAGGNACAATCTCAGAACAGTATGCGGGAGCGTTGGCGATGAAGATACCCCATGGGATACCCTCGAGGATCTGAGCGGCAAAGATGACGGGCATGGAGTTGGCGAAGTAGAAGATGAAGATGAAGGCATTCAGAAGCATAAGACCAGTCAAGGTAGCGTAGCGGTAACCGATGCGGGAGGTCAAAGGACCAGCGACGAAGACACCGATGAGAGCGCCGAGTTGTCCAGAAACTTGCAGAGCGGACTGCCATTTTGTTTCGATTACATAGCCATTTACTCCATCGTAGACACCGAACTTCTGTTTGAAGGCGGGAAGGGCGACAAAGTTACCGATGAGGAAGACATCGTAGGATTCCATGATCTGCGAGTGTGAGCTACTGCATCAGGAAAACCTCTCGAACGGATCAAGTCTTACGATCGTGCAAGAAAAGACGAAAGCCCAGAATGAAGCCATAGGGTAGGCCTTGACGGCCTGAAGCACTGTCATGTTGTGTTCGACATTCTCGGCCATGATGGCCTCGGCCCTGTGAGCAGCATCTGTCTTTTCATTTTCGTTGTATTCGACACCGGGCTTCTCAATCCCCTCGGTGTAGGCCGGCTTGGACTCGTTGTCGCGATTCATATTGTCGGAAGCCTCTCCTGGGATGCTGTGGGATTGGCAAAGGTGGGTATCGGAGGACGATGAGCAGGGAAATTACAGGTGGGGATGGACACTTATAACCAAGTGGAGGTACGGAGACATGTGGAGAATCTGGCGTGTGGAGACTGGAGTAGCAACGTCTGGGGCGTAACAGTGTCCGGGGAAGGAACACGCTACGCATTCAGCCGTGTCAGCCGATGCGGTGGACTGGTCGCTAGATGTACCGAGTAGAGAGCCCGTTCGCGCCGCCACCCGGTGGGAAGCACGCCCTGCCACTTGTTGCTGCGAGAAGAATAGGGACGCCCGCGGCCACGAGACGTTTGCATCCTTCGCCCGGTACAGAGTCTCGCTACATGGACGAAACGGGTATAGCGTGTAGAAGTTGGCCGGAGGGGGGAATTGCTTATCTCCCGAGTTAAGCCGGCACAAGCGCGCTCAAACAAGGCTTCTTGACTTTATCCGCAAGCCAAACTAGAGTCTCCAACGTCTTTTGAAGACGAAGAGCACACCGACAAGGGAATTGTTCTTCGAGGAGGTGAGCGACACATGAGAACCGCAGAGCATGGGCAGCGCATGCACGGCGAATATGGCTCCATGCGCGAACGGCCACCCTCGGAAGCAGTGACCAGTAAAGAGCATCCCTTGCAGTAGTAAGGCTCTTCGTTGGCGCCGTGCCGTATACATGACCGGAAGAGGAGAGATCTTCATCGCATCAATAACGAAGCCATCACATGGGTTCAGCCTCGATTTACAAGAAGCGCCGAGCGCATCAGCCGACAGTTCGACATGTCCAAACTTAAGGTCTGGTTATAAGGAGTCGAAAGGCAGGCAGCGACTTCAAGACCTGAACCAGTGTCAAAATCGACCCCTTGCGACGGGTGGTTCGTGAAGACTTTGAGATGAAGATGGATGACGGAACGACAGGAGACAAAAAAAGGGACCGGTGGGAGGTGGAAACGGTACAGGAACCAATAGTGACAACCAGCAAACTTGCCTTCGTATCCGGGAGGTGTGGAGAGCGAGCGCGCGCCCTTTTGTCGCATGTCACGGAGGCCTGAACAACAGCAAATGGCGTCGCAAGCATCCGTTGTTCGAGAGGGCGTGGGGAGCGACGGAATAATGAAGGTAGAATTGACCTCCTGATGGTGGATGTGGTGTCGAACGAGGGCGGCCGAGACGAGAAGCAGCACCGGGAGCCCTCGAGCGACGATTTTTGGCCACACGGGAGAGTCGTTTTGGCCATGGGATCTTCGCCGCATTCGTGCCTTCCGCTCTCGTCGCTTTCATTGCATTCTTCCGCTTTCATCGCTCTCTGGTGTTTTGCGTCTTCATTTCGTCCATTCTGTTGGTGTCTCTCGAAATCGGAGACGACGCGCAAGATCTTCCGCGGAAAGGGATGCCGAATATGTACCAGATATGTGGACAGTACAGGAGACAAGTACTCGTGAAGACATAAAGTCAGTCTCGAGCGCCAGGGGCCTATTCAGCCTGATCACATGATTAATGGAACTTTGAGACTCTCACCCATTTCGATCGTCTCTCCACACGATCACAAACACGAGTCACCCGTGGGGACCACCATGCGGGGTGTAACAGTGATGCCTCTTGCTCCGACCACTACAGCTCATCGAACAGAATCGCCCACACACAATCAATTACCGTGTAATAGTCACGTTGTTAAATCCCAAGTCCTGATGCTAAATCAGAGGAGGGAAGAAGCAGGGGCGATGACGCTACTCACGATACAATCCCAGAGTGAGGATTCAGACTCGGCTCTTGAAGAGGAAGAGCTGGTCTCGAAGTTCCAAATGCTACGCTCTGCGTGGCAGCTCGACCGAAGACGAGAGGGATATGCAGTGGGCAGATCTTACGATGCCAGGCTATTGGAGTATGGAATCATCGCGTCTGCATTGGCAAACAGAAGACCAGAGAGACAGGTCAGAGCAAGGGCTCGTTCCAACCAGTTCATACGCTCCGAATATTCGTCCCTCAAGACAAATGCTCGAACGAATGGCATTTCAGTGGTCCGGCGCTTGAACGCATATTATGATCTTGGCATCTATCTCTTTGGTATGGAAGTTGTCAAGGACAAGCTATTCGTATTCTTCGATCGGCTGTATCTGTTTCTGCTTCATTGTCTCTCCAAATCTTGCGTTGCCTGTGAAAGACAGAAGCGAACATTCTCAGAGAGAAGGAGCGAACTCTGGCCGTGCTTGTGCAAACATTGGCAACTTTTGCCGCGATTCCATCGCCTCGACCTGCTTGACGCGTTTGGGGTCAGGTCAAGTACACCACTTTTCAGTTGGACAACATGTAAGATATGTATCCTCGGGGCTTGCCCTATGCATGGCATGGACGGAAGAAATGAGGCCTTGCAGTTGCAATCACATGAGGTTCCTTTGTTCTTTCAAAGAGAATGTAGCTCCAGTGTCTCGTTTTTGGTCGTGGATATCTAGTAGAGCATGAGGATATTCTTGATTTTGAGATATGGAGCTCAACATGATAACGGGCTACTTGTAACTCTATGTAATCACAACATACACCCATCTGTATCCCTCAAGTACATAGGGAATACTACCGCATAACCATGTCGTCGAAAATTGTCCATACACGCCCGAAAAACCATTGTTAGGGGTACGACCCTGGCTGCCAAGCCCATCCCACAGACCTTTCGTCTAAAACCCTTGACGCCTTGGCGTGCAAACCCCAGCAAGAAAAAAAAAAAGGTTGTTTTTTGCTCCGCGACACACCAGGCGCCAAAGGCAAAAGAAGACTTCCGACACGGGGAATTGAACCCCGGCCTCCTCGGACCTAGTTGTTGTAGTAAATACAACGGTTTGAGAGCGAGAAATCCTAGCCACTAGACCATATCGGATGTTGTTGAGATAATGCTGGTTATACGCATATACAAAGTTTAACGTAAAGGAAAACCTTGCTGACAGGACCTGCATCCCCTTTGCGCGACAGAGGGCTGAACGTTTGTGTCCCACAACAACTTTTCGGAGGTTGAAGTATCGCGTTTTAGTCAATCGCATCTCACAAGCACTTTAAAGCAGGTCGTACTGTCGATATAAAGGTTACTTGAGCATTGACGACACGCTTCCACGATGGGCGGCCACATACTGAGGATGCGCGTGGGCGGATACTTTGGAAATTGTCTCGATATCCTGGCGTGTCTGCAGACCCTCATGGACAGATACTCGACTCGAGCATGGAGACATGATCGTTCACACTGTAACAAGACTCGATCGTTCAATAGCCCAACCGAGGACGAAGGACAGCGTCTCGTGGGTGTGTCGTGAAAGAGACGCTCGCGAAGCCTGAATTCATCCACAGCCCGCAAGATCTCCAACAGACAATCTCGATACCCATATCCTTCCAAACCAGACATGATGATGTTGTAGAGAGAGCGTTGATGTGTTCCCGACACAGATCTCTCCAAACGCAAAACAATCCAAGGCGTTCAAAGGCGTTTTTTCACGTCTCCATGGACCATGACCCCGCAGAGAAGGCCCGAATGCAACGACATCCATAGCGCCTACACTGGCAACCTCCGCAAAACTTTCAGCAAGAAATAGAAAGAAGTTTTTGCATGCCAAGTCATTGATTTGAAAAACACACGAGCTTGACCGCTGCAAGGGAAACTGTCGTTCGTTGGAAAAAAAGGCTGCAAGGCCATGGAGAATCAAGAACAGCCTTCTTCTGGATGCATTTCCCAGGAAACGGTGTTGGGTTGGTCTGGGGAAGCAGTCGCTGGACATGGCAGGTCGAACCCTTTCTTCTCATCATCCAACATTGTTCGTTTGCTCAACATCTCCTGGGGAAAGTAAGTCATGTCTTGTTGTCAAGAGGAAGAAAAATTCCGCAAACTCTGGGGAAATGAGGTGACGGCGAGGTCATGGGTCGATGGTATACACTAGAAAGAGATGTCGACGCCTTCTCTTGGCTTCCAAGAACAGGCGTTCGAGCTTGATGTAGAACAAGGAGGTTGCAAGCGAGAAGCAAGAGCACGGCTTGTCGCTTGCGTTTATGCTCGACATGTGGCCGGGTCTCCTCAGTCGAGACTCGGAGCGGCCATCTTTGAATAGGAGGGCACTGGAAAAACCTGATTGGTATGTAATGACAGGAGCAATCCGGGGCGGTCTTGCGGATGGTCTACCTTGTGGGTGAGAGGTCCAGCACGGCCAAGAACAGAGACGATCATACACCAAAACAGAATGACAGGAGCACGTGGAGATGTTCTGGAAGCAGGTCAATCAAAAGTCTCTTGAAGATTGAGTTCGAAGAGAACAGCAACGGTGAGCGATGGCCATGTTTCGTGGCGTGCAGCGCGGGGACCCCATGGTCGAGAAGGGGAAGGAGCAGGTGCAAGTATGGATTGACGATATGGGTGATGCTTTCATGCGGAGGGCGAGTGGAAGTCTGTTTGCACCTTCCTCACGCCCATCGTGCCTTCCTCTACCAGACACACCGCGCACTGACCTCGCTGCCAGGTATAAGATGTCTACCCACGCGCCCAACTGTCCTCTCCGACCATCTCCCTCTCTCCATCAGTATTCTGTGATTGTGACGAGCTGTTTGGCAGGATCCGTTCTTGGTACCTCCCAACTTTTCCTTCTGCTCAACGCACTGCACAGGCCTCACCTCCATCATCTGTGCGCAGAGTCCATTCCCATCACGCTCATCCATCATGGCTCCTCCCACGATCCGCGGTACGTCTGATGTCGACCGTATCGAGGCTCCCGTCACGTTCAAGGCCTACATGATGTGTGCTTTTGCCTCGTTCGGTGGTATCTACTTTGGCTACGACGTCGGTTGGATCAGGTATGTTATCACTATTGTCGGACATCCTTCAACAAGACTGACATCAACGCCANGCGGTGTCATGGGCATGAAGTACGCCATCCACACCTTTACCGGTCTTCCTTACGACACTCCCGCCGATGACTTTGTGGTCGGAGCTAGTGACAAGGCCCTCGTCACGTCTATTCTGTCTGCTGGAACCTTCTTTGGTATGTTTTTCGCTGTATCTTCCACATGTCTGTTCTAACAATCATTAGGTGCTCTCATCGCTGGTGACCTTGCCGACTTCTTCGGTCGCCGTACTACCATCATGATCGGCTGCGTGATCTTCACCATCGGAGTTATCATGGAAATCATTTCGACCACCATCAGCCTCATGGCTGCTGGCCGCTTCGTTGCTGGACTCGGTGTTGGCTTCGAGTCTGCCGTTGTCATTCTCTACATGTCCGAGATCTGTCCCAGAAAGGTCCGTGGCGCCCTCATTGCGTGCTACCAATTCTGCATTACCATCGGTATTCTCCTCGCCTCGGTCGTCGTCTACGCAACACAGAACCGCATGGACAGCGGATCATACCGTATCCCTGTGGCTGTTCAGCTCGCCTGGGCCCTGATCCTTGGTGTCGGCATTGCCTGTCTGCCCGAATCGCCTCGTTACTTTGTCAAGAAGGGTGAGCATGAGAAGGCAGCCGCCGCTCTGNCCTCAGTCCGTGGTCAGCCCGTCGACTCGCACTTTGTTCAGCTGGAACTCGCCGAGATCATCGCCAACCACGAGTACGAACTCTCTGTCGTTCCTCAGGGCAGCTACTTCTCGTCCTGGGCCAACTGCTTCAAGGGCTCGTTGTGGAAGGCGAACAGCAACTTGCGCCGTACCATCCTCGGAACGTCTCTACAGATGATGCAGCAATGGACTGGTGTGAACTTCATCTTTTTCTTCGGTACCACCTTCTTCCAGCAGCTCGTAAGTTCCATCTTTCCTTCTCTCGTTGGCACAAGCGACTGACACAGACAGGGCACGATTTCCAACCCCTTCCTGATCGGTCTCATCACCACCCTCGTCAACGTCCTTTCCACCCCCATCTCGTTCTGGACCATCGAAAGATTCGGTCGTCGTCCCCTGCTCATCTGGGGAGCTCTCGGTATGCTCACCTGCCAATTCCTCACCGCCATCCTGGGTACCGCCATCTCGAGCGAGAACCAAGCCGCCACCAAGGCCCAGATCGCCTTCATCTGCCTCGCCATTTCGTTCTTCGCATCCACCTGGGGTCCTGGAGCTTGGGTTCTGATCGGTGAGATCTTCCCTCTGCCCATCCGTTCCCGCGGTGTCGGTCTTTCTACCGCAAGCAACTGGCTCTGGAACACCATCATCGCCGTCATCACCCCATTCATGGTTGGCAAGGACAAGGGCAACCTCGGTCCCAAGGTCTTCTTCGTCTGGGGTACTCTGTGCACCTGCGCCTGTATCTATGCCTACTTCTTGGTTCCTGAGACCAAAGGATTGTCGCTTGAGCAGGTTGACAAGATGCTTGAGGAAGTCACCCCTCGCAACTCGGCTGGCTGGAGACCTACTACCACCTTTGCCAACGAGATGGGCATGACCAAGGAGGCTGGTGTCACCGAGCAGGAGATTCACATTGATGTTGAGAAGAGAGGTGGATCCCAGTAGAGGACCAGAAGAGGATTTTGGTTGAAGGGATGAGTGCGAAGATTTGCTCTGTGTGTTGTTACAGTTTGAGAACACTGCTCTTTGTTGATATAGGGGCTTGTAGACAATTTTGCTTTGCTTGAGAAATGATGGCGAAAAGTGCTTGTCCATCCATTCTACTCGGGCACCCTGACACCCGTAATGCCCTCTAGAATCTTCAACAACTTCTCTTGCGTCTTCTCGTCAGCAGCCTCCTCTCTAAACCCCCTCTCCCTCATCTGATAATAATGACCCGTCTCTTTTTTATTTGCCTCGCCACTCCCCTCACAAACCATCGCAAACGTCTCGACCGCAGCATCCAAATCATCCATCGCATTCGGTCCCCCCATCTTCGTCTTGACCCACCCCGGATCCACCGACACACACGGAATCCCATAGTGTCTCTGAAACGCAAACCCAAACATGACATTATGTAACTTGCTATCCGCATAGGCTTGTCCTGAATTCCAGTGCTCTTCATCCCTTTGCTGCCATGTCATGTCTTTTAACCCCGCATCACCGTTTTGATGTAATCCCGAGGACACGAAAACAAGTCTACCCGGCTTCTTCATCAAACACGCAAGCATGTATGGCGCTAATGTGTTTACTGCAACTAGAGCTGGCAACCCATCTTCTGTGCGGCGAAAGGGACCGAGGTAGAGTCCTGCATTGTGCATTATGGCATCGTAGGGACCTTGTTTATCTGCTTCGGTGGCAAAGGCGCGGATGCCTGAGAGAGTGGACAAGTCGCCGATCACACAGGCAGTGGCGGATGGGCAGGCGGTTTTGGCATCGGTGGCGCGGGAGGGGTTGCGCGCGTGGATGACGATCTGGTGGGAGCGTTTGCTGAGGAGGTTTGCGGTGAGGAGGCCGAGACCGTCGCTGGAGCCCGTGATGAGGATGCGCATGGTGTGTGGTTGGTTGAGTGGATGAAAGGGTATGTGGGGGTGTAGCTAGTAAGGTACAATGGTCTAGCAGTTGATGTCGAGGAATGCAAGAGGGGGCTTGATATGAACAGTAGGTCGGGAGGAAGCTACAGTATGATCGAAAGGCTACAGAAAGAACTCTTTTCCAGATTGTTATGATAAGGAAGGTATAATGAATGCAGGTGAAAGAGAGAGCTCTTCCCGGATGGTCTAGGTAATGTTGATAAGGAAGTACAAGGGATGGAAACGAGGGAGAGCTTTTTCCTTGACCATCGAGGTGTTTTCGAAGACGTCATGTCATGTTTTGGTCAGAAGTGTTGGCCAGACGCAGGAGCTTTCCATTCCCTAGAACATGCTGCCAGACAACACGTACTTTCATCTCAGCTCGAATACAGTGAATTGACCCAGCAGCTAAACATCTGGACCGAGTCCGACTTACGCTGCAAAGATTGGATAAATCTGATAGCCGCCTGCTACGGTTGGAGCTTGATTGAACCGGCGTGAGGACAATGAAGTCGTCCCGGGCGCATTCTCGGGCAGAAGACGTCTCTCGTCTCCTTTGCATCGCCATTCGACCACCATCACCTGCAGACTCACATCAAGGTGACTATATTCGCATCATCACATCCAGGTAGCCGCTCTCCTTATCCCCTCCGCAGCCTCTTGATACCTCGCGACATTTCAACACCGAAGTTGATGGCATACCGCTCAAAATCACCCGAGACCCCGCACGTCTCTCCAACCATGGCTCTGATCAGCACTGCACCGCTCGTGTTCACCCTGCTTCCTTCGATGTGACATCCTAACATCGCATCGTTGCGAGCTAGCCGGAAGAATTCTGAGTTTCATCAAGTACATAAAGGTACCGCGAGACATTCGCGAGGTAGGTGCTTGTTCACGTTTATCAGCATGGTCAGGTGATCGGGTATCTCCCTACTATCCGCACTTACTGTTGCTACAAGCGCTACGGAGGTGCTTGTTCCCAAGCAGCTCCCCACCCGTGAGCTCTTACGTGATGCCTATGCATACTCTCTCGAACCAGTCTGGACTCAGGACTACATCTCTTCCAACCTGACTCGCAACCTTATGAATGTCATCGCCAATATCACCGGAAAGCCACCAACATTCCGAGTCGGAGGCAACACTGGTGACCAGACATACTATCATCCTGAGCTGAATGTTTCGGCTGTGGCATTACCGAACACGACCGTCACAAACACTTTCAACATCAGCAATGCATGGTTTGAGCAGTGGGGCAGCTATTTCCCTGACGGAACAGATTTTCTCTACACCTTGAACCTCAAGGACAACTCGAGTGCGTGGGAGAACGCTGTAAAGGAAGCCGCTGCAGCTTACAGCGTCCTCGGCAACAAGCTCAAGCTGTTTGAGATAGGCAACGAGATTGACCACTTCATCAACAAAGGTTGGCGACCACCAACCTGGGATGTTGCCATGTACATTCAGCAGTGGCGTAGTATTTCCGATCAGATTGTGCAGTCTCCTTGGTACAGGGCAGCAGAACACCCACCGAAATTCCAAGCTGCTGTCTTTGCCGATCCTCCTTGGGTGCCCGACCAGCAAGACGAAATTGACGACTTCGACATTGTCAACCTCACTCGTGCTGGTTTGACCCAACACGACAAAATTGGGTCATATGCCGTTCATTTGTATCCTCAATCAACCTGCGACACGGCACGCTGGTACCGATTGAGTCTGGATCTGCTGTCAAACCACAGCGTACTCTGGCACAATGTGTCGCAATATGTACCACAAGTCGCAGCAGCAGACAAGGCAGGCATACCACTTGTCTTCGGTGAAACCAATTCAGCCTCATGCTCAGGTCGCAGCGGCATCAGCGACACCTTTGGCGCTGCTCTCTGGAATGTCGACTATGTCCTGCTAGCAGCCAGCATTGGTATGCCCAAGGTATACTTTCATCTTGGGGCCAATGCCGAGTACTCCAGCTTTGTTCCTCTGCCTTACCAACACAAGAACGAAAGCCTCCAGGCGGGCATTCGAAGTCTTTTCTATGGCCATTACTTCATGGCGCATGTACTGGTTTCCGACAAGCAGCAGCAGCGGATTGCTCAACTTCCCAACGCAAACAGCTCCGACTTCAGTGGGTATGCCATCTACTCATCTACCCACCGTCATCAAGATCCACTCAATAAACTTGTCTTTGTTGATCTGCAAGTCTGGAACGGCACCGAGGGTCTTTCGAACCCTTCGACTCTCAGCACTACTGACTCGACCTTCCACTCCGCGGGCCAACGTCCCTACCGTGAAGTCTCCATAACCACGCCATGGCGCCCGGGCACTCGTCTCGGGGTCATCCGACTCCAAGCCCCAGGCACAAATGCAAAGAGCGGGCTCAGCGTTTCTGGCGTCAGTTTCGAGTCACAAAGTGGAGCGCAGGTTGGTGAACTCAACAAGGAAGAAGTAGTGGTTGACGGAGATGGCCGAGTCTGCTTTCGGATGCAATCGTCCGAGGCTATACTCATAGAGAAGACTTGAGTCGCCGATCGTACTGCCATTTCTGCTAGCTGAAGTCGAACATTTGAAGTGACATTCATCGAGTCTTATTGGCCGAGTAATTGTGTTGATGCTTTTCTCAACTTGGCCGAGACTTTTGACGTGCGGGAGCTCTGGCAGGTTGATCTGGTTCTTCGACTTTCTTTGTGTTCAAGCAATGGCCGCACATCGTATGCTCTCTGAGACCTCTCGCAAGTTTAACAGATGAAAACGCTTCGCTTGCAAGCTTCTTCATATATCTTGTCGCTGTGATCGACGGGTACCGAGGTCGAGAAGAGAAGGTTTCTTGCACGTTTGTTCGCGTGTTTCATCTTGTTACCTTGTCTTGGTGGTGGTCGTGCACAGATCTTCACACTAGGTCCTGTCGCTCGAAGCTTGAGAGTCATGAAATCGGACGACGTTTCTTTGATCTCTCTCTTCGAACAAATCAAGTCTGCTTCGTTCGCACAAAGCGGATCGCTGCTGATGATCTCGAGTCATAGCAACTACTGACCAAAAGGTATGCCCAATCATGATGAGTCGGCCTGCTGGAAGAGCAGCATGGCGATTAACAGGTTATCCAGAGCATACTTTTCATGACTCGTCGCGCTAACATAATTACAGCAATTCCAGATTGCCTTTTTTCCACTTGGCTTTCCTGCCCACGTTGCCGATCATGTTCTTTCGAGGCGTCCTCCATGCGTCGAGTTTGCTGCTGAACTGGGTACTCGGGCCTCGATATGAAGTGTCAAATCCTTCATAATGTTGCTGCGACGCCATTTGACATGACATCCTGACAGCCTTTCTACGTCGTCTGTCGCGTGGCATGGAAGGTGCTGGTGAAACAGCGACAGAATCGATCAACCGCACATTTCCTTGCTTGACGGTCATGGACACGTTAACCCCGGCTCGGCAACGAGTGGAATAAATTGCGTAGAGAAGCACGGATGAGGGGCGGGTCTGAGCCTCTGACCATCATCACCCAATCGAGCCTTGCTGATGTCTCACCACATCCTGATGTCGAAGCAAAACACCGCTCCCCACGAGAACTACTACTTTAGGCCAGCTTGACTCGGCATGCTTTTCCTTCTTGGACCCTTTTGCGGTCAGCTATGATGATCCATGTTCGCCTTGCTATATAGTACGCCTGAGCCACCGCCAATCGCGGAGGACGAGGCATCGCATATAGTAGGTCTCTTGCCTCTTTTTCATCAGGCTTTCTGGTTTTCTTGATCTTTTCTTTTTCACTCTCTTTTCCCGCCTATCTTTTCTCCTCTCTCCAATCGCAGTACAATGTCGACTTGATATCATCCTCTATCTTTTTCTTATCCATATTCTCTACGTTCCCTACACATCTTCCAAGGAGTCGATCAACCTCATATGCGATAGCACGGATGGGTACAGACGATCGAAGCGGCCAAATTCTTGGCGTGGCTATTGCTTTCTTGATTCCTACTGCTACCTCTACTGCATTGCGTGTCTACACGAGGTTTGTATCTCTGCTCGTGCACTCTTTGATCCATCATACTGATGATAATAAACTCAGAACCAAGATCCTTCGCAGCCAGGCCGGTCGTGATGACATAGCCATGGTAGGCGCATTCGCCCTATACCTCACCTACCTAGTCTGCCAACTCATGGGCGTCGCACACGGAAGTGGCAAGAAGAGAAAGCTTCTGGACGATGACACTGCACAGACTGGTTTGATGGTTAGTTGCTTTCGGCACATCCCATCAGCATACCGAGCAGGCATACTGACACTCACTACCAAATAGTACTGGTTCTTCTGCGAAATCACCTACACCCTCGCCACCGCAACCCTCAAAATCAGCATCGGCCTGTTCTTACTTCGTATCGCCGTCGACCGCATGCACATCTGGATCATCCGCTGGATCATGATTTTCAACGTCGTCTTTGCCGTTCCTTATTGTCTGCTCGTCACCTTTCAATGCCGACCCATTTCCTACTGGTGGGATCTTAATCCTGAGCATCATGGTCATTGCTTGTCTCCGAAAGTCATTGTCATCAACACTTATATCATTTCGGTCCTGAACTCTGTGGCGGACTGGACGTTTGGAATCTTGCCCTTCTTCATTGTCAGGAAGTTGCAGATGAAGAGACAGACCAAGGTTTTGGTGGCCAGTATCTTGGGCTTTGCTGCTTTGTGAGTATCACCAGAATGCGAGCCGAACGAGAATAAGATCTAATGGACGTCAAATCAAACAGAGNGAAGTACAGCAACCATCATCCGCACCCCCTTCGTCCACACCCTCAAAGACTTCAAAGGCGAGTTCCTCTACAACACGGCCGACGTCGCCATCTGGACAACCGTCGAACTCGGCATCGGCTGCACGGCCGCCAACGCCGCCACTCTACGCCCTCTCCTCTCCCGTTTCCGCTCCGCCTGGGGTGTTCCCTCTACGCAAACCGGCAGCAGACCACTCGGCAACACTATCAGCGCCAGAGGAGGCAAACGCAGCAAAAATCGCATGGATATGGACGACCAAACCCTCGTTACCCTGGACGAATTACGTGCTGGAGGCGTCGACGGCGGAAAAACTGAAGTCGTGATTGCAGGCGGGTACCAGCATGAACTACCACCCNTCCCCTCACCAGGCCTCGGCGCCTGGAAAACGAGAGAAGTGGTGCAGAGTGTAGAGATCAGGACGAGTTTGAGCGAAGGCAGCGATGGGGATAGTAAAGAAGAGGATGAGAGACGGATGAACAGTTCAAGGGGGTTGAGGGGGATAAGGAGTGAAGATGAGGGAAGGTTGAGAGGGAGACAGGATACGATCTCGGAGGATGAGNGGGGCAGGGCGACGTTGCCGTATGAGCGGTTATGATAACTATTGAGTATGTGGATTTTCTTTTTGTTACTTTCTTCCTCCTCTGTTTTTCTGATTCTGACTTTTGGGTCCTTGCATCTGTTTTGAACAAAGTGTTGTGGCATGGCTTTTGAGAATCGGCTTTTGCCATCTTGATCAAGATATCGTCATTCCGACTTGAGATGCTACAAATGTTTGATTAGCGGATGACAGTGCTTTGTAATAACTCCAATACCGCTGTAAATGCCTTGGCCAACATGATAAAAAGTCGACGCGTGAAAAGACAAAGAGCCAAACAATCACTATGGTAGAAGAGTGTTTGCAATCGGAAGTTAATGGCATCGTGGAAGCTCTCTCAACATGTAATCCTACAAGAAAAAGGTGGAAGAACCTCAAGTGCCTTTGTCGTGGGTGTTCAAACTTCGATCCTTGACGAAGAGGCTTGTTCTTTGTTCTCTTGAGGTTTGCTTCTTGTGCTTGTTAAAGCATCTGCTTAGCTTGGATGACCTAGTATCAATATCTGCTGCAGTGTTGGTTTGCTCGACTCTGGGGTGTCGCACGAAAATCCGACGCATATATTACAAATTAATGGATTTAGTTTCAACAACGTCCGATATGGTCTAGTGGCTAGGATTTCTCGCTCTCAAACAGTTCGAAAGAACAATCAGGTCCGAGGAGGCCGGGGTTCAATTCCCCGTGTCGGAAATACTTCTTTGCACCGCCTTGTCCATAACTCAATTAGAGGGCAAGCTCTTTTTTTTTGGCAAAGCGCAAAAGTTCTTAGAGAAAAAGTGGTCGGTGCTACGGGGCTTTGTCGGCGGAGCGCAGACTTTGTGTTTGCTCGATTGCAAGTCTTGGCGGAAGCTCAATGCATTGCCTTCACCTTGATGGTTGTTGAAGCAGACTGTCTTTTCTGCAGTCATTGTTCTTTTTGCTGTATGTCATTACTGTTACGAGCTTTGATGCATATCTCAAATGTTTCATCTCTCATCATGTTCTTGCCGAAGTGCTTGAAATGATCTCAATTGCTTGCAAGGACAATATTGGAGAAGCGAATAAGCTGCGAGATTCAATCACAAGCCGGTGCACCTCTTTCTGTTTTGAATCATACTGCTATTCTCCATATATCGAGACGATGATTCGTGCTCGAACAGATGGCTCTTGCATCAAGAAAGTCAGCACACCGTCGGTCTTTGGGTAAAGAGTCAACTCTGGCATGGTGCAGCACATTATAAGCGGCTTCATTTTTAACAAAAAAGCAAGCTCAGATTACTATTCTAAACCTGCTCATATGAGTCAGTTTACTCTTCTTGGTATATGTCGAAGATAGGGAGAAAGTATGCCAGCGTTTGGTGGCATCTGTCACTTGTGCTGCATACAAATTGTTCTACCCCTGATATCTTGAGTCATCAACCGATAAGCGACGACTGCCACGCTAGACTTTTCGTCAACAGCACACCGAGCATACGAGTCACAACGCCAAGGTACATCTCTATCTTCTGCACGACTATGACCTGTGGCTCCCTCCACAATCGACTCGTCTGGGTTGATACAGAAGACATGCCGCCTGTATCTTTGTTTTCGGACACTCTCGTCAAGCGTAACAAAGCCGTTCGGGAGAACTTTTGCCGATTATCAACAATGGCCTTCGGCTGACGCACCCGATGGGCAGTCTTGCACAAAGAATAGCCAGAACGTTGACTTCCAAATCCGGAGACGACAAGGCGCCTGTTTTCTTAGTACTCCTCACCGTCCGATACCACTATTTTGGAACGTTATTTTTGATTTTCGTGCGATGTCCAGCACACTCACTTAGTACCAAGCGATATATCAGACATCCAAGATGAACAGCGATATACCCATTCTGGTAGCACCAAACAAGATCTTAGCGTTGATAATCGACAAGCTCGAGGATGACAATGATGTCTGGACATTCTCGCAAGTGTGCACCAAGGCAAGACTGCAAGCCAACATGCGCAGATGGTGTGTGTGTATGACCGATCAACTACGACAACTAGCGAGCTATACGCCGGCCGAGCAGCAACAATTTGCAAACCTCATCCACGAACTACACTGGGATGTTCACGAGGCGTCCTCGTTCGACTTTTCTCACTTGCGGTTTCCGGCTCTGCAAAGCTGCTACGTGTATCATCATCTCATAAATGTTGATCCCGCAACCCCACTGAATCAGTTTGTGCAGCCGGCGCTCGGAACGCTGTATATCTCTTCCGAGACTAGACACGGTCGCAGAAAACGGACAAGGAATTACATACCATCGCTGACTAATGCTCCCAACCTGGACAGACTCAGCATAGGGTTGAGCCCCGGCTCGAACCGCGTGGAGTTCCTGGCTGCTCTCAGAGGTTGCCCACAGTTGAAGACGTTGAACTTGAATGGGCCTGTCTGTCGAGTACTGGATAGCGATATTTCTCACCACCTTGCCCACCAATCGAAGCTCGAGTGATTCGAATACGATGCTATGACGGGCAAAATCCTCGTCTTGAACCTCGACCTGATTCGAATTACCTCTGCAGGTCTGACCCCGGGCCAGACGATGTTCAACCACCTCACGACACTGCGTACTGGGATGGATAGCGCTGCGGCTAGAGAGCTTCTACCTCGTAAGCCTGACATCACAGATTTGACGACATATCTCGAGACAGTCGACGACATTTTATACTGGGTAGAGCAGCTGCCACAACTGAGGAGTCTGCGCCTTGTAGCTAATACCAATCTGGTTCTCACACTACACTATCTTGCGCCACTAGAGAGGATGAGACATAGTTCGCTCGCAATCAGCGGTGCCGAGGACTTTTGGTTTGATGGCCACATGGTTGAACTTCGTCATTGGACGCGCTCTTTGGCAATCCTGACTTTCTGAGGCATCTGGAGGTAGCTTGCAAGGCGACTCTCGGTCGGCAGCCATTCCTTCTTCCCTCCAACATAGTCCTCACCTCCTCATCGAAAAAGTCATTCGCCACTATCCCTTGGTGAGCAGGCTAGATATGCCCGCTCTCTGTGCCGCAATCGATTTCTTGCGAATGCCGAGCCGCGCATTGAGCAGTGGTATCACAAGACTCGGTATTGACCGCATTGCAGCTCCTGTAGCAGATAAATTCGAGGAAGAGGATGAGTTGTAAGTCTCTAGATCCGTTGACGACTATTCCAGCAATGCTAACCGAGTCTGTAGTTGGGACGATGTTCATCGCATAGCAAGGAAGATAAACAAACACTTCCCAAGACTTGAGTCTCTGACCTCCGAAGAGGACACGGATTTTACTGAGGAGGTTGTATTAGCGATGAATTTTTGGAAAGGGTTCTAGTAAAGAGACAGAGATCTGGATAGGCTCTTATCGACTTGTGGTGCTCTAATCAAGTTGCATCGTGATTCATTCATTGAGTCAGCAGAGCATTATCCTTGTCGATCAAGAGAATTTTTGCGAGTCGTTGATGGAGGAAACTAGAGCTCTGCAACTGTTGCTGTATAGAGCCATGACTTCGAGCTTTTTGCTTACCGGATCCGGCAGGTTTTATTTTCCTTTCTTGCAAAATCCGTCACGCCGTGACTTTGGTCTCCGCAAGTGGTAATACTTCTCCTGGATCTCTAAGCTCCCAGATTGATCTGTGGGACCCCTGATAACTAGTCCTGTTGGACTTCCATACTTCTTCTATCTCCAGATGAGCGCGTCCGACATCTGAGGAGGGTCAGGTGGCCCCCTTCTACTCCGCCAGCCGCCCTGCTCCTGAGTCGCCAGGGGACATACCTGCAGCCAGTCCCACTGCGTCTAAGAAATCTACAGAAGACAAATCTTCTTCCGCCGGCAGGTATTAGCTGGCCATCTAGCCTTAAGTCGCGGATCTCGGTTCAGCAGCGACTGTGCCTATGATGCCTGCAGTCGCACAAACTGCACCGCTATACACATTTTCCAGTCTGCCTGACGAGTTGCAACTCATGGTTATAGCTCATCTTGATCTAGAGGCGAGAGAGACGCGACAATCCTTTATAACACGAATGTCTAGTCTAGTCTTCCTTGCAGCTTTGTATTGTGGCTCATCAAGCGGTACGAATGAGGACGACGGAAGGAGACGTTGCTCTCAAGAAATCAAACAGACAAAAGCGTAGACATTGTCGCTGACGATGAACCACTCTTGTTATAGTGCACGAGTACGGATTTTGAAGACATGTTGCACGATGGTTCTTCTGGGACGGAGGGATGGGGAGGAACGTTGATCTCGATAGAGTCATGGCTCAATGCAAAGATGCAGAGCTCGAAAGGAAAACAAAAGCACGAAAAGCAGAAGAACAAACACCCAACGCCCAAGTCCTGGCTCGATGCGATAGTCGCAGAGCTCTGGTATCCTCCATCCACGACTCGCAAAAATCACGCTTTCCAATCGACAAACTTGTATGCACGCCGCTATCGACAACACAGCAGACACGTTCACCGTGGTAGAGCTTACCACACAGGCACACGCTCTTCCAGCATCTCTTTCCAAGCCTGCTTGACCATTCCACCCAGAAAACCGTACTCTGTCTCATCACCGTCGAGCTCAAGTATTTGCAGCCTTGGTGCGTGTCTGAGCAAGCTTCTCGCGATACCGCCAGCCCACGCCTCCGTGAAAGCAGTACCGGGTCTCAGCCTGATAACAGCAGCAACACGTCCCAGACGCAATACCGTGAGGCGAGGAAACAGTACCCCCTCNTGGGAGTTCAAAGGCTCGAGCAAGAAGGCGCCGGACAGATCGATTTCGTCGATGCCGGTGCAGCTGCGACCGAGAGCAATCAGAAAGTTGTCGCCGAAGGTGTGTGTGGCTTTCAGCTGGAAACAGAATGGGTCGAGAGAGCCCAGGACAGCGATCAGAAGGTCGATGCTGATGAAGGAGGTATCGAGTCGTCCTCCCGAACCAGAATTGACAAGATCGAGATGCGCAAGCTCCTTCAGGGGTACCAAGTGGGTGAGATCGTCATTAGTTATGATGTAGGGACCCAACCAAAGTTTGAGATGCTCGAGCGCTGT